AATATTCCATGTTTCTATGGGCATCATTCATTCGCAAAATTTCACTAAAAGACTTTGTTAGCATGTACCAATTAATCCATCATTCTACCTGATTAAACAAAATAAAAGTCAACACTCGTTTCTGTATTATTAATTGGAACAAGATTCGTTTGATTGTTTACCAAATGCAATAATTAAGAGGCGTGACTGAATAATAATGTAATATCATACATTATATCTATATTATATATATCTCTACATATTAAAGTAGAGTTTTCAATCGGACACAAGTCATAAAATTAGATAAGTTAATCCACATTGCGTAAAATTAAATAGCCAAGTCCACATGTTACAACCACATTGCTCCATCATTTAATGATAATTTCTTATTTGTAAATTCGTGAAATCTATAAATTACCAATTCATAAAATAACTAAAATAACTTCTTATTACCTTAAGTAGCCTAATCTCAAATATATTCCTTCGTTGATTTTTTATTTAAAGATACCATGAGTTAAACGTCAAATTTCAAATCCCACTACAAGAAAATAAATAGATCAGGCACAAAATTTACAACCAATCCATTTTTTATCTCAGGTCTTTGGAGTTTCTACTTTCAAAAGCTTTAGGTTTTCAATTTATTTAACCATAGCTTCTCCGATTTTTTTTAAGAAGAAATAAACGTCCGTCGAAAACAACCAATAATTTGAGGATAATTAGTAGCAATGTTTTTTACTCAATTTTTTTTTCATGGGCAAATACTCTCTTAAAGCTTCAATACAAATATTGATATTTATTTATCCTTAATTTTTGTTAATGTACCCTAAAAGGAAGAAATTGCAGCTTGATAATAGAGTGTAATGGAATGAAGTCTCAATGTTCTTTCTTAAGTGTGTTGAATTGTGATACTTTTCTAATTCAAGAAAATATTAATATTCATATTTTCGGTTGTTCATAATCAAAATTGCTTTAACATAATTAAGAGAATAATAATCCATATGGTGTGAAATAGTTTCTTATTACTTTTTTTGATTACGTATATATATTGGAATCAAGTGTGGCCTGCGATTTTCACCGATGAATCTTTTAAACTTGATGAATATTGGTAATCTGTAGAAAAATATAAAAAATTAACTGGATAATTCATTATTTATTTTCCATATGATAATGGTAAAAAAAATTTAACTTTATAATGATAAAACAAAACGTAGAGATCAATGGAGAGAAAATTCTAAAATGAAAAAAAAAAAAAAGAAGAAGATGATTGTGAGAGAGAAGCACTAGAAGAAAAGCATATTCACAAATAATTACATGAAGGAAAGAATTCTGTAGAGAATAAGAAAATATGAAAAAAGAAACCGAGATAATGGTGAAACTTTTAAATAATTATTATAAATTTTTCAAGAAATAAAACTTTAAAGAGAGGTCATCAAATTTACGGGTAAAACTATACAACTAAGAAAAAAAATTGAAGTAAACACTATATAAATAAGAAAAATATACGAACAAACTTCTAAATAAATGTTGTAAAAGGTATATAAAGAGATGAAAAATAAATTTTAAATTTATTAAAAGAAGTAATGAGAAAATTTTCTATTAGAGAGGGATTTTAAAATATGACATCGGTAGAAATATTTAGGGATATTATTATGAAAAATTAAGAGAATACTTTTAGAAACTATAAAGAGATAAATCAACAAACAAAAAAGATGGACAATAATCTACATTGAATAATTTTGAATATTGAAAATAATTCCAAATGTACTAATAATAACAAAACACATAAAATTACACAATTGCAATTTATATAATTAAATATATATATATATATATATTTATATATAACACTCCGTCGGAAATGTCAAATAATTCTTAAATCGTTCAAGTCATATATATCTTAAACATCCCGCACAACGTGTCCGGTAAATACTAGTATACTATTAAAACAATAGTCCAAAAGAAAAAAAAAAGGCTGATTTGTCGTGTTCTCATGCGTCCGTTTCCCGCCCAACAAAAACTATGTAGTTTTATGAAAAAAAATTAATTTCTACAATCTTTAATTATATTAAGTTTCCTTGTCCTTAATTATAATCATTCAATTAATATTAATAGAATAAGACATTAATGATATAAATAAATGATTCTTTTATTATTTTCAAAATTTAAACATACCAAGTTGAGTTAAAGTTGAAAAACACTTTTACTATTTGTATATTTACTTTTAAAATATATTATTGTGAATGGATCGGGGCAACGCCCGGACAAACACCTAGTTAAACATAATCGATGACTTTGGGATACGCATTAGTGGTTCATATTTAAGAAGTACTAGTAAAAGTTAAATTGCAGTAATCTTGGTGTACCTTCCTTCTTTCTTTTCCCCCTAGTGTGAATTTAGGACATAGAACTGGAACCTTTTTCTGGAAGTTGATACGGTAGAAAATGCAAATATCTAGAGGGTGGAGCCAGGCGGCCGGGAAGCACTAGGTTGGGAGTGAGGGAGGTAATATCTAATCGTAGGTCGAACATCGTATCATATGGGGAGACATATTGATTAGATATATGTTTGTCAAAAAAAAAGAAAAAAAGAAAAAAAAGATTAGATATATGGGATTTTTTTTGGTAACAGGATAAATGGGATTTGAGGTTGATGAAGGAAGCTCTTTTGTGTGGGGTGTAGTGATGCAAAAAAACAATTGATTCTGTTTCATCTCATTCTATTCTCATCCTCATGAATTTTTGCATTTGTTCCCACTTTTAATCTACTAGTGTTTAGTACTTTTGAATTTTGATGGGTGCTTTTCAACCAGAGAATGAACATTTTCACGTGCCACTCCAAAACAAAATGCTTCATTTTCTTCGCGGAGCACCTTTCTTCAAATCGATCACTTTGTTTCATTAATTCCCATAAAATATTTTTTTTTTCTTTTTTTTTTAACATTAATTCCCATAAAAATATTTTATTTATTTTTTTTTAACAAAAAGAAAAGGGGTGATAAAAGAACCTTGTTCCATGCCTAGCTTCACAAATTACTTGCTCTTGATTGGGGGAAAAAATTGACATTGTAGCTCGCATTATGTCAATATTGGTGAAAATTTTTCGAATAGGCTCGCCCCACTTTAACAACTTTGGATTTCCATTAATTACCGGGGAAAAATTGAAGATATCCTAAACCCCATTACAATTCTCTGCTTACAGCTAATCATTCCCCGATGAAAAAATCGATCCGGTAGCTTGTTAAATCTAATTTTAACTACTGCTAAATTCAACATTAAGCATTAAGCATTACGGTTATGAGATTATTGCTTGTACTATGTCCACTATGATCACTTACTTATTATCTTAAGCTTCATAAAATAATCATTACGTAGTCAAGTGTTACATTCATGTACTAAAAAATAAGCAGTTTTTCGTTTCCAAATCTTTTGTGACTTTGTTAGTTACGAAAACGAATAACAAAGGGATTATGGAAATAATTAAATTTTTTGGTTTTAAAAATATAGTTACGGCTATGAATGGACCAAAGGTATAAGTGTATGTCTGAACAAATTTGCCCGTTTCGAAATGTAAATTATCATTTGAGAGAGAAATGCAGAATAAGATGAAAGAGAAGTTTCTTTTGTTTGTCTTGCGATTCAATTGAACAAAAATTGTAAAAAACAAATTATAAACACCAGGTTAGAGGTGCAAGAATTGGATGAGACGTATATGATGAACTATCCTCCAAATTTTTATAGGAAAACAAAAGAGCAGCGAGTATTTTGATAACGACACTGAAATGAAATACAAGGTATTATAACTCGTAACGTATACGAGAAGTAATCAAAGTCATATATAAATACGACCACATTCTTCATTATATGGATGCTAATTCGAGCAAATCATTAGAGAGACTAAAGTACCGCGTTATCATCTAATTCTAGTCTTGATTTTATTGCGAGTTGGATTATCATTAACCCCTCTACTTTAATTTGCAAAAAAATCGCTCGGACTCAGTTTTGCATTATCATTTTGGAATTATTACTTCTCATCTCAAACCGTAAGAACATAGAAAAACCCAAAAAAAAAAAACAAAAAACCAGTAGAAGTGTAAAATACATTACTTGTATGGTTATTCCTTTATTTCCAGCTATCAAAAAAATGGTTATTCATTTAATAAAAATAGGGAAAAATGAGAGATACACAATATAGCTGATTGATGCGGATGAGACTATAAAATCTTTTTACAGCTGTTTACCGTCTTTTCCTGAAGACTCGCATATGTAAATCTCTTCACTTGAGGACTTAACAGCTTCATCTTCATCATCATGCCAGTAATAATGGTATTATGGTAGTAGTGGCTTAAAAGTCAAGCCAGCTAAACAAAGGTTAAAAAGAAAAGGAAAAAAAAAAAAGAAACTAAAGAAGAAGCATGGAATGGAACGGAACCACAAACAGAACAGGAAAAAATAAACGAAAAAGGACATAATTACGAATTACACAATTAATTACCGGGAGGCCCGGGAGTTGGTTAGTTGACCAGACACAGAATAATAATAATAAAGAAATAGCGCGTTCCCCCATAATTAGACTTAGACCCAGTAGACTTGTTCAAGTAAGAAATTTCCTCCCCGCATCTCTCCCCCTCCCCTTTCAATTTGTGTTATTATTAGAGTCTCTTTTTCTTCGCTTTTTCCTTCTTCTAAAAAATTAAAAAAAGGCCCCAAAACCCCCCCACCTATATATAGCTTTCTGCTTCAACCCATTCAGACCACACCAATTCATTCCTTCATTTCTCTACATCTGAATTTTGAGTAGCATATGTCTCAGAGACCCAACGTTCCACACTTCGCTTCCGTTGCCTTTGGCCTTCACTCTCATCTCCTGGTCTCCAGTGAGATGTCCTCTAATTCCAACTGGTTTTCTGATTCTTGCTAGTTTTTTCTCTATTCCTTCCTATTTTTCTTCTTTTCTAAACAATCAACAGACCAGAGAAAAACCACAGTTTTGTCAGACCATTCGATTCCATTCTTTTTGTGTCTTAAAAAAAAACACACACACACAGACACACACACACTTTAATATCACTACCAAATAGAAGAGTTTTTTTTTTTAGAACTAAAAACTTACATTTGAACCCAAATCAAAAACAAACAAACAATGGGTGTCAAAGGTTTTGTTGAGGGAGGCATTGCTTCAATTGTGGCTGGATGCAGCACTCACCCTTTAGACCTCCTCAAGGTCCGAATGCAACTTCAGGGCGAATCCCATGTCCCCAACCCTGCCCTTCAGACCGCCCTCCGACCCGCTTTCGCCGGTGCTGGCGTCGCCGGTAATGTTTCCCATCTCCACATCCCCGCTCCTCCTCCGCCTCCCCGCGTCGGACTTGTTTCCGTCGGGGTCAAAATCGTCCAGCAAGAAGGCCTGGCGGCCTTGTTCTCCGGTGTTTCCGCCACCGTTCTCCGACAGACCCTCTATTCGACAACCCGGATGGGGCTGTACGATATCCTGAAGCAGAAATGGACCGACCCGCATACCAACAAGATGACCTTGGACAGGAAGATCTGCGCGGGGCTAGTAGCTGGAGCCATCGGAGCCGCCGTGGGTAACCCGGCCGACGTGGCAATGGTCCGCATGCAAGCCGACGGCCGGCTCCCGGCGGCTCAGCGCCGGAACTACAAGAGCGTGGTGGACGCAATCGGGTCAATGGCGAAAAGCGAGGGAATCGCCAGCCTGTGGCGCGGGTCATCGCTGACGGTGAACCGGGCGATGTTGGTGACGGCATCACAGCTGGCATCGTACGACCAGATCAAGGAGTCCATATTGGAGACGCACGTGATGAAGGACGGGCTGGGGACGCACGTGACGGCGAGTTTCGCCGCCGGGTTCGTGGCGGCGGTGGCGTCGAACCCGGTGGACGTGATTAAGACCCGGGTGATGAATATGAAGGTGGAGCCCGGGATGGCCCCACCATACACCGGGGCGCTTGACTGCGCAATGAAGACCATTCGGGCTGAGGGTCCGATGGCTCTTTACAAAGGTTTCATTCCCACCATCTCAAGGCAGGGTCCCTTCACTGTTGTTCTCTTTGTCACGTTGGAGCAAGTCCGCAAAGTTTTCAAGGATCTTTAAAAAAAATTTTATGATGACGACGAAAGAAATATATTTATTACTTTACTAAAAAAGAGAAGAAGAAAAGCTCCTTACTTCTTGGAGTCTGAGAAAATAAATTAAATATTTTTGTTTCCTTATGTGCTCCAATTTTACAATTGATTAGTTAAATGATGATATTCTTATGTTACCATTTGATTAAGCTCGGTGTCAGTTTTTATTATTTTTTCCCCTCAACTTGCTGTATCAATATCAATTCCCAATACGTAACATTATAAATTCCATTTCACTTTCCAGTTTTGCAGGAGCTACGTTCATTGTAGACGAAAAAATAAATTAAAAAAAAAATGCGCCTGGAATGTATTCTAATGTAGTGGGATGATGCGCGACCGCTAATTTTGGTACAGGTGCAATTTGGCAAGTGGAGAGAATACGAGTGGTAGATTTCTATTCTGTTTATGTAAGTGGAAGAGGTTAAAGCTAGTTGTATGTTGGAAGTTAACTAATCTATATACCACAAGATATTCTGTTTATTTCTTCCATTCCTAAATAAAAATCCTTGGTAGACGACAGCGGACAGTCCTCCCAATCTGGAATAAGTATTGTTTTAGTAAAATGAAAAAATTTTAAAATAAGTAGAGTATTTTTTTTATTTTTTATGTCAATACCAAATTTTCTAATCTTACTTAAATAGGAGTAGTATTAGTAGGAACTATTTGTCTTGACGAGATAAGTTAAGGATATTCTAATAATTTATCTATCATGTTTAAGATTAGCTTCTTAAAATGTGTATAAGTTATCTAATGTAGCTTATTTTAGAATGGAGAGAGTAGTAATTATTTTGGAACGAAAACAAATGTCGTGCTTTTATAACTTGAAATGAAATGATTTTTTTTTTTTAGTAAAAGAGTAGGAAATGTAAAACATCCGGTAGTAGTAATACAGTTCTTGTTTGCTATTCCATTAACGTATCTTAGAATGGAAACCAATATAGTTCGAGTGGAGGATATAGAGACGCCCTACGTAAGATGCAAAGTTCGTGAAGGTACTAGATATATTAACACGTTTACGTAAGTGAAAAATATTGAATTCGTGAAGTCTAGTATTATTTGGTACAGGATGTTACTTTACGTAAGTTGTTTGTCAAAGGTTGTTTAATTCTGGAAACACACAACGTCTACCTGCGTCCTAAAAGGTTGGTCAAATTTTTTAAGTTTTTCTTTTTCTCAAGGTTTTGGAATTTTAAATCTAGGTAGGCAAAATAATATAGATGTGAGGTACCTAATTACGTCTATGTCCTTTTGCACTTTCAATGGCCAGTAAAATTCGAATCATTTCTTTTGACTATTTTGATAAAGAAAAAGACACTTTTATAGCGAGCTCCACTGGTTGAAATTTGGGGGAAGAAAAAAGCCTTTGCATTTCATCTCCAACTTTACTTCTATTATAATAAATTAAAAAAAACAACTAGACTAATCACGTCGATGAAGTCAATGATTACACATGGAAGTTGCCATGTAATATAGGCCGGCGTGTGTTTGACACACATCGGTAGTTGGCTGTCAAAATTTGTCAATTTACAATAAGACTGGCAGGTCCGGTCATGAGGAAGCTTCCCACCGCATTTTTCCGGCGGTTGCATTCTTGGTATTTTCTCCGCGTCCCTCATGTATATTCTTCTCAATGCTATATCACTTTTCTTTTTTCCTCTAGAACACGAATCTGTTTCTAATTCCAATTTTTTCCCCAAGGAACATATCTTAGTTGTCACATTCCTTGCTTGACGTATTAGAGGAGAGGTACAATGTAAATATTCCCATCCTATAATCATTTTGTTCCTTCAGAATCATAGTCCTTTACTTTTTGTTTATTTTTTAGATATTAGGACAAGTTAGGCTCCCTCGGTGACGCATATCTGCTCCATGGAATGTGCCTTGATTCCTGCTCAATCTCAATCATACAGCAAGAATATTTTGGAAACGTTATTTACATACAGTTTAACTGTTCGGCACAAAAAGTTTTGTTCAAAGGAATAAAAGATGGGGGTGCCTATTACTATTAGTAGCCCACTTCATGAAGGATTTGAGGTGGGACTCCAAAAATTTCCCCTTTCTGCTATGAACGCATGACTTAGGAAGTCATGATCCCATGCTATATATGTCTGGTTCTTTTGGGTGTATAACAAAAAAAAAAAGGACTCCTCCACTCTCAGTATAAATAATTGCTATCCTTGTGGTTCACTGAATCCTTGCAAAGCATCGATCTCACTTCCAAAATTGATCTTGGCGGTTCCAAGTCCTTTTCCTGCAGTGCATTGCCCAGCAATTGTTGCATCTGTGATGCAAACGTTTCATCCAAAACCTGCAACAAACATCGTGAGAACGTTAAGATGAAATCACGCCAAACTATCTTACCAAGTTTGAAACACAAATCAATTAAATTTCTGTTTGAACAACAAAATGATCTAAAGTCGGTTAGGGTAAGTTGACTTACTGATACTGCAACTCGTGAGGCCTTGTACCAGGACCGGTTTTCTTTCTTCTCCGCTAGAAACTTAAGCACATCCTGCAATGAATATCAAACCAAAATGAATATAATGCCAGAACACGACTTTCTAAATCCTCGCAGCAGAGTACATACCTGTCCCATCCGATCCCAAAAACCTCTAGTTAAAATTATGAACACCTGGGGATCAAATACGGAGTGAAGTTGATCGATCATCTTTATGATTAACTCCTTCAAAGGTAGCATGCTGCTTCGGATATCCGATTCCATTACATTCTCCTTTGCATCCTGGATTATTTTCTTTAACTTTGTAGGCGTTTGCAGTCGGGTCTGAAAGGAGAAATTTAGAGCAGAATCATTCATTAGACTTTGGGAAAGTATAAACTCTAGAATGTAATTTAAATAAACACAAACACAAGCAAAATGCAAATGTATGTAGAACTTGAGAACTAAAAACACTAAAAAACCCTACATTTTCCACGAGTTTCTCCGTGATTGATTGAAGAAAGATCCTCAATTTTGTCCTCAGCATAACTGTTACTTCGCCCATGTGCTCACCTGCAACTACACTCCCACCATCTGGGATGCAAGATCCCCACAATTTTATCTGGGATTCTAATGGAGGACGCAAAACATCAAGAACCCTTTTCATGGAGTTTAGAAAGATCCCCAACTGAAAATATGTACATGAAAGACATCTGGTCAGAGAAAGAAATATGCCAAAATATAAACATCTGACAAAATCTGAAAGGAATTTCACCTCTGTGGAAACACTATAAGCACTTTGGTTGCCCTTGGATATTTTCTGAACGTATTTGATTCCTAATTTAATGGGCATTGAGTGCTCTTTCAACGGTGACAATACATCTGCATACTGTTTTTCCATAGTCTCCACAACTGTCTTTTCTACATCTGCCATGGCCTTTTAACATGTCGGAAAAAAGGACAAGTTCAATAGTTGCAGAAGGTTCACCTTAAATAAAGAGTATATTGACAAAAAAGTGTGCTGATTGTTTTCCAATGAACATATTTCACAAGGTTTATCTATCAACATTATCTGTATGAGCAGAAGTATTTTATAAAAATTCGAGAAACCAATTCGCATGATTAAGAAATTTCTCTTGATACAAACTATTAGGACAACATAGAGCAACTACAAATAAGATACTTCACCAGGATCATTTCAATAGCACCGACCCAAACCAAAAACTTGATTAAACTATCTGCTAGTTAGTGACTTTAGAAAATACTGCATTGTATCAGCTGACAAAAATATAAAATGAGTAGGAAAACTGAGATTGCACTTACACTTTCCAACTGAATGGTATATTCTGGCCAACGACTGATGATAACATCATACTCCTTGAGCGTCTCCTTGAGCTGATCATAGATCTCATCCACAAAAGGAGACGTGGAATCTTGTGTCTGGATGCTGGACCATTTCACCTGAAAAATACATAAAGAGCACTGACCAGATGAGGAGAAATAGAACTTGGCAATGAAAATCTCAATTAGGTTTTCTTACTAAGACCTTAAAATTGCTAGGTCATGTCAACCAAATATCAATGGTGAATAATAAAAGGTACCTTATCAGGCTTGCATAATTCAAGGAGGGCAAGGCGTTTCTCCTGGATCCAGAGGTTTATATACAAGTGAAACAACTCTTTAGCATTTACTCCGGCTTTAATAACCCTGAAAATGTTATCATCTTCATGAGTAAAAAGATCATGGAAATATGGAAGTATTACACAAACACAAAAAGAGGGGGGAAGAACACGGGAGTATTACTTAAGGTTCCACGAGGCAAGATCCCTCTGAAAATCAGATGTTGCAATTACAAGTTCTGTCACGGACGTCTGTGGACCACTTGGAGTACATGCAAACAGAAATGCTCGCAATCTAGTGTTGAGGTCAGCACTATATATTGACGCAGACAGGTTTGGAAGATCTAGGAAACTAAAACATAACGAGAAAAAGGAAATCACAGTCAGAGCCTTCCACCAACCCTGTCATCAAACACAATTAACTATGACGCATAGAGTCACTGTAAAGTGAATATTTTGAGGAACTCTTAACATTCTAGTATTTATAAGAGAAACTAAATAATCTCCCCTTTCCATTCATCCTTTTATCCAAAAGTAAAATTTTATGATGCAACTGATGAAAAGCAAAGCATTTACAGGAAAAATTTATCACCTTCAAAAGTTGTACTTCAAATAGTCACAATAACATTGACTTCCATGGTCACATCATATAGATAAGAATACTTCAATAACAAAAACTGTTCATAAATTACCTGGGGAGTATATGCTGATTGTGTATTTCTATATCTGTGAAGATTTCGTGTTTGATATTTAAACAAACAGACTTCATTTTCTGATACGCGGTAGAAAAAGCCACTGGATCCAATAGATTGTTCGCATTATTGTTGGAAATGAACTCCTCTGTTTCTGCCAGGTGCCTCTTACATCTCTTTTTTGCTGCAATCTGCTTAAAATTTGATGATCAGAAAAAATAAAGGTAGCAGGCAAAAAGAGAGCATATGCTGTGATGGGATAACATACCTGAAAGTATCTGCAGAGCTTAGATTGTGCCTCAGGCAAGAGAATATCATTCAGAAGCTTGTATAGCTTCAGTGCGGGTACCAGAGCAGGAGCAGCAACTCTAGTAGCTGATGTAAAAACCTCAGCTATGCCTGAAGGCGATGCCTCATCTAACGACTTGTAGTTTTCAAACACCAAAGAAAGAATCTGCTCAATTTGATCAGAAACATCTCCCAGCATTCGGTTCTGGTCGTGAAAAAAAAAAATGAAAAGAAAGGTGTCATTTTATCAGAATATTTTGAAGAAAATTAGTGTCCATAATTTGTTACAGAAAAGTTTTACAAACATAGATGGTAAAAGGAGAACACTGCTCCAAAAAAAACACAAATCAAAGGAGAATGAGCCTCCCAGCAAATAAGAAACTAGGAAGTATACATGTACACACATCAAATGGAATATGCACAGGACTGCTGAATAGATACAGTAAAAACGTAGCCGCTCCATGTAAAAGAGAAGCAAGCTACGTAAACTCTGAAATAATTAAAGGCTGCCAACTAATTACATTCCCGTGCGAAAATTTTATCAAACTCCTCCTACCTCTTGGTGGCTAAGAGACCCTTTACTTTTGCTTCTCAAGACAACTGGTGATAGTAGATCGTGCACCAACTCTAAACAATCTGCAGTTGGTGTAGCAACATCCATAACATACAAAAGATATCTGCATAGGAACGAAGTATTTCAGTGTTGCTGTGGTATACTGCCGAAATCAACAGTGAAATATTCCTTCCATTTAATAAAATTTGAATACCTGAGCCTAGTGTATGCATCTGACACCCCATAGTATGTGGCAAATTCAGTTACAAGCCACTTCCATGAACCATGTAGCAAAAGATTTCTCTGCTGAAAGTTCTGAGCTTTCATTGCTGTCTCCAAGACAAAATCATATGCAACAGTCTCGGCAACAGAACCACACTGAAAAGATACAAAAAGAAGATGCTTCAAAATTATGCACTAAAAATGATCTCATTTTCCCATCAAAGGATTGACAAATGTGACAAATAAAACTGGATTTTGCAAAACAGGCGCGTAGTTCATTGAAAGTGTAACATCCACCTTTCTTTTAAATTTTCTAGAAAACACAAGATAGTTACAAAACCACATACATATTAATTGTTCTATAATTATGAAAATACCGAGTTATCGACAGCTCCGAGCTATCCTTTTTGTGCTCATAGTTGCAATATCAATCTAGAAAGTACCAGATAACAAAATTGAGCAGGTTAGGCTTACACTATCACATTCATTCCAAGCCTTTGGGTTCAAGGACAGAAAAAAGAATGGCGCCAAAAAAATAATAATAATTAACAAAAGCACTGGCCTTGTAAAAGCTCAAGACTCATAGAAACTTCAAAAATAAAGAACTGCAGATGTTACTAAATGAGTTTATTTTTATCTCCAATCCTTGGATGCAAAAAATATATCAACATTCTAGATGAGAGAATTAGGGCCATGCCAATTGAAAAATCTATGCTATTAGGGCAAGTGGTCAAGCATAGAACTTCACCATAGCTAGCCTGCATCTGACAATGTGCATAACAATATTTTGTCTATATAATTCTGGACAGAGAAAAGATGGTATCATGGCTACATATAGATACAATTTAGACATCTGCTTCACAATTTGAAAGTGTATTCAAACATTGTTTGAGACCTCACAGACCTTGAGATGATTCATCTCATCTGGACTAGTTGAATAGTTTATGTACAACTGCACTCTGCCGACAAGTATATGATCTGGCTCCTGATACATAGACCACCACCGAAGCTTGTCTCCCTGTATCCAATTTATTCAATGATCTTTCCGCCCAAGAAATTTGTATTTAAAATTAAAATTGAACGCAGAGATCTGTATCATACCGGGTCATCAACAATTTCAGCAATCTGCGCAACTACTCGTCCACAATACTTCCTCTTCGAATCATGAACTTCAACAATAAGAGCATCGCCTAAGCCATCAGGCAGGCTATATGGCACAAGAAATAGAATAAATTCATAATCTTGTTACAAATGAAGGGACCAATAGCAAAAACAAACCCAAACAAAGAGATAAAGATGACAAAGCACTCACAAGACACGAGTCTCTCCAGATCCAGGCTGCATTTTTATGGTTTCCTCTTCAGGAGAACTTTTCAATCTCAACGAACAAGAGTATGTTTCTGCTCATAAGGAATTATTTCCAAATGCCCAAAAATTAAACAATAACCAATTTAACTTCAAGACACTGGCAAGCAAATTTATAATTTTAAGGTATTGGGTGCAAGTAGTATGCGTACCTTGCACCATTTCATAAGATGCTGAATGGTTGCGTAAAGCTGTTAAACCAAGTCTGAAAAACTCTGGCAGTTCCTTTACATATTGGGTACCAACATGCACAAGAGCCAAGCTTTGATGCGAAAGAGAACCATTCGATGGCATGTGTCGGGGAACACGTAGTTTCCTGTAGACTTCCCACTCAGAAGAAAGAGTGGATTTCATACTGGATAACCGACCCCGAAGAGATTGCAGTTTCTTCATTGGTGGTTTGAAAGATACTATACTACATCCGATGGGAGGTTCTAGCCCCATTTTCACTTTCCGAACTGCAACAATAAAGAAATTATTTCAAGTAGTTTTAGCATCCCAGGTTGCTACAGATGATTAACCCCTGGAAATTCAAACAAGATACCTTGAACTTTGATCTTGCCATAAGTATTCTTTGGTTTTATACCAGCTGACTCACTGACCAGTTCTGAAGATCTATTCTTCAAGAGATCTTCTTCCGGTTGTAGTAAAACATGCTTCAAACTGAAAAAACACAATCAGGTTACACGTGCTGTGGTACAATATATAGATTGAATACTCTGCAAGCAACATTTCACCTTTCAAAGGAAAATATAACAATTCAATGTTGGGGAAAAAAACAAAAATTTGGTACATATAACAGGCTTGGCTGAATTCTATTTCCAAGTAGGCAATGAAAGAACCCTTCCACAGTCTTCCTATAGCATATTCATGTACAGAATCAATTAAACTACCAAACGAACTCCCAGTATAAATTCTCATACCCCAAAAAAAAAGCAGCCAAAAATGCAACAGCTAGAATCATGAAACAATACAATGGAACCGTGGCAACATCAACATAACTAGTGAAGAATAAACTGTCTCACCCGAAAGCATTTCTCAGAACTGCACATTCATTCTCTAAGAATAAAGGAGCTTCCGGACACTGACTAGCCCATGCATGCAGGCATAGCCGAACACATGCATCGTATGAAATGAAAGCACTCCAAGATACAAGCCCACTGCATAGTTTCAAACCATGAAAAGAAAAAGGATAAAGACAAAAGCTTCACAAAAGCTATTGTGCCATAAAATAATACATAAACATAAAATAATATTAAATATGCATGTGTATATGTGTGTGTGTGTGTGTAATGGAGTCATGACCATGTGATTAAACTCAATCTGCTTTGCTGCTTTGTCTACCTTGCATGAAATGTAGGGACTTTTGCGGGTAAGGAGTGGGAAGAGACTCCAGCAGTCCTGTTACAGAATTTCAAGTATCATTATTGCTTGGAAAATTTTCACATGACAATGACGTAAGTTGATTGAGACAAATGGAGTAGGCTGCAAAATATATCTTTCAAAATCCAAAAAGATTACCTTAAAGGTTCTTCACTAATTTCTTCTGTAGTGTCACCTAAAGAATTTCTGTTGCCAGGAGCTGATACACCTGCTGCATTTGATCGAGTAGAATGATTGTTGAATTCCATCCCAAATTGCTCAGGCACTTGGTTTACTTCTAAAACAGAGCCTGTCATCAGAGGAGCACTAGGGATTTCACCATTAGACAACTTGTAAGTTTGCACTCGGACACCGTGAGAAACCTGAACCATCATAATTGTTCAAAAGGCCCAAACACCAAGAAACTTAGTATTCTCAAAAAATAAGAATAATAGATCTCAGTTTCAATGAAAAATATGATTCAACCACCACGAAGTATTACAAAAGCTCATAACCAGATCATAATGTAATGACACTCTTCTGAGATAAGCAGAATGGAAAAATACAAACATCAGGTTTCTGTGCCATTTCCTCAAATAAACTTATACTACGGCATAGTTACTTGACTCTGTGAAAGAGTGAAGATTTAGATAACTGAAAACTAGACGAAACACTTTTTAATAAGTATCCTAAACACACAGATGCAAAACAACCCCGTTCCTACTGAATAAATTCAAGAAAATACTCACTTTCCATTTTCAGAAAGTTAAGCCATCAATTCTATCAAGCTTCTCTATAATGCAACCCTTCTATGGTAACTTCAAGCTTTCCTCCCCGAAAAACAATTAATGCTCCAGTTAACCATATCATGTATCATCTGACCTTCCCAAACATATTCTTAGCCACATCATCCATCTATAGATATCAACATTTTCAGTCGCACAGCAAATAGAGGAAATATCAAACTATTAACCTGTTTGGCAATCTTCACTTTAGGTTGTAAGTCAACATTAAAATAGTAAGCCTCCGAAGTATCATCAGATACACTGCTACTGGTACTCCTGGATGCAGCAGGATTCCTAACTGAGTTCATGGTCATATGAGAGACCTCATCATCCAAAAAACTAGGCTGCATCACTGCATCCCTCTTCGCCTGCCTCCCATGATTTCCAGATAATTTTCCCAGTTTGCCTGCAAATGAACAATAATAAGAACAAAAGAGGACAACAACAATATCGTAAACTAATATGTTAATAAAAATTATCATTTAGAAAAGCACCATTAGTATATTTGTCATCTTGGGGTGACGTCTCAACTGAGCCATAAGCCTCAATTTCTGAATCAGAGCTGGTGTCCATGTCTGAACCAGACTTAATGTCGCCACCTTTGACAGGTATAGCTCGAGAGACTGGGATCACCCCAGATGGCAAATGCCCACTTCGGTATTTGGTTGTGGAAGGCAATCCCCGGCCTCGGCCGGCAAGGCTCTGATTTCGCATACCCATTGCAGGATCAGATTGTAGTCTCTGAGAGGGCATCAATAAGCAAGTCCTTTTAACCTTCTCAGGCGATATTTAAATCATCAGAAACTCAGCAACCTCCAAACTGAAACAAAGAAGCTACAATTACTCTATGAATATTATCATGTCAATACGGAAAATCAGAACAGAAGGATTGCGGTTAATGCCGGGGAAAAAAAGAAAAACAAAAAGAGAAAAGAAAAACCATAGAAGAAGTTGTTGCTTTACAAAGGCTTGCATTTGTGACATGAATTTCCAAAGATTCCACAATCACTCAAAACCTCAACTTATTGCTGAAAATATTGTTTTCCTAAACTGGGAAGCAGCAAAGATTCAAAAGGCGGTGACATATACATCGACAAGCCCATTGGTAATCCAAAAAAGAATCAATTTGCAATCTGGCAATCAGATTACATAACAGTCCGAAAAGAAAAGGTATGGATTCGATAGCATCAGAGAGAACTCACTCTTTCCAATCAATGTACTACCAAATACCATCAAACAAAAAAAAAAGCAGAAATCAGGAGAAAAAAAAAAACACGCAAAAGAACAAATCCGCACACGAAATGTACTTACTAGAGTTGGAAAACAAGTGAAAGTAGTTGAACAGGGCTGCTCTGTTTCTGCTCTCTCTTTAATGGAATTTTGCCTATTTATGTTCCTCCATTCATTGTACCCCAAAATTCTTTTTTCCCTCTATAAAGAAAAAAAAAATGAAAATAAAACTGCACTTGACTTTCAGAGAAGCAAGAGGAGGAGGAGGAAAATAAATGGTTCGTTTTAGAGGAAATTAATGCAGTGGTATTATTTCCTCTGAGAGTTTTATGTGTTGGGGTTTTTAAGGTATTTATTAGTTGGACGGATTAGCACGGGAGAAAAGAAAGACGTTAACGAAATCAAAAATTTGATTTTCCGAAGTAAGGGCGAGAGATTTCGTTGAGAGTGTGTGACTGTGTGTGTGTGTGAGTTTCGTCACAGAGATTAACGGAGACGTGGGGAAGTAAACGTGAGTGATGTGGCACGCCGCATGTTTTCCAGTCTTCCTTTTTTTAAAACGGTCGGTCGTTTAGTGGCGCGTCTTCGGGCAATTTTCTTCCCCTTTTGTTTTGTTTAACCAGTTGGAACACACTCATTCTGTTCTACTCCTTCCCCCCCACTCTCACTTTAACTCTCTCTCTCACACACTCACACACTACGACAACAAAAAGGAAAAAAAAAGGTGATAGGATCTTCTGCCCTAATGTAATAGGATTACGGTTCGAATTAAATATAGAGAATAAATCCATACGATGATTATAATAAAAGATAATAAGAAAACAAAATATAATCAACTTGTAGAACAATTTTACAATTGTAATTTCTTTCTATAGTTAATGTAAGGGATGTAATAATCATTGATTTTATTCTTTTTGTTATATTATTATATATCATATATAATTGATCTCAAACTCAATTCGTCAGCTAAATACTTTTTAAGATTGTTTCAATCTTACGATTTTTTCTTTTTTTTTTTTAAGTGAGAGAGGCTCCTAGGAATCTGTACAATTTTTGGTGTTATTGATTACTATTAATTATAGCAGTAGTGTAGTACTATCGCCATTATTATAGGGATTATCGGAGAGCTTAGTGAAGAAGGAAGGGAAGTTTATGGAAATATTTAATTTAATGGAAGGATTTACTTTAATGCTTTCTGTACTAAAAAGGGAAAGAAATTTCTATTGATTGTTGGAATACAGTTTCTCTACAAGAAAAAGTAAAAATTGAAGAATACGGTTTTGTTACGTATTTATCACATCAGGATAGAAAGCTAAATTTGTCTATTGGAAAAATTAAGGTCACCGGCCACTAAAGATCTTTGCCAAAAATAGGTTTAGTAATCTCAAGTTTTGTACATATTAATATGTTTGTCTACTTTCGGGTATAATAAGTTGTATACCCCAAGGTTGTGCATGATGTTTCTAAAGTGATCATCACTATATCAACTTTTTATAGGTCAAGGTTTAAATTCTAAATAAGAGGCGGCCAGGGTTCGAATCCCGGCCATTTATTTAGATTTGAAGATATATTAATGTGTAACAGAAAAAAAAAAAAAAAAAGTTAATGGCCTCTTTAATTGTAGTATCAAAGAAAAGTGTTGTCACTCCATATACAACATTGGACGGACACAGAGTCACAGATTCGAAAAAAGAAAGAAGAAGGGGAGCATGAGGAAATTACATTGAAATTTTGAGGCCGAGAAGCAAAGCCGCCGGTTGTGGCAGGGCAGAAGAATCTCAACACCTGCAATAAGTGTTGTGAAACTCCGACATTGGAACATCTCACGACCTATTTATATTACAGTGTAGAAAGTATGGGCCAAGATATGGACTTAGGGAATCATTATTTTACTAATATCTCTTCCCTCTTTTTTTTTTTTTTTTCTATATTTACTTTTCTTCCCTCTTTGAAACTTTTGGGTTTTGGCAAGATGGGTAGGGTTAACTTTCAGCAAAGTCTAGACGTATAAAGTTAACCGCTTTGATTAAGAAAGTGTTACATTTACTGTTAAGCACCTGTCCTCAATTTACTCAACTTTCTCCTGCTGGTTTGTCCCCAACTTGTCTCTGTATGGCGCCAAATTTTGATCGCGTATGAACATGTGGAAAGGCTTTTGGACCAAAGCAAGACAACAAAAGAAGTGCATGTGAAAAAGTCGCCCTAAAGTCCTCATTAGCAGGATCCATCCAAGTAATTTACAGTTTTATTAATAAAATAATAATAATATTGATACTCATAATTAACAGGAGTATTTATTTATTTATTATTTGTACTCAGCAAAAATCAAAAGAAGCACTATGGATTGATTTCTGTCTCCCAATCTTGATAGCCCCCTGTTCCAGTTTTTTTTTTTCCTTAAACCTTGAAACATTTAAACTCAAGATGATTTTTTTTACCCAGCAAAATGGCTATATGCAAACTCCGGACTTGGACCCGCGTGGTCAATAATAGAACAGTATAGCAGTCAAACACAAGGCTGCCTAATGATAAACCAACTAGCCTTTGGCCCTTCAAAAAATGTCGCTGTCGTACTATCACAGCACCGACTAGGCGGAAGCATGTTTTGGAACAATCTTTAAAGTTACACGCTATTGTAGTTTCAGCACATGATCCTCGGATCGTCTATAACCCTTTACCTGTATCTGAATGAGAACAAAAATTGTGATTCTTGATTACAAATTAAACCGAAAATCCTACTATCCACATATTGGCTACCAAAACTCCAAACTGTGTAACAAAGGTGATTTGCGGAACAGGGCTATCGCAAGAGAAATATTTAAACTAATGTCAATCTACATCATTCACTGTCGGAACCAAGGACTTTTTCCTTAATGTCTTTAATTGTAGCAGCTAACTCAGCTCTGTTTTTCTGCAAAATTCAAGCAACATCGTCATGAAGGGTTTTAACTCAAAAAAGTAATCAAATCAGGATACCACATTTGAGAAGAGCAACTACCTTCAGAACCAAATAACGAGCGGTGAACCAGACAGTGTAGGAAAGTCCAACTAGTTGCATCAGTTTTGGAACCTAAGTGAAAAAGGAAAGCAGAGTTACTCATCATCACCAGAATATGATAGGTTTCAGAACAAAGATCAAGTTAAGATAAAATAAAGAGAATGCATACCAAAGGAATAGAATCAATGGCGCCAACAATGGCAGTTGCTAGATAAAGAGCTGTCAGTCCACCAGCACCAAGCAGGAGGAGTGAATACTTGTCATCTGCATCAATCTGTCAAGCAGGGAACGGCCATGAGAACCAGCTACCCATGTATAACAACTCAAAAACAAAGTTCATATCTCTTCAACCCACGGTTCACTGATAATTAAGTAAATCACTTCAAAGGCAAGTGGAACATCACAATGCAAGAACAGAAGTCCCTAATTTTAGTTGGACAACCACCAAAGATTGTGCTTTCAGTTTCAGCTTAAACTTGAAGGTGGCAGGGATACTTTACAAGATAACAAATGGAAGTATAACGACACGTGAAAGGTAAGACTTAAGTATTAAAGCAGTCTATAGATACCACATAATAGAATTATGCATCGTAAATTTAGAAAAACAAGGTTGCTCAGGTAACCGCTCAGGATCGACATTAAAGTCGATGTTTCATCAAGCATGATATACTTTCAACATGAGACATTCATCATAGCAACCTATTTCAATCAGGTAACAAACAAGGAGAGGGAAATAGTATACAACTTCATCAAACACTTCCAACACCTGAATAGAAAGGCATGATGTTGAACATGATGGATATCAAAAAAAAAAAAAAGGTATTATATAATGGGGAAAAAAATAAATAATAAAAAATTTCTGGTTGCTCAGGTAACCGCTCAGAATCGACAAAATGGTCGATGTCTCATCAAGAAACTTTCAATAGCTCTGTATTTCATCACAGCAACCAAACAATAGTTGTAATACAGCCAAAGAAGAACACTGAAAGTTTATGTGACATTTTACTGCTTAGGAAATCCAATTGTCCACTTCGGAACAAAAACAAATGGCATGCTATACAGGTATTATATTAGCAAGGAATAAAATTCACGTTACAATGCTATCGACAAATTAGCATTAGGATTTGATAGTAAATCGTGATGATATCGTACCCATTGAAAATATCACTAAAATGAAGGTAAAAGAGGCAAGCAAAAGGAAATTAACTTCCAACAGATTTTAGCATCACACGAAGACAAGAAACATATTAGGACAGGAGTGACATGAACAAACCAAGCACTATGCACCACATACACATAAGCTGACAATTACTTAATTGAAATAGCAGACCTTTTCCAGATCAAGCTTCTCCAGAAATGATTCAAACACTTGTGTTATATTTACTTCATCGGGATTTTCTTCAGAAGGAGTCTCTTCAGGTGCAGCATTTGAAACCTTATCTTCATACTCCTCCTTCTCCACTGGCTTCTCCACTGGCTTGGGTTCTTCTATAGTTATCACACCATCAGGCCCATCTTTAGCATACGAGCTGACTGAAGTTTCATCGGAAGGTGACACTTTAAGAGATAAGCCGGGATAGTCTCTTAATCCTGAATTGCAAACACATGTTCTGATCAAAAAGTAGTCAGCTAATTCGATTTCTTCTCCCTCATTCATAAACATCGTGTTTGTTTTCGGCTGCTGCTCCACCATCATACAGTAAAAATAGAAGTATAACTCATCAATAAACCTCTAAAGCATGACTATTATCGAATGGCGAGATTCCGGGGAAATCTACCCAAAAAGTAATTAATAACATTTTAAAAAATTCCCTTCTTTCCTAAACAAAATACTTAATCTACTCAATCCAAGTCCGAACAACCAAAAAACAGTAATCGCTGGATGGTAACATATGACGAATAACAAACATAAATAAATCAGTAAATAAAACGATCATCATCTACCACAGTAAACATATGAGAGAATACAGAACACATTCCACCCTAATTTTTTTCAAAAATAAAAAATAAAAAATCATCACCCACCACTGATGAAGATTATTAAACAATCAAAACGAAATAATCGTATCAAGAAAAAATAAAAATACACTAAAAAAAATCACAGAGCAATAACTGAAATTGAAAAAGAATAATACTACCACAACTACATTAATAAGGTTTAGTCAGAAGTGAACCTGTGAACTTGAAATCGATGCCATGGACATCTGAGGCAGGCCGAGTGGAATTAAACTGTGGAAATATAGAACGGCAGGTGCTGAAGGTATTGAAACGAGGAATATTTGAGGTGGCTCGTGCAGTGCAGAGCTCCATTTTTTCAGTTCAAATGTTTTTTGTGTTGCAACAAAAAAAAAAAAAAGGATGTGGAGTAAATTGCAGCGGGGGGTTTATAAAGCCAAATTCTGTACTTCTAGGGTTTTACCGGCGGCGTGGAGATGTAACACGTGTACCCCAGCTGAGCAGTGGCTTCTTTTTTATTGGGTGGCACGAGAGGTGGGAAAAAAATAGAGTAATTTTTATTATTTTTTATTGGGTGCTTTTGTTTTGGAAAATATAGTTATAGTTTCTTTTTAAAAAAACATATTTTTCAAAATTTTATTTACTAAATGAAAATCCAAAGAATTGATTACGAAAAATAATATTTAAATTAAAATTTATACGATATATACATTTTTAAAACATGTGAACATTTGAGATCTGGTTGAATGGTTTCAATGAGTGTTTCTTGTGTTGAGGATATTTCATGGGATGTGGTCTTAACATGGCCTATGATTTTAAATGGATCTCTTAAAGGCTAGAGCTATAGGTCCAAAAGTCGAATCACACTTGTATAACAAGGGTTTTTTTTTTTTTTACACAATTATATGTGAAATTTAATATTCCTTCTATCCAAAAAAAAAAAACTCATATTAAATTTTAAAATTTGTATTATCTTTATACAAATCTGAAAATTTATTATTAATTTTTTTTGTTTAAGACAGAAGGAGTATAATAGATTCTTAAAGAAAAAATATTACTTCATTATTTTGAAAAAACTATTAAAATATATTGGTTATGTTAATTATCTTCTAAAACTTAATATTTCCTCAATCTCAAAATAATCGTATGGTTTGTAAATTTATTTTTAGTATTCCATTTGTCCATAAAAAATACACTTTAATTTGTGAGTAGTAAAGTATTTTTTAAGATAGAGAGAGTTCAAACGAAAATTGAAACATGAGAATCATTCTGATAAAAAAAAAATTAAAAAGGAAAAACAGTATTATTAACAAACACTTTTGAGATGTGGTGATCAGTGATTCAGCCCAAAATTCTTGCACTCAAGTAAAACTCTCAAGCAACCCGTTTAATTGAGCTTCTTGGTCTGATCGTAAAATCGAAAACTACCAGGCCTGGGTTTCCAAAGCAAGCCCTTTTTTAAGTTTTTGCTATATTATGGGCCTTTTGCTGTAAATTAATCACCCAGCCCATGGAGATCTGGATTTGTTTGGCACCGCTTGAAAATCATACAGAATTTATCTTATTTAATGCAGGATTTTAGATGCACAAACATTTTAGAAAGGGAAAAACTCAAGATTGGTCCCCAATGTTTAGGGGTAGCTTAGGTGGGTCATCAAAAATTTTTGTTCATTGGATTTAGTCCCCATCTTTATGTTTATTCGACACCAGTGTGCATATGACGGAAAATTTCATTGAGTTGACGGTCGACTAAAAGATTTAGTCAACTATTAAATGTTTAATTAATTTTTTTGCTGATGTAGATCTCATAATTCCTTAACTTCGATTTCTTTTTGAAAAAAAAATCCTTGCAAATATATAACCTGACTCTTTGACTCTAGGATGCCCGTTATCACCGTTCTTGTTCATTTTGGCTCAGCAACCCTTCTTTTCCATCCTCCAACATTATGCAGGCAAACGGATAGGCATTGGCATTCAGGTGGCAAGAAAGGCACCGGTTGTTTCTCACCTTATGTATGCAGACAATTGCATATTATTCACCTCGGCGAAGGCCACTACCTTTTTTCTCCTTGCCCGTATCCTAGATGGCTACTGTCGTCATTCGGGTCAGCGTTTGAATTTTGATAAATCTTCTATGGTTTTTAGCCCAAATACACCGTTGCATTTGCAGGGATTCTTCTGGAATGTTGTCCACATTGAGCAGAATTATCAGTCAAATCGCTACCTTGGGCTGCCACTTGATGTTAGTCATCACCGTAATACTATATTTTCTGACCTCCTACACCGAATATAGCGAAAAGTAGCTGTCTACAAGGTTGACTCTTTGTCGGTGGTGGGAAGGGTGGTGTTAGCTCGCCATGTGCTATGTTCACTCCCTATATACACCATGGAAGCTTTCAAACTTCCTGTGTCCACTTCTAGGGCGATTGACAAAAATTTAGCACGTTTCATTTGGAATGGTGATCGAGATGGCCGTGAGCTCCACTGGAAAGCATGGTCGACGGTTTGCAAATCTCGTTTCCATGGGGGCCTTGGTATGCGTTGCACTGAAGGGATGATAGAGGCACTTCTTGCTCGCCTTGCATGGAGGATGCTGAGACATCCTGATGCTCTACTCTCCCGTATTGATGCAGCAAAGTATTGTCGGCAAGATGACCTCCTCTCAGTTCAACCAGAAAAGAATGCCACTTGGGGATGGCTTGGAGTCCAATGGGGTAGAGACTTACTGAAGAAGGGCCTCAAATGGCAAGTCGCGAATGGCCAGCGGATCCCATTTTCAGCAAATTGGATTCCCAATTCACCTGATCTGCTTGCTTTCTACACTTCGCCGTCCCTCCTTTGGTATCCAGCCTCATTGAAACAGGGGATGGTGCATTCCTAGCTTGCAAGCATTGTTCCCTGCTCACACTGTCCACCAGATTCTACGTATCTATCTCCCTCCACCTGGTTCTCTACATAGGGATAGACAATTTTGGGCTTTTGAAGCCAGTGGTGAATACACTGTTCGTTCTGGTTATCATCAGGCTTGCAAGTTACGGTCTTGCTATCAGGCCAAACCATCTACTTCTACCTCAAGTTGCCACATCCCTTCGCTGATTTGGAAGAAACTTTGGACAGCTGACGTGCCAGAACGAATTAAATTATTTCTTTGGCGTGCTTTGTCAGAAGCTTGTCCCACTCTTCAAGTTCTAACCCGGCGTGGTTTTTCTCCGGCTGGCCTATGTGTTCGATGTGGTTTGAAGGAAGAATCAATAAGTCACATGCTACTGGATTGCGACCATCCTCGCCTTATTCGGCGTTTATCTCCCATGGGATTTGACTTTACATCTGGGACTGCTTGTTCCTTTGCCGACTGGTTTGTTCATTGGATGGAGCAGGCCCCAATTGATGACGTTCGTTCTCAATCCTTATTCCTTCTGTGGGAAATCTGGAAAGATCGTAATTGTCATGTATTTGGCGAGGCCGACCTTCCTCCTCCTCACGAGGTCGTCTCCCGAGCCCTCCGGGAATATCACTCTTATTCTCTTCGTCCTGTGACAATTCCTTTTGATCCGAGAGGTAGTAGCGCCTCAGAACAGGCTGATTTGTCTTAACCATCCCATTGTCTACAGATAGATGGTGCCTTTTCGTCGTCTTCTTGCATAGCTGGTGCCGGTTGGGTGTTTTTATCACCTGGAAGGGATGTAATTCACTTAGGTAGTTGTTCCTTTCTGGCGAATTCTCCGTTGCAGGCTGAAGCTTATACCTGCTTTGTTGCGTTATCCATAGTGGATTCCATAGTTTATCCGGAAGTTGTCATCCACACGGATTGTTTGGTGTTGGTTTAAATTCTCTGTCATCAGCGAGACCCTCCTACAGAACTAGTTTTTTTAATTGATAATATTAGGTGATATTTATGTTCCTTTTCTGTTTGTAGGATTGTTAAAGTTTCTCGTTTGCAGGTATCTAGGGCACATGTCCTTGCTGGCCAAGGGTGAGTTATGAATGATGTATCTGTGTAAAGTGGTTCTCTGAAATATATATATAAGCACATGGTGCTGGTTTCTCAAAAAAAAAACTCTTTGACTTGAAATTTATTTATTTATTTTTTTAAAAAAACATAAATATCCAAAAACTAAAAAAACCATTCCTCTTTCCTCTTCCTCTCACTTGTCCATTCCCCTTCCCTCCTCTGAAATGTTTTAGGCAGCAAATCTTGATTCTCAAGTTCCAATTTCGAAACTTTAAATGAGTATTTAGATAGATGTAAAAAGTTTGAGTTTATTTCTAAGATTGAATCTTTAGTTTTCAAGAAAGTTCCAAGAGAGCAGCATCAAAGAGCTGCCAAAATACCAGCAGCGACTTAGGTAGATTGATTTGCTTCGGTTTCAAAAAAGAATCAGTTGAGTTTACTACCAGATTTAGCAATGGCTATGTGTTGGTCAACCGGAATTGAGCTATGGAAACAAACCATTTAGATTGGAAAAATCAAAATAAATAACAAACGATACAAAGATTGAATCTTTTCAATTGACAAAAAATCACCAATCCAATCACAAATTTTGGATCAGACCCACGATTCCAACATCAATTACCCAACCCAATAGAAGATTTGAGATAAAAGATTAATCTTCTTGTTTCACTACGCCTAAAAGATATGAAATTTGTCGGCAACCCACAATGTGAAACAGGGAGGTGACAATGAGGAGGAAGAAGCGTAGGAAAGGTAAATTGAAAAGAAAATAAAGAGAAATGCATTCAGTAATGTGAATCCTTCAAATTCTAGTGGGGGAGGTCAGGTTCAATTTTTGAATCCTGATTCGATTCCTCGTTTTCGATTCCAGTAACCAAACACCAATAAAGGCAATGAATCCATTCCCTGAATCCAATTCCAAACAAAAATCATCTTCATCAACGAGAATAGGAAAGATGAAGGTAAAAGAGGTATGCGGGGTGGTTTCAGGTATATTTGGGAGATTGGAGTCTGGGGTAGGAAGTGGAGATCAGCGACCGTGAAGGAGGAGGGGGAATGAGGGCTGCCATTGTTAGAGAAAGGGGAAAGAAGGTTTCGTAGTTTTTAGGTCTTTGTTTTTGTTTTTTGTTTTATTTTTTAACAATTAAAATCAAACTAAAAAAATATAGACCCATCAATCAAAAATTAATTAAATATTAAATAGTTGACTGATGTTGCCGTTGACCGTTAACTTTATGGAAAAATCTACCAAATGTATCTAACTGTTGAATAAACTTAAAGATGGGGACTAAAACCGTAAACAAAAATTTTTGATGACTCACTTGAGCTACCCCTAAACATCGGGGACCAATCTTGAGTTTTTCCCTTTTAGAAATGAGCCAAAAGGGTTGTAATAGAGTGAAAGGAATTCGTCCACTCTTAAACAAGTTCGAATCTCGTCATAGACATGAAACTTTTTTAAAACTTTTAATCCGTTATCCTACTATTAAAGTGTCTATAATTTAACTGAAGAATTAGTCATTGTTATTGATAAGACACATTCTGTAAATATAGAAAAAGAAAACTAATAAGCCCCGTTAAATTAATAAAGGGAGATATTTTTGGAAGGCCACTACTAAGAGCCCGGATCATATATGAAGTTTCTAGTTGGGCAGTCATTTCCGACACCAAGTATATATAACACACTAAGAAGATAAACAATCTGGAAGGCACCGCCGTGGCAATGGATCTGTATCAACACAGATGGTGCAGTCACTTCCATCTTTGAAAACACCGCTGTATGAGGCATTTTAAGAAACCATGAAGGGTTATAGCTCTCGGGTTTTGCTACTAATATAGGTTATTGCTCAGTTCTTGAAGCCGAGTGCTGGGGAGCTTTTTTTGCACTACAAATAGCATGGCAGCTGGGATTCAAGAAAATCCTTCTGCAAATGGACAGCGAGCATGTTGTGAAGAACATACTCACTAACGACCCACCTTTGTTTTTAGCAATATTATTTATCGAATCGAATCCCTCCTTGACTATCAATGGCAAGTTGAAACTTTCCATATAAAACGAGGGAATAAAGTAGCTGATTCTTTAGCCAAGTTAGCCTTGTCATTAGATCTGGGGTTACATATTTTGACAAACCTCCCGAGTAGTATATTAAAGGATCTAGTTTTTTATTGTTTGTCTCATTTTTTAAGTGTGTATTTTTATTTCGAGCTTTCGGTCCCTTAGTATATATATATATATATATATATATATATATATATATATATGAAAAAAGAAAGAAAAAAGATAAACAATACTTCCACCTACAGTCTACCACCAAATGGACTGTAATTTCTTCAACAGTTTAGTCAATACAGAAATGGATATTTCCCTTTGTTACTCTCAATTTTCATAACGATTATCACAAATGTCTAATTAGTTCTCATTTGATTATCAAGCCTTCGGGACGTTCATACATAGTACCGGCAGTTCCTTAAAACATTTGATCAATCCTAACATAATTACGATACAATGTGGTGGAAATTCTTTTGTGGTCTGGTTGAGGTGGGGTGGTCCAAGTACCAAAGAACACCGAATGGTCAACAATGAATGCTGAAAATCACAAGAGAAATGATTTTGCTTTTGCAGGGTATATATATATATATATATATATATATATATATATATATATATATATATATATATATATATAAGCAATTTCAATACTCTCTCTCCTTAAGAAATTGCAGATGATTAAGTTCATATAAATGTACAATTAAGTACCATGCAGCCCTCGTCACGATCCGAATCATATCATTTTTTTTCTTTCTTTCTACAGCATTTTGATACCCTGCGATAAGCAAGATCATGTGTCTTGATCGAGCTTTTGACCATGACTACCAAAAAAAAAGGCCAGTTGTCCTTGTTTCGCCCTGAATTGTTACTATAACCCTGAATATGTATGGCTCCAGACGTCCTTGATCCAAGCATTTTATTGCATCATTTCATTGTCTAGCTAGCTTTTCTTTTCCCCCAATACTCGTGTTTTTGTCTTTCTTTATGTTTTGTTCGTTTTTCCTGCTGTTTTACCCCCAGTGTACGTAGATGTAATAATAAATATCTTTGTGTGCTGGATGGGTGAAAATTCATCCGATGTAATTAATCAAATTTAAGGCATGGAGGGCTTGGTTAAGGGACAACTAACCTGGAAAACGAAAAATATGCAAACAACTTGACCATTATATGAACACATATATGTGAAGTGAAATGTAAGTTACAATTTGCACCTCGAGCACATACTTGACCACATACACATTTACCAATTAATAATAGGGCTCACCAAAACAACAAATTAATATCACAAGACACTAATACGTCGAATTGGATAATTAATTAATTATGTTAAATTAACAGTCTGTAAGTATCCAATGAAGAGGTATACGATGGGAAGTCAGTGAAACAAAACATTTTACTATCTTCGTCTTAAAGTAAGCGTTTTGTTAAACAATCATATATAAGAAGAGTGTTTGTACGCTAAAAATAATAAAGGAATAGTACTCCCTCTGTCCCGAAATTATTGTCCAGTTTGAAAATTTAGTTTTAGTTCATTTTGAATTAGAAATGAAAACTCAAATTGAACAATAATTATGGGAAGGAGGATTACCTAATATTGTTTTTTGAAGAAAGCTAACACATACCAAGGCCGATCTTGTGGGTGCTTTTGAGTTTTGATGCCGAGGCACGGCGTTGAATGGAGCCACGGGGTTTGAACAAGCAAAATCATTAATTAGTTATTTCCAAATGAAAGTGGATCAGGTTTGGTTCCAAAGAAGAGCTCGAATCTCTAACAAAATTACGTTTCTTTTCTTTTTTTTTTTTTTTCTCCATTGTTGTGTTTGTTATTTTTCTTTTTAATATTTTGTGGGTTTAGGAACAAAATTTGGGAGGATGGGGTTTTGGACCACTGTTAGGCTAATGCATGCATATCGACAGAGGCTTTTTTTTTTTTTTTTTTTGTGTACACGATTAGTCATTTAGAATCAATACTTAGAGAGTGCAAAAGGCTGACCGATGGCGGCTTTACAGATTTTAATCTTTATTTGTTTGTTTAAATAACTTACTTCGACGTGTTTGTTCTTTGTACACGTGAATTGGCCGCGATGCTTTTTTGCAAAAGTGATCGCTAATATTTTTTCCTCTATCCAAATTCCAAAGTATTTTAGAAATAAAAATCTTAACAAGATAATTATTCAGGTGTATTACAAAAGTGAATTTTTTCTCTTTTACTAGATTGATCATAGTTGATAAAATCTCGAGTCGCTAAAATTATTTTAAATATATTGTAGATCTGTTATTCGCTATTTGTAAATAAAGTATCAATGACTAGAGTGCAACGTTTAATTAACACACTGCTCAATCAATCATGTGATATTTGTTTGCTTTGTTAGTATATGTTTATAATAATAGAAAACAAGGATCAACCGTATTACTAAATTATCTTTTGTTATCTTGGCTAATTTGATAGTGAAAACAACCATTATACAAAACAATGATCGATGATTAAGCGCAATGATTACAACTTCTTTGTGAGTTCTCGTAGCAGATTTCTTTGCTGTTAGCTTTGCAATGAGCAATTACAAGTGAGGGTTCTATTAATTTTGACTAATTTGATTACTAAATTATAAGATGACCATGTACTGTGTATCTCAATCTCCAACGAATAAAGACGGTAGGTTATTAGAGCACAATGATTAATGTGCGACAGTAAATTATTTTCTCATGATATGTTGGATGGTTGGATGTGATTGTCTTCTTTACTCTCTAAACAATTATTATCGTAGTACACTGATAGATTTATTGTCATGTAATCAAGTTGCAATATTATGTTACTTTTCTTATTGGATGCCAAATAATTGGTTATTCAAAATGTATCATGGATGAGTGATAATTTGTTTGTTTTTCCTTTAACGAAATCACGAAAATTAACTTCAAAATATCAGAAATTTATAGTATATATCAAACCCTTGAATATGTTTTTTGTAACTGTTGGACACATATCAAGTTACTATTGTACACCTTATTCTAACAATGAACTAAGAATGTTTAAAACACCAGTGATTATTAAAAGGACAATTTTATTATTGCCATATTAAAATTCAAGACACCATGTGAAAAAGATTTACTCTTAGTTGCTTCTACTTTCAATAAAATTTAATTAGAATAGTTTTGAAAAATATAAAACTGTAGAATTTGTAACCTCCTCGGTCACAGTTGATAATAAAATATCGTAAATATAAAATTTGTTTTAAGAAAATCCTTAAGGTACATATAGCTTCATAAAAACACTTAAATTCTTTATTCTGTAACAATGAATAGTAACAAATTAAGAAATCAATCCTTAATGTTTAAAAAAGTACACAAGATTTAGCATTGATTTAGTAAATCAGCTTCAAGGGTTATGAAATAAATACATAATCCTTCAATTAAATCTTTATTATTAACTATTGCATCATTTCTGCGGTAACAAATTGGTAAAAAGAAAAAATCACCAATATTGATTGTCCCACCACCCAAATCTTCCCAAATTACAAAGAGGCATTATGAATGTCTATTTTCCACAATATAATTGCCAACTGCCTCACACTACATTTTCAGAGTGCCCTCATCAATTTTATTTCTCTTTAGTTTATTTGTTAAAAAAAATTATGTATTGTATCTATTATCAAAATAATATAATTCCTTTGGTGTCGCTCGGGAATATTTATGATTAAAATCGTGGTCACTGATATAATTTGTAAATAACAATAGAGTTAATTTGCATTATCTGATAGTGTCTGACCGTGCAAAATCGGGAATATAATGTATTTTACTTCTATTTTTATTTTGCGCCAAAATAAATCCCCAATTTCCACATGCTATTAATCCGATTTTCAACTCCTGGCTAAAAAGCATTTTCATTAATCCTTAATAATTTAATTAATAATTATCAAGCAAAAAAAAATATTAATGTTGTATTTTTATTTTTCATTTTGTGTAGTTAGTAAGTAGTAATCCACAGGGCCAACAATCCACAGCCTCCTCCCTGTTTCTCTCCTTTACCCTAAGCGCAGATGTAGACTTCCTACATAAAGCTCCTCTCATTGGAACAGTTTCTCCATCCCTTCTCTTCACACACTCACACACTCACACAGCCACGATCTTTAGGAAATGGGTTTTATCTAAGAGCAACAATGGCAATCTAAAGAATGCGAAAAACGAGGAACAGTTTCTTGCCTAAAAATCCCATCTTTTGGAGATTTTGATTCGATTCTCAGTGAGAGCAGGTTCATCTGTCCTGATTCAAAGATGGATGAGGACAGCTTTGACCGTGTCACCTCGGACCTTATCTGTTCAGAGGCTGACCTTGATGATCCTGAAACTGTGCCTTCGATTACTGATGATAAGGATTGTCAGAGCAGCGCTGATAAAGCTTCAAGCTTTGGCGGTGGCGGATCAGATTCAATGATTGCCTTGCCTAGCCTTAGCGATGGGAAATTTGCTCTGATGGTTCAGGAAGAAAAGAATTATATGCCTAAAGATGATTATCTTGAAAGATTGAGGACTGGGGACTTAGATATGAGTGTTAGAAGGCAGGCCCTTGATTGGATTTTGAAGGTCTGTTCATTATTTTGGTAAACTGGGTTTATTGGGTTTTTTTTTTTTTTTTTTTGTGCTTCTTCTTGATTTGGTTTCAGGAAAATAAATTTTTTTTGAACCGTTTTTTCTATTTTTTCCTGAGAAATTATGTTCCTGCATTTTGAGTTTAGCTGGACTTTCATTTTGAGCAGAGTGGGTATTTTGACTGTTTGTCTCATTTTCCTCCTACTTTAGGAAATGTCGGTCTTTGGCCTAAATTTCTCAATTGACTTCCTTAAATAGGCTCGTTTTATTGTTTGGATGGTCTTAATTATTTTCCCGTGCTTTAATTGGAGGCTGCGAATCTGCCATTAGTTGATCATCATCACATGTTATAAACATTCATTTGATTCTGCGATGATTCATCGCCTAATTTCAGGAGCAGTAAATTGGAATGTTATTTACTTCTCGACTTGTCATTACTCATTTCCTTTTTTTCGTTGATACAACATTGTCATGCTTTGTTGCAATTATTCATAGCTATCAAGCACTTTTATTGTGATTCTAATTTGGTTTTTTAAATTAGTTTTTTTTTTAATGTTTTTGTAATTTGTGTTTAACAGGCTCATGCCCATTATGGTTTTGGAGAATTGGCATTTTATCTGGCGATGAATTACTTGGATCGATTTCTTTCAGTCTTTGAATTACCTGTAAGTTCAAAAGAGGGAGCAGTAATGTTCCACTGCATCAGCATTGCGAAATTGCTGTAAATATCTCTGTTGATTGTCGATTTTGCAGCTAACACCTCTATAATATGTGTATGACCAGGGAGGCAAAGGTTGGGCAGTGCAGTTACTAGCTGTAGCCTGCTTATCGCTAGGGGTGAAAATGGTGGAAGTCGAAGTCCCGTTGATTGTAGATTTACAGGTGAAGGAAGCAACTTTAAAGTTAAATGGGCTTATGTTGCTTTAGCTGTTGTTTCATTCAATTGTGCTTTTGCATTCTAGATATTAATTATGCCATTTGATTGCTCCTTGTCCGACAAATAACAGGTTGGAGACCCAAAATTTGTTTTTGAAGCTAAAACGATTAGAAGAATGGAGCTTTTGGTGCTGAGCAACCTGAAGTGGAAAATGAATCCTTGTACGCCTTATAGCTTCATAGACTATTTCCTGAGGAAGATCATATTCAATGCTCCTGCTGATCATGATGATGACGATCAACAACCAAAACCACCACCCGATGGAGGTTTGATTGGAAAAGCAGTCAAACTGATCTTATGCACCATTAAAGGTTGTGGTACTTAATTCTATATTTGTCCTGCCTTGTAATTGGATTGATTCTCTTGTCCTGCAATATTGGTCCAAAAGTGTTTGATGCAGTTTTGTGGGTGGGAAAATTGAATGCAGGTATTGACTTCTTGGAATTCAAGCCGTCTGAAATTGCAGCAGCAGTGGCAATACTTGTTGCTGGAGAAACAACACAGGCAGTAGATATTGAGAAGGCACTGTCCTGTTTCATCCAAATAGAAAAGGTAGCAGTAATATCAGTGGTGCCCACTGTAAAGAAAATTAGATTCGACTACTGTCTGAAACCAATTTTTTTTTGTTGCCTTGCCCATTGGCACATTACCAATTATGTTCAAATTTAAGCAACATTGGTTTTGTTTTTTTTTTTTTTTTGTGTATATTTTCAAATTTGCAGGAGAAAGTGATCAAGTGCCATGACCTGCTGCAAGATATGAGGTTGATGATGAAGGTTGCTGGCAGTAGTTCTGGTAGTAGCAATGGTAGTGTACCCCAGAGTCCAATCGGGGTACTGGAAGCTGCATCATATTTGAGCTATAAAAGTGATGAGAGAACAGTTGGGTCATGTCCAAACTCTTCAAATAACAGTCCAGACACTAAAAAGAAAAAAATTGACACAACATCATCACCATCATCATCTTCTTTTGCCAACAACTCTCAAAAGTCATGAGATGTGAATTTTGTTGTTTATTTTGGCTTCACTCACACCACCACTTCAGTCCAATCGAAGTGTTTGGTTGAATGGGAACTTTTGGTGTGTTCTTGAAGCACAAAAAAAAAAAGGAACCCCCAAAAAAGAAAAAAAAAAAAAAAAGAGGCATACAAAATTACAAAAAGAGAAGAGGTCCCCCAACTCCCTTTGCTTTTGGCATGAAAAGAATTGTCACCAGCTGTGAAATTAATCTTGTGCTGTCAACAACAACTACAGTAAGCGCAAGGATAATTGTTTAATTAGATAATTATGGGAGAAATACAATTTTGTGGTAGTATAATGTTGTTATAATGGAGAGTTAGGAAAAATGTGAGGGAGAGGGAGCTGAAAATAGGAGGCAATATTATTTTTATTATTATTATTTTTTGTTTAAATTGATATTCATTATAGCAAATATTCAATAAGTTGTACAATATGTCTTTCTCCTGAATCAAGAAGATTTCTAGTAGTACTACAAATTTTTGTTTTCTGTCACATTTATCTTAAATTTGAAGCATGAAAAACCCTAATCTGTGTTTCTCGTAGCGTTTATAATTTGCACAGTAATTACCCTCGTCTTCGTTTTTCATTTTGGGATACAAAACGGGTCATTTTGGGCCTGAGACATGGCCCACAAGTGATATGATTTTGAGTGTGCGTATATATGACCAGTCAATATGTCTATTTTTTTTTATTTTTTGGCTTTTCAGATGTTGCATTAATTGGCGAAAAATAATGTTATGTGGCTTTCAAAACCATGGAGATATTTAATCACAAGAAAAAGAGAAAAACAGAAAAAGCAGATAAAGTATTGGAACCTCAAAATAATAACGTTAGAGATGTAGGAAAAAATATTATAAGCAATTCGGCACGATACGTTTTGTATTTATCTGAGTAAGCCCCTAGTTCCATTTCCTTGTAGTTTGGACTAAATTAATGTTGTACAGGCTTCAGTCTTCCACAATTTTCTACTTATTTTGCTGGTTATCTTTTTTTGTTTCTATATGCGGTTTGTTGACAATCAAACAACCGAGTATAGTCAAATTTGTAATGGAAAGATTAGTCAATAATATGATTTTGATCGCCCATTTCACTGTCATTAACATTAATATAGGACATAGTGGTTACTCGTTAGAATTTACACCTTTCATAAATGATGAACACGATCATTAATGTTAAATGAGGTGTTATTACATTCAAGGACAATTATATAAAATTTTGAAATGCTATTGTTAAAATTTAATCTTTGCATTATCCAGTAAACACTATTATTATCGTTAAAAGAAGTGTTTAATAGTCAATATCTTACCCTATCGATTCAATCTATGGAGTATTAAGATGTAGCCGTTTTGTGATCCGATACATAATAATGTTATTATCAAACGTGGCGAATAATTTTGCAATCAAAAACCCTCGTGGACATGGTTGAAGTTCACCGCATCAAGTTCCAAATGGATGATCTTTGATTTTTTTTTTTTCTTTTTCTTTATTAATTTTAATTTTGTTGTTCTGAGTTGCGGGAAAAATAGGTTCAATATTTAGTGTGAGTATTTTATATATGCATGGAAAAAGACCAATTAATAGGGGTGAGTGGACGTGACACGTATTGTGAAGAGTCTCCTATTCCCAGTTTCTCAGAGCACAGAGAATCAGCTCATGGAATCCTTGTGCGATTCACCTGTCCTCCTTCTTCTTCCCCTATTGCTCCTCCTCAAATCCCCTCAAAAACCCTGTATGATGTATCTGTTGACTCGTGGTCACATCAACGGTAAATTGGGTAGACAGGTTTCAGTTTCAACATTAATATCTCCCACCAGAAGTACAGATATTCTTTCTTTTCTTTTCTTTTTTTTTTTGATTAGAGAAGTACAGATATTCAATCGTGGGAATGCAAGGAAAACCCAACCTAATTAAAAAAGAAGTGAAACCATAAATTAACTTGCAATGATAAATCATAAATCAAAGAGGCTTTGGATATTTGATATTACTCCATCCGTCCTATTTCAATAATGTACCAGTTCCACAAAAGATTTGTCTACCGGCTCCAACGTGATATGTACAATGTGTAGTGAATTGCAAAAGAACATTTCAGTGAATTGGAAAAGAACATTATACTATTATAGTAATCGGGTAATTCTTTACGGTTCTAATACGGTCTTTAACGACAGGATTAAGTTCATGTTTAATCAGTTTATTATGGCCTAAGTACAAAGGATTTCAAGCAATTTATTTACTGCTTTATCACTCACATCAATCAGCTTTGATTGGTGACGCTGTTCCACGTAGTAAAAGATTCAGTAGAATTAACTTTGTGAGAATCAACTGTTTTTCTTCCTTGCTCGTAAATTGTAAATTTCCGGTTTCGACTTGTGTGATGTACAGAGCTTTTGGATGGCTGCTTCCTATTAACTTAGATCAACTAACACTTAATCTAAGGCAATTCACTCATCTACTCGTTGATCAAGAGGGAAAAAACAGTTTTCATGAAGTTTCAAATGCTAATATAAAAAAGATAATGAAGAACATGGGTTGAGTTGAACAACAAACAAAAGTCACTGAACAAAACTAATCGGTCTTCCCAAATTAGGGGAAGCTTTTATTGGATGAAACAGAACCGGTGTTACATGAAAAGACAGGTTGTAAGGAACTACAGTCGCAAGAATTTAAGAAGTTTGGATTTTTTTTCCTGAGTCTGAATTAACCTTGAGTTGTTAACTGAGGTTCCTGTTCAGAGCTGGAACCGTGATCCTCAACTATACATGGAAAGAATGTGGAATGTCCCGTGTCTATGATTTTATTGCTGAATTAATCGGCCCTTGACAGACCTCAGCCGGGAATTGAAAATCGGCTTCTGCTAATCTATTTTACATAAAAATGATAGGTGTACATTTTCTATAGAATGTGTAATTATCTGCCTGCGTGCATTAAATAAAATCAGGCTGGCCCGTCGATGTTAAACAACGGTGCCACATACGACTGTTGGGATCTACAGTTCTGGGTTGGGAAATAACTTCAGGAATGGGGAAGTAGACGTAATGTGTGTTGCATATCCCAACAGTGATGCCACTATATCCAGCAAATGCACCATGAACCTGCACAACATGCACCGTATTCATTCCTAATGTAAACATGTATTTACTAATAGATTAGGGCACTTGGTGAAATTTTGGTGAAATCTTGGGGGGAAAAAAGCATACTTCAAGTGAACAATATTTTGGGAAAGACAGACTTACAGCATTTTGGCCAAGAACTGTGCAGAGGATCCCATCAGAGGCATTAGCACGACATGCTCGAATCATATATGTAGGATCAATGTATTTCACATCAGCTGGAGCTCCCATCTCCTTAAAATACTTTTTAATCTGAAAGAAGGCATTCAACATGAGCTTAGGAGCATTTGCTATACATTACAATTATCCCAGGTCACGGTTGAAAATGCATAGCAAAAAGACCAAAATAAATGCACGAGTGAGAAAGAAGACCTCCTGTTGAATATGGACACCAATATCTCCAAGAACGACATTCCCTGAGGCATCTGTTGCATTAGTTTTCTCAAGAAGAGTCTGCAATGTTATGAGACACATAGAAATAAGATTGAGTTACTCTTAGAGGTGAAAAAGCTCCTTATAATACATGTTTATCAGGAAAATCTTAACTGAGCATTTAGATGTAAAACTATATCAAGCTCCTTATGCAGAAGTAACCAAATAGGTTTCCCTTTTGAAATGGTCTAAGAAGAAATCTTAAATAGAAATAACAATGTAAACCATATCGTAATTCCCATGTTCCCTTAGCAGCTGTACCCTGAATAATACTGTCATTTAGTGCCATCATATTTGCAAGGAGAGTCCTGGCAATCTACCAGTAGAGACTTCCCCCTTGGCATTAGGTCTTTCCAGTACTGAAATAGTCGACTAACATCCAGAAACAATTAGGGATGGCCAAATGCTATACATGATGACGTTAAACCATATGACTCCGAACTCGAGTCTAAGAAGAAAACTGTTACACAACTCACCTGCCCGGCACCCTCTGCCACACAGATCACAGCTGATCCTTTTGTTTCAAGGAGATACTTCAAATGGTTCAGTACCCCATGTGGTCCATGCAAATTGAAAGGTACCTAGGAAGTACAATGTACGGTCAGAATTTGAAGGCCCCAACCTGTTTACTAATTGACTATCCCGTGTTATGGTACCTCAGGTATCAAACATATATCAATCTGTCCACTAGCAAGGGATGCTTGCATGGCAATATATCCACTACTGCGACCCATCAACTTCACAACTCCAATTCCACGGTAAGCGCTATGAGCCTGTGAAAAAGTATCCACGGATCAGGGTAACTGGATTAATTGAGAAAAAGATTTGCATGAATGTGACGCCTGCATAAGCTAATGAGTTCAGGTCACCGCCAAACTAAAGATGACTGGATGCATACTTCTATATAAGCAGAATTGATGGCCCTCTGTGCTTCCTCAACAGCAGTATCAAACCCGAACGTTTTGTCCATAAGCATGATATCATTGTCAATGGTTTTAGGCACGCCAACAACAGCTATCTTCAGCCGCCTTCTACGACACTGAGTACAGATAAAGAAAGATCTAAATTTCAACTTCAACTTTGGAATTATAGAAGCATTTCAGCATAAGAAACAGTGAAACTAGTCACAGTCTGCAGACAAAGAGCAGGAAATTGATGGTTTGTTACAACAACAACAACAACAACAACAACATACCCAGTATATTCCCAAATGTAAAAAACATAGTTCGTAGAACCTAGAGATTGTAAGTTTCCACTTGAATTTAACACTCTATATCATAATCATCCAGAGCTTTTGAGGCTAGAACAGTCATTTATTACAATAACATGTCAGGAATATCAATATTTTCAGATTATTCCACTACAAACTTGAAAGGCTTGAAAATATAAAACAGAAAAAAGCAACCTCCTCATGTATTGCATTGGCACCAGCATGAGTACCGTTTCCGCCAAGTACAAACAGCATGTTGATCCCTCTTTCCTGACATTAAGTTCAAAAGATATCAAAATACTTCAAATTTTAGTTTGAGAGACATTAAATAGTTGAAAATGCAAGGTGTCTTGTGTCCAATTGGTACCTCCATACTGTCCACAATTTCAGAAACAGTCGGCCCGCCACGTGACACCCCCAGCAAACTTCCTCCAGAAAGATGAACGTTCTGAACTATTTTCCTTGATAACTAAAAGACAGAAAGATTTTATGATTATTGAAGAAAATTTAAAACAAAACTAGATAGGTATTAAATGAAAGAAACTGAGAAAGAAAAGAACAAATGCAAAATCATTCGCCATATAAAATCATAAATTAAGAAATTTCACATGCCACAGCTAGAAACTCAACCTCAGATATATCAGCAGAAAGAGTATTCCACCAAAAAAACAACGTTCAAATTTTGCATACATAATCTCTTACTAGTGAGGCCAGCTACACAGAACTCTTTTGACCATAGGGAGTAAAACCCTTCAGACAACACAAAAATTGAAGTAGGTGTCCCGAGGTCCATCAGGATCACATTTGGAAATGCATTTATGAGTTAAGAAATCCACGTCCGTTTTTTCTGATAAATAATAATCTGACAAATATAGGCATAACAGAAAATACATATATCTTCCTGATATCAAATTTTACCCCAGAAACCAGTATTGAGAATGAAGAAGAGTGACTGTGAACACGTCCATGCAATAAACACAGACTCCATCACTATTCACCACACAGATGGCCATATTATATGCACAGAGCCACTAGTCAGAACTGGATTTGGAGAAGATGGGACTTACTGGCATTTCAGCAAGATCTTTGTCACTAAAGCCGCGGTAACCAAAGGGAATTCCTACAATCTTCTTCACACCGTATATTTCAAGAGTGATGACGATCTAATGATGTTTGAGAAAAAGAAATGTCAGACAACAAAATAAGGCGAAGAAAATTCCCTTCTCAATATTCAAACTTTTGGACTACATGTATAAAAAATGTAAAGATGTTCATTGCACACTCAGTGGCATTTTATGACTCAAACAGAGTCGATCGCCAGGGGCAGACTACGCAAAAGTTTTACAATCTCTCAAAGAACTTTAATGAAAAACTTTTGGCGAAGTTAACGAAAATACCTCTCTATTTCCGTAAGAAATTTGGCCCATGCTTTGGATACAGTGGATGAAATATATAAAAAAATATTTAAAGGTCACAACAAGGTGGTGTGGACATGTTTGAGCCATTGATCTTTAAAAGGTGTTTTTGGTTGACAGCACTCTCTAGCTCTAGAGATTCTAGTCCTAAACTTTTACTAGCCAATAGTAATACATTTATGTCACCTGTCGGATCACATCATTGAGACCAGGGCAAAGTCCTCCACAAGTTACAATAGCTGCTTTTACATCTTCTGGCTTAAAGAAAATTTTCTCTCGAGGACCAGCACGGTGGACCCTGAAAGCCATATAAATATGTTACATTAGAACACGCTATTGAAAAGCTACATTTATACCAAACCCCACGTAGGAGAGAAAGCTACAGGGTAATTTATGACTGCTGCTACATGAAAGAGGTGTGTAACAGATGACAGTGGTACTACATATTGGCAAAAAAGGAAGAACAATTTATAGAGAGGATTATCAGACGCTGACAATTGATAGCTCAAGTTCATGTCCAAGGAAATGAACAGATTAAAATCTTAGTCGTACGCCATAAAAGTTTACTCTCTGAAGTTATAAGCCCAAGGGAAATAAAATTGAAAGACAAGCGCCTTGTGGTGTAACAGGGGGTTACAAAAGAACCTCTACTTCTCTAGATTCTTTTTATATTCATTTTTCTGAAGTACATACTGTTTCTTTACAGCTTATTGTCCGCAGGTGAATTCACAATTTTGTCCTGATGATGGAAAACCCAGCCATATCCAAGAATCAAAATTTAGGAGAAAGCAGTATCTAGTCAAGTCTGAGGAAAAAGCAGGAGGGAAGGAATCCCTCGTTGTTATCATGTTGGCATGGTGAAAGGAATCCAAGAAAGAAGGAAGGTCGGGTGCTGGTTCACAAGGAATTTATATCTAGTCCAGAGGCCCATGGAAGTACAGAAGAATGCATCCAAGAAATAATCAAATAGATAGTTGTCCTTGGAATCAGGAGAAGATGAACATTACCATTGCTCCACCCACGTACAGCCCGGATCAATGCACTCTGCACCAGCAGACGTGGGCGACGAATAATGTATAACCTGTAAAAGTTCACATATTATGTTAAAGCGCTTTTACAGCTGTGTAGCAACTACAACATATGCAAATATGTGCTAGGAAAATTATGCATTACTACCCTCCACTATTCAGATTCAAAGTAGCTAAGGGTTCAAGGCCAATTTCTTACTCTGATGCCTCCTAAATTGCTACATAATCAAGTACAAGAAAATGCCAAACAGTTTTTTTCAAAAAAACTTAATAACAACCTTTAATTTTATAATCATGTATCATGCCTTCAATAATCACTAAGACAGTATTTTTAACAGTTTCAAATTACAGCCCCTGATATGAGATCAATGCAGTGGATTAATAGTAATCATGAGATCAACTCAATAACAGAGGAACACATATCAGGACAGTTGAAGACAAGGAAGATACCTTCAAAAGCACCCTATCATTATTATTTATGTATCCGTGCCATTCCTCATCCGATGGATAACCTGAGGCAAATTTCTCTGTCACTGGTGTCCTGTGACAGGTGAATTAGGCTAGAGTTACAACACAAGAAAATACCACCTTCCTTAAGTGTGCTCATATTCTTAAACGACAAAATTTCTAATGGCAATCTCGATAATTGGTTAAAGCAAAAAGTCACATTCGTCCATTATAGAAGGTTCACCATTAAGTTACAATCGGTTGAAATTGAAAACACAAGTGTAATATTGAAGCGACACTAAATTATGCAGTAAGTAGTTGCAGAGCAAACCAACAATGGCAGTAAAAAGACAACTGACCTCATTTTAAGGCAGAAAGTGGAAGGATAGGAAATGGCGTCGGGGAAAACATCAGTCAAATGAGGAATATTGAAGCGAGCGGCGAATTCCTGCTCATACTTTGACTTCCAATCCGGATCACTAAAATCAATGCCAGTAGCCGTAGAGGGCGCTGCTGCTTTCACTCCAATCGCGATTGTCCTTCTCCGGAAATTCGACCCGAAAGTTAGGAGACGATCATGCCGATGAAGTTGGTGAGAAATAGAGGCGGGGAAGTATCTCGCCGGGAGTGTCAGCCGTCGTCCGATCACCGGCGACAGCGAGTCCATTAGAAATCACGTTGCTGCTTAACTTAAAGTGAACAAAAATAAATAAATTTTCACTATAAATTAGGAAATGCGGAGATGGAGATCGGAGAAGAGGTGACGGAGAAAGAGAGGGAAAAAAAAGAAAAGAAAATAAATAAAAAACAGAGAAGCTGTCAACTAAGAAGAATGTGGGACCCTGGCCTTTTATATAGTTTTACTTTTCTGGAGTCTTTTCTGCTCTTTGGTACTTTCAGCAAACACTTTCATAATATTCTGGAGTTTGACGAAGGACGGCCGCCGTTTCAATGACTGAATTGCCCCGTCAATCATCCCTCGTGCTACTTGTTATTTTCTCCATAGGGTTTTTTTTTTTTAATAAATTAACTTGCTAAAAAATAACTTACAGAAATAAATAGTAGTAATTAATTTAAGAAGAAAAATATTTATGACAAGATTATTCGAAATTTAATATGATAAGAATTTACTTAGAATTTAACGAAATAATCAATCTCTATTATTGACGCGAACTCTATGCAATTAAAGAGGACATGTTTTTACCCTTTTTTGGGAGTAATTGGATATTCATTCGTCCTCAAACAATGAACAATATTTTCATCAAGTATAAAAAGGTTTTAACTAAATTTTAATATTAGGTGGCATTTTTTTCTTCATTAGTGGGTGCCAAAGGGTAAAGATTGGGAACTAGATTCCCTGCCATCCCAACTACCATGAAACGTGCTCCAAAGACAATTCCTGAGTACGAATCTAAAACAAAGGAAATCGATTGGATATGGAGCGTTATTGTTCACTATCATTTCAAATATGCTATCTTGTCCTTTGGGTTCCCACTATTGTATATTTGTATTCTACCACCAAAACATTTGCTTTCTCAATCAACCAAGTTTTGAAATTTCAAATTCAAATGAAAAGAATGAAGTACAACAAGTATTAAATGAGTTGCTAAATGTTGACCATTCACAAATTCGTATTGATTTAAGCGGTGATCCAGAAATAGAAGGGCAAAGAAATATATTTTCATTTCGTAAAAGTGAAAAGGTTTTTAAACTAAAAAACCTATATCCTCCTTTAGTGGAAAAAATTGGGAGGCCCCCGTCTCCACCACTAGATTTAACAAGTCCGTTATACCTTTTCAAAAAAAAAAAAAATCATATTTTAGTTTATGAAGATACAATCTACGCATTACAACGTAGATAAGTAGTGATCCGGAACATGTTTCACTGTGAATATCTTTGAATTTTGTTGACAACTCGGTCTTTTAGAATGTTCAAGTTTCCAGAATCAAAAATGGAAGAACAGTCGTAGCCGATCACTTGCTTGTAGAACTGGAATAATAAATAATAAACAATAAAGATTCGCATCTTCGCCGTCACTCTTATAGCTTAATCTGCTTCATTAGAACAATTGTTAATTAGGGATACAATCCGTCTACTCAACCAGGAAACCGTACTCCCATGATTGCACATGTCATGCCGATGTCACTAAACATGCTTCAAAATTTTGTCACAAAGCGCTGAAATAATACTCCTCTCCTTGTCCCCAATTGATCATTGATCCATCAGTTGAAATTTTTATTTTTAATACAATTTTTATTAAAAGTAAAAGTTCTACAATGGATTATTTTTAAAAAATAGAGTTATGTAATTTAAATTTTATTTTGAGTACAATTTAAAAGTAAATTTTATTTATTTTTTTGGTACAATAAAGTAGGCGATTGCCTATTATTATTATCACTTTATTACAGCACATTGGTACGAGATACTAACCACATCATGCTCTAACCATGGTTTTAAACTAAATGGTGGATCATCTAACCACAATAGACCACCAGGGCCGGCGAGAGAGTCCGTAGCAAAGAAAAATTTAAAATGGACAATAATTTTGGATCATAAATAATAATATTAGGTATATTAAAAAAAAATCCATATTGAATTATATATTTACACTGTTTTTTAGTTCAAATTTCAGAATTGAATGTGGATTAGTCTTTTGGTCGGAGGGAATATGTTTTCGTTTCATTAAAGAACTAGGTCAGCGGGTGTCCTTAAGTGTATGTGTAAGTTAATGGCGCCAAACTGCAAAAGTATTGGTGGGCTGTCTATCTACAGACGAACGAGTAAAACAAAGGCCAGTTAGATTGTGGGTATCTGTCATCCTTCACCTAGGCCTGCCCTTGTTGTCACCACTGGATTTGGACATCCAAAGTTACGAATTTAATTAATTACGTTCTTCTTTCCGTTTCTGTTCGATCGGAAAGATCAACGTAATAATAAAGATCAGAGCTTTGATCGATATGAATTACCACTAATCATAAAGACCACTAAGAAGTGAAAATATCAAATTCAAGGCCATTTGGCCTATTCTTTTGAACGATTGGCTACTAGGCAAAAATAGGATAGAAAGGAGTACATAATAATATCGTTAAATACCGGGCCATGACAATTTACAGAACCATGCACGATCATTCCGGGGTGACCTTTTTAGATAAGATAGTAATAACATGACGTGAACTTACAAAACCCTATAGCTGGTGAGCAGTCAAAATTTCTTAATTTTATGAATGAGTAAAAAACTAAAAAAAAATAAACTTCAAGGAAACCTGAAAGGAGCCATAGAATTGCAAATCACCGTGGACATTCACATCAAACACATGTGAAAATGCTGACCCCATAGGGCCTTATTTTGATTATGCTTTAAGGGCAACTCAAAAATTTATTCCTTGCACGTAAAGCACAAAGTAAAAAAAAAATATATATTACTAACATTGATCTACTAGAAAAATTCCAGCCACATAATACCATTTTGTCCTAGTTCAAAACCCCTTTTCATTCTCTCAAATCTTACTTTGTGGGCTCAAATATTTGGCGCCTAAATTTGAATTAGACAACTGAAATAACCACTCAGTAACGTTAAATTTCTCTATTAAGCAGTTTTCACGTTCCATTTCATGTCATCTTCAATCACAGTAGACATCATTTTACGAATCTCAATCACCCTACACGTACGTATATAAAAGCAGTCCACCATGCATTAATTAGACATGCCCCGTATTGATTTCAATTGTGGTACTAAAAGTGATCTTTTGTCGTATATATTGTTGCAGATTTTGTTAGGTAGCTAGTGGAGAATTGAATCATGTCCTGGGAGGAGGCCAAAATTCGAGAGGAATTACAAATGGAAGTGGAAAGAGAGCTGGAAGAAGAAATCAAGGAAGGAATTTGTCACCTGGCTTTTAGGCTGCAGAGACTATATCAGCAGCAGCAGAAAGAGAGGAAGGCAAGAGGTATTAATAACACTTCCAAAATTCTTTCAGAGGTAAGCATTAGTATCAAACTGGAAGGCGGGACTAAGATCGAAATCAAGGAGATTAAGAAACAATTACCGCCCGAAAATCGCGTTATTCGGACTACTCCTAAAGTTGATTATCAAATGGCTCATGTGCAACGAATTATGGCTTGTCGACCTCCTCCCCATAGAAAGAAATTTGACTGGGCTAATAGCCTACGATCAGAACCAAGTGCTAAAAAAGTTCATTCTTCTTCTATGAGTAATGGGCTTGATGCTAAAAGTAAAATAAATGCTTGGAAGCAGAACAACTAGAAGTGATGGAGAGACTAATATGGCCGCTGTGGTCCGATCTTCATTGCACTTGATGAGACTGTATTTTGTTTTATTAGTACTTGTTCCTGTGTAACACATTCAAAAGCCTTTTTTTTTCCTTTAAAAATAAACCTTTTTGTATAGCTAGTTTCTCGAATAATGACGCGGTGACGAACTTGATTGCAAAATAAACATTTTGCACCAATGCCAAGTCGCCGGATTATTTGGTCATCAGCCAGCAGCGGTATGGCAATATTGCAATGTCCTTAGGATGATTTTTTTCACAAAAACAAACTTTGGTACTTCCTCCGTCCCAAAAATAAAATAAAATTTAACATTGTAATATTTGTATGTCAACTTCACAAATTAAGATGTGGACTTTTGAGTAATAATTTTTTTTAAGTAAAAAAAAAAAGATAGAAAAAGATGATACATTTCAAATAAGTGAAGCCCAACTAAAATCTCTGTCCTCGAAGATCAGTTTACGAGTTTCATTAATCAGTCCAGAGTCCAGACGCCGGAATGAAAGTAGTGTGTGTGTGTGTGTGTGTAGCTTTACAATGCTCCGTAAATATGTCGAGGCCCAATTCAGCCCATCTCAAAAATCATCTTTATTATTATTATTTATTTTTTAGGAAATAATAAGAATGCAAACAAATATGGTCTCTGAGCATAAAATATGTAGTCACTTTCATAAGATATGTTATAGTTCCGTGTTACAGTTATTGACACTAATTCAATTCTTAACGTGAATCCTTAAGACATATCCTAGGAAAGTGATTACGAACATAGCAAATATTAAACTAAAATCCTGAGAGATGGTAATAATATTTGCTCCGCAGTGCTGCAGTGTAACAATTTTTAATTTCCTTTCTTATGTATTGTACTAAAATGATTATGTGTGGTGAATGCGAAGTATGAATGAGGCAGAAAGGGGAGAGGGGCATATCGTGTCGGAATAATGCCCACATGTTTCATTTGGGAACATCAACAGAAGAATTAAAAAGGAAGAACAGAAGAAGAAAGAAATGGAATTTGTCAATTTTGGGGGGTTCAAAACTCAAAAGCTTTGGATTTGTCGACACTTATGGGAATGAAACTTATCCTCCCAATTGTGCCTGAATGTTTTGGGTAACATCTCACACCATCCATTATTAAATGGAAACACATGGTAGTAGACTAGTAGTAGTAGGCAGTAGCAATTAGGCTAGCCGAAGGATATGCCATCTACATTTTTAACAACACAAAACTGCAATACTTTCCTTCCCCATAAACACATAAAAACAAACGAGGCAACACAACAAAACTGATCATCAGAAGAAGGAAGAAGACAATTAACACTATCTGATTAATTAATTCACAAAATTCAGACCTTTTCCTTCCCTAGGCATTACGCATTCATCCGTCCATGATCCCAAGGCTAACTGACATATGAGAGGATGGAATATGTGAAATTATATTAATTATTTCCTTATTCATCTTTTTGTTATTCTATGGTACTAGTAGGATTAGGATAGGGATCGATGTTTACTGATTTTTTTCTCCCTTCTTTAGTTGTTAGGTTTGGAAGAAATGAAGGACTTAGTTCAACAAAGATGTGATTGGCAACTCTCATGAATTATACATGGCTGAATCCAGAAGTAAACTAATTGAAGATATTTAAGTATGTTATTTTTTTCTTCATACGAATTATGAATTTGAGTACCTGGGTATGTATATACTACAGTAATTAGATTAACTACTTAGTCTGAATATATATCTTTCACTTAAACATCTTCTACCCCGAAAAATTTGTCTAGATTAAGTTCTTAACATATAAATATATTAAAAATGAAAATACAAACTGAATCATTTTGAGACATAAAATGTACTAGTTGACTATTTTGTACTATTATTTAATTTTACTTTGTTTAACATGATATAAACAATAGTTGTTTTAGAGAAGTATAAAGTTATTTAGTAAAACATACATGGTATGCAGTAATGATATAATATCTCTATTTCAAAATTATTATCCAGTTTGAATTTTCACTTAAAATCACAAAATGAATAATAATTTTAAGACAGAGGGAATACAAAATAAAGTCACGTATCTTAATAAGTCAATTAACTAAAAGAAAAACAAATACTACTAATGTATTCACCTAGCTATATCTACCACATAATTTTTTTTATTAAAAATACATATACCAAATCATTACTAACTGCATTATTTATTGTACTTGGTACTATTTTTTGTTACTAAAAATAGAGTAGTATTATTGTGATACACCACTGAATTCATTACCTGCACATGACACATTAACTGTTTCAGAAGTCATTAGAATTTACATTGTACACATACATACAAAATATACGAATTGCCAAATATTGTACCTGCAATGGAGTTTAATGTTTCGATTTGAACAATGAATAATGTGCCTTTTTATCACGATTTTTTGACAGGACGAGATAGAGCGAATTCCATCCATCAAGATCATCATCAACTAGCTAGCCACATCGAGAGATCTCTCGATCCCTCCCACGAAGACAATTTATACATTTAATGGCTTCATATGTACCTCGACCCAGAATTTTGTAATGAAGGAAGAGAGATGATGATTTTCTCTCCGGCCATTAACTCTCACGAGATTCCCACCAGAGTAACCACGAAATCAAAGCGTAAACATGCCGGCATTTATGGTGCATATAGGAATATGACACGAAGTATATTTGGGAAGAGACCGGAATCCGGCCCGGGATTTAGTGTTGACTCGTAAGTCGTAACGTAAGCTTTCTGAGTTCCCCATTCCATGTTTTATGAGTATCAATTGATGCTTTCATCATCACCATTTAGTTGCACAGAATATGAACAAATTTGCTAAGGTCTCCAAGTGTATAAAATGATGAATTAATCTCAACAACGGCAAAAAAGACGGTGTAAAGTGACCAAACTTAGCCAATCGGTAAAGGATTCAAACGTAAGGCACGATGATCAGTCAAGTTGCAGTTCAGCAATTCCTTCTCCACCGTCAACACCACAAATTGTGCCATTACAGTACTTTAATAAAGGACTAATAAATAACTTAAGCCTCTTCAGCCAAACCCTTAATTCATAACTGGGAAAAAAAAAATGCACAACATAACGCGGTTACATTTGTGCAAAATGCAAAGATGTATAGCAAGGATTCTGGCAAGAAATTTATTAGAATCCTCGAATCGATCCCAACATAAAAATGAAAGAAAGGTTGAAACATTCGACACTCTTCAACTAGACATGCTAAACTTAAAACATGAAAACTACACGAAAAGGACGGCAGAAAAGGCCAACAAGATTTCCAGCAATAGTTCATAGAAAAAAAGGCTACAAGATCCAGAGAATGAATGGTTTTTCGCCATAAAAACCGTAGGAACGAGCCACATCAAAAGCAAATGAAATTCGCAGAAAGCCCTAGCTAGCTCTAGCTCTTAATCATTTTTGGGCACCAGAAGAAGTACTAATAATAAATATAATCCCAGAATCTCCCCATCTCAATATTCTTATAGCTACTTATAATTACAAAATGGCCATAAAATATAATAATAGTAGAAGTAAAATATGGCTGCAAATATGATGTGATAATGATAACCACCACTACGAGAGACATTTCCTCTTCATCCAACCGATTTTCTTTTTTCTTTTTCCTCTTTTTTTTTTATAAAAATTATATTTTTAGGGTTTCTTACCAAGAGAGTGCTTGTTGTTATGCATCCAGACTTTGAGCACGTGTCTCCTGATCCCAAATTCATTGCAGAATTCCTGAATAACTTCCTCGTCTTGCTTCTGGATCCTCCACCCAAGCTTCTCCGCCAATTCAAACATCTTCTCCTTCTGCTCCGCCGTGAACTTGGTCCGAAACCTCTTTCTCGACCCGGAAGAGCTCAGTCCTCCACCATTATTACCGCCGCTGCCGTTGTTCATCATGTTGGAGAAGTCCTCCATCTCCTCCTTGGCTCCTCCGCCGGAACTCGAAGGTAAGGCCAGCGGCCTCTGCTGGGCCGGCTGCGGCGACACGTGGAGGTACCCAGAAGGGGTCCTGTAAGTCAGCATCGGCGGCGGCGGCGGCTGCTGCTGGTAGTGGTGGTGCTGGTGGTGATGGAAATGGAAAGGGTCATGAGGATTGATTATTCCGCCGGGGAGGGCTTCTTTGCGGTGGAAGTTGCGGTGGCAATTGCAGGCGGCGCATTTGAGTGCGTCCAGAGTTCCGTCAGCTCCGGCGGGCAAGAACTCCCCGCAGCCGTCCACGGCGTGGCCGCCGATGGTGACGGCGTGGTTCTTCAAGCATTCCCGGTACCGGGGCTTCCGTTGGGAAGTTGGCTCGGCGGACATGTCAACCGGGCTAGTGGGCATTTTTGTGATGACCCGACCTGAATTGGAGTTGGGTAGGACTGAGTCGAAACTCGAGCCAAGCTCCATCTCCACGGCCTCATTCTCCTCTTGATCCTCGAACTCCATGATAATTTTCTGTTTTTTTTTTTTTTTTTTAAGCTAAATTGAACAAACTGATAATTATCTCTCAAGTATAGTACTTTATCCTTCTATAAATAGTTGAGTACTATTAGTACTTCTTAGTTAACCCTAGAATTGAGAGCTGCCACTGTCAACTTGGAAATGCCGGTTTCTTAAGTTTATAGAATTGTATAAACGGAAGTTGTAACTTATATATATGGACAAAAATTGTGTACAGTAATCTTTTCTGCTTCTCCCCATAATTTTTTAATGTATATTTAGAACCTGAAAAATATCTATTCTGCTTAACTAAATACAAATGCACTAAGAGAACGACCCCCACAATCTTTTATAATTATCTTACAAAGCAAACCATGTACTGTATAGCATGCAGTTCATTATTATATTTCGAATAATTTACTTTAAGTATGAGAATCATCCATGAATGATGATATGTATAGTTTCTTTCATTGGGTTTTAATTTGTTATCTGAACGACCATAATATTCATGTTCACATTTTCTTTGTTTTTGTCAATATATATATATATAAATAAAAAATTATAAGTTATGCGTTGATGGAAATTGCTTACTTACAAAAATGCAAAGCTTTAAAACTGCGTAATTTAAAACATTATTATACGAAATTAAGAATTAATCTGATCATAAAACAAGCCCGTCCTTGACCCAGGATAAATGAAATGATGTTTCTCATCTCGCTTGTATAAAATAGTACTTTAGATAGGTTCTGAACGGAAATGACTTTTTATCATATGTACTACTCTTTTTATTGTAACAAAAAATATCCAGGATTTTGAGAGAAGGGGTGTAATTTAATTCTTGTGATGCAGAGAATGTAAGAGACTCCTCAATTGAAAAGTATAACATGTCAATTGATATTGGCTCAAATTATATCAATGATCATATACTTTGGCATTAGACTATCAACCTTCACTCTGATTTTACATTTTATCGCCATCGTCTTCTAATTGTCGCATAAGATACAACTTTTAAGCAAACGGCATGATCTTTATTTCAACCTTCATTCATTTCAAAGTAAATGATCATATTCAATGACACTATTACTATGTAGTTTTTCTACCATAAAATTATTGGTTATTTTAGATTTTTATGATAAGTATAAATTGAATTAAAAATAAGAATTCACAATAAATTTGGGAGCAGATTTTATTATTATTATTTTTAATCAATTCTCATATTTCTCAGGTTTAAAATGGTATACATTGTGTACTTTTGATCTGACGACCAAAATTGAAGCCTTCCTTTACCGTTAATAGCCGGTGAGAGATCAGAAGCAAAGGCGGGTAAAATTGATACGACCAATTTTACCTTTGATCTCGTAGACGTGTTGTTTTTCACTTGTCACGGAATTGTTATAAAAGCTGTGCAGACTTGAAGGAGTAGACAGTAACAGTACAGTACTATGCAGTAGCATATTTGCAGAGAAAAATCAGAGAAACTAGAAAAGTGAAGAATACCATAACCCCAAAAAGAAAAAATTTATAAAAAAAAAACAACAAAGAGAATAAAGCCACGCGCTTCCCTCATCCTCTCATCATCGTCGCTCACTGGAAAGTCAGTGTAACTGATGTCTATAAGAGGGACCTAATAAGCTATCTCTCTCTCTAAAATAGTGCAGCAGTAGCTGGTGGCGCGTGTTAGCGGCGCGTTGAAAACAAGGTGATTTTCAGCAAACACATTTTTGTTTGTATCGGTTTTGCCTCGGGAGGAGATAGCTGGCGTGGCCGGGGGTTGGGTGTACTTTGTGGTAGTGGTAACTTGTAAGTCACTCAGACTGAACACCAAACTGAGGCTTTCAGTGTGTGAGTGTGTGAAAGAGAAAGAGACGGAGAAATGGGTGGGTAGGTGGTTTTCGTTTCTTTTCTTTCTGGCGGGTTGAATACGTGGGTTCGGGTCCATAGGGGGGAGCTAATTAAACACGGGTAACAAAAGAAGTAGGGGGACTAGTACTACCTAGGAAAGACATTAATGATGTCGGAATTGGGTTTTCAGAATTGGTGAATTTCATTTCACATGTTGACTGCAGACCTATGAGGTTTTTACCACGTAAGTATTTGATGGAAAATTTATCATTTATTTACATACTTGTGTGTTTTGTTTTATTAGATGATTTTTCATAATATTAAAATAATAATTATTTTATCTCAATATATTTTTTTATATTTTCAATATATTTTTTTATATTTTAATATAAAAAATATCTAAAAACACATAAAAAAAAAGGTACCTGTAAGTTTTAAAACGGGGATGACAAGCTCCGTCGTACTAGTGTAAATGTATTTGACTGGATTAAGATATGCTAAATAATGCTGAAAGCATCAATTTTTCTTATTTTTTTTATTCCATTCATTCTTGGGTTTGTGACATTTTATTTCTCGTGATATATAAAATTCAAACAGATATGTTTATGTTCTGAAATGCATGATTCTTATTATGTGAATGAATCTAGTACTCCCTCCGTCCCATAATTATTGTCCACTTTGCCCAAAAAATTTTGTCCCAAAATTATTGTCCAATTTAACTTTTTATGGATCAAGTTACACATTTGTCCTTAGTAAAAAACATTATCCATAAAATCTTAGTGGTTAAACAATTACTTATGTAGGGGTATACCCGGTTGTTTAAGGTAAAATATAGTTAAGTTTGATCAAAAATAAAATCTTTTATTTTAATATAATTGGACAATAATTATGGGACGGAGGGAGTATATGATTCAGGTTTCCTTTCAATTTTTTTCGATATGCTGAGTTGTGACTTGTGACACTCAGGCCACACTCAACCAATATCAGGCGCGATATAGCTCCAACATGGATTTCAAATCAAACCCTAGAAAACTCTCCATCATTCAATTATGAAAAGATAAGCTCAAATGATTAACCTCCTCGTATCCTTTATTAGAATCCAGCAAATTCAAAACTGTCATCGTCAAAGATTTAAATACCGGTGGAATTCGTCACTCCAAAATAAAAGTTTTATTCACCGTATTACTTTTAACTTTAAAAATTAACGGTTTATTTGGGATGGGGGAATCAATTTGAAGCCTCAACTGAGACTATTCATCAATTTTTAAAACACTTGAAATATGCCAATTAGGAGTTGGGTTCTAGTCCAATGCTCTTCAATAGTACGATAGTAAATAATAATCTCCATCTCATAATTATAATTCGTACAGAGTTTTGTATAAATTTCCAAACTCGATATTTAATTTAGTTTATTTTTTTTAAGATAAAAGAAATAACAAGAAAAGAGTCAAGTTTAAGAACCAGTAATACACTTGAAAAATTAATTATATATATATATATATATCATATCCATTACTAAAGCTTGATAATCAATTTAAAACGAAGTCAGCATGGAGCTTTGAGAATCTATACTGCTTTCGCCTCCGTCTAGCAATTACCATCTTTTTCCTTGGACTTTTGAACTGCTTTTATTATCTAAAAGATGAAACTATAAATTTAAGACGACAAAAAATATTTGTAAATTCTTCCATTATTATTTTAATTTTATTGCACTATTTGAGTACAAAAAACCAATACAACATTTTTGATGGATGAAGAATCCAAATTAGAGGTTTAACAAATTTTAGTGAGAGAATGTAGAACTAACATTTTGTTTCTTCTTTTGTATTTACTCTCTCCCGAAATAAATAGTCTAGATTGAGAAAACACAATTTTTTTGGTGTGTTTTGGTTAAATCAATCGATGTACAGCCATTAATTTTTCACCAAAATTTACAATTTTTATATGTATTTCTAACTCAAAAACAATCACTTACTTCTATTTTTATCACGGTGATATTTTAATCAAGCTTATTTTAACTTTTATGACACCAAACTATTTTTTTAAGAGGGACTATTTATTAAATTTTACTAATTTTGGGGGGACTTAAGCACCAACAAAAACTGAGTGCAAATTTAAGCACTAAAAATGTGAAATAGTGCATTACTCATTCCGTCCAAAAATAATTTTCTGATTTGAATTTTCAATTTTAGGCTTGTAGCATAAATTACATTAAACTTAAAAATTCAAATTGAAAAATCATATGAAAAGATAGAGGAAGTTGGCGATGGTTGGAGGATTAGCCAATAAGAGTTAATCCTGCTGTGTTCATGATATTATTTCTGAGAATGTATGAATTTAAATTTTCAAGGATTTGGACTCTTTTATTGACCTGATTGAAATATTGTAAAATTCCTTTAGAAAGTGAGTGAAAAGCGATGAAAATTTAAAAGTTAACAACAATTGGATTCAGAAATTGGGACAGGATGAATGGGGTTCATGTGTTTCCTTGAACTGCCAACCCAGATGGATTTCGAATGACTAGACGTAAGCTAGCTAGGCCGCTGACATGCATAGCCCATCACACCACACACACACACACACACACACTCACACACGCAAAATCACCCTCTCTACGTAATCTCTGTCAGCTGGAAGGAAACCAATGCTTTGAGCATATTATTCTGTTCATTTTAAGTCCTCCCATCAGACAGATCGATGAGAGAGGAGACACTCCATTTTTGTCACTTTATTGTTTACCTTTTCTAAATCCTCGATTCTGGCTGGCATGATGAAGCGTGCCTTTCTCAAACTATAATTAGTCTGTTTCTTGATGATGCAAATTTTGATCAATTCAAGGTTTTTAATTTGTTGTATCCTTTTGGGCAATATTTACTGTTGAGAAGAGAAGGGTCTTTTGCACTTCGAAGGATTTCGTGGTTGGTTGTTTGTGTGTGTATTATTATTCCAAGGGATAAGTAGAGAAAATGGGAGAGAATATTTATTTTAACTTAAGAGGGATAAAAGTGCATAAACAAACATATACTATATTGATGATCGTGACAATACGAGAGAAATTGTTGGGGCCGACTCTGATTTCCCCATTTCTAATCCTTCTTTCTTTCTATTCCCAATCCCAGGCATACCCCTTTGTCCAGTTGTCCCTACGATTTTTTTGCTATTTCAACATCATTTTGCTGCCCTTGCCCATTGTCTCCATTTGCTTGTTTTTATACTTTGCTACATCTATTCTATTTCCTTTATTATCTAACTACACTTATATTGCACTTAGTGATTCTTAAAGTGTTAATGGAATTTCGTTGATTAAGACGTGTTACCTTGCCAAAGTCCCTCATTTGACGACTAGCTAGCTAGGTGTCCTATACACATTTTAAGTAGTACTTATGAGAGATAGTAACCGTCTAAATGTTTATATTATACTCTACTAACTTACAAATACGAGCCTTTTTCAAAAAAAAAATAAAATGATAGTGTAAGATGAATGAACGGAGATAATTTAAAATGGTACACAAGTTCGGCATTTGCTATTAACAGTTAAGAATAGACATTAATCATGATCAAAATGCTCGATTAAAAGGGAGTCAATTCAAGGGCAAGAAGACCGAGGAAGACACACAGAGTGTAAACAGTAAAGAGAGGGGATAAGAGAGAGAGAACGACAGATAATCCTTTTGTCCCACCACAAAAAACAGTGGTTTAGTTGACAATGCATGTAACGAGGAAAAAGCTGCATTGCTTTATTCCCAGAAAGCTTCTATTCATCATTGCTCGTGTTGTAGGTTCTCTATCAAAATTTTTTTTTTTTTGTTTTTTTTTAATTGCATGTATTTTCAGATCTAAATTTTACTAGATGAAATCATATGCACATTGACTACCCCCAATCAAGCATAATGGTATCAATAATAAATCATTTTTGTAAGAAAAGAAACAACATTTAAGTGTCCTATAAATAGGGGTTATTGACACTGACAGATGATTTGATATAAATATGAAAATAATTGGGTTGCATGTGAGAGTTGCAGAGGTAGCAGCTATGAAGGGCTTTAGTCAGATCAGATTTGGTTAGTTGCTATGGTCTAGAATAATACATAGAGCATGGACCCAACTGTTTGTGTAGTAGAGTGTTATGTTTTGGATTTTGAAGGGGTGGGTAGCTAAGCTATATAAATAAAGCCAAGGAAAAAAACACACCTTCTTTTGATTCTTTTTCTTTCTTTCTTCTCTTGCTTTGTTTGGGCTGACAGTTTCAAATGCTTCCTCCACTACCATCCAGCTTGCACCCAAACAGCATAACTGGTCTTTGTCAAAACAAAAAAAATAAAATAAAATTACCACCAATTTATTACAAAACCTTTGCTTCTATTTCACACTATAATTTTTTGGCCCATACCCCACACTTATCTTCATCTTCCTGGTAAAATAATTATGAAGTCAATTAATACAAATACAGGTGGTACAGTGTCTGTTCATTTTTGTTCTTCCCTCATCCCTTTCTTGGCAAAACTTTCACCCCATCTCCCTCTCATACAATGCTTTGTTTGTCCAGTGAGTGTACCTTCTTTTCCAATGACCATCAATATGACAATCGCATTACATTACCAGATTTCACCCCTTTGATAATGATTGTAGAAGAAGTAAATTTCCCGCTTGCTTAACGTGCAATTCCCTCCAAAGCATCACGAAGAATCACGGACACGTATTGCTTAGGAAGAAGCTCAAATTCTTTCTAATCCGAACTGAAAACCAAAAGAAGGGATGTAAATTTTGGTACCTGTAATATGCTAAATCACTTATTCTCTTTTGGAGGATATATGTCCTCCAGGTTCCAATCATTAGCTGGACAGGAAAAAGGAAGGGAAAAATATCTATTAGCAAAAAGGCTGGGGAACAATTCCAGGTTACCAGCTTACCATAATCACAATCAACCCAATTCAAAATTTTCCATGTTCCTTCTGAACAAAGGAATCTGTATCGTTCACGTTAACACTTGCTTCATCTAGGTAAAATGAAGTAAGAGTACAACTCCTGAAATGGAATTGTTACGCATATCTCTATTGGCTTAACCTTTCAGGTGACTGAAATAAGAAAATGGAAAACAACTGGTTGTACAATGAAAAATTTAACATGAAAGCACATTCTTTGGCAGAGGATTTTCAGACAGTGACAAGAGTAGCACAATTCAGACAGGTTGTTGGACTTGTAATAGCTCTTGCAGGCTCTTCACAGCACCATCATAGGTAAGGAAGCCCATGAACCAAAACTCATGGTTATCAACTGATATGACTTGGATGTATTTCTCAGAAGGATTGCTTCTGCTTGTTGACGGGTTAACTGCTTTCAGCTGATGCAATGGAATAACCACCTGTGCATTTTTAACAGAGAACAGCTAACTTCAGAACTATTCTAAACAAGATAAACTGCTTATCAAGCAACAAAATATTCAATGAGGAATTGAGGATGTTAATCAGTTCTAAAGAAGACTAAATTAATGCTTTCAAAGTTTCTAGCAAAAAAGCATCAAAGTATGAGATATAGAAACATCATAAATTCAAGTCATCAAGTAATCCACCACAACAGAATCCAGACACCAAACCTATTAAACAAAAGAAAAGAACAGATAAGCACCATACGAACCACTTGCTGATCATCACAGTGACAACATATAAGCTTTACAAGAGCTCTCTTAGCTCAATTTCCAGGGAAAGAGCACAGGTTTGAAACAGTCGAAAAACACAAAAATCACACAGTGCCCTTAGAAGTAGAAACAAAAAGAAGCTGAGTTCTGACTGATCATGGTACATAGCAGTTTAAAGCAGTTTGGAGAAAATATAAATACTCAGTAGTAACTCATTTCACACAGTAGACTTATCCATGATTGGGTACCCAATCTTAATCCATCAACAAAAAAAAAAAAAAAACTAAATATGATAGTTCATGCATCCCTAAATCAGCTCTCGCTACTCAATCAAACATTGACCACATGAAGCACAGGTAATTCAGTTCAAGGAAATGCAACAACCATGTCTATCGACACCAAAACAACTACCAGTAACACTCTTAATTTCCAACCTAAGAAATATAATATGACAGCTTAAATGTACACGGAAACAACATATAACATGATTTCCTTCAATCACAATTAATATAGAACAGAAAAATAAAACTTTGGCTTATCTAATCAATAAAAATAGACTGAAGATATAGCATGATAATCCACCTATTAAGAAAGGCAGACATCTGAATATTTAGAGAGTCTTTACCTTGTAATAGCTCCACTCAGTCTTATCATTGGACTTGTATGAGAGAGGACTGTCACTACAAAAGGCAAGCTTGGCGGTTGAAACATACAAAACGCCCATCACAGGACCAGCTGACGTGGACAAATAACAAGCATACGAGTTCTGAAGCTGCTCCTCTGGAACTGTCTCAAACGTTTGCCGAAATATCTTCTCATAACCACCTTCTGCCAGAACCTTAGTTCCCTGTGCAATTCTTCCAAGTGCAGCATCAGTAAGGCTTGGACCAGTTTTCACTGAATTCAAAACGAAAAACAGTATATTAGTACCTACATAACGTTCCACTACTATGTTTCCTTAAGAGTGACTAAAGTTTCCCTCACTGCAAATCATCTGATCCTCAGAGAAGAAGACATAAAAAATAATCAAAACTTCCTCTCGCAAAATGATAGCCAATGAAATCAGAAGATATATATTTCCTAAGCTGAACTGGACTGGAGAAGAAAATGGTAAAATTTGGATCATGATGTAGAATGACATTCATGCAACGTGTTAATGAAGGTATGTTATGACAATACATGATGCATCTAAGAGGACAAAAGCCAGCAAAACCTGAGTGATGTTCAGTTAGAATATTGTATTCCCATTCCCTGCAGAGTTGGTAAAATATTAATGGAGACGTTACATCTAGGCAATGCCAATGACGATGACAATGAATAACACCCAAATGGCAAACAGGAATGTAAAGGTCTCTCAAAACAAAACCAGTCATCTCATGTGCAGAAGCAAACGTTTCGAGGGAAATAAGAGTAGCAGCTGTAACGAACTTAAGCATAATCTCTTCGCACTTCATTAATGCATCCAAGGTTTGTTATAATAGTCTTTGTTATATCAGACATGATGCATGATGCTATCATCATTTCGGATGGGAATTAAACTTCCAACGTCCCTTTTAAAGTTATAACACTTGTTTTACTTGCACCTAAGGTCCTTTTGGACATTACAAGGATCGTTACATCTCTTAAAACTCTTAATGATTTACCATATCAAAGCTAATAAAAATGTTAAAACACTAGATATCTTTCAATTAACAACATTAGCAAAAGAAATTGCACAGACAAAACACATATGAGAAGCTAAAAATTATCTTACAATGTTGCCAAGTGTTCCCAGCCATCACTTCCGCCTTCTTTGTTGCTTCCTTAACACTCTTCCCCCATCTTCCCAAAACATCCTTCACACTCTCCATCGTCTCTGATATTTGCACATAAAAACAGAAAATTAATAATTCGTTCATTCACCACTTAAATACCATCTGAACAGAGCCAAACAAAAGATAAGTAATACCACAAACCTGAAGAAAAGAATAAATCGAACTTATTAACCTAACTGCAAGAATCAGATTCCTAGTCCGATACTAAGATAACTTGACCCAACGCAATTCCCAATTGAACTGAATCAAACTTCCTCAGCAATCAATAACAAATCCCCAAAATCGGCGAGAAAATAAAAATAATAAAAAGAAACAAATAAAGTAGTAAGAAAACAAGCTAACCCTTGAAATTGATGGATGAAGAATTATTGGAAGAAGCCGGAGAAAAAGCGACGTAAGGATTGGATCCACGGTCGTCAGAATGCGACGACGTAGTTCCCTGCCGCGGCGATTCCGATACCAAATCCTCGCTCCACCGCACCGATTTCTTCGACTTGGTGTTCAGAGGGCTGGCCGATCTGTCGTCGCCACCCGCAGTCTCATTAATCTCGGTATTAATTAGATTTTCAGTACTATTAATGCTATTTATAGTTTCAGGTGATAATAAACCACCGTTAATATTGGTATTAATATTGTCGTTGGTGCTCTCCTTTTTTGTCACATTCTCGTTGTGTTGATCTACATTTGCTCCGCTTGATTTTGGATCCGGTTTCGGACTAGGGTCCGTCTCCTGACCCGGAACCTTTTCCCCCGCTGCTGGCGTCTCCAACGCTATATCTTCCATCTTTGCTTCTCCTCCATTGCTCGGCTGCTCCATAGCTTCGCGAAACTTCTTCCTTCTTTCGATTGGATTTTTTTTTCCCCCTTTTCTGATTCTTTATCACAAAAGGCGGCGCGTCGACGGCGCGTAGAGCGTTAGATCCTTTTCTATCTTAATTTTATTTCTCTTTTGGGCTTTTACCTACCTCGTACAACTTAACAGGCTGCTAAAATGAGGAGAGGGCGCCATTTGTGTATAATGCTCCCTTATTAGGAAGGTTTTTCTTTTACGTAATTACTAATTTGACCTCTTTCAATACTATTTCCTCCGTTCCAAAATAAGTGTTATTCTAGAGTTTGCACATAGTTTAAGAAAACATTAAATAAGATAATTAAATTACTAGAATATCCTCAACCAACTCCCATTAAAATAAATGCTACCAATAATATTATTTCTTTTGAGGGTATGTTCAGAAATTTTTGACAAAAAATGCATTAGAATCTGAAAACGACACTTACTTTGGAATTTCTCCATTTTGCCAAAACGATACTTATTTTGGAATGGAATGAGTACTATCTGATATCTTCATCACTACTTTCCAGTTGCCACTACAGTTAAAATTTCTCTTTTTTACCTTTCTTTTTTGGTTGTAATGATGATCCAATTATAATTTCATTTCCTTTTTTTCCTATTAGATACGCATATAAAGCGTCCATCATAGATCCGATTGTTTCTCTGGCTGAACTAAATAAAATCTACAACTACATTTAAAGTTGAAACAATTCACCTATAGATTCATGGTTGGTCTTTTTCATCCTTTTTAAAATTATTGAAAAAAATTGATAATCAATTATTGGCATTTAAGGAAAATTGTATGACATATTCAAATTACTCCTTTTAATCCCACAAAATAATTAGTACTATTATAATTTATGAATTGTGTGAATTATTTTTTTAAAATAATATGTAAAAATCACTTCAATTACAAGAGGTGAGAAACCATAACATATTGATAAAGAGAGGTGATTACTGTATTTGTCACGCCGCAAAAGTTACACAACTCACGTTGCAGGAAACGGCTTTCATTGTCACGCCACGGGCATAACACACAGTTAGGTTGGGGACAAGATTGAGATTCGGGAGTCATCACTGGCGGATTTAGGGTACCCCTAACGTTTGATAATATTCCCTCTGTTCCAAAATTATTGTCCAGTTTGAGATTTCACTTTTAGTACAATTGAAATTAGAAATGAAAATCCAAACTGGACAATAATTATGGAATGGAAGAAATATTATATATGTGTCTATTATTATACTATAATTCTTTTCGCCTCCAATTTGTGTATATTTTTTGCAATTTTTGTTAGGATTTTGATTGTTTGGGGTGTTTTTTTTTATTAACAAGTGTTCGGCCAACGTAAATAGCCGATAAAGCTGAAATAAAACTAGGCCATGGTTTGGTTCAAAAAATCACAAAAGTTATTGAAATTATAATTATTGAATTAAATAAACATGAAAAATGCATATATTCACTAAAACAGAGATAGAGTCTATATAATTAAAATTAGAAAATAAAGAAATCATAAATCACTCCAAATTACATTATATTATATTAGTGAATAAATGATGCATAGTTTCATTGAGCAATTCTTGCTTTTGCTTTTGGCTTCTTTCCGGAATTTTTTTTCAAAAACTTAAAATGACACATTTTTGTTATCTTTTAATCTATGAACATGTTGAAAACAGGGGCGGAGCTACAGCGGGGGCACTGGGGGCACGTGCCCCCATTGAACTCCAAATTCGGGGAAGGTATATATAGCTATGCATTGTATTTTATTTAGATGAGAATAGAAATAGATTCCGAAGTAAAATTTGCATAGCAGGTCTCCCTCTGTAGAAAAAGAGTTCTCCTTCCACAAATTCCTGATTCCTAGCTAGGTCCCACTACGTGGTCAACTTTCAACCTTATCAAATTCAATTCTGCAATTTCCCATTCCTAATTTATTTCCTACTGTTAGCCTCCATAATGACGTGAGAACTACATAAATATCAGAATATCACACCTTTTTAACAATAAACCCCATACAAAATAAACTCCAAAATCCCTTTTAATTGTTTTCTCACTCAGCTATTTCTTTTTCTAAATAATATCATTAAAATTGGTTTAATTGGATAGGAAACTCTTGAATGAATGATTCTCTATAGTTATATGAAATATGAAAACATATACTCTCTCCGTTCCATAATTATTGTCCAGTTTTGTTAAAATACAAGATTTTATTTTTAGTCAAATAAAACCTTTTTTTGGGCATAAACTCCCACATATACCCCTGTGTACATAAATAGTTTATCCGGCCAACCCCATTTCAGAAAGCAGGAAGAATACTGGTACTTTCATTTGTTCTTCAATCAGGCACCCGAAGAACTTCAAATCTAGAGAATCTTCTCGCTCAAAATTTCAATTTGAAATTTACGAAGACAATTTTTCTATTTCATTGAAAAGTTTTTGGATTGAAGGAGGTCTTCAAATCTGAGCCGCCAATCGAACAAAAGTCTCGGATGAATTGATTTGAATTTGACGAAAGTTCTAGTTTTGAATTTTTAATCTGATGCTCTTCCGATCGATGTAATTATTCTATTTTGCAGACAATGTCCTTCTAATCCATCGCCGCTGCTTGGAGTGGTCAGAATTTGTCAAAAATTTATTCTCTATATTTTTTTTCGGCATCTAGCCGACCACCTCATCTTCACCTCTGCTTGAATTCGTCGGAGAACCGTGGTTGCTTGGAACCATCGGAGAATCATCATTTGTGGCTATTGGTGTCGGAGAACCGTTCCTGCTTGGAGCCATCGGAGAACCATTGTTTGCGGCGGCTATTGGTGGTGGTGTGTGTAGGGAGAAAATGTTCCAGTTAGAATGTTTTTCATTTTAGGGATAAAGGGCATATATGTAACTTAGCCTAAAAAAAGTCAAATCGGACAATAATTTTGGGACAAAATTTTTTTGGTAAACTGGACAATAATTTTGGGACGGAGGGAGTATTTTCCAAGAAAATACTTATCATACGATATTATTATACGAAGATGTCACAAACAATCGTATATATTGTCAAAAATTTATTTTGTTGGAGATACTTGTCAAATGATGTCAATATATGAAAATTCTTTGTAAACAAAGTTACAGACAGTTCTTTTATGTTATACCTTTTGGTAAAGTGATATTTTTATGAATGTTGATATTTATCTTATTTTCATTTAATCATATTCGTTACTTCTTTTGTCTCAAAATTATTGTATAGTTTAGAAATTTTTTTAATAAAATTTATATTAAAAGTGATAATACAAATTAGAAAATTATTTCGGAATGGAGGAATTGTATCTTTTTACATGTTTGATAGTAAGTTGGGTGTCCCCCCAGTCAATTTTTATCTTGGCTCTGGTTGAAAAATACTAGTTCTATTATTTGACGCGATGATCTAGGGAAAAATGATTCTGATATTGAATATCCACAAAAAAAATTATCATGCTAATAATAACGTACTCCCTCTATGGCTCTATCCCCAAAAAAAATTGACTAAAAATTAGTATTTTCTTAAAACAAAGGGATTAGTACATTTTGTTTCCGGCCCCCTCTAAATTTCTTTTCTAGATCCGCTAGGGGGAGTCATGCGGGTAATTGTTCAGATTTACATCTTGTATTTTTGTTCCTTTTTTTTCCTAAGGATGATATGGTATTTCTATTTTTGGGGTTCAAAGATGATACTCCAAACGTAAGGATGATCTGATATTTTTTCAGTAGTAGTACTATTTTGCAATTCATCCCGGTACAGAAACGTAAATTCCATCGGGAATTGATCGGAGTTAATTAATTTGTGGCTTATTTGGAGCGAAACTGCGGTAAGTCACATTTCAGTATTATTGGAATTGTATTGTCGGTATTTCTTTTCCCCTACTTGTAGAAGAAAATATTGAAAAAGTTGGTGAAAGAAGACTCTGAGCTCGAGCTATGGTCAAAGCATAAGAAAATTGCTATAAAATCCAAGTAAAAACAACACTTTCCGTTTTGTTCGACCTAGAGTGCGGTCCTTCGGATCATGGAGCATTCGTTGGATTTGTAGAAGGAATCCAACCACAATCTTGACATCATTATCATCTGAGAGTCTGAGACCACAAAAATCCATATCAAATTTTGTTTTCAGGAAAAAATGGAAGATATATAGAGTACTAGTTCCTTTGGAATTGAATGTACGAAAAATTCTCAGAGATTTTTTTCATCCATTCTTACCTAAATATGGCACCCCGTGGCCTCCATGATGATAGGGCAGAGTGGGGAATACAAATGATTCCATGAGTTGGAATTGATATTGCGGAGTTATGTATACATCTTTCGCATTAATTTTGTTACGTTGCGAAAACACAAAGACAACAAGTGTTATGAACTAGACCAAATCAAATTCTGAGACTTACAAACTCTTACCTACTATGAGAAGGGATGGAATATCAATGGGAGAGGAGAAGACATTTTTAGCTAGTTATGGGGGTAGAAAAGAAGGAACCTCCAATTTTAGCTCCCGAGATTATGATAACGAACTTAATCTTTGGGATTTTGGAGACGTTTTGATTAAATGGCCAAGTTAATCAACAGGTTTGTTTGATTTCTGAAACTTATATTATGATTAAGCTTGACAAAATGAATGGTGATTGATTAATAATCCAAACTGGACCATCGTTTTGGGACGGAGGGAGTATGTCTTTAAGAACAAGGGATTGATGAAGTTAGCATCCCAGCAAGCAACTTGAACAAGTCACTCCATGAACCTGGTTCGTCCACCTCGTTTTGAAAGTTTCCATGGATCTGTTTCATACACTTCAATTTCATAGAAAACTTTGTTATCTCAGTCCCTATCAACTGAGACCTGCTTTTCAGTATGAATTGGAAATGGGAAACTCATCCCAAAGAAATAAAGAGAGCTTTCAAAGCATTTTAGCGTTTCACTTGCCTCTCGACTTTCATAAATTTTCACTGCTCTTTAGTTTTCTGCATACATGATAAATGATTGAACTGAATTCAAATAAAGTGATCAAATCAGACTCCGAACTCGAGCATTGTTTGTCAGTTTGATGCCCCTGTTCTTTTTGAAGCAAAACAATGAAGCGATTAAATCCAAATAATAACACATCTTGCTTCTTCCACCTCGTGAGTGGAATAGAATTCTTCTCATCTCTTTAAGAAACCCAAGTACCATTTTGACTCCATTATCATCTGAGACAAAAATCAATCATCAATAAATAAATAAATACTCTACTTGAGAGATTGAAGTGTTTAATTTTGCACCCACCGAATGCTCAGAATTCTTGAAATTAGTCTCTTACCCAAATGAGGAACCCCATGACCTTCATGATGGTACAGTAGAGTTGGGTTTACGAATGATTCCAAAAGTTTGAACTGGTCTTCTTTTAGTTTGTCTCTCTCGCCTTTTATTTTATTTACCCCCCGGATAATGACCCAAAAATACGACAGTGAGACCAACCACAAAATTCAACAATTAAAAAGAAGAAACAAACGAAGCCAGGAAAGAAATACCTATGATGTGGAGAGATGGAATATCGAGTGGGGAGGAAAATGCATTTTTGGCGAGTTCTGGACATGGCAACGTTGTGGCTCCAAGTTTAGGTCCTGAGATTATGATAACAAACTTTATTCTGGGGACTTTGGTCAATGCAACCCCCTGTAAAAAATGTTCACTAAAACATTAATTAATGTTGTCCCAAGTTGATTATCTACTAATTCACTTTGACAAGAAATTGTTGATTAACTAACTTGTCTCTGCATTCCAGGCAGAGTAGCTGTTACTCCTCCTCCCTTCATTCCATCAAAACAAAAAAAAAAAAAAAAGGGTAAAATACTTGAAATCAGAATCTTCCACTGAAACAATTGTAATATATGGGCTTTTAGAAGTTTGATGCAAAAGAACAGATCAATGTCGTTACCTGAGATACTCCAAGCACACCATCAAAGGGCCCAAGTTTGATCATCTGCTCTTCTATGTACGCGACGGCTTTTTCGAAGGATTGATCGTCCTATAATGGTAGAATAGATTCAATTAGGACATGTGAACTATGCAGATAGTTGGCCTCCATGGATTGTTTCTTTGTTTAGAATAAAAGTAGTTTTTGATGTATATGGAAAATTGATCATCACCTCTATTTTGTACCAAGTATAGTAAGGAGGATCATATTCGATGTGTCGGGAAGGATCGATGACAAAAGGTGCATCTATGTACACCAAATCCATTTCTTCCAGCACAAACTCTGGCCATCTTTTCATCTCCAAGTTTTCTAAAAACTTTGCACTAGCTCCATGCCCATGGAGGCAGAGAATTCTGGGTTTTTTCTGGGAAAATTGGCTTCCCATGTATTGTGTGTGTAGAAGTACAATATCTTTTTGATTTCATGATTCTGGTCAGGCTAGACATTGTCTGTTTAAAGGCATATGGAGGTGATTTCGGCAACTAATCGATAACCTAACTGGTGTACACGGTTCATCCACCTCAACATTTGTATTTGATAATGTGAATTTCAAAGTTTACTTCAACCCCAATCAGTCAATCACTATCGGGCCAAGCTGTGTGTTATGTGGGGTATATAAAGTGTACTAAATAATTTGGATATTTTGGAGTAGAGTACTGATACTAAATAATCTTCAGTAAGCTACCGACCTCATAAACCACATACTACAATTTTTTTTATTATTATTTTTTGGGACAAAGAGGGGGCCATTATGACCAAATTACATTGCTATTATTATATTCCGCGGGTATGCTACCCCGATCACATCGTGTCGAAGCCAAGGTAACAGTTCCAGGGGAGGTACATTCAAAAGTCTCAGTCCCCATTCCAATTGATTTTGCAGACCAGCAAGGCAGTCTGCCAAGTTCGTTTCGGCGGTGGCAATGTCTAATTTCCAGTTTCCATTCCCTCGACCTGAGTTCTTGAATACCAGAAACAATGCCAGCATGAATTCCATGGTCTCCAATTCCTTTTTTTTTAACTGTTATGTTGTTTCAATTCAGTGGTTGTTGGTGTCGGGGATGATGTACGCTTATTTACTCACCGTGATTATCAGCACGATGAAAACTTCCTCTTCGGGCTCATTTTATCTCGTTTTTCAAGAGTCGAAACTTAATCCAGTGATCCACTTCTATTATTAGTACTTTTGGCTCTTCTCCAAATATCCTTTTCTTTAATAATTTGCCCCGTCGCAGTTCCTATACCTGTTTCTGCAGCTCAGGAAGAACATCTGTTATGAGTTTTGATGCCTATTGGCTCAGAACATGACAATTGACTAGTAAAATCGACATTTATGCAGCCATATTCTCCCTCTTCGACTAAAGAAGATTGTTTTTTTATTAAACAAAAAAAAAGAAAACCGACAGGCAAAAACGAAAGGGAAAAAAAAAGGAAGATGATGAGACACGGCTCTAAGTTTTTAAATGAAAAAAAAGGACTCAGGACAGAGGAAGCCATGAAAATAAATCAAAATTTATATCTCTATCTCTATATATATTAAAAAAGAGTTTTCAATCGTACACATGTCAAAAAGTTAGACAGGCTAATCCACAGGTCACAATTACATCACTCCATCATTTAATGGTAATTTTTTAATGTAAAATCGTAAATTTGTAAGTAAGACTAAATTACTTAAACAACAAAACAAAATGAAAAAAAGGTAAATTAATGACAAGCTAATATATGATTAAAAAAATCATATACATTATCAATCAGAATTAATGAAGGTGGCGGCACGGGAAAAGAATTCATTAAGCTAAACATTCAACAACCCTTCAAATTATTAGACAGGAAATAGTATTCAACATTCCTCGACATTTTTCTTTGAGATTACAACTTAAACGATTCAGAAACAATATTCAAGTTTAGTAGTGGAGTAGTCCGAATTAATTCAATGTACTCTTTTTGTTTCTAGGTTTCCGTCCTCCGTCAAATTGAATTAGTATTACATTTAAGAGAAAAACTTGTCATTAATCATCAAGCAAAAGAGGGAAAAGTTATAATATTCACGTTGAATCGTTGATTAATCAAGCATAAAAAAAAAATGAATATAACAACGTGCCCAACATGATTGATTTTTCACCATGTACAAAAACTCGAATATATATTAATTTGATTGTGGAAAAAGCCCCACTTTGAACTATGAAAGTTAATCTCTTTCCTTGAGTCTTTTACTATTATGATTACAATCATTATTATGAGTGGCTAATTATAAAAAAATTCAGTCTCATTTTTGTTATACGGAAGAATAAGTATTAAATTTAAATATAATTCTACGATAATTTTCAATCGGACGTATGGCGTAAAATTAGATATGGTAATCAATATGGCAAAAAATTAGACAGTCAAGTACACATGTTGCAACCACATCACTCCATCAATTAATAGTTCTCTCTTCTTCCCAAAAAAATAGTCCACATTGAGTTTTCAAATTTGTACTAAAAACAGTATAAAATTTAAAACTCAAAGTGGACTATTTTTTTAGGACGGAGGTAGTAATTTCTTAATGTAAAATTATAAATTTATAGGTAAAACTAAATTAACTAAGAGATTACCCTTAACGGGAAATTTAAAATGTAAAGAAGAAAGGTGAAAGAAAAACTTCAAACTAATAAATCCGAAGACAAACAACTAAAAAAAAAAACCAATTTCATGCAAAAAAAAAAAAAAAACCCAACTCTCATGATGAGAAAAATCAATTCACCGATCAATATTGATTTTTATAGTTATGTGTTAATGTGTAACCATTAATTAGATTTTTTTTGTTGTTGTTGGTTAGTGTATTAGTTTTTATTTCAGCTGATGTTGCTTCAATAGTAAACTCTTTTAATATTAATATCTTTTTTTGCCCCTTAATGGGCAATGCTGATAAATGATTACTATTGATTATGTTGTATAAAAACTACAAATGGAAAAAAATAAAATAGTAATAAGACTAATAATCTAATTATATATTAATTAGCCAAAATTTTAACAATATAATAATAAATTATATTAAGTATAATATAATATTTATAATGCAATAAATGATTACTAATAAATTAATATAATAATATAATATACTCATTATATTTTTTTACATATATTATAATGGTAGAAACTGTTGACATTATGATGATAAAATAACGTAGAGATTAATAGGGAGAAATTTTTAAAAAATAAGAAAAGGAATAAAGTTATTTGTGAAAGACAAACAGTAGGAGAAAAGCGTATTGAAAAATTGAAAACAAATATGTGGAGAAAAAAATTATGTAGAGAATAAAAAAATATAAAAAAGTAATCGATATAACAGTAAAACATAAATAATTATTACAATTTTTTCAAGAAATGAAGCATTAAAAAGATGTCATCAAATTTAGTGGAAGAAAAAGTCAAAACTATGCAATTAGGTAAAAAAAAATGAGGCAAACACCACATTATAGGAAAAAATACGAACAAAATTCTAAAAAAAAAAATTGCAAAAAGGTATATAGAAAGATGGAATATAAGGATAAGTTTATGGAAATAAATAATAAGAAATCTCATAGGAAGAGTTTAATAGATATGACACGAGTAGAAATACTTATAGAGATCATTATAAAAAAAATAAGAAAATACTTTTAAAAGATATAAAGTCATAGATCAACGAAACGAAAAAGATGAATAAAAAGTTATGTTGGATGATTTCGAATATTAAAATTTTCCAAATGTACTTAAGATAACAAACCACGATAACATTAAAAATTACTAAATTTTAATAATTATCATTAATATTATTTTTTTACATATATCACTTCGTAAAAAATGTCGTATAATTGTTAACTTATTAAACTTATATATATCTTGAACAACCTGCACAACGTGGTGGTAAACACTAGTATATATTAAAGCAGAGTTCTTAATCGACACGTGTCGCCCAGGGAGCAAGTTTTGCCAAATGTGCCACATGTCGTCACCAAAATTTGCCTTCATTAAACAGTTAAAAAGTTTATTACTAATACGAAAAATTGTTAAATTGAATTAAGTAATTGACCACAAGTTAATTTTGGAAAAGTAAATGTCACGTGTTTGGTAATTATTGAGAAATATATGACATAATGAAACAATAATTATCAAATTAATAATTGTATTAAGAATACAGTTTAAAACTAAGTCTGGATACATTAAACGTAAATTAATATTACTTTTCAGATGATTTTGTTTCATATATTTTCCAAAAATTAAAAGATATTAGTTACCAAAAAAAATTATTACCAATAACTATATTACGAATACAATTCGAAACCAAGTATGTCTACATTAAATTTATGTTAATATTATTTCTTAGATGATTGGTATATTTTCAATAAATAAAAAGAGACTACTTGCCAAAATAAAGAGATTATTTCCCAAATAATTAAACTAACACAATTCGGAACTAAGTTTGATTACATTAAACATAGGTTAATAATATTTTTCCGATGATTCTATTTTGATATATTTTCCAAAAATAAAGATATATTAGTTACAAAAAATAAAAAAAAATATTAGTTACCAAATAATTCTGCTACGAATATAATTCAAAACTAAGTCTGGATAAATTAAACGTAGGTTCATATTAATTTTTATATTATTCCATTTGATATTTTTTTCAAAAATAGAAATAGATTACTTACTAAATAATTATACTACAAAATACAATTTCTAACAAAGTCTGTATACGTGCAACATAGGGTAATATTATTTTACAGATGATTCTATTTAATATATTTTTTAAAAATAAAAAGAGATTAGTTAAAACATAATTATATTATGAATACAATTTAATATCAAGTTTGGATACATTAAATGTAGATTAATATAATTTCTCAAATGATTTTATTTGATACAGTTCCAAAAATAAAAAGAGATTAATTAATTACTGAAAACAAAGATATTAGTTACCAAATCATTATATTATGAGTACAATTCAAAACTAAGTCTAAATACATTAAATGTATGTTAGTATTATTTTAGATGATTCCATTTGATATATTTTCCGGAAAAAAAATTAGTTACCAAAAATAAGATTAGTTACCAAATCATTATATTATAAATACAATTCAAAATCAAATTTAGATACATTAAAGATATGCTAATATTATTTTTCAAATAATTCCATCTTATATATTTTCCAAAAATAAAAAAGTTTGGTTATAAAAAATAAAAGAGATTAGTTAACAAATAATTATACTACGTATATATACAATTGGAACCAAGTCATCTACATTAAATATGGATTAACATTATTTTAACGATTCCATTTGAGATATTTTTCAAAAGTAAAAAGAGATTACTTACCAAATATTATATTATGAATACAATTCGAACCAAATCTAGATACATTAAACATATGTTAATATTATTTCTCAGATGATTTCATTTGGTACATTTTTCAAAAAAATAATAGTTATAAAATATAAAAGAGATTTAGTTATCAATTATTATGTTATAAATATAATTTTAAACTAAGTCCGAATCCCTTAAATGTAGGTTATTATTAATTTTGTAGATGATTTCATTTAATGTATTTTTCAAAAATAAAAAGATTTGGATCACCAAAAATAAAAAAGAGATAAGTACCAAATAATTTTGCTTAGAATATAATTTAAAACCAGATATAGATACGTTAAACGTAAGTTAATATTATTTTTCACATAATCCTATATGACATATTTTTCAAAAAAAAGAAAAGAAAAATAGTCACTAAAAAAATAGTAAAGATGTTACGTTCTAATTCTCTCATCTCCTTTCCTTCCCCTCCATCTTCTATCTCTTCCCTTTTCTTTCTCCCCTTCCATCTGAATTTCTTTTTTTGTCTGAAAGGTATACATTGACCTCTCTCTTTGTTGGATTGTAATTTCAGATGGATGTTTTTCATTTGTTGGTCAAAAAGGGAGTGTGATGGATTTCGATAAACATAGTAAGTTATACTTTTAATATTATTAACTTAATGTTTAGAGTGATTTTTAGAACTTTGCTTAATTTATCAATTTTGCTTGTGTTGACTGAAGGTTCATTAACTTATTCCAGTGTGGATACTTGTGGATGAGCTTCCGTCTGATTTTTGATTAATAATGAGAAGTGTGGTCTTTAATTACAAAAGGTTCATCAATGAAAAAAAATCTACATGATTTTTTCCTTTTGTTTTGAACTGTTAACTCATCATTGTTTCTTACATTTTAAATTTCGACATTATAATGAAAATTTTGGTACTACTGACATACCTTTTATTTTCCATAGGGGAGGCATTATTTTTTAAACATGCATTACATTTTCCATGTTATGTATTATTTCTATTGTATGTCGTTGGTAAATATTTATAAGTATGGGTAGTTTTATTTTTAAACAATTACGAGAGCCTCATTTTGGTAAGTTTTTGAACCGTTGCTATTATTAAATTTCAATGGGTTAAGCTTAAAAATAGTTATGCATCAATCTCGCTCTAAAGGAGTCAGATAGACTAAAACAAAATTACTCATGCTCTAGAGTTTCAAGGTAAATATATACTTTATTTGAGATATCAATACTTAAACATATTTACTTCAAGTGCATGATTATTTATGTGTTTTGGTTTTACAAGAGAAATGTGGTGTCATGATGGCAAAAGATTGAAATAAGTAAATCGGAAAGGACTCATAACTAAGTAAAAAGTTTGACGAACATGGATATGTATTTCGAAATGATTTATTTGTTTTTTTAAAAGGTTTTCCCCCCTTATTTTTGTGTTTTATTTACTTTTGTTGGAATTTTCTTTTTTCATTTTTGCTTTATGCCTAAAAAAGATTATTTATAATATTTGATTTAATTATTACAAGTGAGCAATATATGCGGTTCAGTCAATATATTTTAAAATATACATGATCTAATTTCTATTTTTTAAAATAACTTTTATATACTTATATCCCTAAATAAGTAGCATAGTAGACATTTGATCATATTAATTCATTTTGATTTTTTTGGGATATACTAACATTCCTAAACAAGAAGCAAGATAGTTGGAACATATTAGTTTGTACTTCAAAAAACCATACAAGTACTTGATTAAAGTGGTAAAAGTATTGGACCAAGTTAACTACGATGTATGATTAAATCTGCGCATTGACATGTAGTAATGATTGTTAGGAGAGGTTTGTCTTCCGAAAGAGACCAACCCGATTTGAAGACGGATTAGTTGGAATAATGATTTCAAACACCGGATGCGCTATACCAAAAACAGAAGGGAAAGAAAAAAATATGACACTCTTGATTTCGGATTCTGAGTGCTTACTATACCAAAAAACGAAAAAAATAAAACATATGACATTTTTTTATAGAAAAATAATAATATATTAATGTTACTTTAAAATAGATTAAAATATGCACAACGTGCGGGCATAATACTAGTTTTAAATAATGTTTAATCGATTTGGAAATCAAATTGTACAGTGTTACTCCAAAATTACATCGTCTTGATAAGAAGAGAATAGAAAAATAATTTTTCTTTCCGAGCAATAGCAATGAGGGTTTGACATATTTGCTAATTCACTCCCTTAAGTATTTTGTTTTTACAAAACCCATGTTTGTCATTTTATATAAAACACCGCGTTTGTTCTCTCTCCACCGCATTTGCTAAAGCGGCGGTCGGGGGATCTCCTAACTCTTGTCCTAAAATCGCCGGGAAAACGCCGTGAACAGGCCGCAGCCTCCCATTCGTCGAATTTTCAGCACTAACCTTTTTCTTCTCCATCGGGGGGGCCTTTGAGGACAATCTGATTTCACCGCCGCCGCTTTCAATTTCCCGATTTTCCGTTCATCGTCTCCCATTTTTGGTCTGCCCTCTCTGCGGTTCAGGCGTATATCGGCCTTGAAGGTTTCTTTCACTTTTCTCATCCTTTTCTATCGGCAGCCACTAGCTCCGGCTTCGAAAATACTTTTTTTTTTTTTGGCCTTCACTTTGTGCTGGAACTTCTGTTATGAAATCTGTCACTTTGCCCTTCCTGTGATGAATTTTTTGATTAGATTGAATTTGTCTGTTATAATAGGTCAAAGATTGGAACTTTACTAGCGGATCATTTTTCGTCCTTGCGGGCTTCATTTATCCGCTCTTTGGTTGTATGTTGATCTTACAAAATTAGTTCTTCGTCATTTTTCTACAAAGAGGAAATGTTAGACAAAATTGTACCATGCTTACTCATGGATGAGCATGCCAAGACTTCTTGTTTTCTGATCATTTTGCTTGCATAATGCCACGCCTGTGAATTATAAGGGAAAAATGTTTTTGATGAAATCACTAACTTCATCCAGGAAAGCTCTAAGTTGCACATCACCTAGACACCACCTGAAAGGTTATCTATGGTGATAATTATGTTACCAGAATTTAGAAAAAACCAATGATCTATGCAAATAAAAGGTTAGTCATTGTTTGGCCATTACATGTTAACCATTGGAAATTGTGGAACTGCGAGACCTGGTTTTGCCAGAGACGGGAGTGAATTGAATTGAAGGAATTCTCTTCATTTCAGAGAAAGACGTTTAATTGCTTTCCCCTCTCTTACCTGGCATAAATGTGTTGGTTCTTCTGTTCTTACAGTTTTCAAACTCTGGAGTGGTGTTACAAGGATCATTAGCTATATGCTCTTAGTGGTCTCTTGTTTTACCAAAATTTTCTGTGATCTTTTTTTCTGCATATATGAGCGTTGGACAACCAACGCCGATAATTAAATGGTTTTGATGCAATCATGTATTGAAATTTGTCACTTTTATTCCATCAGATCAAGTTGTAGCCTTCTTGGTCTTGTACTGCCACTAAAAAAAACTCCTATTGAAATCAATGAGCTCTTTTTCCTACTGTTGCTGGCATCATATATGATCTATGTTAGGATCATGTTCCAAAATAGGTTAGCTAAGATGAAGTGTACTTACTGAAATATTGATCAGGGTCCTATTGTCGTGTAAATCTCAATGTTGCGCTTAGTTGATTATACAAATTTGTTATTGGATTTAAGGATTCTTATGTTTTTGTGCATTCTATCTTAGATGGTGAGATTGATACTGATACACATTTATTTGTTGAACTTTTGTACTTGGGTTTTCATTTCTGGAATGACACACTAAAACTGATAATGCATATATTATCTTCAGATGGCATCATTGCAAGAAAGATTGGATAAGTTCAAGAAACAACAAGAGAGATGTCAGACCACACTTACAAGCATCGCAAAACAAAATCCCAAAGCAACACCTCCGAAGCCTGCATCCTCCAGCATGTCCACTCCTTCCCCTCCAATCAAATTTTCAAATGATACGGAGAGGCTTCAACACATTAACAGCATAAGGAAAGGTCCTGTTGGGGCTCAGATTAAAAGAGTGATAGACTTGCTTTATGAGGTAATATATGTGCTAATTTCATTGCAATTGTGTCTTATTCTTTTGAGCTCAGATTAAAAGAGTGATAGAGTTGTTTTTCTCTCTTTTCTTTTTAATGATGATTGCAAGAAACTACTACTTGAAGTCTTGAACTGTTTGGCATTTAAATTACAACTTAACTAGTTTCAACGTCTTCCCTTAGGAGTCAATTGAGAGTTTATTTCAATGTGAGAGAAGTGATAAATCAATTAAACATGTCCTAGTTCATCTTGTTATCATATTGGCAGACGAGGCAAGCGCTGGATCCGGACGAAATAAATAGGGAATGTTATGTTGATTTGAATGCAAATAAGGCTGTCTTTGACAGTTTGAAAAAGAACCCAAAGGTGAATTATGATGGGCGTAGGTTCTCTTACAAGGTAATTCCTCCTTGTTTTTTTTTAATAATCGTATTAGTTGTGGAGGTTAACCAGGACAAAATTAGTTGTGGATATTTCAAGCTCTTTACATTCTTTCTGGTGTATACTTACATGGTGTTGTATGTTTCAGTCTAAGCATAACATAAGAAATAAGGATCAGCTACTCGACTTGATCCGCAAGTTCCAGGAGGGCATTGCTATAATTGATCTCAAGGATTCATACTCCAATGTCATGCAAGACTTGCAGGTATATTACTATCTTGATTGAGTTCCAGACCAGTATGAACTTGAAAATTTGTATGGCTAGTTTGCATGTAATTTTTCTAATGAAGAACATCAGCATGCTTCTTATTGTTGATTGCTGTCAAGTTTGTGCTGTGGATATGAATCTCTTGGAGATTGGTTGTAAATTGGTGAGTGCATGTTGCATTGTAGAAGTTTTTCTTGGTTTAGGATTGAGTTGATTGCACCATTCTCTTTTGGCAGTCACTCAAAGGCACAGGTCAGATATGGCTGCTCTCCAATTTTGACTCACAAGAGGACATTGCCTACCCAAATGATCCAAGGGTTCCCATTAAAGTTGACGAAGATTTAAAACAATTGTTTCGGGGAATTGAATTACCTCGTGACATGCTCGATATTGAGAAGGATCTTCAAAAGAATGGGATGAAACCCGCTACAAACACAGCAAAGAGAAGAGCCATGGCGCAAGTTCATGGAATATCCAACAAGCCCAAGACGAAAAAGAAGAAGCACGAAATCAGCAAGAGGACCAAGCTTACGAATTCTCATCTTATGCACCTCTTCCAGTAATTCCTATATCCCTGGAGGAGATTGTAACACTTTCAGGAGCAAAGAATGGCTCCTCATCATAAATGTTTATATAATTTTTATTCACCAGCGACGTTAATTGTTCAATTTTGTCATTTGGCTTCTGAATTGTAGAACCTGGCCCAATTTGACATGTGGTCAATGCTACTTAAATTTGTATGTATAGTGGATTGTATAATGCACAATGCATGTTGCTGAAAAATAAGACGTTGGTTTACAATGTTTTTGTTTTAGCTCATCCATTTGCTTCATGCTTGTTTTCTACATTTTTTTTTCTCATGGGGTAAGATTGATTGTGTGAAATGGCAAGTTTTTCTTACAATTTGGGTGTCGTCAACCAATTAGCCTTGTATCTTTTGCATTATATTTTAATCTCTATTATGATTGCCTGAAAATATAAACGTAAATTAATAATCCTTCATCAGTTTTTTTTTTTTTTTAATACGTTGGAAGCCATTAGGCTTTAGCTTACAAAACATCCTTTAGGGAGCGGGGTGATTCTACCCAATCTAAATTTAACCTTTGACGGAGGAGTTGACAAAATATAGTTCCCACAAGGACATGAGAACTCGAATTTTGCCAAGGCAGCGGGATGATCTTACCCAACACAATCTAAATTTAACCTTTGACAGAGGAGTTGACAAAACATGGTTCCCAAAAAGGCACGAGAAACCAAATTTTGCCAAGGAACGACATTTTGATTCCGTCGGGTATTCTTCATCAGTTTTAGGAAGGGGAATAAATTAGGAAGGGGAGTAATCCTTCAAGATCCAAAATTGAGCCCACGTCCGAAAAGCCCAGTTAATAAATTAGGAAAGTAAATCAAATGCTACCTACGTATGCTTTTGATGCAATAATCTATGAGGTACCTTAGAAATTTTAACTCTGGACTTGCCAGTCCAACAAAGTACTAGTTGGAATGTAACATAAGCTTAAAAGCTTCTTCAGTGCAGTAAGAAAAAATAATAATAACAATCCATAAGATGATTTCCGCACTTGTGGTAATAGAGATAACGCAAGCTTATGCTGCTTGTGTTAAGACAAATCATTTTAGAAAGGAGATGCAATAATTTATAAGATGATGGTTTTCCGCACTTGGTAGTGATGGAGATAACACAAAATTTATGCTGCCTCTATGTTAAGGACAGGAAGAGAATATTAGATATGAGAATAACTAAAGACTCTCCATGTGTAGCCTCAGTTGTTGATAACTATAATACAATTCAAAGAAGCAAAGCTGTGGGGAGCAATATCAACTGCTAATCATGGTATGTGACTAGCCGTCAGTGGACCGTTATGGTAGCTAAACTCAAGGCACACTTGAAACATGATAGAAATGAGAATCTCATGGCATGATCAAACATTTCAAGATTTAAGTTATCAAAAAAGTCCAAAAAAATGAAGAGTTTCTTCTCGTTCATTGCAGCCTATGAATCGACCAACAGATACTCAGACTCGGCCAAAGGAAACATTCCAAGAAGAATCTGTAACTTTCAGAAGAACAAATGGAAATTTGCGAAATAAGTAGCAAGGAGTGATACGAGTTTCAGCTTTCTTCTTAAATTCTAAGCCTAAATGACCTTTAGCAAATGGGTTCAGTGTTTTCAAGTTGTAATCCTACTTGGCAAATCTTGGAGTAGTTTAAAAAATGAGTTACCCAAGATTGAAATGATGCTACAACCACTAAAATCAATTCCGTAAGGGAAGAAGGTTGAAATGGTACTAATTCAGTCACAAGTCAATGTAGAAAGGAAGGAATATTATAGAACATACAACAGGATTTGAGAAGATACCAAAGGTTGAGGTGGTGCTAATTCACTCAAAAGTCACAGTAAAAATGGAATACTATAGAACATTGACACCACAGGATTTCTGAAGATAACTTTACGGATCAAATAATTAGTCCAGCAATGAATATCCAAGGGCCTGTTGTTCATCAGTCTCCTGGTTCTGTCAAAGAAGCTATGAACTCTCACATGGGAACCAAGGAGCTCAAGAACCAATTGTGTTTGCTCTGCTCGAAGAATGTGGACCACCTTCTGGCCAAATTCTTTACACTAGGAAGCTACAGACTGCTAAAAGTTTTCCAGAGTTCTTGAATGTTTCTCAAGCTAATCTCAACTATATCATTTTAATCATTGCGGTCATGGTATCATAGGCCTAAAACATGCAACAACCATCTTAGTATGCACAAAAAAAACTAATGATCACATTTTCCAAGCATCGAATGAACTTCTACATGAAATTCCAAAAACACGAGCAAACTTCAACTTAGCATGCACAAGCCAAACTAATGAACCGGGTAAAAAGCATCAAATTAACGAGAATGGAATAAGTTCCTTCATACCATTCGCAAGATTCTGAATATGCAGCAGCACATTGGGAACCAAGTTAAAATCTTAAATCCGATGAGTCAAAACACTAGAGAGTAAACCACGAGGCTAATGTATGCCGTTAAGATCAGAATAAAACCTAGATTAACACTTCATCTTTAGCTACTAAATCGCGACAAAACGATACTGATGGTAATCTAGCAAGTCACACTCACAAAAAATCTCAAAAACCCCTACTAAGAGCGAACCTGTTCCATAGTCATCTCCGGCATAAACCAAGAAACCACCACCCTCACTACTACCTTAACTCCAAAATCCAGTAACCCAGACCCACAATTATGCCTTAATCCTGTCAACAATGTCAGAAACAACCTTATCCATGTCAAGTTCCTTCATAGGAGTAAAGGGCCTCTTCATATCCAGAAGGCTGATAAACGTCTCCCCATCTTCACCATCTTCCCTAATCTCAAAGCAACCCTTCCTGGGCTTATCTGGGTTCAGAACCACGGTGACCGAACCATCAAGATCTTTCTCCAACGCCTGCTTGACATGCAATGCCCGGGTTTTGAACGAATTGCACTGCTTGCAATGCTCCACAATAATGGTTTTCTTGGGACCATCGCCGTGAGCTGACTTGGTGTCGGTCTCGGCTACTTGTTTCTCCACAGGAACAGAGGAGCTGGGTTTCGCCGTCTTTGCCTTGGGCTGCTTGGGGGATTTCTTGGCTTTCTTCATAGGAGGTGAAATTGGGTCGAGCTTTGCCTGGCGGGTTCCGCTACGGGTGACCCGAGCTGAGCTCCGGGTGACCCGGCCTGAGGGCTCCACGGTCGTCTTCTTCCTGGGCGCCATTGTTGTTGTTTGATGCTCTGACGAAGAAGAAGAAGAAGAAGTGAGGAAATGGATCTTTTAGTGAGTTGACCACTTTCCTCAACAAATTTTTTTCTCTGCTAAATTTTCCTCTCTTTTCCGAAATATGATGGGGGGAGCAATAACCGCCGGGTTACATACATTTAAGGTCTAAAACTGCCTTTTCATTTTCTTGATATTTTCAAGTACATTTTTCTGTCGATATAATTTTCTATTTTCCTTCTACGAAATGAATAATATTTTACGTCTTCGTGTGACTTAATTTTCATTTCATTTTTATATTAATAATTATAAGAAAAAATGAAAAAAAAAGTTAAAAGTGGCTATGTGTAAAATACTAACAATTGTGACACTGGCGCCAATAAGCGTAGGCACATTCCCGCGTTATTTGACGGCTGTGATTTAACCCATTCGTGGGCCCAGGAAGCTGATGAAGTATCCATCCATCATGACGAAGAAGTGGAAAGGGTGAATTATCCAATGTTTCAAGCGGCTGGATGTGACAACTGTCACACCAATGCAATTACACAGTCCCCCTAAAATAGAGAATACAGTATTCTTATAGTTGGCTTGCTATATACAACGGGGATAATTCTCTTCATTGAATTATTATAAAAATAAGAGACCTTTTATTGAATTCAAAAAAATACATTGTTAAATTGGGAGGGAAGAAGTGGGATTAAAGACATGATAATAATGAGAAATAATATTCATAGTGATAAATCCATGATGGAAAAAAAAAATAGTAACAGAGATATGTGGACTATATTTTTTTAGTGACTTATTATGAGTTTTTCACTCTATCACTGATGACCGATCTCAATCTAGGTAACATGAGTACTTGACGACCATCATCATCTTTTTCCTTATCCACAAATGCAAAAATATCGAACAATTGTTGATTTATTTCGATGTCAACTGACCAAATGGCAAAAGAAATGGGCTTGAGGCCCAACTGGAACAGCCCTAAATTGTGCAACAAGGTTAATAGGATTAAGTTGTGCATTATATGCCTCATTAGTGAACAATACAGTTTCTTTATGAGTTGGTTTGATATATTTTAAGTTGATGTCAAACATCATAATTTCATTAATGAAATAGTAGGATTTATGCTTTTAAAAAAAATTGTAAAGAAACCACCATCAATCTAAAAGCGAAAATGAAAATAAGATAATTAAAAAAAAATGATGCACCTACACTGAGTTCCAATCCTCATCAACATTTTCCTTTGAGTTCATATTTCCTCTGTTTTTGGTGTTTAGGTACAATTTCTACACTGAGTACACTTTGTGGGAAGGCAGCAGGTATGATAGTGAGGTTAGCAAAAGTTCTTTCAAATAGCTTCGGCATTCTGAAATCATAAGATATTGTTTTATTTTATTTTAGATTACAAAAAAATGAGGTAAAATATAATTTTAAATAGCAGCCTATAATTAAACAATTCGAACAATTAAATGCAAAAGAAGTTTGTGAATGTGATGAAAAAAATCAAAAAATGGTTTATATGTGGGCCTGAGGTACTAACAGGTACTAAATCTATAACACTTCTAGTATGTACTACTTCCATTGTAACAACATTGCAAAACTCTTTATTCTAAAGCCTAGTATTACAATATCTAAAACAAACCTCACCATTATATTGATATTTTATTATTATTATTATTATTATTATTATTATTGGTTGCATAAGATCGAGTAGGTTCCAGGTGGCGTTCAGGTGAGAGCTTTCGCGATACCAGCATTAGTTGTGGTAAACCGACATTCGAAAAGTTGTGGCTCAGTGGCGGCCGCACTGTGTAGGTAAGGTCTGGTCACCTGATTCATATGACGAATTCAGAGAATTTTGGGGATAAGAAGAAGATTGGCTCCCCTGTCCATTTACGCCGTTACTAGTACTATCTTCTTCTGTTTTTTGACCACCACCACCATCATTTTTTTTCTAGTCACGGAAATCTAGGTCTCTTTGTATCTAAATCAACATCGTTCTCAGAGTCTAGATCTGTTTTTAACGGCTAACTGATAGAAATTCTTTCATTGGTGACATCATGGATGACCCATCATTCATTGGCCAACATTTAAAATCAGATCCATGAAATACCCACGGAATGGCGGCAACCAAGAATTTCTGTTTAGTTTTCTTTTTTCATCCCCCTTTAAAATCGGTTAAAATTTTGAATTAATGTATGTACGGATCTGGGTCGAAAATTATACTATAGACCCTTATTTAGTAATTAGTATAGGAAAAGAGAGCTAAAGATACAAGTCTTTATAAGTTAAAGTGAAATACACGCACCACTCTTCCTTATTTTTAAGAAATGGGTTTCAATTTTTTTTTTAATCTTCAAATGATTTTTTCTCTCAATCCGTAAAGAAATACAACAAATGTCTTATATAATTTTGATAGTATTCGATAAGATCTATCCAACAAGATCCATCATAAATATTTTTTCGAAACTTAAAAAAATTTATGCAGTAACCTTGGTCTTACTAAAAGACATTCTGGTCTTACTTGTTTCTTGTACGACCACGACCTACAGAAAAGACCAAAAGCCAAAGGCGAAAAACCAAAAGTTGAATACCAAAGAGCAAAGAGCAAAGACTAGAGTAAAGAACAAGCTTGTGTGAGGAACAATGACAAAAGACTAAAGACCAAAGACCAAGAAATCGAAGACCAAAGAGCAAAAACCGAAAACCAAAGGCCAGAGTGAAAGAGGGAGCGTTGTGTGAGGAGCAAAGACCAAAAACCAAAGAGCAAATATCAAAGACCAAAGACTCGAAGGCTAACGACCAAAGACCAATGACCGAAGACCAAAGACCAAAGACCGAAGGCCAATGACCGAAGACCAAAGACCAAAGACCAAAAGCCAAAGACCAGAGACCAAAAAAATTTTACAAAAACTAAATACCAAAGACCAAAGACCGGAATTAAAAGCGAGCGTGTGTGAAGAGTAAAGACCAAAGGCCATAGATAAAAAATCGAAAAAAATATTAGTGTGTTTAAGGTTTAGGGAGGGGGGATAAGCATTTCCTTGTCGGTTACGGTCTAGTTGTTTAGGATTTAGAGTTTAGGGGGTTTAAGCATTTTCTTATCGATTAGGGCCTAGTTTGTGCCGTAACACGATTAAACTATAATTTTTTTAAAACAAAAAAAAAATAGTGTGTTTAGGATTTAGGGGAGTTGACCATTTCCGTATCGGTTAGGGTCCAGTTGTTTAGGTTTTAGGTTTTAGGGTTCATGGGGTTTAAACATTTCCACGTCGGCTAGGGTCTAGTTGTGCTGTAACACAATTAATCTTATAAATTTTGTTAAACCAATTAGACCCTAGCCTAATTGGTTTAAAAAAATTTAAACAAAAAAAATTATGTGTTTAGATTTTAGGGGGATTTAACCATTTCTGTGTTAGTTGGGGTATGGTTGTTTAGGGTTTAGGGTTCAGGGAGGTTTAAGCATTTCCGTGTCGGTTAGGGTCTAGTTGTTTAGGGTTTAAGGTTTAGGGGATTTAAGCATTTCCGTGTCGGTTAGGGCCTAATTTCTGTCGTACAATTAATCTTATGAATTTTTTTTAAAACCAATTACACTAGGGTCACGTGACCCAAGTCTAATTAGTTTAAAAAAATTTAAACCAAATATATATATATATATATATATATATATTAGTGGGTTTAAGCATTTCCGTGTCGGTTAGGGTCTAGTTGTTTAGGGTTTAGGGTTTAGGGGAGTTTAAGCCTTTCCGTGTTGGTTCGGACCTAGTTTGATCTTTTGACCATTGGTCTTTGGTCTTTGGTCCTCATACACACTCGCTATTCATTTTGGTCTTTGATCTTTCATCTCTCGGTTTTTGGTCTTTGGCCTTTTGTCTTTTGTCTTTTGTCTTTGTTTTTTCACATATGCTCCCTCTTCACTCTGGTTTTTGGTCTTTGGTCTTTGGTCCTCACATGCGCTCGCTCTTCACTTTGATCTTTGGTCTTTGATTTTTTATCTTTGCTCTTTGGTATCCAATTTTTGGTCTTTGACCTTTGGCTTTTGGTCTTTTTCTGTAGGTCATGGTCCTAAAAGATACAAGTAAGACTATTACATATTTTAGTAAGACCAAGACAACTACATAAATTTTTTAAAGTTTTGAAAAATATATTCATGATAGATCTTGTTGGATAGATCTGATTTAGTACTATCAAAATGATATAAGACACTTGGTCTAGTTCATTACGGATTAAGAAATAAAATCATTTGAAAATAAAACAAAATTTTAAAACCCACTTCCTAAAATTAAGGGGAAGGGCCACGTGCATTGAAAAGGAAAAAAAAAATGTTAAATAATTATACACGAAGTCCCTCAATTATTGAATAATAAAAAAATAGTTTAAGTGCACTTAACTAGATGCATAACAACTCGATTTGGGTTAAATTGCAATAGAAACTGTGCGGTTAAAATAAAACTTGGTTAATAAAAATAGCCCCTCAGCCATTTCATTATGTATGTACGTATAAATAATAACTATTATAATTTCCGGTGAGAAGGATCAATCAGTTTCACGTCCTCATATTTACGTGTAAACTTGGCCTTGGGTTTCAGCACAAATTGGTATAAGGATGTTGTTAATTGACGTTAGACATTAAAAATGCGAATCTAATTATTTTTGGGTTTGTTTGTCCAGCCAATTCGTGTGTTTGCCAGCACATTATGCTCATTTTCGGGTTGTCCCGGACAGATCGAACACAACCAAAATAATGCTTGTGAACTGCGAATTAAAATACTCCCCATTTTGTTTTGGGAAAAAAAAACATAATGACCCTGTGAATTCGCAAATCCCAATTAAACTACTCCCTCCATTTCAAAATGTAAGTCGTTTTAGGGTTTGGAGAAATATTTTAAAATGTAAGTCGTTTTAGAATTTCAAGGCAAATTATTGATTAATTTCTCAACTTTGCCCTTAATAATGATGCTAACTATTTTTCTTCTAGTTTTGATTATAATTCCAAAACAATTAATGATGAGTAAATTAGATATTTAACACACAAATTAATTGTTAAATAGTTGTCTTCTTAGTTTATGTGCAGAGTCTAAAACGAATTATATTTTGAAATGTAAGGAGTATGTTATGGCCTTTTTTATTAATCTTTTATTTTTATAAAAATCAGTTAGTTGGTGGTGCCAGACAGCTTTTCTCCAGCTTCTAGGTAATAATGCGTAGTACTATATATCAAATGTTCTTAACGCCTCAATTATTGAACTAAATCAAAATAAATCCTATAATTGGCCCTTATGGTGTGATGCGATTGACGATACCCAACCACGTCCATGGAAGAAAACAAATGTTAAGACCAAAAAATAATTTTGACACTGACATTTAATAGATGACAACTAATTAAATTTTCTCTAATTTTTTTCTATCATGATTAATTATTATTATTTTCAAACGGAATTTATTAGTTTTGGAGAGATTTTTAAAAATGTAGGTCGTTTTATAAATTCTAGGCAAATTAATGATTATTTTTTCAACTTTACCCTCAATAAATGTTGTTAATTTATTTTTATTTAGTCTTATTTGTAGTTCCAACGTAATTAATGAGAGGTAAAAGATATTTAACATATAAATTAATTGTTAGATGATTGTCTCCTTAGTTTACGTGTCAAGTTTAAAAAGACTTACATTTTGAAATGAAGGGAGTTAGTAAGATGTTTCAAAACTCTTAAAAGTTATCATATAAAATAATATAAAAACTGTTAAGATTTTTTTGGAGGATTCTCTTGGGCTAAGCTAAACATGTTTGGTTGTTTCTTAATCCACAATGGGGGCAGTTATATTACGTCTCTGCACCAATCATGTACCGTATTTCTCAAACGGCTATTTGAGGCACATAATATCTGACCACAATCGTATACAATAATTTATTTATGAAAACTCAGCCTTAATCGTTTTACGACTGTTGGTTCGTTGAAGGGAACATGCATCACAAAATGCTATAATCACAACCTCTTACGCTCTACTGCATCGTGTTGATTATTAATTTGTGATTATACTGACTTGGTTTTCTTTTATATATGTATATAAATCAAACGGTCAACTGTGTTTAGGGGTGTCGGTTACTTGGTACAGGTTTTAAACTTTTATATCGAACAGTTAAGTCCAACTTAAAAATCTTTTTTTTTTTGGCAGTAAATTCAATAAAAATTGCTCCTTGGAACTGCATTATTGCATGATAATAAATGGTCAAGTGAGCAAATTTGATTTGCCACAAAAAAGGGTTCATTGTTTACTAGTAGTAATTTGTGTTTTGCAAATTAACTTGAACATCTCTATTTAAAAGATCTGAAAAGCATTAGGTCCAGAAACTAAAATAATGTCTACCATTATTGGATGGGAGGCCAACAAATTACAAGATATGGTTAAAAAAAATGAAATAAAACGTAGAATGATTTGATAAGGAAGTCCGGTTGTCCCATTCCGAACAGATTTGAGCCTTGATTTCGATCTTTGCTATCACATAGATAAGGACCTTGTGTTTCAGCATTTTCGGTCAAATTTGATGGAAATCTGTAGAAATAGCCAAAATTGTTAGGTTTATATATATGTTAGATCCCATATGGACAGTGACATATGCAGATGCACTAATTATCGCCGTATACATACACTACAAGAAATATTCTTTTAACTGATGTAACACCATAATTTAATCCATCTCTGAAGAAAATTTACGGTCTGTAAATTGATATTGAAATTGTTTACATTATTTTATTTGTAATGCATGAATTAAAATTGGTTCAAAATTTAATTCGTATATTGTAAATAGAATTAGCCGAATTAAAAGTAACCTTTATAGCTTGCATTTATTCTTATTATTATTATTTTTTTGCCGTGAAACGTCGTGTTTTTTTAAATGAAAAAAGGGGGAGGGAAAAAGAAAAAACCTCACGGAAGGAAATGCGTAGTGTGTAGATAATGACATTTTACTTACCCAGAACCAAGAAGGAAGACCACATATTGTAAAAATTCATCAAATTTGTTTAGACTTTGGGCAAAGAAGGCACATTACGTGATTTACATTTGTGAACATGGACGTTACACACACATTTAGCATCTCTTGACTTGGTGTAAGACACCCAAATTAATCAAATTACCCCCCGCTAACCACATACAAACAGCTGTCCACTGACGATTTGTTACTCTAGTTTAGGTGGTCAATCTATTCTTCATTTGTCTTGATGCTTCAACAATTTTTATCCCGTTCACTGCTTATGTGAGTAAATTATTCAGTGTAATAGTTACGCCGCGTCAACTTGTGTAATGAAGATACACGTAATTAAAGAAGTTTTTCAAGGAAAAGGGGAAAAAAAAAGGGAGTTATAATAATCACCTTTTATTAGTTCGTTGCACTTTTTAATGTTTTTTCCAGAATGATGAGTATCTATAAACTATATCATTCGACCTAACTCGAGAACTTAATTAACACCTCATATGATAATATTCCACACAGATTCATCATAATTTGAAGAGCTAATTATTTTTGTCTGAAAGGGAATCTCCACATTATTGAAAAAAAATAGCTGTACTTCCCTCAACAAAAGTCACAGCCTTCCACTTTTCCGCCTGGCCGCCCCCACAAAACTTTCAGTATATATATACCCTTTTCACAGTTTTTCCCCACTACAGCTCCGACTTTCATTAGCAATTTCATCTCCTCATCTTTCTTAGCTTCCACTAATATTCCTTCACATTTCTCTCTCCAAAAGCCTAAGAAATTAATCGCTATGGATTCTTCAGCTGTTAAGATTTTCTTGGTTCTCGCACTTCTAGCCACCTCATGCATGGCTCAGGCTCCATCAGCCGCCCCAACCGTCTCTCCAACAGCCACCCCGATTGCTGCCCCGACTCCGGCACCCGTTAACCCGCCATCTCCCACCCCATCTCCGACACCTGCTCCGGTTCCCTCACCAGAAAAGGCTCCCACCCCAGCTCCCGCCGCCACCCCAACTTCAGCACCCACCCCATCAGTTTCTCCGGCTTCTTCCCCGGAGGCACCCACCCCCGGAGCTGGCCTTACACCGGCTGAGCAGCCCACCGCCGACATCGCACCAAGCGGCTCCTGGGTCAACAAGGCCGTCATTGGCAGCACTGTCCTCGCCGGAACCTTCGTTGCTGTGGCTTTGATGTAAAAACAAGACGCGTGCTCGGATTACGTGGACGCTCTCATTAACCTTAGATCTGTACTTTCCACTTTTACCGACGGCTGAGATTCATTTGTTTTTTTTCCCTTTTTTTTGTTGCATTGAGTCGTAGTGTTTTTTGCATTTTTCCGTCTTTTGTATTTTTCCCGGGATATATTTGTTATTTTGTATGTTGTCTGTTTTATTTTGTATTTAATTAGGCCACTACCATTTGTGTTGATTTATTTGGATGGTGATGATACATGACTCTGTATTCATATTTTCACATTCTTAGATGAGTCCCATGTACATGAAAAATAAATGAATTCCTATTCTTTTTATGTTTTTTTTTTCCCATACACTAGTTGTTTGTTTATTGTTTGATTATAAACAACTTGTCTCCTTTTCTTAATTTCTCATCCTACAATTACTCTTTCAAAATTTTCATATTATATCAAGATACTTCTTCTTCAGAATAATAATTTCGGATATCATGAGTAATATAAACGATGAAATTTTTTTATATTATGAATGTTTCACAATTGAACGTTGTTCCCTTCTCAAATCAATGCCAATATTTATCTTTTTAGCAATATAACTCAGAAGAGTTAGTGACGGAAGGTGTTGCATTTCTGTAATTTTACGCGGATGAAATTGTAATAAATCATAAATGGTAACATGTATAAGAAAATATAAGTTGCAATCGTAGAATCAATGCTGGATAAAATCAACCAATCAAACAGCCAAAAAACCTGTCACCACCTCAACGTGCATTGGCGATGGAAATGCATCTATCGTTATTCACGGGTGCAGACGAGGGGAATTAGAATTTGGTTACAGGGAAAAAAAAAACAAAAGGGTCAATTTGCCTAGTAAGTACGTACATGATGTTATTCCTGAATGCTGCTGATCCATTTGTATTAATTAATTTACATACATTCTGGATCCGATCAGAGAGGTGGTCATAACTCATATGCCCCCATATGACAAGTAAAGGCCAAAAGCAGCAATATGCTGACAAAACAAATACAACGAGACAACATAAATAAAATAATAAAGACTTGATCAGCAAAAAGGAATCCAAAGTCGCGAGATTGGCTGAAAAAAATTATTTAGGCCGAAGACAACTGTAACACTCCTATAATTAATACTAACTATTACTTTCCAAAACGTCAAATGTTATACCACAATTTTGACATAACTATTCACTAGCGTGCCCAAAGTCAGGGTAGCTTCTTTTTTCCTTTTTTCCCTTGCCTTTCGTCTTTCGCATCTGAAAAGATGATGCCCAGAAATTCCAAAGGAATAAAGGCACTGAATTTCGAGTGTGCAATGATAAATTATTCCGATTCTCAAACACCTTCACCAGTATGCGAAGTAACAAAAGTGAGTCTTCATGAAATTATCCCATTTCAGCGTTTAAATTTTACGCTGTTTGGTGAAGGTTAGCAATTCGTAAGCAAAGTATGGGGGGAAAATGCTAGTAGTTTGTTAGGTGGGGGGAAGAAGCTGTTGTGTGCCAGCGGGGGAGGCCTGGTAAGCACATGGACCACCGACAGTGGCTTTGCTGGAAAAGTTGAAGAATTGTTTGTTAAAGGGTAGCTTTTCTTAATTTTCTTTCGCTCTAAAAAAAGAAAGGATTGTTTTCTTTGTTCAAAAAAAAAAGAAAAAAGGAAAGGATTGTTTTAATCTGCTGCACCCCCCCCCTTTTTTATATTTTTGTAGCAAGTGGTACGATAAACAAATTTATAGCTTTGGGAGGATTGATTTAGACATTTAAACCTTTTCACAGCGAAAAGATAATAATCCCTCTGATTCTTATTATAAGTCATTTTATTTCTTCTTAAGTTTCATCTAAAATGTCTTTTTAATTAGAATAAAAATCTTAAAAATCATTCATAATAATTAGGAGAACACAATAAATGAGAAAATATATATTTTAAAGTTTTTTTCTAATTAAAAAGATATCTTAGATTAAATTTAGGCCGAAATCAAAATGCCTTATAATAAGGACCGGAGAGAGTAATAATTAGGAGTGGTAGGATTAGAAGAATGTGATATGTATTTGAACGATTGGTAATAGTAATTATGAACCAATCATGTACACTACTAGACTAGGTAGGTGGCAATTTATTGTTACAATGTCAATAGAAGTTTTCAATTAAAGTACTTCTTTGGTAACTATTACATAGATACGAAGAATACTCCTTCCGTTTGGAAATAATACTCTTGTTTATGGAATAAATTAAACTACATGCTAGCTCAGCTGTTCACATGAATGATGATAGGGTGAGCTATGCAGACCAAGACACAATGGAAGTCAATGATACCAAGCGCACTTGTTAATCTCTAAAGGCAAGCAACTTGTCTGCAGGCAACCACATTCTCTCTTTGCCACACTCCCTTTCCTTGAAAACCAATTCTTTCTTTGGTCTTTCTGCTTCCATTAATTCTATGAGTTCCTGGAACCTTTTTTTGATTGTTCTAAAAGCGTTAAAACGAATTCAATTCATCGAGCCACACAACGTGTGACATACGTTTCCCTTTGACTTCTCTTGTTTGTCTATTACTCCACAGTAGGCTTTCTGTATTTTGCTCCAACTCTTTGTTTGTTTTTGTCCTTCGGCTTAAGGGATTAAATAATGTGATTAACAGACGGATGAGTGTCATAATTTTGTTAATTTGCAGCTCTACTTGTAATTTGTATTACTCTCGATACATAACGTGACTAATCAATCTTCCCAAAGTAACTTGTAAGTTCTGCATCGCATTGTTGAACAAGGAAAAATCTAATTCACATTTGCACTACCACGAAAAAGTTGACGCATGTTTGCCAATTGATTCAGGAGTCAGGACTATTGTCGACTTGTATTAGACTATCGTTGGTTTAATAACCGGGCTTCATATCTTGACGACAACGTCGATTAAGTTTTTCTTTTCCTTTTTCTTGCATGAAAACTAACCTCTGCTTACTCATGCGGTTTTACTTTGACGTAAAAAGGTTGACAAAGAGAAGTTTTTCCCTGATGTAGATTATCGTCCACTTATTCGTCTAGATCTCAACTTAGACGATAAAATCGACGAAGGAAAATTTATTCCTGTGTAGAAGTTCGTCGATGTATTCGTCAGTAGTTCTATCTCAATGACATAGTCGACGAAGAGAAAATTATTCCTGTTTACACTTTCGTCGACTTAATACATCACGATTTCAATCTCGATGAAAAGTCGACGAATAGAAATTTCCAGGTCTGTCGGAATTTCTGAAACTCTCCATTTCATGATTATGCCCACGCTTTACAATTTAATGCTAATGCCAACATCTTATAATGCTATCCTTGGGCCTTGGGCTAGCTAGTAGCAGTCGTTCAGTATCCGAGTAACGTACTATACTTCAATTCGATCTCTAGAACCAGCCTTGAGAACTGGTACTATCATCAAATCCTGGTGGCAGAAAGCCGTACCATAGTGTTTCAGAAAGTAGACAGGAGTATGTAGTCTTTAAACTGTCAAAAACTTTCAGAAACCAACTTTTAATTGGAGGAAGTTTACAAAAGCAGGAAAAAATGTTGCCTTGCTAGTTTTTGTTAACCTGAACTTTTTTTTATCCATCAACGGGTGGGAAAACACGACACCTGTGGCCTTCTTCATAGGAACACGGTAAATTTCGATCTTTCCTGAACATGCTTAGCTTATTAGCTAGTCGGAGATTGATTCCTAGCAAACGCGACCTTAAAATGAATTTGTGAATGCACATAACTCTGCCCTGCAATTTTTGTAGAAATCAATTTGGGGACGTGGGAAGGTATTAATTGCTGTTGGATCAGGATGGCAAGCATATGTGATTTATATGAACTCGGGGTGTTAGTATTAGATCAGAGTTGCACTGGCAGTGCTGATGGGCTGGGTGTTTAGGACAGGAGAAGTGGTGATTTTCTGATATCTATAGTTTGTGATGCTGTTTATATTTGTGTGCATTTGTCCTGAATGTTTATGTTACTCATCTATCCGAGTGTCAATTACACATACACAAATATATATAGATTTTTTCTTCTTCTTTCTCTTTCTTAGATATCAAATCACTTTTGGTGATAAAACTCACACAGGCTTCCAAAGCAACCATGTGTGCCATATTGAAAAGTGGGCGCATATTAGTCAGCAGGGTTCATAGACCTGAAGGTTTTCATAAGAAATAAGTCTTGGACCACGGGAAAAGAAATGCAATGATCTTGTGAAAGCAAAGGAATACTTTGACAGTTTGACTAGTGATCATGTACAACTACAAGAGAAAATAGAATAATAATTGAAGAGTCAATTCCATATATACTCGATAATTGTAGAATTATAACGTAACCACCTTGCTATTTGGATTTTCTTTTTTCGAATGCTTCACAGAGGTAATTGAGAAAAAAAAAAAAAAAAGCCTTTGCCAATGCACGTGGCTGCCAAGCAAAATCTTTTTGCCAATAATAAAAAAATCTGATGGGAGTAGTGGAATATTGACGACACCGATCAAACTAGACAACGGTCTTCGACTTGGTGTTCGTGATGCACAAGAAATGGAAATGCATATTAACAAGTTGACTGTGATACTGAAACAAGTAGTATTAAAATTGGGAGGACGTCGGTTGAGATAGGTTATCTCAATTCAAATGGGTGGGAACTAGTAGTTTAATTTTCTCGATCATTAGGTTCTTAAATAAATTGAAAAAGGGGTAAGATCTAATTTTGTATGGCCAATAATCGTAGAACGCCTTGGAGCTGGAGGTAGTTTAATTTCTTGGAAAGTAAATGATGGTGATTTGGATACTCAAAGGCAAATTTTGACTAGTCCAAGACGTCTCAGACAACAAAATCCTCACTCGCGGAAAAGTCAAACGTAGCCCCCCTGGTAATATAAGATGAGACAAAATCTTTCTTTCCTTTGCTCTCAAGCAATTTTCACGCATATATATATATATATATATATATATATGTATGATACCAACTGGTATGATACCAACTGGTAATTGAATGATTGCATTATTGAATCTCTCATTCGTTAGCCAACGCCTGAGGCAAGTGAGGCTGAAGACCGAAACAACCACATCTTCTCGAGTAGTTCGGAAATGGAGGAAACAACAGCGCCATTCCTATGCAATGCACGCTCCAGTGTTCAAAAACAGGGTAAAAAACAGAGTGGAGGTGATGAAAGTTTGTTATTGGAAGCTTGGAAAGAGACGAAAGAGCTCTGGCATATTGTTGGCCCTGCGATTTTCAGCACAGTTTCTTCATACACCATGTTTGTTATGACCACAGCCTCTGCAGGCCACCTCAGTGACACTGAACTTGCTGCCATGTCACTTGCCACTAATGTAATTTTAGGCTTCGACTTCAACTTACTGGTAATTATAATTTTTCTCCCCTTTTGTTGAACTTTTTGAGCATTAAAAATTTTCTGAACTATCAAACGCTGAAATTGTGATTAAAAAAAAAACAAAAAAACAAGTGTACTAATGTCTAATGAAATTCAATCTCATTGATCTTCAGTTGGGAATGTCGAGCGCGCTGGAAACTTTGTGTGGCCAAGCATTTGGGGCAAAGAACTACCGGATGTTGGGGATATATCTACAGCGTTCATGGATTATTCTATTCGTTTGCTGCGTCGCAATATCGCCCCTGTTATATTTCACAACACCACTTCTCAAGCTCCTGGGACAGAGTCCACAAGTAGCTGAGCTTGCTGGGACTGTGGCGTTGTCTTTTATTCCTCTTCATTTCAGCTTTGCATTTCAGTTTCCCCTTCAGAGGTTCCTGCAGAGTCAGCTGAAGAACAGTGTAATAGCCTGGGCGACTCTTGTGGCCCTAATTGTGCATTTGTTCGTGAATTGGTTTGTCCTTTTTAAGCTGAAATTGGGATTGGTTGCTATTTCACTTGCGCTTGGATTTTCGTGGTGGGTCGTCGTGTTTGTTCTACTTGGCTACAGTTTAAGTGGCACATGTCCTCATTCATGGACTGGATTCTCGTGGGAAGCATTTTCTGGTCTCTGGCAATTCCTAAAGCTCTCGGTTTCCTCTGGTGTCATGATTTGGTAAGTACCAAAACATGGCTTTAAGTACTAATAACCATTCCATCATGACAATGCAAAATTGTTTACTCATTGACTGAAATACTGTTGGATCAGCCTGGAAAACTGGTATTACCAAATACTGGTGGTTTTTGCTGCACGTGTTGGGAATTCTGTTGCTTTTGATGCGTTATCTATTTGGTAAGAAACTTCTGATTATCTGAAGCTTCGTATCATTGGACTGTCTACACCAACAAGGTAACTGAATTGGTAAAATTTTCACGCTTGTTCTTTTCAGCATGACAATCAACGGATGGGAGAATATGATCCCTGTTGGATTCTTCATTGGAACGGGGTAAATTATCAACTTTTAATAAAGCTTTTATTCTCAAGATGATTTAACAAAAAAAAAAAAAAAGAGATGACCTTTAGAATATTCTGTCATTGTGCAGAGTGAGGGTGGCAAATGAGCTGGGAGCAGGGAATGGAAGAAAAGCCAAATTTGCAACCATAGTATCTGTGACACAATCAATTCTGATTAGTATCGTATTCTGGTTCATGATCATATTTTTCCACAACGAAATTGCATTGGTTTTCACAAGCAGCGAACCGGTGCTGAAAGAAGTAAGCAAGCTCTCTGTATTTTTGGCCTGTACCATCCTACTCGGCAGCGTTCAACCAGTTCTTTCAGGTACTACACTAATTAATTTAGGGAGAAAGAGAAATGATTAGGTTTCGATGATCAAGCTTTCCACACTTCATTCATACAATCAATTTGCTGATACTACTATATATAATTATCATGGACAGGAGTTGCCGTTGGATCCGGATGGCAGTCATATGTGGCATACATTAATTTGGGATGTTATTATTTGGTTGGAGTTCCATTTGGAGTGCTGATGGGTTGGGTATTCAAGCAAGGCGTACTGGTGAGTTTTGTTTAGGTTATATTCTCATTAATGTGCTGCTGTGCAACCCATTAGCGGATCATACGTCTAAATCCATGTTCCTGATCAACTGTGAAGGGAATATGGGCTGGAATGATAATTGGTGGAGCTGCAGTTCAGACATTGATATTGGCCATCATTGTCATCAGATGTGATTGGGATAAAGAGGTAATACAGTCTTCGCTGGTCGGTTAGTTTAACTTCTTCATTCTTCAATACGAAAATGAGAAAACATCGATGAATGTGATTCTTGGATAATATTTACTCCCTTCATCCCATAATTATTGTCCAGTTTGGGTTTTCATCTCTAGTTCAAATTGTACTAAAAGTGAAATCTCAAACTGAACAATAAATTTGGGACGGAGGGAGTAACTTCTTTTCGGTGATTAAACTCTACAGGCTTTGAAGGCAGGCATGCATATTGAAAAGTGGGGGAATATTAGTCCGGCGGGTTCACTGATATGAAGGTTAACTCTCCATACAACTTGCTGAGAGTGTTAAGTGTAATCGGATATAGTTACTACGGCTATAATAACGTAGACTAGATGCTTGCCCCGGGCAAATGCCCCGAGTGCCGCCTGTATTTTTAAATCGATTAAATAAACAATACGAATTATTCTTAAAAGAATAAAAAAATAGAAGAACAAAAAATCGATTGAAAGGACAGAAAGTGAATTATTATACATAAATCTATGCCCAGATTTATAACATTTAATTTAAAACAGTTAACTTATGCCCGGATTTACATAAATCATAAATCAAAATCTACAATAGAAGAATAAAAAAAAAATCATCTTTAAAAAATCAAATTTCTTTCATGACAGCTTATTTTTTCCCTGTTGTGAAAGATGTGGATTGATAATTGATGTCAGATTTTAAGTAATTGATTTAAAGGCCCGGGCGTGAGAGAGGAGCGGAATGGAAGAGATTTTTTGAAATTGGGGATTGGGAAGACATTATTATGTTTCACTTGATTTAAGGGGATTTCCTTACATTTGATTTTATTAATTAAATATTGTTGTTTTAAAAGATTAGTATATACCTATAATTAAAAGATTTTTATGTAACTATAATTAAGGGATTTATGTATTTATCTATTCCATCTTTTTTTTCTGATTAGTTAGAGTGCCACTTGTCAAAAATGATTTTGTACTGAAAATAACTTTTGGCGGGAAAATTTTCATTGTAGTACTGACACGTGTCCTTTTTGTTTGCTGCTTTAATTAAGTACTATAGATGGAATACTAATTTCCAGAGCTGTTCCATGTTGTTACCAGGAGAAAACTACTGTCATCCTAGAAAAAAGTATATTACAATATATTCTTAAATTTTGAATTTAATTATATTTTACATTAGAAATTATCATAAATTAATATATTTACTTTATCCTAAGCCCACCAAATTAAAAATAATATACAGTTCGTGTAAAGAAGGTACAATTTTTTTTTATTGTTTTTCATTTTAGTTTAAGAAATTAAATTTTCTGAATTTTTTTTTATTAATTTATATTTATTTTAACCAACCAGAATTATGTTAGTGTAGTACCTAAACCCTGACCAATGAACGAGAAGTTTAATCGTTCCGAATTCAACAAGCATTTACTCCGGCTGGGAGTCTTCAGTATATGATAGGAAAGTTCAATAATTTGTTGGACATAAACAGAGTTCGCATAAGGCATATGCATACTCAGTAGTAGTACAAAATTGATATAAACAGATTTCGGATATGGCATATTCATACTCAGTACAAACTCTTAGAAGTTCTATGTACATAATCGGATATTAACTTTAAATGGACTTTGGATTTCGGATTAATCTCATCCAAGTCCGAAGGAAAAGCCGGCCATAAGGACATACATTGCAATTGTGCTGTCATCCTAGCGGCGGCTGTGAACAAATCTGAAATTTACTTAGGAAGATAAATTTATTTATTTATTTTGTAAATTATTCCTAATAATAATAATTATCATCGACTAATCCACAAACAAAAGAGGAATCTTGCAAAACAAATGTAATGCTCCCTTGTCTTATTTTGAAAAGCATCTTAGATTTGTCGTCAATCCCTAATCGACTCAACCAACTATTATATGAGCCCAACATGTGCACTCGTGAGGAGGACAAATTGCGAGGCGTTCAAAGCCTACAACAGTTTTCATTGGAAAATATAATATTGATACAGAGTCATGATAAAAGTGTATATCAGTATACATAGCAACATCTGACGAATTAAATAATCAAGACTGCCCAATGAAAGTATCATAGAGTGACGAGACAGATAAAAACAAAGGGTGATGAGAGACACAAGTCTGTAAAATTGTTCCATCTAAACGATACGCAGCCATTTTATATTTTATTATGTGGGAATAATGAATAATATTCTCAAAATGAACAGTAGTAGTAGTGCCCGATCCATTATAACTACTCCACTTTGTCAGAAAATATGAAAAAAATGGGATTTCAGACCAAATTTGCTTAGTCGTATAAGACAGATAAACCACGCTAACTCATCATCTGTGGCGCACTTAGTATAAAAATAAGTTTGTCGACCAAGCAATTTCACGATGTAACTCTGTTTGCTTGGCACTCTGAACTCTGAACTCTGAAGCAAGCCTAATTTCAATATTGTGGAATGGAGGACGCAGATGTGCCATTATTAAGCAATGTAGGATCCGGTGTTCTAAAACACAACAAAAACCATGGTGGAGGTGATGAATGTTTCTTACTGGAAGCTTGGAGAGAGACGAAAGATCTCTGGCACATTGTTGGCCCTGCAATTTTTAGCCTACTTTCTTCCTTCACCATGTTTGTCATCACCATCGGTTCTGCCGGCCACTTAGGTGATACTGAGTTTGCTGCCATGTCACTTGCTTGTAATGTCATTTTGGGGATCGACTACAGCTTATTGGTGATCACAAGAGCTTCTCTTTTTAAAAATTTTTTTTTTCAATTTCCCAAGTGTCCTAGCCAAGCAAAACTTTCCAATTTTGTTGACCTGAACTTTATTCTTCTGTCAAATAATTAAAGGGTTCTCATTGATTTTTCAGCTAGGAATGTCGAGTGCGCTAGAAACTTTATGTGGGCAAGCATTTGGGGCAAGAAATTACAGGATGATGGGAATATATCTGCAGCGTTCATGGGTTATTCTGTTTGTTTGCTGTGTCGCAATGTTGCCCTTGTTTATCTTCACAACACCATTGCTGAAGCTATTGGGAATGTCTGCAGAGGTGGCTGACCTCGCCGGGCTGGTGGCGGTCTCTTTTATTCCACTTCATTTTAGCATGGCATTTCAGTTTCCCCTTCAAAGGTTCCTGCAAAGCCAGCTGAAGAATGATGTTATAGCCTGGGCGAATTCAGTAGCTCTTGTGGTGCATCTGATCTTGAACTGGTTAGTTCTTTTCAAGCTGAAGGTGGGATTAGTTGCCATTACACTTGCTCTAGGAGTTTCTTGGTGGGTTCTTGTGCTTGTATTACTTGGTTACAGTGTGAGTGGTGCATGCCCTGATTCATGGCCCGGATTCTCATTCGAAGCATTTTCTGGTCTCTGGCCATTTCTGAAGCTCTCGATTTCTTCTGGTGTAATGATATGGTAAGAATTAAAATCAGAGTGCAGAAAGTGAATTTTCATTGTTTACTAACTTCGGGTTCAATGTATAGTGTCCAATTTAGGTTTTTAATTTTAGTTCGAAATGTACTAAAAGTAAAATTCCAAATTGGACAATTATTTTGGGACGGAGGGAGTAGTTCTACTAACTTCATTTGTATTGGACCAGCCTGGAGAACTGGTACTACCAAATCCTATTGCTGATTGCTGGACGTGTTGGCAATCCTGTTTCTTTTGATGCTTTGACAGTTTGGTGAGTAAGTTGTGGAAATTGAATCCGAAGCACCTAATTTATAAAGAAGGTAATAAACATGTGACAATAGATCTCTCTGAATTTACAATTGTTTTTTCAGCATGACCACCAATGGTTGGGAGTTTATGATTCATTGTGGCTTCTTCATTGGAACCGGGTAAATTTCTTTGTTTCATTTTGTCTGATTTTGTTTACAACACATAATAATGGCGTGATAAACTTGAAACCGAATCGATCGATGCGCAGAGTCAGGGTTGCAAATGAACTGGGAGCAGGGAATGGAAGAAAAGCCAAGTTTGCAACCATGGTATCAGTGACAGAGTCAGTTGTAGTTGGTATAATCTTCTGGTTTGTGATCATGTTTTTCCACAATCAAATTGCATTGGCTTTCACCAGCAGCAAACCGGTGTTGGAAGAAGTAAGCAAGCTTTCCATATTTTTGGCCTTCACTGTCCTTCTCAACTCTGTTCAACCTATTCTTTCAGGTAACAAGTTTAAGAATCAAAACAATATGTTTCCAACTAACTAAATTTCAGGTAAAATTTGATGAAATAATTATCCTGGGCAGGTGTTGCAGTTGGATCAGGATGGCAATCGTATGTGGCATACATTAACTTGGGCTGTTATTATATAATTGGACTCCCACTTGGAGTTTTGATGGGGTGGGTCTTCAGGCAAGGTGTACTGGTGAGTTTCTTCTGATTTTCTACACCTTTGGGGATTTTGTTCATAAACTCATGCATTAATTGTCTAAACGTACGTTACTACCATGCGAAGGGGATCTGGGTTGGAATGATGACTGGTGGAGCTGCAGTTCAGACAATGATATTGGCCTTCATCGTCATCAAATGTGATTGGGACAAAGAGGTATTGTTATTTGATCTTCGACATCTTCCATTCAATGTGGTTTCAAATTTTCAATTTTCGCACCAAATGTGAAAAACACAAGTGTCTCAAGTATCTTTATAGTTTAAAAGTACAACAATTGTTGAACTTATACAGGCAATGAAGGCAGCCATGCATGTGGAGAAGTGGGCGCATATTGGTCTTGAGGGATCACAGACTGAAGTTTTCATGAGCAAACATTAATCAACGAAAGCAGTCTGCAGCGTAAAGTTCTCTCTCCCGATCAAAATGATTGCCCAAGTAAAAATCTAAACATTACTTGCAATCATTTTGGAATAGAGACATTAATTTACGAGAATATGAGTATCTTTCAGGGTATTTACAAGTGGTTCGGAGTAAAATATGACGTGTAAGTAACTATTTTTAAGGCATGGAGAGATGGACAGTTACTAGAAGTAGCTTAGTTAGCTGGAACCGTGACATGTTGCAATTCAGCTTTGCATCCCAGTATCCCTTTAGAGGTTTCCAGCTCCACCAATGTGATTGCTTGGGTCAATCTGGTGGTTCTTGTTGTTCATTTGTCTTTGAGTTGGCTGGTATCAATTAAGATAACAAAAAAGTTGATTTTCTATTGTTTGTTGATAACTTTGTTGATTTGAGCAATTCACTTTCTAAACGATCTTAGTTTTTCGCACACTTGGTTTTTTTTTTTTTTACAAGCATCATTCGTTAAAAAATTATAACTCAAATTTTGAATGGAGGAATGAAATTTTCTGAATCTTTCAGAACTAACAAAAATTCAAACAACGCAATATTGTCGTATTAGACCTGTGGCAAGGGATTATTGAACAACCCATCATTTTTCCTTTTTTATCATCAATAGCAAATCTTCATCCAAATTTACAATTTTAAATGAGGATGATTTCATTGGAAAGAGATCTCCGTATTCAAGATTTAATGTGGATGGGGTGTTTTTTATTTTGACGCGATTTTAGTTTTTCCTTCACTCCGTGTTCATATAAATACGATTGATGTTGAACCCAAAGTCCAAAGTCAAAATGATTTAAGGTGCTTAACCTTTAAATGTTTTTCATGATGCACGATAATTGACAAACAAATTATGCATGCGTAGTTAATTTTGAGACGGAGAAAAGTATAGAAACCTGATTTTTGTGGTTTAGAGCAAAACCGTAAAGAATAAAATTTTGATTCATCGCCACCCCACTCCTCCTAAATAGGATAGTGACAACATTGGACTTTTCAGCATCATATTACTAAATTAGGTTCAATTATTTTGGAAGGAGACTGCCTTCTGCTAATCTTTATAATTATGTATAAAACAAATGAATTTATTGCGCAGTAAATGAAGATGAGGGACCAAAGCCAGGCTAAAGAACTGTTGCCTTCATAATCAGGCGCAAACCGCCCCGATTTCGGGTTTCTTTCTTCTTCTGTGTAAAAATGGAGGACTCAAACTTGCCTTTACTGCGCGATTCACGTTCTAATAGCGTACAATCAAAGTCGGCTGCATTTGATGAAGAACAGAGTTTGTTAAACAGAGTGTGGAATGAATCAAAGCAGCTGTGGCACATTGTTGGCCCTACAATTTTCAGCCTCTTATCTTCCTACACCATGTTCGTCATTGCTCAGGCTTCTGCCGGCCATCTTGGCGACCTTGAACTTGCTGCCATGTCGCTCGCCAGTAACGTCATCGTCGGGTTCGATTTCGGCTTATTGGTACTCCACAATATCGCTTCCCCTGTTTTGTCATTTGTTACAAAATTGGCTTTCTGTAATAATAACAGTGTTATAGTTGGATTAATTCTTATTGGGTTATTCTTCAGTTGGGAATGGCTAGCGCCCTGGAAACTCTATGCGGGCAGGCGTTTGGAGCGAAAAACTACCCGATGTTAGGCATATATTTACAGCGTTCATGGGTTATTCTGTTCTGTTGCTGTGTGCTAATCTTGCCTGTGTATATTTTCGCAACGCCGATTTTGAAGGCATTTGGTCAGTCTGCAGAGGTAGCTGAGCTAGCTGGAATTGTGGCTTTGTGGTTTATTCCGCTTCATTTCAGTTTTGCATTTCAGTTCCCACTTCAGAGGTTCCTCCAGAGCCAGCTCCACAACAGCGTAATTGGATGGGTCAATTTTGTGGCTCTGATTGTGCATCTGTTTTTGAGCTGGTTGGTTGTGTTTAAGCTGAATTTGGGATTGGCTGCCATTTCATTGACACTGAGCTTTTCATGGTGGGTTGTTGTGTTGGGTTTACTTGGTTATACCATGTCTGGTGCCTGTGCCCATTCATGGACTGGATTTTCTTTCGAAGCATTTTCAGGTCTCTGGCCATTCTTTAGGCTCTGTGTTTCTTCAGGTGTCATGCTCTGGTGAGCCTAATAGATTTCCCAGTTTTCTTTTATCAGGAGCCGATAACGAATTTCAAAATCTCTAATATTTTGTCATGAATCATCGGCTTTCAATTTTTCTTGAACCAGCCTGGAAACTTGGTATTACCAGGTCCTAGTTGTGATTGCTGGACAAGTTGCGAGCTCTGCATCAGCTTTCGATGCTTTATCAGTTTGGTATGAACTTTCCAAAAACAAGCTCCATCAAAACACATTTTTCAAAACTAATTATTTAAACTAATTATGCTTTTGATCCTTCAGCATGACAATCAATGGATGGGAGAACATGATTCCTATTGGATTCTTGATTGCACTTGGGTAAACTTTGTTAATATGCCTTTCATTATAACTTCCCTGCTAAGTGATCATAATGGTTTCAGATGAAATTACAAAGCCTTACTAAAATTTTCTGATTTTGGCATTGGCTCCTGAATGCAGCGTAAGGGTTGCAAATGAACTGGGAGAAGGGAATGGAGGAAAAGCCAAATTTGCAACCATAGTGGCAGTGTTCCAATCAGTTGTACTGGGTTTAATTTTCTGGGTATTGATCATATTTTTTCACAACAAAATTGCGCTGCTATTCACAACCAGCAAACTGGTGTTGAAAGATGTCAGCAAACTTTCAGTATTATTGGCCTTCACCATCCTGCTAAACAGTGTTCAACCCATTCTTTCGGGTATGACTTGCGTGTCTAAAAATGGAATATACGTATATATATCAGTTTTCTGGTTGCATTCATTTATTTCTATGTGACTTAATTTGCTAAAAACATTTTATGTGGTTAGGCGTTGCTATTGGATCGGGGTGGCAATCATACGTGGCTTACATAAATTTGGGTTGCTATTATTTGCTTGGAGTCCCACTTGGAGTCTTGATGGGTTGGGTTTTCAAGCAAGGAATCATGGTAACGTGCATACTTGATTCTTTTAAATGAATTTTTTTTTCTTTAACGTGCATACATGATTCTTTTAAATGATTTTTTTTTAAAAAAAAAACTCTTTTTTCATCCCATTTAAATGTGCTAAACATTCAACAAAATAAGTATTGATAAAATTTTACACACGATGCACATAAAGTCAGGATTAGTGCTTTAATTTTTAATTCAAAATTATTATTTTGTCTTGATTAGAAACACACACGATAGGATTTTGCTCATATGGTGTCTTTTAGTCGAAGAAAATACTATGTATGACACGTTACATGGAGCGGTGCATCTTAGGGAAGTATTATCGGTTTAAGAGAATATTTGCTTTTTAATTGAGCCTTTTTGTTTCACTAATTTGCCAATATTTTCGTTCTTTCGTTCTGCAAGACTACTGCAATAATAATAATAATAATAATACTTATATTGATGAAATTTATGAAGGGAATATGGGCCGGAATGGTATTTGGCGGAACTGCAATGCAAACGCTGATTTTAGCCATTGTCGTGATTAGGTGTGACTGGGACAAAGAGGTATGCCAATGCCATAATGTGGAGATTCTTTTGTCGTTTAATCATCTTCATTTCCTCTACTCGTACAGGCATCTTCTTTTAAAGCCTGGAAAAAACATTGAAAATTACAGTTCGTATTTTAGCTAATAAATGTTTGGTGGTGATTTCCCGCAGGCTTTAAAGGCAAGTATGCGCGTCAACAAGTGGGCAAATACGTAAAACAGGACTAGTAATTTTTCAAACGGAAGGAATACAGTTGTTTACTTGTTTAGTGATGTATCTCACTCATATACATAAAGACAATTAATTTTGCAATTATGTTCAACAATTTTGTGCTCACAATTTGATGGAGACTGGCCGTTGGCCTACTTATCCTCGCCAAGGTGAGGGGTTGAATCACAAATGGAAAAGACACAACAAGAAGGATTTATTAATAGAATTTTTTCTACAACTTATAATCACGCAACTTGAAGGATACGAATAGAAGTAAAATGGAGTAGTGATAGGTACATGAAAAAATTACAATAAAAATTTACAAAAAATGATGTATCATTCATCAAAATTATGCCCTAATCTTAAATACTTAAATTCCAAATGAAAAGTTAAAAAAATGAACGGTTATGATCATTTTTCCTTATCATTTTTCCTTATCATTTTTTCCTTCCTAAAATACACAAGCTACATCTTCTTTTGTTTTTTTTCTCTCTATTTTGTGTGTGTGGTTTTCCTGGAACGACATTCGCTCATCTTGGCTAACTATGCACATTCCCTAATCCTCAGATTTGTGGACAATTTGAGAGGATGCATCAGCTACGTCAGTCGCATTGTTGACTTTCTTGTCGCATGCATGCAATGCATTTTTTCGGCTGCTAACAGTACGTTGCGACGTAATTAACTCTAAGATATTGCTTTCGCAATTGCTTACGTTTCTGTAATAGCCTTGGTCCACAAGTACAAAATTATGGTACTAAAAAGTAAAGGGTAAAAACCAACAGCGTCTCGGCGATAAAGACTGATGAGACGTTCTTCAAAATAATCAAGAGTAACCCACACTGTTGCCACAAGTTATTGTGTCTTATATTCTTCTGTTCATAATTTCCATCCACGGTTTGTGATGTGGCTTTGGATTCCATCTTTCTAGGTTGGACTTTTTGGTGTTACACTTAAGTTATTATCTTAATATTTTGTCACATATCTTTATAATTATTGTTAATAGTGCAACTAAAGAATACAATAAATTGAATCCTACCAAAAAAAAAAAAAAAAAGAAGAAAAAAAACCTGATTGGACATAAGGGGAAGGAGAGGGATCTGGCAAAATGATGAGGAAAATACAAACGAGCCTTCTTCGAAATGCATGGAATGGGCATAGTTTGGAATTGCGGGCGTGGCGGAAGTCGACATATTCGAATACTACGAGAATCCAAAATGAAACAAATGACCCTCAAACTGATTAATTCTTGCGGACGAAGAAATGTTGACCATTGCCTGACTTAGCTTCACAGTCACATGTTCCAATCCTTCTTAAGCCATCAACTTAATTTGTAATTGCCCCCACCCATAAAAAAAAATCTCTTTGCAAATTGGCATGTATTTGGGGCTTGATTGCTGTTTTACGACTTTTTTTAATTGGCACAAAATTTGACGTCTCTATTCAACAATCTTAAAGAAAACAAAAAATGGACTCGTGCATGATATACAGCGCATCTACAAGATTGGAAAGAACAGCACGACAAATATGATTATGAGGAAGAGATTGGGAATAGTTAGATATGTGTGCCGAATAGATTTTAGTAAATCAGTAAGGAAAATATTTCTGTGGTTGCTGAGTGACACGTGGGTTTACTATGCCACAATCGATTGTATCTCTGTCTGAACTTGGTGACGAGGAGGGATGCTAATAATAAGTTTTATTTACTTTTTTTTTTTTTTTTGGTTATGGTTATAACTTTTCGATGTGATATGATAATTAATTTATGATAAGAAGAGGAGACTAGCTTGTTCCTCTCTTTTCTCTTTCCCCCTCTCTATTAATAAATTATACGGAGTGTGTAATAGAAAGAAGAAGACTTATTGCACTTCTTATAATTTAGTATGCCGCTATATGACCTCTAACAACTTGCAGGTACTTTTTTTTTTTTAAAAAAAAAAGAAACTTCCTGGTAAACTTGATAAACACTTCAAATTGACTGGTAATGTTAGTTTTCAGGTCAAAAAAATTCTAAAAGGCATCTAAGTTCACTGAATTTTCCATGGCGCTCATAATTATTATTAGTACTTTACAAAGACTTATTTGCATATGCTTTTTAATAAGGAAAAAATGATTTGATAGCCAAAAGCAACGTACGTACGCTCACAATCGAACTCGCGTCATCAAATGCGTATCTATGGACAGGGATATCCGTTGTTCTATAAATAGCAGGAGCCAAGTTCGCCCTTTTCCTCTTTCCTTCTGTTTCCAACCTAGAGAACTCTAGGTTTCAGTTCTATCGTTGATTAATTAAATTAATCCAAAACATGTCCAAACAAAGGTACGTAGAAGAAGATGTAAAAGTACCCTTGTTAGAAACAAAAAGGGAGGAATCGGATGAAGATCAATGTCTATCACGAAGGGTTCTGATCGAATCCAAGAAGCTATGGCGTATAGTCGGTCCGGCCATCTTCGGTCGGATCGCTTCATTTTCCATGTTCGTCGTTACCCAAGCCTTCGCCGGTCATCTCGGCGAACTTGAACTCGCTGGCTTGTCCATTGCTAGTAGTGTCATTTCTGGCTTCGACTTTGGCCTTATGGTAAAAAAAAAACTCTCAGTTCTCCAAAACTAATTCAACAAATACGACTCTTTTTTATTTAATTATAAGGCGAAACCAATAACCGTATTTTCTTTTTTCGCTCAGTTGGGGATGGCAAGTGCACTAGAAACGTTATGTGGACAAGCATTTGGGGCGAAGAAATATCACATGTTAGGAATATACCTACAACGTTCGTGGATTGTGCTTCTATTATGTGGCCTTTTAACGTTACCATTGTACATATTTGCGACTCCAGTCCTAAAGCTTCTGGGACAACCGGATGATGTGGCTGAGCTTTCTGGGGTTGTGACCTTATATTTAATCCCTCTTCACTTCAGCTTCACAATTCAGTTTCCGTTACAGAGGTTCTTGCAAAGCCAGCTGAAGAACAATGTGACCGCTTTGGTCCAGTTTGGTGCCTTTGTGACTCACGTGATGTTGAGCTGGATAGTTGTGTCTAAATTCAAGCTCGGATTGCTCGGCGCCACCGCGGTTTTGAATATTTCGTGGTGGCTTATTGTGGTGGGATTGTTTGCTTACACTGTTTGCGGTGGGTGTCCTCAAACTTGGACTGGTTTCTCTTTTGAAGCATTCTCTGGTCTGTGGGAGTTCATAAAACTTTCTGCTTCTTCTGGGGTCATGCTTTGGTATGTTTTTTGTTATTATTATCATTTTTTATACTCCCTCCGTCCTATAATTATTGTCCAGATTGAGTTTTTATTTTTGGTTTAAATTGTACTAAAAATAAAATCTGAAACTGGATAATAATTTTGGGACAGAGGGAGAAGTTGTGTTGAGCCATTCTTTAGTAATTTGGTTAAATCTATGATGATTAGTTGGTTGGTGTGTTTCACGAATATTATATGTTCTAATGTGTAACAATGGTTGCCTTTGTCTGACTTTGACGCAGTCTGGAGAACTGGTACTACAGGATATTGACTGTTCTGACTGGAAACTTGCCGGACGCTAAAATAGCTGTTGATGCTTTGGCAATTTGGTAAGTTTAATAAACAGTCCGGGGGAATTAAAAACTTCATATCAATTTTTAGTCTGCTTTCATGCATCTAATGCAATTTCCAGCCACCTACACTGGTCGTAATCAAAGGCATTTTTTTTTTTACCAATAATATGTGGTAGATGTCAGTCATGTCAGGCTAATAATCAATTCCCGATCGGATACCAATGAATCAAATTCAATTGATAATTGAAATTTGACCATACTGAGATTCAAATGCGTAACCATATTTAGTCATTATTGATTTAATTAGTGGTATTGTCCTTCGAATCTTGTTTACGTTAGTCATTTTTTATTTTACCTGCAGTTTCACTTTGGAAGAATGATGATTTACCAGCTAAAATCAAGTACTTGTTACATCTTGAGTTGGCTTAACTTTTGGAATTCTCCTGGTAGATAAACCAATAAAATGAGTCCACCAGCTAGCTAGACAGTTTCTTGTAGTAGTTTAAATCACAACCATGACATGTTTCTTTTCCTAGTCAAAGTCTGAAAAACGAGATAGGCCCATAAAACAGTTGGTACTATAATACATTTACCAGCACCAGCTAAGATATGATTTTTGGTGATGAAAAAGTTTATTTAATGAATTTGGTGGACACACAAACACGCAGAGAGTAGTTTGTTTGAAATGACCCGCTTCAATCAATGCTGCAGCATTTTTCACCACTAATAGTTCTGATGGCAGCATATGTGATGTCTTTTTTGTGTGATTTGGCAGCATGAACATTAATGGATGGGAGATGATGATTCCTCTGGGATTTTTCGCGGGAACTGGGTACGTTTTCCGTTTGCTTCATTGATGCGTACATTAGTTTTGTTTCTTTCTGCATATCATTGAAGTGGTCTCCCAGCAAAACTACATTTTTTTCTTGCTCATTAATTATGGAAAAAGAAATTTACAACTTTTCAATGCTAAAATATGTAAAGATACCACAAATTTAAAAATACAATTATTCTGAAAAAAAAAAAAAAAAGCGATGAACGTTTTTTGGCGTCGTTCAACAGAGTAAGGGTTGCGAATGAACTGGGAGCTGGAAACGGGAAAGCAGCCAAGTTTGCGACAATCGTAGCAGTGTCACAGTCCATAGCGATTGGTTTCATTTTCTGGCTGTTTATCATATTCTTCCACAGTCAACTGGGCTTCATTTTTACAGATAGCCCAGTTGTTATTGAGGCTGTCCACAGGCTCTCAATTCTCCTCGCTTTCACCGTTCTTCTCAACAGCGTCCAACCCATTCTTTCAGGTACACATCACCATATTTAATTAGTTTTATTTTTTGAATATATATAAATGTAGAGTCTGATTTTGTTCAATCAAACGCATACGTGTAGGGGTTGCTGTTGGTTCTGGGTGGCAAGCATATGTGGCCTACATAAATTTGGGTTGCTACTATTTACTTGGGGTGCCTTTGGGTTTTACCATGGGATGGGCTTTCAATTTCGGAGTGAAGGTATGTGAAAATTGAAATAGTATCATTTTCATTTTCTTTTTTCTTTTTTTTTTCACAATACCCTAGGCGACAATGTAATAAATCCAAAAGAAAAAAAAAAAAATTCAATACTCGTTTCAGTACATGTTTTTTTGTTAGGAACAAGGAATTTTGGTTGTGACTAGTGGCTTTTGACCTGACTTAGGGAATATGGGCCGGAATGATATTTGGTGGAACTGCAGTTCAGACGCTGATACTAGCTATCATTACAGCTAGATGTGATTGGGAAAAAGAGGTAATTGACACTTAACATTTCCGATAACTAGTTCTTTTTTTTTTAAGGTCGATGTAATGCTCCCTCGTATTTTACTTCCGAGTTTTTTTTTTTCTCTTTAGGACACCAATTACATCGTTGAGAGTAATTGTGTTGATTTGATTTAAGATAAATATCATCAATATTTTGATGTGAAAATGCAGGCAGAGAGAGCAAATAAACACGTGGAAAAGTGGGAAGGATTAAGCTAGTCGCCAACGTAACTCTCTCGCGACAACAACATGGATAATGACGAAAATTTTCACCAGTTAGCTTCATAGCTGGGAGCCAAGAAATGCAATGATTATATTCTTTACCGTCGCATTGTTTAATCTTAATTCTGTATGTAAATCATCTTCTATTTTAAATACATAATTTTACACATCTTGAAAAAGTAGTACAATTCATAATTTAGAAATGTACAACAAAAGTAAAACTACAATTTATAGCCTCTTAACAATGTGATGGTTTTTAGCTAAGTACAACAGTGCATTAATTGCTGGCCGCTAGCTTCTTGATCAATGCACTTTATCCTTCATATCACACAATTTTGCATAATTTCCAATTTCATGGAGTACTTATAAGTTCTAACTTCCATAATTTATCCCTCATATCACATAATGTTGCATAATAAAGTCGTCTTGCTAAAATAATTCATCACCGGTATACGCCATCGACATATTTTAAGGAGGCATTCTTTCTTGATCTCTCAAATTAAAAATTCAAGGCTCAATGTCAGATATATTTTTGAGATAAAAATCAAAGGTGAGGGATAATGAAAAAAAGAGAAAAGAATATAATAGCAAAGGACAAAAGTCAACAACACATTATTTAATTCACATCCAGCCATCATCATAGTAATTGCAATGAACATGATCCGCTCTTGTAAATTTTTTCTGTAAAATAAGATCATATTTCAATCATGCTTGGATTCCAACTTTAAGTCTCTAGATTTTCGAGTTGCTAAAAATACTACTATCTCTGTCATAAGAAATAATAATTTTATGTTGATTTTTGTGATTTATACCATTTAATATAAAATAAAAAACTTAAGATAGTTTATGTTTTTTTAAGAACAGGAACGGGGAACATATAATGAATAGCAAAATTTATGTAACGGAACTCGTGCTTGAACTCAACTTCCCATTCACGATCCAACAGCTCTCTAATCCCGCGAAAAATACCATTTTCAACCCAAAAATATCATCCTGAACATAGCTCAAGGAAAAAGGTCACGACAGCGATTTCCCATATAATACCTAATTTTGATGTTAATTTGCTTAAGAGTTTCTCATGATTCGCGTGTAAAAATAAGAATCAAGTACATCATTGAAATGGAAGCTGCTTGAAGGAACAAGCTAAGTGCTTATATAATCAAAAGTCAAAACTCTCGGTACGCTTTGGAATTGTATAGCTTCGGCTAAACGATGCTCCAGTTCTCATACCCTCCTATACTTTTTGCCAGATAAGTTTATTATAGTTATTGTTCTTGCACATTGATCCCAAAAATGTCAAATGTAATATCAACTGATGAAGACGATGCAAAAGTACCATTGTTACAACACCATCCGAACCATGCTCTTCAAACAAATAGGGATGGATCAATAGAGGAAGGTCAACGCCTTACTACTAGGATCTTGGTTGAATCCAAGAAGTTATGGAGAATAGTTGGGCCGGCCATATTCGGCCGGATAGCTTCATATTCCACGTTCGCTGTTTCCCAAGCTTTCGCTGGCCATCTCGGAGATCTTGAATTCGCCGGCTTTTCAATTGCTTCCAGTGTCATAAGTTCCTTCAACTATGGCTTATTTGTAAGAATCCCACTTAGCTCGATTTAATCACAGTTATAATTGATAAATTGTCGCTAATTCATTACATTTTCAAGAATATAGTATCTTTTTTCATTTTATTTATCTTGTATAGTTAGGGATGGCAAGCGCATTGGAAACGCTGTGTGGGCAAGCTTATGGAGCGAAGAGATATTCCATGTTAGGAATATATCTACAACGTTCCTGGATCATTCTTTTTTTATGTGGCATTTTGACTTTACCATTGTACATATTTGCTACTCCGATTTTGAAGCTGCTCGGACAACCGGATGATGTTGCTCAAATTTCGGGGACCGTGGCCATCCACCTGATACCAATTCATTTTAGTTTTGTGGTTCAATTTCCGTTGCAAAGGTTCTTGCAAAGCCAGTTGAAGAATTATGTGACTGCCTTGATCCAATTCGGTGTTTTCTTGATACATTTGGCCTTGAACTGGTTAATCGTGTCTAGGTTCCACCTGGAATTGGTCAGCGCCACCGTCATTTTGAGCCTTTCTTGGTGGTTGATGGTGGTTGGCTTGCTGGTTTACTGTCTTTCTGGTGGTTGTCCTCAAACTTGGACTGGGTTCTCTGTTGAAGCATTCTCTGGGCTGTGGGAGTTTCTCAAGCTTTCCGCGTATTCTGGCGTCATGCTATGGTATGTATTTTCTTTTATGCTATCCACTTTGTTGTATACTAGTACTATTGTAGTTCAAGTTGATTTTTTTTTTTAAAAAAATAAAACTTATCGCATACAGAAATAAACTTCCTTATCATCAGGTATCATATCATTAAATTCATTTTCCAAAATCGGTTATATTTGGTGTGTAGCATAGTGATATCTTAAATTAGCTTCGAAATATTTTAAGTCAATCATCCCGAGATCAAATCCAAACATAGGCATGTAACAGTAATTAAAATACTTGTTGGGAGTGTTTTATTTTTCAAAAGGAATATGTTCAGCTCAAATTTGAATCAGTCGTAACAATGATTTCCGAATGTATAACATAAAGAAAACATAAGGATTTTTAAAAAGAAATATTTTCTAGTTGAATTTAAGGAAAGACTACCAAGATGTAGAGAGTCAGGATACGCATGTGAGAGTTATTTTAGCTTCCAAATTATATTTGCTCATACAAGGGAATTGAACTTTCATGTAAAAGATTAGGGCATTTTACGAAAGGAAAAAAAAAACATTTTTTGAAAGGAACAATGTATTCATGTATTCTTGTGAGGGATTTTTTATTTTTTATTTTTATTTTGGTGGGAATAAGCTCTTGAACGTTCGTTAACTGTCTTTTTTAATGCATACAGTACCCTTTCATAGTAGCACTCACATATAGAGCTAGTAGGGGTTTTTTTTTTTTTTTTTTTAAGATGATACCAGATATTAGTTAGGAATATTTCATTTTTCTTAAAAATAATCCACATTTATATTTTGTATTTTGTATTATTTTTAATACAAATAAACAAACATAATGTAAACCATTTTATCTAATGTCACGCATATTGAACACGTGTCATGTATGTATAATTTAATTGCCCCGTACAATAGGGTTTATCTACATTTCGATCTGTATTTCTTGTTTCATTTTCCCAACTATAATTTGAGTTTAACCATCGTGTTGTCGGACTTTGTCCCAGTTTGGAGAATTGGTACTATAGGATATTGATTGTGATGACTGGAAATTTGCCCAACGCTAAAATAGTAATTGATGCTTTGTCCGTTTGGTAAGTTTTAAAAATCTAAATACGAAGCTGCAACATTTTGCAATTTGCAGTACCGCCAGAATTTGTAATGAAAGTCTAAAATTACACATGTTCGTGGCGTTTGTGATTTGACAGCATGAACATCAGTGGATGGATTACGATGATTCCTATGGGATTCTTAGCCGGAACCGGGTAAAATTAAGATTTCTTTCTAGGCCATACTTTGGTCGATCATCATCATTTTTTTTCTCTCTCTTTTAATGGGGCTGGAGAATTTGATTATCAATTTTACAGAGTTAGGGTAGCAAATGAATTGGGAACTGGAAATGGAAAAGCAGCCAAGTTTGCTTCAATAGTATCCGTAACACAATCTTCGATAATTGGTCTGTTTTTCTCACTTATTATTATATTCTTCCGCGATGAGCTGGGACTCATTTTTACGGAAAGCTCAGTAGTTTTAGAGGCCGTCCGTAACCTTTCACTCCTATTAGCTTTTACAATTCCCCTCAACAGCGTCCAATTCATCCTCACAGGTGAGTTCATTTTTTCAATTTTTTTGGTTCTGTTTTTTTCCACCTTTGTTTTGCTCATTAATTTCTTCCTCTTTTTAGTTTTTCTGTTTTTTTTTTTTTGGGTAAAAAATGATTTCTAAACTTCGAGATTGATGATTTTCATTATACAATTAGGGGTTGCGGTGGGTTCTGGATGGCAAGCATACGTGGCATACATAAACTTGGGTTGCTACTATTTACTTGGAGTGCCTTCTGGCCTTGTTATGGGATGGCTCTTCCATTTTGGAGTTATGGTATGTTATAAGGCGAATGTCGTTTCATTTTTTTGCCCAGCATAATGTTTCATAACGTGTGGAATAAAAGATACTGGTTTTTTTTTTTTTACTATTGTAATTTTATTGAGCTTACATGACGTACTTGATTAGGGAATATGGGCTGGGATGATATTTGGAACTGCAGCTCAAACTGTGATACTAGCTATGATCACAGCCAGGTGTGACTGGGAAAAGGAGGTACTAATTAACAGATGTTATATTGAAGTTTAATATTTCTTCGATTCCAGAAAAATAATTCATATTCAGTTTTGAAATTTATACTAAAATTAATATAAATTATAAAACTCAATATAATATTTTATTTGGGCGGATAAATTTAATTATTTTTTTTTTTGAGGATTATCGATCTTGTTATGTGAGAATGCAGGCGGATAGAGCAGATAAACACGTGAGGAAATGGGAAGGAAGATGATAATCTTTTAACTTAATTGTACCCTCCCTTTTTCAAGACAATGCATTACGACGAAAACCGGAAGTTTTAGCTCCAGAAGAGGAACCAATTCATTCAATGATTGTCGTCACATATAAATTCACTATAGTATATTTTCAAATTTCAATGCATTTTGAATAAGTTATGGTTTTTTTTCTTTTTTGGATCAAGGAAAGTCTTTATAACTGCAGAATTATACAACGATTTGTCGGGGATAATTAACCCTTATTACATCATGATAAAGCCAATCTATAGCGTCTGGTGATGGCAAATCCAAGCACGACAATTCACCCGGATTCATCGCTGTCAACGATGCCAAAAAATCTACTAGAAAGTTACATTCTATATGGAAGTAATAATCCAAGCGTAAATACAACAAAGCGCTAACTTAACCCCGAGTAAATTGTTTATAAGAATAATGATGGTTGCAAAGAAAATTTAAAAGGAAAATAAATATAGAATATATTATAACCGTTCATAATTAAACATTATTTTTTACAAGTTTATGCATTTAAGAGTTAGGAATAGTTAAAATTTTGTCACATTACTCCCTGTTAAAACTTCTTGTAAATTTTCTTTATTTTGAACAAGTTAAGTAGGTAAGTGACAACTAGATACATTTTCTTGGTCAATATTATTATTATCTCTCTGGAAAAAAAATGGGTGGTAGATTTAGGAAAAAAGGAGAACAAGTCGTAATTAAATCGAGATAATTTATCTAATTACACGGATATACTCATGTTGCACGCGGAGATCATCCACATCACGAAGAGTTTGAACATAAATTATTGTTTATTACACTCTACTTAAACAATTCATCACCCGCACAGCATTAACAATTTTTTTTTCCCTAGACCGCGGACATGGAGCCATTCTTTCTCGATCGGATGTGGACCTTATTTGCCGCAAATTATTATTTAAACAGAAAAACAAAAACCAAAACCCAATGTTCAACGCCTTGATTGCTTCCATCGATCGGGGCAGATAATGGATCAAAATCCAAGGGGATGAGTTTACTCGTATTTTTTATACCTCCATGCTAGCTAACAGGTATTGGGTTCTTCAAGAATGGCGCTTCATGGTGTAAACACGTGAGGGAGCCAGCCTCAGAGTTTGCAGTAGTAATGGGGCCACCTTTCGCAAATGGAACCAGGAACGAGAGGTCAACCACAGCGAGGCTTATTTATAGCCGGTGATGATACAGTATTACTACGTGTTTATCTCTATCTTGTGAACCTAGCTGCTGCTTATAAATCAAAACTCTCAAGCTACATAATCTCATTTTTTATTTTTTGTTCGTCATCAGATATTAAAAACAAAAATCCAAAGAAATTCCATTTGTTCTTCGCACATTACTGGAGGAAATGTCAACAGAGACATCACACAAAGATGATGCAAAAGTACCTTTGTTGCAACCAAGATCCACCTCCGCTGTCCAGACGAACGGGACGACAGAATCAGTTCATGAGGAAGATGATCAACGCCTGACACGAAGGGTTTTTGTTGAATCCAAGAAGTTATGGAGAATTGTGGGCCCAGCCATCTTCGGCCGCATAGCTTCGTATTCAACCATCGTCGTGTCCCAAGCTTTCGCTGGCCATCTCGGAGATCTCGAGCTCGCTGGCTTTTCAATTGCCACCAGTGTCATCAATTCCTTCAACTATGGCTTTTTTGTAAGATTCCCAGAGCCCGAATCAATACTCTCTATATCCCAGGGGAAAAAAATGGTCATTTTGCAATTTGTAATGTTTTCCATATAAATTACTCCCTCCGTCCTAAAATTATTGTTTAAACTCTGACAATAATTTTGGGACAGAGAGAGTACATTACAATGTGGACTTTTTGTTGGAATGCAGGGAGTAATACCAATTGTTAAGAAATCATTCAAAAACTCAATAATTTGTTTCAATTTTTTTTTTTTTATTTAACACATTAATAGTTAGGGATGGCAAGTGCATTGGAAACACTATGCGGCCAAGCTTACGGTGCGAAGAGATATTCCATGTTAGGAATATATCTCCAACGTTCCTGGATCGTGCTTTTGTTATGTGGCATTTTGACTTTGCCATTGTACATATTTGCAACCCCGATTCTGAAGCTGCTCGGACAACCGGATGATGTTGCTGAAATTTCTGGGACCGTGGCCTTGTATCTGATACCACTTCACTTCAGTTACACTCTTTCATTCCCGCTGCAGAGGTTCTTGCAGAGTCAACTTAAGAATTATGTGACTGCTTTAGTCCAATTTGGTTCTTTTTTGATACATGTGATGTTGAGCTGGCTGGTTGTGTCTAAGTTTAAGCTCGGATTGGTGGGCGCTGCCGTCGTTTTGAACATTTCTTGGTGGTTTATGGTTGTCGGCTTGCTGGTTTATTGTCTTTGTGGAGGATGTCCTCAAACGTGGACCGGGTTTTCTGTTGAAGCATTCTCCGGCCTGTGGGAGTTTCTAAAGCTGTCTGCATCTTCCGGCGTCATGCTATGGTATGTTTTGGTTTGTTTTAAATTTTTAATTATTCTCCTTGATCGTATCTGAAATAGACTTGATTACCATTCTATTCATTTTAATTATGTGGTGCTTATATAATGTAGAGACGAGGATACCTCAACTTCTCTAGTGAAATTCCTAAGTCAACCAAAATATAAAAAAAAACATTTGCTTGCTTATTTTTTTCAAAGACTACCCAATGGGCAGCAATGCACAGGTGAATACACATGCATCGGAAATGTCGGTACATGTGAATGATAACTTTAGCTTTGAATGTATATTTGTTCAAACTATGGAATTCATGAAACTGATAGAAAATAAAATAATGCATCTTCACCGCGATCAATTTAATTTCCTTCTGGTTTACTGTATTTTTTTTTGGGCGGAGTTTAATAGTTGTTTCGTCTAACTTGTCGCAGTTTGGAGAGTTGGTACTATAGGATACTGACGGTGATGACTGGAAATTTGCCCAACGCTAAAATAGCTATTGATGCTCTGTCGGTATGGTAAGTTTTACGTATCCAGTACTTCTTCTTGTCATAATTACGAGCAAAAAGTAAAAAGTAAAATTTAGTTCAGTATTAGCTAGCTGGTAGTAACACACTGAAGTTTTTCTTAATTTATCTATAAATAGTCTAATACCGTGGGCACAAGTATTAGTAGGTTTTTTTTTTTTTTTGTGATTGACAGCATGAACATCAACGGATGGATTACGATGATTCCAATTGGATTCTTCGCCGGAACAGGGTAACTAATTGAACTTTGTCTACAATTACAAAACTTTTGGTTGATTTCCACCTAGGATTGGTTTAATTTGTTTGATCAACGTACCGTCAGCTTTAAATATAGCTTCTGACACCCCCGTTAAGTACTCGATACTTATTCATTACAATTTTCTTTTGGGGGCAGAGTAAGGGTTGCAAATGAATTGGGAGCTGGAAATGGAAAAGCAGCCAAATTTGCGTCATTAGTGTCAGTAATACAAAGTAGCATGATTGGTCTGTTTTTCTCGATCATTATAATTTTCTTCCACAATGAACTGGCCCTCATTTTCACGGAAAGCCCAGCTGTTTTAGAGGCCGTCCATAATCTTTCACTCTTCTTAGCTTTCACCATTCCCCTCAACAGCGTGCAATTCATCCTCTCAGGTGAGTGCATTTTTAAAAAAAAAAAAAAAAAAGAGGAAGATAAAATCATTGCAATTTTTTTCCCCAATAACTTTCTTAATTAATTCCAATAACGATTTCCAAACTTCGATATTGTTGATATTAGGGGTTGCTGTGGGTTCTGGATGGCAAGCATATGTGGCATACATAAATTTGGGTTGCTACTATTTACTTGGAGTGCCTTCTGGGCTTATTATGGGATGGCTCTTCCATTTTGGAGTTATGGTACGTTGGCGAATATCGTTTTAATTTTCTTGCATAATGCTTCATAAATAAGGGTAATATAACTATTGGATTTTTCTTTATTATCCCAATTTAATTGGACCTTACAAATTGAGTAGGGAATATGGGCCGGGATGATATTAGGCGGAACTGCGGTTCAAACTATAATACTGGCTACCATCACGGCTAGGTGTGATTGGGAAAAGGAGGTAAACGAGACCAAATTAATTAATTCTAAAGATTTGTATTTGTTGAGTAAAACAAAATAATGCCATAGTGTATGATCCAATTTCCAGCAGTGGATAATAACCTATTGGAGGCTAAAAAAAATGCAGGTAGAGAAAGCTAACAAGCACGTGGAAAAGTGGGAAGGAAGAAGCCGTATTTCAAAATAGTTTCCGGCATATAAGGCATTATGTTGATAAACTATGTCCATCGACAAAGCCGTATTAGTAAGGCATAATATTGATGCAAAGGTTGTTACATTAAAACTAGTATACATCCCAATTGTTTTCGAGGCCAATGAAAAGAAACAAGTAGTTAAGGGCATCGCATTGGTGTACAATTAGGTACTATTTGACGCCCTACAAGTCTCATCTGACTACTGCTGGGCATGTCAGATTGCCCAATTAATTTCTTGAAGTAGCCTCGACAAGTAGGTATATTCTTTGTTCGTAATTATGAAGTACAAATTAATATTACCTAAATTAGTTTTAATTTATTTATTATAATTTCTCCGGAAGGAGTAGATGGAAACTTTTCACGAGTCATGTGTTTGCATGTCAAGCTGCCATACCCCTTCAAATAGGCCACATCACTATTATACATGACAATTTAAATTTTTTTCCGTATGGGCGCTACCAAAACAACCCTCCTCATGATCCAATCAATGTAAACTAAATACCATAGTAGTAATAATTAAATACGATATGGAAGAGATCGCATGCGGATGCTAGTGATCAACCCCTTTTGCTATTTTTTAATACTTCCTCCGTCCCAAAATTATTGTCCAGTTTAATATTTTACTTTTAGTACAATTTGAACTAAAAATAAAAACTCAAACTGGACAATAATTATGAGACGGAGGGAGTATATCTTTTTTCAGTCTTCTTTTGGCCTATATGAGGCCACAAATTGGGATATTTACATTCGATGTTTTCCTATTCCAATTGACATCACATGTAAAGAACAAATTATGAAGTGAATACTTACATTGGAGGCTTTGGTATGTTTTGATTATCATTTTTACAGTTATTTTGAGCCATTTAATTTCAGCTTTATAATTTGGTGTGAAATCTATGAATTAATGATTGATGATCTCACGTACTCACAAATAGCTGTTGATGCTTTGGCAATATGGTAAGTTCACTAAACAGTCGGGGGCTCGGGGACATTAAAAAGTTTTTTAGAAAAATCAATTTTTAGTCTGCTTTCACGCAATTAATGCGATTTTTCTCCGCCAACGTACGCACTGCTTGGAATTTAAGACATTGTAATAATATGCGGCAGATATCAGTCATACTCTTTCATCCCCTCCTCATATTCAAAAGAAGTTAATCTTAGCAAGTCGTTCTAACATATTACACCGGAAAAAATGTCAACAGAAACACCACACCAAGATGATCCGAAAGCACCTTTGTTACAACAACGATCCGCCTCCACTGTCCCAACGAATGGGGCACTCGAATCAGTTCATGAGGAAGATGATAAACAACACCTTACACGGCGGGTTTTGGTTGAATCCAAGAAGCTATGGTCAATAGTCGGCCCGGCCATCTTCGGTCGCATAGCTTCATATTCAACCATCGTTGTTTCCCAAGCTTTCGCTGGCCACCTCGGAGATCTCGAACTTGCTGGCTTTTCCATTGCCACCGGTGTCATCAGTTCCTTTAACTACGGTCTTTTCGTAAGAGCCCCTCGTCCCCGAATTAATTGTGATTCATTGTTGTCATTCAGTACGTTAATTTTAAGCAACCTTTCAAAACTCAATACAATTTGTTTTAATTTCTTCTTCACACATTTTTTTTAGTTAGGGATGGCAAGTGCATTGGAAACTCTATGTGGACAAGCTTACGGAGCGAAGAGATATTCCATGTTAGGAATATATCTACAACGTTCCTGGATCATTCTTTTTTTATGTGGCATTTTGACTTTACCATTGTACATATTCGCAACTCCGATTCTGAAGCTGCTCGGACAACCGGACGATGTTGCTGAAATTTCTGGGACCGTGTCCTTGTATCTGATACCACTTCACTTCAGTTACACTCTTTCATTCCCGTTACAGAGGTTCTTGCAGAGTCAGCTTAAGATGTATGTGACGGCTTTGGTCCAATTTGGTTCTTTTCTGATACATGTGATGTTGAGCTGGCTGGTTGTTTCTAAGTTTGAACTTGGATTGGTTGGCACTACCGTGGTTTTGAACATTTCCTGGTGGTTTATCGTTGTTGGCCATCTGGTTTACTGTCTTTATGGAGGATGTCCCCAAACCTGGACCGGGTTTTCTGTTGAAGCCTTCTCCGGCCTGTGGGAGTTTCTTAAGCTTTCTGTATCTTCCGGGGTGATGCTATGGTACGTATATTTCTTTTAGTTTCATTTTATATATTCTCATCCATCTTATCTGAAATAGAGTTAATAGAGACTTGATTACCATTCTCATTCTATTCATTCATTTTAAAATTATGCTTATTCCATATATGGTCCGCCTTATAACGTAGAGACGGCCGGTGATACCTCAACTTTCCAAGTTTCCACTAGTGAAATTCTTAAGTCCACCAAATATTAAAAAACATTTTCTGGTTGAATTTTTGATATATAGCCTTTTCCAATTAGCAATTGAAGAGAGATGTCGGTTGTCTGATAGTCTGATACTAATGTGAATGGTATTTTAAAGGTGCCTATATCTTCGGCCCGAGTCAACCTATTTATTAAATGGTGGAGCCATTTCCATTTTTGCGCTTTTAGTTTTTATCGGAATGGCCATTGTTTCCGTTACTTTTTGTTATGTTTCTTCAATTTTGGCTTGCACGTTCTTCGAGCATCACGCGTCACAGTTTATTCAACGATCAAATTGTTTTCTGAAAGTAATATATGAGTGTACAACTGTAGATGTATAAGTAATGTGTATATAACTTTGGAAAAAAAGTATGCAATTATAATATATTTACTAATTATTTACGAATTAAAAGATATAATCCTTCAAAAAAATTTGATTTTCGTTAAGAGTCAATTTTAATTTTACAAGAAAGACAAAATATTTTACAAAACTTGCAAAAAAGAAAAAAAGAAAAAAAAAATCCAAGACCCATGAAACAAGGGACACAAATCCAAACTTGAGGAGGGCATGTTATAATTTACCTTATTTTAAATTCGAACTTATATTGTATCCAAACAATAAAGATTGAGATTTTTATAAAATACTGTAATTGATATATATCGTTCACCCTAATTTCTTGTTACATTGATGCATGAATTTATTTGGAGGGGGAAGTTGAATCGTTACTTTACCGGACTCTTGTTGTAGTTTGGAGAGTTGGTACTATAAGATATTGACGGTGATGACTGGAAATCTGCCCAACGCTAAAATAGCTATTGATGCTCTCTCTGTATGGTAAGTTTTATGGAATTCTCTTATTTACAAGGCAAAACTTGAAAACTAGATTCAGTTTTATTTTGTGTGGACACTAATGTGTATAGTATTGTTATATTGTAACACTGAAGTTTCTCTAAATTTTTCTTCAGTCTAATTACATAGGTTTAAGTTGCTTTTCTTGTGATTAACAGCATGAACATCCAAGGATGGATTATTATGATTCCGTTTGGATTCTTCGCTGGAACAGGGTAAATTAATTGAACTTTCCTTTGTCTAGAAATGCATGACCTTTTTGGTTGGGTTTGTTCTTTACAAACTCAACTTCAAATGTGTAGCTTTTCATGTCATATTGCTCTATTTTTTACTGGTAAATTTGTCCTTTTTGATGTTCGGCCGGAAGAAGTGATTATCAATGTTGATGTATGTACAGAGTTAGGGTTGCAAATGAATTGGGAGCTGGAAATGGGAAAGCAGCCAAGTTTGCTTCAATAGTGTCAGTAATTCAATGCACCATGATTGGTCTGTTTTTCTTGGTTATCATAATTTTATTCCCCAATGAATTGGGTCTCATTTTCACTGAAAGCCCGGTAGTTTTAGAGGCCGTCCATAAGCTTTCACTCTTGTTAGCTTTCACCATTCCCATCAACTGCGTGCAATTCATCCTTTCAGGTTTGTTTCTACCACACCAATAACTTCATAACTAATCTTCCCATTCCTTTTATAATTTGTAGAACTTCCAGATTGTTTATTTCTTCTTATATGATCATGGTCATCATCTTTAGGGGTTGCGGTGGGTTCTGGATGGCAAGCATACGTGGCATACATAAACTTGGGTTGCTACTATTTACTTGGAGTGCCTTCTGGCCTTATTATGGGATGGCTTTTCCATTTTGGAGTTTCGGTACGGTGTTTCAGTGTTCTTTCTTGCATAATGCTTCACATATGTGGGTAATATAAAGTATTGATTTTTTTTTTTCATTCCAATATGATTGGGATTACAAATTGAGTAGGGAATATGGGCCGGAATGATAGGCGGAACTGCGGTTCAAACCATAATATTGGCAATCATCACAGCTAGGTGTGATTGGGAAAAGGAGGTACGTACGTACTTGAGTAAGAAAGTTGCACATGTTAATTAATTTGTATTTGTCGACAAAAATGAGATAATGAATGATCCAATTCCGCTGATTATAACAATTAGTAGCGAAAAATGCAGGCAGAGAAAGCTAAGACTCACGTGGAAAAGTGGGAAGGAAGAACCCGCATTTCGAAATAGTGTTCCGACGGCAGAGTTTTATTGTTTTGAAAAGTTCAAGTCATTGTGTTGATAAACCATGTCGAGCGCCAAGCCCCGATCCCTATCAATTAAGGCGTTATGTTGATGAAAAAAGGTTTATTAAATTAAGTTAGTTTTTACTACAATTCCAAAAAAAAAAAAAGCGCCCAATTTCTGAAAGTAGCAATGCAACGAGGTAAATCCGAAATAAATAATAATAGTGTTGAAGGGGAAAAAATGTCTAGGTCCGTAAATTATGTAGTTGACTGTTGGAGGCTGATGGGCTGATGGCATCTCGTGGCATAGGCATTTCCATGGGTTGAAAAGCCATGGCGGATAATCATTGGCTGCTGAGTTTTATGGTGGTTTGGGCTTGCAAATTTCAATCACTATATATAACTACCAAGATAACAAAAATATACTGTATTTCCTCTACCCTTCAACACTATTATTATTTCGCATTTTAGAAAACAAAATATTTTCCCTTTTCCAAAAAAAAAAAGAAAAATAGTTTTCCTCTTCCCTTCTACTTTTATAATTTTCCGCAATGTTTTTCGCATTTAAGAAAAAAATATTTTTCCTTTTGCAAAAAAGAAAAAGAAAAATAGTTTTCCTCTTCCGATCTACTTTTTTTTAATTTTCCCCAATGTTTATGAACACTAAACACACTAACAGCACAGACACAAAGATGTTTTTTGTTCTTTTTCTTGATTTCCACAAAAAAAAAAAATTTTAGATTCAAATTGGCTGTGTAAAGAAAAGGCATCAAGATGCAATGCAACACTACTTATTAAAACTCACTACTACTAATTGGATCGAGATGAGTTAAGTTATCCAAAAACCTTTTCAATTAAAAAAAAAAAGTTAACCAAAAACTAGGAAGAAAAGAAAAATGAGCTACCTATGATCATTGGCGAAATTCATTATTCATTCGACGGGGGATGGAAAAGCTTTTGATGAGTCATGGATTTGCATGTCAAGCTGTCACCAGCAAAATCTGCCACGTAGCTCCTGACAACATTAAATTGTTTTTGCTACAGGTGTTACCTTTACAACCATCCTCATGGTCCGCCAATCCATGTAAACTAAAACACCATAACAAAAAGATCGCATACAGAACAAAATACCGGTACGATGCTTTTTGATCATAAATCGGCTTTTGTTTTTGTTTTTGTTTTTGTTTTTTTTTCTTTTTAAGGTACAAAACCCTTTGGCCCATTTCTTTTTTATTTTTGCCGTTATGAAGGCGAAAATTGGGATGCTCACATTTGAAGTTCTCCGATTCCAATTGAGACCTCACAAGTAGAGGACAAATATTGAAGTAAGAGAGCTTTTATAGTAGGCTGCAGGATACAGCAAAGTTATATTCAGAAATTGTGGTAATGGGAAAGATAAATGCAAATCTAGTACTACAATATTTAATAATAATTTTGTCCACAAAAATAGACCCTCCGGGAGGACCAGGACGCCTCCAACTCAGCTCACACGTAAGTAACCACATCAACAATTCAACAAATCCATATGTTCATATTTCCATGCCACTGTATGAATATCACGCTTGCGAGCTGATGTGATTCTTTTTCTTTTCCTTTCACGCCGAAATCCCGACATTTTTATTTTCTTTGCAAGTGACAAAATTGTTGTATCCATCTTTTGAGATCCAATGAGATGGGAGAATTGGACTGGCGGAGGCATAATTTATTCCTGTAAATTTGTTGTTAACAAAGCTCGTGGAAAAAAATAAATTAAGAGCAAGAACTTCTCCTGATTCAAAGACCCAAAAATACAGGGAGCAAATATGGTAAGGGGGATGTTTTCCAACAAGGCTTGAAAAGGCTCAAATTCAGCAACAATTCACGTTTAAAACCCCCACCGATTGCGTGGTCATTCAAGTCTAAAATCTGAAGAAAAAATTAATGATAAAAATGAAAACAAGAGTCACGTAATTTTTTGTTTCTCTGTATTTCTTTGATGGAGCGATTCAAGCAGGAGTATTATGCATACACTAGTTCTAAATTATACTCCTTCCGTCCCAAAATTATTCTTCAGTTTGAGATTTCACTTTTAGTACAATTTGAACTAAAAATGAAAACTCAAACTAAAAAATAATTATGGAGCGAAGGGAATAGTAATTTCTAAACTTTCACACCACCTAAATGGAAATTTGAAAAAGAAAAGAAAATATCTTTAAAAATAGAAAGAAAAAAAAAAAAAAAGCGTAGGCCATAATAATTTGACAATGATGATACTCCGTCTTTAGATCAGTAAGCGTCGATCTCACTCACCTAAACAGTAACGTATTCCGTCGAACCACCTCTGTACTAGCAGTATTATTTTACTTACCCGTGATGATTGGATGAAGGTACTAAAATTTTAGTTGGTTCCAGATTGCGCTAGAAATTTCGTCGTCTGTCTTATCTCTATTCGAATTGAATACTTTTTCCAGCGAAACACAAAGCAACGTGTACACTACCCTCCCGCCAGGTCAGTGCCCTGTAGGTGAAAGAGCCCATACTCCGTCTCCAACTACGTCGGCCGTAATGAGTATACATTAAGTGTTAGTTATTTCGGTGGAACCACACAACCTTTTTCTTCTTTATAAACAAATGGCGTATAAATTTTTCCCTACTTACTAATTAGAAACTTTTTGTCACCGAGAAATTTAAGATTATTTGTCACAATAATTTGTAATGTAGATTTAACGTCAATGGATTCAAGAATTTGGGGAGAAGTTTTGTTAGAAAGGGTCCATTTGAAAGAAGAAAAAAAATACATATCCAATAAAATATCCTGACGTGTACCGTGATGTCCTTGATTCCTCTCCCCACAATTATAGTATGTAGAATCCAGATGCCACGCATATATATATATATATATAACCTCAGCTAGCAAATTTCGTTCATATTTCCTCTTGCAAGTCTTCAGTCTTCACTTCTCCTTGTGAAAACTCTTAAGACAAAGAAAAAGAAAATATGGATTCGAAAAATAGCAATCATGGGGAAGACGAAAAAATAGAGGAAGCTCAAGTGCCTTTATTGCCACATTCAGGGTCATCAAAATACGAAGATTATGATGATGAGAATGACCAGAATTTCAAACGTAGGCTGTGGGTGGAATCCAAGAAGCTATGGCAAATCGTTGGCCCCGCAATCTTCAGTCGCATCATCAGCTACTCCATGAACGTCATCACTCAAGCTTTTGCCGGCCATCTTGGTGACACCGAGCTCGCCGCAATCTCAATTGTAAATAATGTTATTACTGGCTTCGACTTCGGCCTCTTGGTACGTTTCTTTTTTAACTTCATTAGCAGCTGAAATTAATTTCGTTGCAATTCAAAAACCCAAATTTATTATTCCTTTTTTTTTTTTTCAGTTGGGTATGGCGAGTGCATTGGAAACGCTATGTGGGCAAGCATTTGGAGCGAAGAAGTACCATATGTTAGGAATCTATATGCAACGTTCCTGGATTGTATTGTTCGTTTGTTGTGTTGTACTTTTGCCAGTTTACATATTTGCTTCCCCAATTTTGAAGTTATTAGGACAACCCACTAACGTGGCTGAGCTCTCCGGCACCGTGGCATTATGGATGATTCCCATGCATTTCAGCTTCGCTTTCCAGTTCCCTTTACAGAGGTTTTTGCAAAGCCAGCTCAAGAATTCCGTGATTGCGTGGATTGCACTGTTAGCACTCATCGTACACGGTTTCATTAGTTGGCTGTTTGTTTATGGATTCAAGCTCGGCGTCATCGGAACCGCCGTGACTTTGAACTTTTCGTGGTGGGTTTTGGTGTTGGGATTGTTTTGTTACACCGTTTGCGGCGGTTGTCCGCAAACCTGGCCTGGATTTTCTATGGAGGCCTTTTCTGGTCTTTGGGAATTCCTGAAGCTGTCTGCGTCATCTGGGGTCATGCTTTGGTACGTTTGTTTTGTTTTGCGAAAATATTACACATTCATATTGACCTCTTTTTTTTAGTCATTGATTCCAATGCATGCATCTTTTTCTAATTTGGCTAATCAAATGAGGTTTGTTTTTGGTCTGTAATTTTTTTTTTTTTTTACAGTTTGGAGAATTGGTACTACAGAATACTTCTACTGATGACTGGAAATCTCGCGAACGCTGAAATTGCTCTTGATGCTTTGTCAGTTTGGTAAGTACTTTCCTAATGACGCCTTATTTTTCATCACATTTATGTGGCTATTATCTAATTTTGACTCGATGTCAACGGTGACGATGTTGACTTATTAGGACAACCTAGTAGACAGCATCCCAGAACTGTAATTGATTTGATGATGACACCTGGGCCTAGGCAGCAATATTTGAAATGGCAATCACTGATTTTTGTCCGGTGTGACATACTATAATAACAAGGAATTAGCAAATCAGAACTTAAGCATTTAAATTAAAAATTCTCTCTGAAACGGATTAAGTATTTAAATAATTATTCATCATTACTCCATATTAAGACTTATCTTTCAAGTGAGAAGAACCCCACTCAGAATTCTAGTTGATGAAGGAAGATCTTTTTTAGGAAGGGAAAACTATGGGGGTGTATTGTGGTGGAAATGAATGAGACCAGGACCTTAACTGGTCAAAATGAAAATAAAAATGAATAAGAGTCCGTTCAATTTGTGCACCTTTGGTTAGTTTCAGGTCATTTATGCTTATGGCAACATTTTTCCTTTTTGGCACCTTGTCTATTGTGAAACCGCGATGAGATGAATTTACGTCTAACTGTTTTATGATTTGTTTGGACAGCATGACAATAAATGCATGGGAGATGATGATTCCACTTGGATTCTTTGCGGCCACTGGGTAAGTAGTAGTACTACTCTGTTGTCACCTAGTTTATCCTTAACCTAATTAAAGTTTGGTTTGATTGCAAAATTTAAGTGAAACCGTAATGAAACTCTTACACGTTTTTGTGTATTATTTGAGCTGAATATTCTGTGGCCATCCTTTTTGTATAAAGTGGAAAATGCTAATAAATTATTCATCTACAAATGGTTTTCTTGGATTATTGGAGTTCTTTTTAAAGTGATGTTGTGCTCATATATAACGGGTGGGTTCAGTTCATCCTAATCACCTTTGAAGGGTGTACCTTAGGACTTGCCAGATTTATTGGGGTAAATCAAAATTTAGTGTCCTTTTCTAACTTTTGTTATCGTCTAGATAATTCCATGTGTATTAACGATCTGCTTAATTTGTTGAGTTATGATGGACCACAAGGATCAATGGAGACCATTAAAACTATAACTTAAAAAAAAAAAGACCCATATTTATTACTTTGATTATAGAAATCCAAATCAAGCAGAGCCAAAATAGATCTGAATAAGAACACTTTAGATGGGAAGAGGGAATATCCGATTAGCATGCTAGTACAGAGAGAAATCATAAATTATTACTTGGTGTACTAGTTTTATCATTGAAATGCAAATTATTTGATTCGGTTTTCCAGAAAACTCAGTTCATGTTGAAGTGTAAACAAGGTATTAAGTTTGGTTTACCTGCCCAGCTTCCATTGGGTAAACTGACTCTATCATCTTGTGATTTTTCACTTTCCACCAGAAAAATTCTCACTCTCTCTGGATTGTTCCTTCATATAAAACTTGAAATTCAACAAATTTGACCATTCTAATTCTAGCGATTTGGGGTGTGAGTCGTTTTCCTTGTCCAATGATTAGCCGGTTTTGACAGCAACTGATACCGGCATTAGTTACTATTAACATATTACTGTAAACCATTTCTGAAAATTTACAGCAATGTTTTCCTTATGGTACGTATTATGTACACATTAGCTGTTGCTATTTTCACTTAGCCAGGAAATCTTCATTTGTTGATGTTGATGCAGAGTGAGGGTATCCAATGAGTTGGGCGCAGGAAACGGAAAAGGAGCGAAATTCGCAACAATGGTTTCCGTCATGACATCCACAATAATCGGGTTATTTTTCTGCACCATAATCATGATACTGCACAATGAGATCGGCCTAATATTTTCATCTAGCCAAGACGTCTTAACTGAGGTGAACCACTTATCCGTCCTCTTAGCCATCACTATCCTCCTTAACAGCATCCAACCAGTTCTATCAGGTAAATTAAAAAATTCCAATTTTTTATTTTTTCCATTTAGCAATATCAGTTCACATCAGTGCTTGCTTAACTTTGTAGTTCATTCATGATATTCAACAACTGCAGGAGTAGCTGTAGGATCAGGGTGGCAGTCAAGAGTGGCTTTCGTAAACATAGCATGTTATTATCTGGTGGGGGTTCCACTTGGGCTGGTAATGCAACTGGTCTTTCACCAAGGGGTGATGGGCATTTGGGCTGGGATGATTTTCGGTGGGACTGCTCTTCAGACGTTGATATTAGCCATTATGACTCTCCGCTGTGATTGGGACAAAGAGGTACGTATTCAATTACAACCCGAAAAGGCCTTGTTTCGTCCGTCCAATCCCAAATACGTCATCTAAAATTTCTTGTCTAGAAATCATATCATAAAAATAAAAATTTCTCAATCGATCTCTGATTTTGAAATCAACAAATTCCACATTCATTTTGATTCATAGGTCAAAATTTTAATTAATATGGACACGTTCTTTTCCTAACATTTTGTTGACGTGGTTGGTATTGCAGGCTGAGAGAGCATGTAAACACGTGAAAGAGTGGGAGACACTGGCTTAATGATTAGGCTCCAGCCTGCACGAGACATCTGGGCTTCAAAGCCCAAGTATAGGGAAAAGCTCGTTAATTACATTCATCATTTGGATTTTGGAGGGGCTTAGGAAATGGATGTATGGCTTCAGATGTCACAATTAAATTTTTCTTTCCCCTGTAATGTATATCCAAGTATCTAAGAAAAAGAAGATTATTTCAAAAGACAGAAAAAGAAAGGGGAAAGTGCTACCGGAATCAATTTTGTTTTCAATCTTGAAATTTTCATATTTTCAGAAAGCAAATGTATTAATCATATGAAGCTCTCAGTTATTTGAATGTTAACAAGAAGATTAAGACCTTTCAAGGTTTATTATAAGCATTATTGACGGTGTTTGCAGTTGTTCCATGTGGTTTACACAAAATTCTTCATTCAAAATTATGATATCTGTTTTAGGACAAAAGTAAAGTAGAATTATGGTAAGTATCTGGCGTTTTTTTTTCTTCTCTGCCAGGGGAAAAGAATATTCATAATTGGATAGTTGTTTTATGAAACTGGAAAGTTTTAAATGCAGTTTATTTGCAATCATAATTCATTCATGATTACCACCAATTAATGACTACTATTCTCCCATGAAGAATTGAAGACTAATGGCTGCTTGAACAAGTGCAATGTGCTGCAACTGCAATGCATCCATAGTTTTTAACTCTCGAAAAAAATAATCGATTTGCTCTCTCATAATCACTTCTTCCACTGATACAGACGTACATCTTTTTGGCTTCATCTGAGCAGATATCTTCCAAAATCCAAGTTGGTTATGTAAAATGGAGTTTAAATGGATTAAGGGAGAGAAAGGTTTCAGTGGTGTAGTCAATGGCGTTAAAGAGAGGTTTAACAGGCACGGTGAATACGAAAAAGAAGGGGAAATCCAGGAAATTGAGGTACAGCCATTTAGGCATTCAGAGTCATTATCCAAGTACAGAAACGAAGATGAAGAACAAACACTTAGACAAAGGGTCTTCACTGAATCGAAGAAGCTATGGCAAATAGTAGGCCCTTCAATCTTCAGTAAAATCAGTGCTTATTCAATGAATGTCATCACCCAAGCTATTGCAGGCCATCTTGGTGAAACCGAACTCGCTGCAATGTCAGTTGTCAATAACGTAATCGTGGGCTTCGATTTTGGCCTCTTGGTATGTTTAATTTCATATATAAATTCTGCACAATTCACTTACAAAAAGACTGAGGTTGATATAATTGGTTGGATTAATTTTTATTTTTTTTTATGGGTTAATCTCAGTTGGGGATGGCAAGTGCGCTGGAAACACTATGTGGGCAAGCATTTGGGGCCAAAAAATACCACATGTTAGGGGTTTATATGCAACGTTCATGGGTTGTGTTATTCGCATGTTGTGTAGCACTTTTGCCACTTTACCTATTTGCTTCACCCATGTTGAAGTTACTGGGGCAGCCTGCAAATGTGGCGGAGCTTTCTGGTAAATTAGCAATCTGGCTAATTCCTCTCCATTTCAGCTTTGCTTTCCAATTCCCGTTGACGCGGTTTCTACAGAGCCAATTGAAGAACTCAGTGATTGCGTGGGTGTCACTGATAGCTCTTGTTGTGCATATTAGTTCGAGTTGGCTGCTTGTTCATGTACTTGATTATGGACTGGTTGGAACCGCCGTGACGTTGAATTTTTCGTGGTGGGTTTTGGTGGTGGGGATGTTTTGCTACACCGTTGCCGGTGGATGTCCACTCACTTGGCCTGGTTTTTCTAGGGAAGCCTTTTCTGGTCTGTGGGAGTTCCTAAAACTCTCTGCATCATCTGGTGTCATGCTATGGTACACTTTCTCCTTTTTCTTCCTTAGTTTTTGGATGATCTATACAAGTAACTACACAGTTGAGATATGGTCGCTTCCAATTGATTGAATTGATTTTGTGTTCTTTTTGCTACCACTAGTTTGGAGAACTGGTATTATAGAATACTGGTATTGATGACTGGTAATCTCAAAAATGCCGAAATTGCTGTTGATGCTCTGTCTATTTGGTGAGTTAAACTTCGCCTGCATTCCAATCTCTGTTTTCCGTTGATCTCTGCTATGGTTGAGCTGATCTTTTTCGCACACGATTGTGGTTTTCACTTTTCAGCATGGCAATTACTGCATGGGAGATGACAATTCCATTAGCCTTCTTCGGAGCAACAGGGTATTTTACTGATAAACACAAAAATGTTCACATTTCATTCAATTCCCGCATTGCAATATGTTGTTTGATATTGTGAAATTGAATGTATTTTGAGTCCTAAAAATTGACATTTCCTTTCCGGGCCAACTTGCTATCAGGGTGAGGGTGGCAAACGAGCTAGGAGCAGGAAATGGGAGAGGAGCAAAGTTTGCTACCGTAGTTTCAGTGATGACCTCTACACTAATTGGCCTCTTCTTTTGTCTCGTAATAATGATTCTTCGGGATGAGATTGGTTCGATTTTCTCCACCAGTAAAGCAGTGCTTGAAGAAGTTAATCAACTCAACTTCCTTTTAGCAGCCACAATTTTCCTCAATAGTGTTCAACCAGTTCTTTCTGGTATGGTAACAGTTGGAAACTAGGACTCCATTCGTTCCAAAAACGAATGTTTACTGTTTAATCCAATCATCATTTAGTGACATACATATATATATACCGTGATTTTGACTATTTTCTACACTACAACTACTTTTCAGGAGTAGCTGTGGGATCAGGATGGCAGTCCCATGTTGCTTATGTCAACATAGCCTCTTACTACTTTGTTGGGCTTCCACTTGGGCTACTGATGCAGTGGGCATTTAACCAAGGTGTTAGGGTAAGTACAGTGTTGGTGCATTTTGAGTTTTGACCCTTCTGAATTCTGATCTGTGTCCAAAACATTAATACTGTACAAGTTTAACTGATTCTCTTTACAAGACTTAAACTTGAACAGGGAATATGGACTGGAATGATAATTGGAGGAACTGCGCTTCAGACGTTGATATTAATCATCCTTACTGCTAGATGTGATTGGGATAAAGAGGTAATCAAAATTTTGACATCTTTTGAAATTTATAAAGAAAAAATTCGTTCTTTACACCATGACAATACTGTATTTCTCTTTTTTCGATTTTGTAGGCCGAAAGAGCTACTAAACACATAAAGGAGTGGGCTATCAGGACGTGATAAGTGTTGTTTCAGGCCTAACTGCGATTCGAAAAAAACAAAAAAAAAGGCCTAACTGAAGAAGAACCTCGGAGGTTGGTGTCAAAGAGGTTATATGCGTCAAAAGTTTGTGTTCATGAATCATTTGGATTTGGAAATTCCAAAGAGAAATGACATTCGATCCAATCCGCTAAATATTTTTTTTTTCTTTTTTCTATAGTGAGGAATTTATATTAAGGCTCTGTTTGTTTCCCTTTATTTTTGTGTTCCGATGGCAGTTTCTTTTTTATACTCCCATATAATTAATACATTCTCCATTCAAACATATAGTACACTTTTACATTTTCTTTTTTCTTTTTTTTTTTACATTTTCAACCAAGGGAAAAAAAACACAGTGAAAAAACAAGTATACACGGAATAACCATCCCCGGGACAGTCCAGGATTCTTAATTGCAAGTATCCTAAATTATTTTCTTTCTTCCAAATAATGATATGTTACCAAGATTATTCTGAAGCATCACTGTAAGCTTGGAGCTTGTAAGATTTGTCCCCACTTAAATTGTTGTCATCATTTCAATCAAGTTTAAAATGTTAATCAATCGTCGAGGCTGACATGGAAAACCTAAGACTATTCAACAACTAATCAAGCAAGCTTACGCGAATCGTGTGGGTTGGGAAGTTAAAAATACAATTGACCTGGAGACCAAAAAAAAATACTCCACCATATCATAAAATATATGCTAATTGCATACTTGATTACATTGACTATTCTAACAACAGAGAATATTTAATACTCTATATATGCCACTAATCATCCGTCTCAACGCAAGAGTGCAAGTTTGCCCACTTGCTAATTGTTGCCATTCAGCCATTGCCACGATTTATTTATGGTAGTAGGTCGAAAGGTATAGCAGTCATTTCGAATGAGATAGTATACTACTACGGTGTTTCTTTGTCGGCTAATTATTTGATTGTTACAATCTTTGGATTTTTTGTTAGAGTAAATAACCTAAATACCAATAGATGGATGAGAATAAACAAAATACAGTATTCTTTTCACCAATTCATTATTCTTTAACTGTTTTTTTTTTTTTTGAATAGGTAATTTCAGCGTATAACAATCTAAAAGATACTGGAAGCATTTGTTTTTTTATAATCACAAAAATTAAAGATCAATAGACATATCAGCAAGGTCATGAATATTCTAACAATGTACGGACTACAACAAAAAAATTTAGTATAAAAAAAAAAATAACCCACATCAATTTTTGAAATTTTTATATTTTTAGTATAAAAAAAAAACTAAAATGTGATTATTTGTTTATGCTAGAGAAAATAATAATTGTTTCAAAACAGAAAAAATATAATATAATCAAACCTCCATGGTTTCATGTTGACATTAGAAAAAAGAAAGTTTATCGTGTAATTTGAAAGTGAATGTGATTTTCTAACAAATGTTAACTTCCAAAAAAAAAAATTTGTTAGACAACTCCTTCTTTCTTTTACCTTTCCATTTCTATCATGATTGTGTAGCCTGAGCGTTGTATTAATATTGAATAACAGTAACATTCATTATAATTATTATACTATAAGCATTTAGTACATATAGTAAAATGCACTTAATGTGAAAACACGCGCGGTCCATCTCCTCTTCTTTAGCACATCCCATTTTTTTTCAACATTAAACACATGCGTTTCAATTCCTTAATTTTAGGAAATGAGTTTTAATTTTTTTTCTAAATTTTCAAATGATTTTATTTCTTAAACTGTAAAGAATTAGACAAAGTGTCTTATATCATTTTGATAGTACTCGACGAGATCTATCCAACAAGATCCATCGTGAATATATTTTTCGAAATTTTAAAAAATTTATGCAATTGGTTTGGTGTTTTAGAATCTTACTTGTGTGTTTTAAGAACAAGACCTGGAACAAAGATCAAAGACCAAACACCAAAAATCGAATACCAAAGAGCAAACACCAAAGGCCAGAGTAAAGAGCGAGTGTGTGTGAGAAACAATGACAAAAGATCAAAGACCAAAGACCAAGAAACCAAAGACCAAAAGGCAAAAACCGAAGACCAAAAATCAGAGTGAAAGAGCGAGCGTTGTGTGAAGAGCAAAGAGCAAAGACCAAAAACTAAAGATCAAATATCAAAGACCAAAGACCGAAGGTTAACGATCAAAGACTAAAAAGACCAAAGAGTAAAGACCAAAAACCGAAAGTCAAATATTGAAAGCCAAATACCAGAGACCAAAGACCAAAGACCAAAGATGAAAGTTAATTGGTTTAAAAAAATTTATACGGTTAATCGTGTTGTGTCACAAACTAGGCCCTAACCGACACGGAAATGCTTAAACCCCCCTAAACCCTAAACATACTATTTTTTTTTAGTTTAAAAAAATTTATAAGGTTAATCGTGGTACGGCAAAAACTAGGCCCTAACCGACACAGAAATGCTTAAACCTCCCCTAAACCCTAAACCCTAAACATCTAAACCCTGACCGACACGGAAATGGTCAAACCCCCCTAAACCCTAAAAGTACTAATTTTTTTTTCTTAGTTTAAATTTTTTAAAACTAATTAGGCTAGGGTCTCATAGCCTAATTGGCTTAAAAAAATTTATAAGGTTAATTGTGTTACAGCAAAAACTAAGCTCTAACCGACACAGAAATGCTTAACTCCCCCTAAACCCTAAATCCTAAACAACTAGATCCTAACGGACACGGAAATGGTCAAACCCCCCTAAACCCTAAACATACTAATTATTTTTTATTTATTTTTTGGTTTAAAAAAATTTATAAGGTTAATAGTGTTACGACAAAAACTAGGCTCTAACCGACACGGAAATGCTTAAACCCCCCTGAACCCTAAACAACTAGACCCTAACCGATACGGAAATGGTCAAACCCCCCCTAAACTCTAAACATACTATTTTTTTTCTTGGTTTAAAAAAATTTATAAGGTTAATCATGTTACAGCAAAAACTAGGCCCTAACCGACATGGAAATGCTTAAACCCCCCTAAACCCTAAACCCTAAACAACTAGACCCTAACCGACACGGAAATGGTCAAATCCCCCTAAACCCTAAACATACTAGTTTTTTTTTTCTTTGCTTAAAAATATTTATAAGGTTAATCGTGTAACGGCAAAAACTAACTAGACCTTAACCGACACGGAAATGGTCAAACCCCACTAAAACCTAAACATACTAATTTTTTTTTCTTGTTTTAAAAAATTTCTAAGATTAATTGTGTAACGGCAAAAACTAAGCCCTAACTGACACGAAAATGTTTAAACCTCCCTAAACCCTTAAAAACTAGACACTAACCGATACGGAAATGGTCAAACCCCCCCTAAACCCTAAACATACTAATTTTTTTTTTGTTTAAAAATATTTATAAGGTTAATCGTGTTACGGTAAAAACTAGGCCATAACCGACACAGAAATGCTTAAACCCCCTAAACCTTAAACCCTAAACAATTAGACCCTAACCGACACAGAAATGGTCAAACCCCCCTAACCCTTATATACTAAACATACAAAGGCCGAAGAACTAATGCCAAAGGCCAAAGATCAAGAATCAAAGACCAAAGACCAAAGATCAAAGACCAGAGTGAAGAGCGAGTATATGTGTAAAGTAAAGACCAAAGACTAAAAGATCGAAAATCAAAGACCAAAGACCAAATGGCAAAGGACAAAGACCAGAGTGAAGAGCGAGTGTGTGTGAGGAGCAAAGACCAAAGACCAAAAAACAAAGAGTAAATATCGAAAACCGAAGACCAAAGGCCAGAGTGAAAAACGAGCGTGTGTGAGGAGCAAAGACCAAAGACCAAAGGTTAAAGACCAAAGATCAGTAGTACAAACAAGCATGACCATTGTGTCTTTCAGGAAGACCAAGGGAAATACATAAAAGTCAAGACCTACAGCAACAAATAAAGAAACCAAATTGTTTACACAAAACACTTAGGAACAACAAATCAGAGTGTCTTTTAGGAAGACCAAGGTTATTTAATAATTTTTTTTATGTTTCAAAAAACATATTTATGAGGGATCTCGTTAGATAGATCTCGTCGAGTACTATTAAAATGATATAAGACAATTGGTCTAATTTTTACGGATTATGAAATAAAATTATTTGAAAATTAAAGAAAATTTTAAAACCAAAAAACCCAAACAAATAAAAATAAATAAAAAACATACACAACAAAATTCTGCGCATTAAATGCACGAGTGGAAGCTTCACGCTGCGTAAAAAGCGCGTGAAAAGCACGCGCCATTAAGTGCAGCCACCAAACTGCACTTAATGCGTAGCGTATAATTTATAGGGATAAAAGAGATATATTATACAGAGTTATTCCACTAAAGAAAGACATCTTCCAAGTCAAGTGGCCCGAAATTTTCATGTGCGCTACATAATCATTGCTCATGATTGCTTTAGGGAAGATTGTACGTTTAGAGCATCTCCAGGACACCAAAATACTAAATTTAGTGTTTTGATATAAAGTTTTCACTTCAGCGAACACACTAAATCGCTATACTATTTTTGGTGCAGTGAATAATGTTACACCAAATTTGAAGTAAATTGTCCATTCCATTATTTTTAGTGCACTATCATTTTACTTAGATCTGAAGATATATTTGCTATGCAATTAAACTTATAAAACAAATTATGTTTATAAAATTTATATCATATTAAATATTTTGTTGAGATCTACAAAATAAGACATATATTGAATAAATTTTTTTTAAAAAAATAATTTTTAGTTATTATTAAAATTTGAGTATGAAAAATAAGTAAAAAATAATTGATACTTCTACAATCAAATAAAAAGCGATTATAAGGAACAAATTTTACAAAATTATCACCAAATTACATTAATTTAATTAACTAAAAAATAAAATACAAACTAAAACATTTAATAGGTAGACATTTTAGCATATCAAGGTTGGAATGTAAAAAATTTTGGTGTAAAAAGATGCTAAGAATATTCTATATGTACACTAAATTTAGTATAAATTATAGTGAAATGGTTGGAGATACTCTTAAAGTTTAGCATTTTAGCTAAGAGCTGGTTTCTTAATTAATTGCCATTATTTTTACTTTTGGGTGAAATTTTGAAATGGCGTTCACTATTCATTTAAGCTAAAAGTGATCATCTCGTCATTGATTCAGGATAGATTTTCCATGACGTTTCATTTGGCATTTACTTTTTTTTTTTTTTTTTCCTTTTTATCTCAACATTTTCCCCATAGTTGGAAGCAAAAATACAAAGGCAAATAGCGGGGAGCAGGTAATTTTAGACGGGAGTATAGTATTACCGCCAAACCAATTAGCAACCAAAATTGAATCATTCATACACAATCACAATTACGACTAGCTAGCTCGGAAATATTGTAATCATCAAATTAAGCGCGTACGTAAAATCAAAATTTACAATAATATCAGTCTATTCTCTATACTTATCTCACTCAAATGGATTGGTGTTGGCAACCCCACCGGATCCCACCGCTAACCCGGATAACTTGTGGTTCATCCTGAGTCGACCCGAAGCGAAAAGCACCGAGTCCTCACTCCTCCTCACAACTCGTTCATCAAACCGAGCCGACTCACTAACCAGACCGCTTTGAGACCACGTCAACAGCTTTCTTTCCTCCCTTCCCACTTTCAATTTCCCGACCTCCTCCTTCATCTCCGGCACCATTCCCCATAAAGTTTCCGTTGACGGCTTCTTTATCGTGAAAAGCACATCCAGTTTGTCTTTACAATTTTCCAATCTCCTTAAAGCACAGACTAATTCCACCGATTCGCCGAAACTCAAACAACTGAGTCGCTCCTTGAACTCGACGAGTCGAGACAAAATCTCATTTACCGTTGACAAGTAATCTTTGCTTAGGAATCCCAACACATCGTACAATATCTGGTTGCCTTCAACGAACCGGGGATCGGGCACTTTGCATATTTCTTCAATCGTTCCGACTAGCGAATCAACGTCTCTGATTAAATCCCGATTCAAGAACGAAGCGATTCTTTCTTCTTGTTTATCTCTTTCAGCACTGCAAGAAGTTGAACCCAGGTAATAACCCAAGACCCTGGATGTTGAGAGCAGGGTTTCTAAGTAACCGGCGTACCATCTTACCCATGCAGACAGAACCCACGTGAAGGCGGTGGCGCCGTCGCGGAAGGCGGAGAGTTTCAAGTAATTGCGCCCGCCGTTGGCAGGAAACACCGAGAGCTGGTCTTGTAGGATGAAGGGCCCGCGTTTGACGATGTGGTGGATTGTCAGAAGGCATTTCAGCGCGACTGTGGAATCACCGGTGCGGTGGAGGCGGTCGATGAGAGAGGCAATTAAAGAAGCGGCGGTGGCGCGTGAGCTATCACCGAGGGAAAGGAGGGCGGAAAGATGGGCGTCGTCGGGTGGGGTGGAGGGGATATGGGTAGTGACCCGGAGAACGGCGAGGCGGAGGGAAGTATCGGAGCGTTTGGATACTATGGCTGCTTTGGATAGTGAAGCTTTGTCTTTGATAGCGCCGACGAGATCTCGAAACGTCGTTATTTTACCCATATGGAGAGAAAAAGGAAATCAAGTTTTCTGGAGCTACACAAGAAAAATGCAAGAAGAATGTATGGTAGTAGTACAATTTATATGGATTTATTTTGTTGTTGAACGGGTAAACCGTTTTACTATCTTTCTTCAACTAAGCAAGGAAGGTTCAATTAATCTAATGAGATCTTTTGAAATGTGAATACTGAATACTACTATCTGTAAAAGCTAAAAGGGAAAAAGGAAAAATATCAACGGGTACATTTATTTTTTTACACTGAGATTTCTTTTTAATAATAAATACCTTTCCCTTTTTTCTTTTTCAGGCCTTTCAGTGTGGAGAATTTGGGAGTTGGGAGGAACTAGGGAACAAACAGGAGCTTTTATTGATTTTTACTATAATTAGCAGGTGGAAAGATTTTTGCTTTGATTAGCTTAAAGGGGCAACTTCACATGTGCTTTTGGCATTGTATTATTATCTCTCCCCTCTTCCTGCTCACTTGTTTCAATGTTGCGTGTCCAGTGTAATTATGTGATTAGTAACTATAAATAGCTTTATTATCGTTTCTGGTGTATTTGGGAAGAATAATTTGTTGTGGGGACAATTTAACAATTTTAAGAGGTAAAATAACGGAGCCAGTGAAAAGTTTATAAAATTAAGATGTAGATTGACAAGTTCAAAATAAACTCTAGGCCTATTGGGCTTAGAATTATATTATTTGGAGATTAAGACACTGCCTAAACTTATTCCGCTAGGGTTTCAGGGAACATGTAACATCACCTCTATATAAAGAGATGGTGCCTCTCCCATAATACATATCTTCGAGTCCGTATCCAGCGCACCTGGGTATACCGTATACCCCCACCAAACACACGCGTTACACGCGCTCAACATTTTTCACCTTTACATTAAATGCTGATTATCCACCCATTTCGTACCGGTTATCCTATGATGTTATCGTGCTTATCCAATATTTCTTTGCTGATTATCCAATGCTCTGTATTGATTATCCAGGACTTTTGTACTGGTTATCCAGCCAATGTGCAGCAACATCCAACCGTTTGTAATGGTTATCCAGGATCTTTGTACCAGTTATCTTGTTACACCTGATTATCCGAATGTTTTATAGTGATTATCCAGTAAAAAAAATGCAAGGACAATCTTTAACCCGATTATCCATGAGTTTATACTTGTTATCCAAAACCTCAATACTGCTTATCCATATGTAACCAATGCCTATCCACCATGTGGACATAACAAAACAAGGATTCAGAGAGGGATTCCAAAAAGACATAACAAAAGAAAATATCCATAAGAAAATGGCTATCCAAACGGCATGTTCATTGGGGGGAGCTTCGCCCCCCATGATAAACTAAACGACTCTCGCGGCTACCGGAATCGCAGGTCACCAACCTGCCCCGGCTGCGCCGCCCCGCCGAGCACGCCAATGTAGCTAAGGTAATCCTTTTTTCGTGTGTGTGCAAGGAGAGTGTGTTATTGCGTTAAGAGGGGACACAAATTACTTGTATAAATCTCCCGTGACAAACTAAACGACCCGGCTGCGCCGCCTTTCGCGGCTGTGCCGCCCCCATGCCGAATGACTAGCCGTCGTCACACTAGTCAAATAATAATTACCTACTTAATACAATTACTAGTAGTAAAGTAGCAAGCAGAGTCGATCCCACAGAGAAGGAATACTAATTACCAGATATAAATTACTCCTATTATTATCTAGATAAATGATGATTTCAGATTTATAAAATTTAAAACTAAAATAAATAAATAAAATAAAAGCAAATAATATTAATTCGAATAATCAGACAAAGAAAACCTAGGACATTGGGTTCACCTACCGAATATTCAGTTTAGTTCAATTCATAAATATTTGACTTTTAACCTCTATTAATCTCACAACGATTCACCTAATTAAGAACTATTCACTGTCGTGATATAATTCTGTTACTCTAATTAATCCTATGACTACTGTCGTGACTATAAGAAATAACTAGAGCACATTAAGAACTTAAGAATCTAACGTTGCAAAGGTTGTGTTCCTACTGTCGTGGTTCATTACCTAAGTCTAATATTCCCATGAACTAATATTAATTTTCAACTGTCGTTCCATCAATTAATATCTTTAAACATGCAAGTAGTGGCCAGTTACAAACATGGAATAAAAGCAAGAATATTAAATATTGATTAATGGAAAAATCAAATAATAATGAACCAAATAAACCAAATAAATTCGGTGGCTACACCCAAGCCCTAGATTAAAAGAATTGAGCCACTAAACATTATCAAAAATCATTCAATAATATTTAGAGACATAATCCTAAAAATTTAAATTAAATAAATAAAACTCCAGAACCCGAGAATAGAATAGGGCTGCCGAATTGGAGACTTGAAGTCCACGGCTGTTGCTTGCTTTCTCTTCTCTTCCTCGGCTTCTGCTAGTGCGTGGAGGCTTCGGTGGTGTATGGAGATGGACAAGGAAGCAATGTGCTGCGTTGTTTCGGTGGTTTGGTGATCAAGGGGGAAAGCAAGGTGGTGAAGGGTTTTGTGGCGTGGGGTTGGAGGAAAGGTGGAGAGAAAGCTGATGCCGGTGACAATGGAGGAAGCTGCTTGCTTGAGATGGTGGCTTAAAGGCCAAGGAAAGTTGCAGCGGCAGTGATGGAGTTTTGCAGTGGCAGAGGTGGTGCGTGGATGTGGAGATCGGCGGAGGAAAAAGAAAACGTAGGTTTTTTTTCGGTCCAGTTCGGTTCAGTCCTGTTGAAAAAATAAATCCTTAATCCTCTTTTTATAGGCTTCCGTCAAAATCCTACTTCTTGGAGAGGAAGAAAACTTGTTTCTCAAATAATATCGGGATTAAAATTCTTACCCAATTCCAATCCTAAATCAGCCGCACAACCTTAACCTATTTCGGCCAATTTTCCAAAAATTAAACATTCTAAAATTGCTTGTTTAATTTTCCAATTTTTCATGTACTTCAATTTCTTCCTTGTTAATTTATCAAATCTTCAATTCTTCATTTTGAGTTGCTTTTATCTTCATTTTCGCCCACAATTTCAACAATTCCTCCTTTTGAGTACAATTCCTACAATTATAGATAAAATCACATAAATAGCACATTTGTACTCAAAATATATTGCAAAAATTACAAATTAGGGATATAATAAATAGGTAAAATATAAGCATATTACCGAACATGGTAAATTTCATAAATAGTATTTAATTGAATCAGGGGAAGTTTGCCAAATGATGGAGAACAAAAAATGAATGAGGGGCAGCTGGATAACCGGTGTAAAAAATACGGACAAGGATATCCAAGAAAAATATAAAAGGAAAAAAAATGAAATTTGGCAACTGGTTATCCAGCTGTGTGTAACTGGTTATCCATAATGTGCACACTGGTTATCCACTATGTCCATACTGATTATCCAATAGGTTAATAATGGTTATCTAGCTGTGTCTAACTGGTTATCCATAGTGCCAACACTGGTTATCCACATGGTGAACACTGGTTGTCCATAGTGTGGAAGGAGAATTTATATATGCCGCGTTTAAAAGAAAAAGAAAAAGAAGGATGAATTATCTAGCGAGCTTACGCTATTCTAAGAGAGTAAAGTACACGCGCGGGGGGGTACACGGTGCCCCCGGGTGTACCAGATAATTTGCCCATATCTTCTATCTATCTTACACACCTTCTACTTATGATACATATATCTCTCTATTCTATTATTGACTTAAGCATCGGAGAGTCTATTATCGGGAGACACCCGAGACTCTGTCTTGTAAATTCTAGGCCGTCCGCCACTCTCTAGATCATCATCGCCACCCGTCCCGAACACCATGCAATGTGCTCTTAATTACTATGAAATGTTTTTAAGTCTTTTATCTAAATTAAAAGTACATCATAAATAGAACTTATGACGAAATCAAAATACCTTATAATAAGGACCCGAAAGAGTACTCTCTTCATCAAAAATAATTATCTAATTTGAATTTTTATATATTAATATAAATTATATTATAACTGAAATCTTAAACTTTAATAATTTTGAGTACAGATGATGAAGTATAAGGCAAACCACATGAGGTACATTGATTTCCGATGGTCACCGCCTTCCTCCGCCTCTAAACTTGATATCCCTATTTGAATCAAGGCATTGAGCCTAAACTTGTACAAAGAAAGTCGCAATTGATTTATGGTGTATTAACTTTATAGATATCTATCTATATATACATGTATATAGTTGCACCTACAGCGGCTTATTAAGCTATAATAGTCATTGCGATTTTGGCAAATATCGGTAATTTTTGCTTACAAGTAGTGAACAATGTCATACACTAAAGTATATTTAAAAAATTAATACACCAATTATAACTTCAGTTGACCTTATACATTATATATGAGTTCCATTAATACCAACTTGCAGTACTATTGTACTTTTTTTTTTCTTTTCTTTTCCAATAATGAATATGTAACTATATACAGTATGCATGATATCAAAGAAACGTTGTCATCCGATAAAGTATGCTAAAATTTCATAATAAAAAAATCAAACTGTGCTGGAGCTTCACGTACATGCAGTGCAAACAGAGGGCCAAACTCTCTTCAATTCTTATATTTTGAATAGGACGTACCAAGTAGCATACAATATCTAAATCGATCATTTTATAAAAGATCAATGAGTTGATCGATTGTTACAAAAACACTATTCAACTATATCAATACATCCATTTAATGTTATATGAGTTGGCTAGAGGCATGTGATAAGCTGGACATCTCAATCAAAGAAGGATCTGTCGCTAAACAATTATTATTGAAATAGAAATCCCAACCAACCTTTTGAAGAAGCATTTATATAGTACACAATTAATCTGTCCAATATATATATATATATATTGTGTTTTGCAATACACAAACAAGTTATGAGACTAGACTTTATTTTGTTTACTTATTATACACAAATCAATTCCGATCCCCCTTTCAGTATTCCGAGCAATACCTTGGAGATGATTCCTGGGAGGGAACCATTGATTTGATGATGAAGAAGAAAAAAGAATAGAATGTTGAAAAAATTTAATTTTAGACCCATAATTTTGTTGATTTGAAGAAAGACCTTCATTCCTTTTTATTTGAGGCACTGTACATGAGTTCTTAAATCCTTTTTCCTTATAATAAATTTTTCATTTTCAAGAAAATATTAAATAGTTTTTTTTTTTTTTCAATAGGTTACCCTCTCGACTAACTAATTAGGAATACACTCTAACCAATATCATTAATGTAGTTAAATTAATTTAGTAAATTCATAATATATTTGAGACAAATAACTAAACTTAATTAATTTTATTGGTATGTGCAAAGTTAGGGCCAGAGCATCCCAAAGCGTTTGACGTCCATTTCGGATCACATATATTGGGCCTTAAGAATACTTGAGTCACAAACGATTGTGTTGGGTTTAAGCGATTGGTGATGGGCTATTATAATTATATCGGCCTACATCTTTTGAGTCTCGTGGGACTCGATCACTTGCAATGTTGGACAGTGGGGCCAGCAGGCCGTAAATGATTGGAGAGAAAATACTAATAATGCAAAAGTGACCTTTTAATATGCGGGAATTCCAATTTTTCACCCTCAGAGTATCCTGTCTCCGCCACTTCTTGGCAGTTTTCAATTTTCGCAGAATGACAGTAAAAGGAGTCAGCATCCGCCATCTATGGTGTTTCTGGGTGTTCCTACTTATATCGGATGCCTTTGATTTGTCAGTACAGGGGCCTTCTATAGCTCTAAACTTGCCCTCGAGTTTATTCAGGCCCCACCCTGATGAAGCTGCTGCTTTTGCCCGTTGGCTGGTCTCCCGTAGCTCCTGGGGAGTTCTCAAGTATATTCCTTTCCCAACTCCTTTCTTTCCTTTTTCTTCTTTTTATTTTCTTTTTGGGAACTTTTGACGGAATTGCCTTAGTAAAACTAGTTAACTATGTACACGATTACCAAATTGCTATTTAGTGATTCATTCTCATCCTGGTTACTGATCCATAGACCATATGATGGAACCAATCCGGATTAAGCTTGGGTTTTTCGGTTTCGGTCTGATTTGTTATTTGGCGTCTGTTAATTTGATTGAATTGAATCCAGTCTTGCAACAGGGGGTTTGTCTTATAATTTCTGGGGTTTGGAACCTGGGGTTTCCTAATGATGAATATTTGTGTTCATTGTGGTTCCTTTTATTTACAAGTTAATGAAGCTAAAATACCGGTGTACATAAATTCAGCATAAGGTTCGTTTTTCTTATATTCACTTGGGACAGAGATTAAAAACTAGAAATGTAGAGCAAAAGATAGATTCTGCTTTGTGCCAAAAAGAAAAAGATAGATTCTAATCCATCACCTGTTTTAGTGAATTGTTACTGAATTCAAAACTTTTGGCACTTGTTTCATTGAATTGTTGCTGAATTCAAAACTATTTGCTTCAGCTTCATGGTTTTTCTTTTTAGCTTCTTAGGCTTCATCTCAAGATATGACTCCTCTTTTTTGCAGTACCATTGCCAGTGATTTAGGAGGAGCTCCATTCGGGTATGTTATGCTTTTTCCCAGTAATTACATTTAATAAGTGGATGGTGAACTGCGCATGCACCTTTTTCAAACTTCGCCTTTGCCTAACGTTTTTTTTTGTGTTTGCATGTGGGTGGGGGTGGGGTTGGTTAAACGTGCTAGTGATTCTTCATCTAATCCCATTAGGTCAAGTAATCTTCAAAAGGTACATGTTTGATGATAAATTAAACTAAATTCATTACTCTCACTCCTAACTACCATAAGAAATTTAATTACTTGATTTGAAGCCTTTCTTGAAGACTGTTCCTTCTTGTGCTTGGTCTAAGAGGGACTCAGTAGCACACGTGTCTCTAGTATGGTTAGATGTGTTGCATTTAGTAACCTAACTTAACTTCTGTTATGCTTGCTGTAAGAGTGGGTGCTAAGAACCTCTATGTCTGTTATCAAAGCATGGGCACATACCTTTAAGTTAACATCTGATTTTCAATCGATGCAATTTTTCATTCTGTTTTCCTGCTCTTCAACTTGTTTTGGCTATATTTTACACAGGAATGTAGTCTCATTCAGTGATGGTGATCCAGACAAAAGCAGTGGCATCCCATACTTTTATTTGACGACACTCGATCCAACAGCAAGTTATGCATTGAAAGATCAACGGTCTTCCTTCACCATCAGTGAATACCCTCTTGGGACATGCGGTAGCAAGGATCCTGAGAACCCCTCGTGTGCAAAAATTACTCTTGTTGGAAAGGTGATCACGCAATCATCTATAGAAGTTTGAACTAAAAGAAACAATTTTAAAGGGAATAGTAAAATTCATGTTCATTTTTCTGATCAGTTGATTGTGGCTGGAAGTTTAGTCAAAATACTTTGCAGAACAATTTATGTATGCTATATTCTCCAAGGGGCATTACGCTGCATTAGGATCTTGTGTTTAGTGTGTATAGTGCTTGGGAATTTCGTTTCTTTAGTCAACTTCAGATATCATTTTGGTTTTGATTATGCTAAATTCTTCAAATATAAAAAATCTTAGTCTGATTTTGTACCTCTTTTGTGGTGCATTGCTATGTATTCAATTCCTGGATCATCTTCTCACCCTTGCCTGAAAGTTTGCTGGATATATTGTTTTGCTTAAATTCTGGAGGCCTGTTTCTGGCTTGATATATGTACTGTTTTTCTTAATGTTTCATTCTTTTTGTAAATCGAATTACTCTTCTTGTTGATGTTGTTCTATTTGTATACAGTTGAAATTATTGGATGGAAATTCCAAGGAAGCTGATTTTGCTCGAAATGCATTATTCACAAAGCATCCTGAGATGAAAGGTGACTTATTTTCTTCATGTCTGCTGCAGCTTTTAGACCTCATTCATGTTATTTCCATTTCTCATTTACTCTGTTCTGCTTGCATGGCTTCTTTGTGAAAACTACTAAAGTATTCATTTCTATTTGAGTTGATTGCAGGCTGGCCTAAGAATCATCATTTCCAGTTCTTCGGTTTAGAAATTGATGATATTTTTCTCATCAATTGGTTTGGTGGTCCTAAACCCCTAACAGTGGAACAATACCTGCAGATTGACATGTAAGTGTATTGCCCTAGATTCCAAATTAATCGTATAGGAATGGAATACTCTCTGTCACTAATTAACCTTAAAATGTGGATTTTATCCATCTGCAGGAATGAAGTCAGTCATAGTGCTTGATCTTATATACAAGTGTGATCTGATGTTTGAATGTGGAATTCGACCGGTGGTGGAAGTTTCGATTGCTTTGGTGATCTACCACATGTAACCGGTGTTAAATAATATGTAAATAGTGTTAATATATAATCCTTGAAGAATATGGTAAATGGCATTGTCTGGGAGTAAGAAGTTTCAACTTGGTGAAGCATTACGAAATCCCAAGAACTGTACATTGAAATGGTAAACATTGATTTGTTATTGCACCGGCTATTTGTTCTGAAATCTATCATCTTGGTGCGATAAAATTGCAGAACGCAGAATTAAAGTCCAGAGCGGTTCTTGTTCTTGATTTGAGGTTGAGCAATTGTTTTGTTTCAAGGAGTTTTACGATGGTTTCTCAACCTAAAAAGATAAAGAGGATGATACGTAGTATTAGAAAGAAGAAGGATGGTAATAACTAAATTGCAAAAGTTTTACCGTTGCCTATGTTTAATTTTTGGGTGGTTTTTTGTCTCCATTCCGGACTCAGGAGAAGCGGAGCTGTTAAAATTGCCAATTATTTCCTTTTCCTATCCTATTAAACAATAAAAAGAAAAAAAAAATATCTTTGAAGCCGGAGCAGAGAGAACCGGATAAAACCAGAAGATTGTGGCAGGCACCGGAACTAACTGAACAACGACGTTCTATTACTCGGCAGAAGTAGGGATCATTGATATTACCTTATTGGGAAGGAATTTGACAACTTGTATGACTGCACTTCCAACGAGAGATGATTGCTTGGTGAAAAGTCGAACTTTCCACCAATGTCCATTTCTCTGCTCAACGACCGACTCTACTTAATTTCTCCGCCCAAGTTCTGCAAAACGTCCGTTAAACCCTTCTTATCATCCTCCCCGCAACCTCTTTTCTTCACATTCCCCTTCCCTATTCCATTCTCCGGCCATTCTGTATTGCCCCCAAAACCCCTCCTGTGCCGAGCTTCCTCTGCCGCCGATGCAGAAACTCTACCGAAATCCGCAATTAAGAGAATCGCCGAAAAGCTCCGCAGCCTTGGCTACGTCGAAGATGATAGAGATAAAGGCAAGTCACCACCAGAGACTAGCAACAGTGAGAACAATAACCCCGGCTACTCCCCGGGGGAAATATTCGTTCCGTTGCCAACCCAATTACCTAAGTACAGGGTCGGGCACACACTTGACCCGAGCTGGAGCACCCCCGATAACCCCGTACCTTTGCCCGGTTCAGGAAAGGCGATTCAAAAGTATCACCAGTTGAGGCTAGGGGCAATGAAGGAGAAGATTGAAGAGAGAGCTCAGAAGAATAAAAAGGAGAATGTGCCCACTTTGGCGGAGCTTACATTGCCAAAGAAAGAGCTAAGGAGGTTGACGACACTTGGGATTGCTTTGGAGAAGAAGTTGAAGGTTGGAAAAGCTGGAATCACTGAAGGAATCGTTAATGGGATTCACGAGCGGTGGAGGCGAAATGAGGTTGTTAGAATCAAATGCGAGGATATTTGTAGAATGAACATGAAGAGGACTCATGAGTTATTAGAGGTTAGTACATTATCATTATTATTTTTCACTTATCTCTAATAATTGCATGTAAACTACATTATGCATAAATGGTCATGTATGTAGTTTTGTTAGCAGTAAAGTTTTCTCATTTTCTACCTTATTCAACATGATTGTTGCGGATTCTGATGCTCAGAGGAAGACGGGAGGTTTAGTTGTCTGGAGATCAGGAAGTAATATAGTGTTGTACAGAGGAGCTGATTACAAATACCCTTACTTTACTTGTTCTGATGATAAATCCATTGATGGCTCTGCCAATGAAGCATCTTCTGTGGAAGGGAGAGAGGATTCTACATTTGATGGCGATGCCCAGAAATCCCCAGTCCCTAAGTTATTGAATAATGGGTCACATCCACCTCTTGTTCGAGGCGTAGGCTCCCCTGATAAAGTGCGATTCCAAACTCCCGGTGAGGCAAAGCTTGCTGAAGAAGCTGATCGTCTGTTGGAAGGACTTGGTCCTCGCTTCGCGGATTGGTGGGGTTATGAGCCTTTGCCTGTTGATGCTGATCTTTTACCAGCAGTAGTTCCTGGGTATAAGAAGCTTTTTCGGCTGCTTCCTTATGGTGTAAAGCCCATCCTAACAAATGATGAAATGACTATCTTGAAGAGACTTGGTCGTCCTTTACCTTGCCACTTTGCTCTTGGTGAGTGTTTTGAACTTTGAAGTATGTTACATTTGTCAGTTAACAGTTATTCACAATGATGCTCTTTCCATATTTTATTTCAGGCCGAAACAGAAATCTTCAGGGTTTAGCTGTTGCCATTTCTAAACTATGGGAGAAATGTGAAATTGCAAAAATTGCTATTAAGAGGGGAGTCCAGAACACCAACAGCGAACTGATGGCTGAAGAACTAAAGGTTTGTTACTGTTATGACGTATTTTCATCCGTGCTCTACGATGTTTGTCCAAAGGGCTAGCACATTCACTAGTTCATTATTCATTTGAAATTTTTATTTCCGTACAAATCTTTTTGGGGGACTTGCTCATCGAACTACTCCTTCTGCTGACACACATTCACTAGTTCATTATTCATTTGAAATTTTTATTTCTGTACAAATCTTTTTGGGGGACTTGCTCATCGAACTACTCCTTCTGCTGACATATATTTACTCGAAAGTTTATGATTGCAGCAACTGACTGGGGGGACCTTGCTTTCAAGGGATAGGGAATTCATTGTCCTCTATAGAGGAAAGGATTTTTTGCCAGCCGCTGTCTCTTCAGCAATAGAAGAGAGAAGAAAGATTCTTCTTGATAGTGCTCGACACAGGGAGGCTGCAAGCTCGTGGAACATGAGATCAAATGACAATACACAGTCGACGTCAGAACCTGATGGTGTATATGAACGTAATAATGAAGAAGAAGAGAAATTACAAAGTGTCCCAAAGCCCCATCAAAACTCAACTGAAGCAGCATTTAGGGAAACTAGTGCCAAATTAACTAAGGCACGTATCCTTATGAATTAATGGCTCAACTGTTTCCATTACTTATAATCTCATGGGAAAATATATCTCTTGATAGGCCCTTGCCAAGAAAGCCACAGCAGAGAAGCTTCTGGCTGATCTGGAGAAGGAAGAAACCCTTCAAGAGACTGAAGTGGATAAAGAAGGTGTTACTGAAGAAGAACGGTTTATGCTGCGGAAAATTGGGTTAAGAATGAAGCCATTTTTACTGCTGGGTAAGCAAGTCTAAGAATGACCAGACTGTTTGCTTCCAATCTCTACTGATGAAGAATGATAAACTGTTTTTCATGCTCAGGTAGAAGAGGAGTCTTTGATGGTACAGTTGAAAACATGCATCTTCACTGGAAATACAGAGAACTAGTGAAGATTATAACTGGGGGGAAAAGCATTGAGGAGATCCATGGGATCGCACGGACCCTAGAGGCAGAAAGTGGTGGAATCTTAATAGCAGTTGAACGAGTCAGTAAAGGTTATGCGATCATTATTTACCGAGGAAAAAATTACGTACGACCTGAATGTTTGAGGCCTCGATCTCTCCTTAGCAAAAGAGAAGCATTGAAGCGCTCTGTAGAGGCGCAGCGGCGTCAGGTTTTACGTCCTTATCCATTTTTAGATTTATTATAGTTGGACTGCAGAGGAAATTTTCTTTATCTTTTCACCGATTGTTACTTGAATTTATGATTGCATATCTTTTTCGTTTTCCTCTTCCAGCGTGTATATAATACCTCTTCCCTTTATTCTGTTCTGCAGTCTCTCAAACTACATGTATTGAAGCTTTCAGAGAACATAGACCATTTGAAATGTAAATTGGTGAGTTTTCTTTTGCTATACTTATCTAGTTGAATAATTTATAACTTTTTGGTGGAGATGACAGAAGTTTGACTTGAACTAGGCCAAAGATAAAGATGCACAAAAGACGATATTGAGCGAAGAACTGAGATCGGAATTGGTGATTTTCCCCTACATGATTATCATGCTTTCACCTTTTGAGTGCTCTCATACTCTGATAGGCTAATGTAGCGGTTTGATATTCATCCAGAACCAGGAGGTGACAAAACTGCATTCATCTGAGAATGAAATGGCCGTTGGTAATCCTGAGGTCTGTTTGTCAAGACAACCTTCCAGTCAACAGGTAGAGGAAAAGAAGGAATCTGGTTCTTTTTTTTCTCTGTCAATTGATAGCTGTTTTACATAATGAATTTGAAAAACTCAATGATGGAATTGATAATAATGATTGAGCTTTAATTTCTATTAACCCTTAGCTTATTTTTCCATCCAGGATAAAGATGAGGAAAGAACAAACTGGCAGTCAGCTAAGAATGAAACAACCATTGCTAATCCTGAAGACTGTTTGTCATCAAACCCTTGCAATCAACAGGTAAAGAAAAGAACATCATCGTCTAATTCTTTTCTGACAGCTACCAAGCATATCCTTGACTTCAGTTGCACCAAAGATACTGTCGAAAACGTATTGAATGTGGATTGGTTACATGAGATTTGTCTCCTTTTTTTCGTAATGTTAAGGATTGCTTTTTAAATCTAGTCCGTGCACTATTTATGTGAGTTTGAAGATAATAATTGTCACAGATTGGCCAATTAAATGAATTTCAACTTCCATTTGGTCATTGAGATTATAGGAGGTGGAACTAACAAATATTAGATAGTTCTTTTTTATTCCTTGTGTCAAGTAATTTGCCCTTTCATATAACATGCTAGTATGAAGATGACTTATGGCTTATATGTTAGGTTAATGAAATCTTTTAGAACCTATATGGTTAATCTTACTGAACTTGCCTATTTTTATTTTTTTGATCTAAGATGCTTGGTGAGACAAATACTTCCACAATCAGCAGTGCTGGAGATAGACCTGATGACCCATTATCGCTCATGTCGGATGCTACTTCCCCAAAAGTTAACTCGGATGCGTTGGTTCAAGTAGCTACAAAGGGTGACAGTGCGACAATCCCATTCAGAGCCAAAAGTCTTTCCAATAAAGAGAGGCTACTTTTGCGGAAACAAGCCCTCATGCAGAAAAAACGTCCCCTGTTTGCCATAGGTAATGACAGCAAAATTCTTGACTCTTCTCCAATTTCATGGATACTGCATCTTCCCCAATTTCAAAGAGTATACATGCATATTGCTCGCTACATGAAGGAAAAATGTCTTTTGTCTAGTTACTGAATATTTGGATTCATTTACAAAATTTGTTTATCTCATGTGTGCTTCATTAACTTCTCATTTCTCTACTGCTGGTATAGTTCTCAGTCTTCCAGTACTGAGGGAATTTTAAGAGTATAACTGAAGATAGCAGATGGGTGGTCTTTTGCTGATGTGCTTTCAGGTTTTCAGGGTCTTATGTTTGTGTGTGTTTGTTCCCCTTGTTCTAGGTGTCTTAATATGTTTAAGGTTTCTAGGGGTTGAAGACAGCGCTTGAACTTAAGTCTCCAATATGCTAGGCCTAACAGAACTGTGCAACGGGCGTTTTAATTTGTTAGTGTTAAGTTAGGAGAGAGTAATCTTTTAAAGTTTGGTATCTAATTGTAAGCTGGGTGAGATTGAATACTATCGTTGTCTTTTCTGAGTAACTAGAACGTGGTTCTGCAACATTTTGTTGTCTTTTTTAGGGAAAAGCAACAAATTATCGGGACTAGCTGAAGCCATCAGGGGCCACTTTCGAAAGCATCCTCTGGCTGTAGTAAATTTGAAAGGCAGAGCAAAAGGAACTTCTGTCCAGGAAGTGGTTTTCAAGCTGGAGGTCTGGTTGTTGAAACTTGTTCTTTTATTGTTTTGTATTCTGATAATATTTAATACAGATTTTGAGTATTTTCTGTGTTTTGTAATGAATCTAATCTTGCATCCTAATTTATTATTTATCCATTGTCCTGAAACAGCAAGCTACTGGTGCGGTATTGGTGTCTCGAGAGCCAAGCAAAGTCATACTGTACAGAGGTTGGGGGGCAGATGAAGAACCTTTCAGGGGTAATCAGAATCCCTCGACATCCCTTAAATCCCCAGGTGTCGTAGAAGGAAGGACTTCAAATTCAGTTTCTCAGGAACTGCTAGCCGCCATCAGACTCGAATGCGGATTACCGTCCTAGCATTCAAAACTTTTTCTCCATCTGACTGGCAGCTACAACAGTAGCCAGTATAATATATGCCAAGCACACTCACTGGTGAAAGTACCAAGTTTCTTTCTCCCGCCTCAAGAATGCAGTGGTAAGAATTAGTCTGATATTTTACGTGGCTTTCTTTTTCATGGTAACCGTTAATTTCTGCCGCGTTGAAACTTTAGAGCTGATTTATGCAGGTTCAAGAATTCCGAAATGGATCTGATTCCTTCACCCGGGAAATCAATCATCAATGCCTTCTTCACCGAGACAAGGTTAACCTTAGTTTTAGTCCAGAGTCCCTCCTAATTGTAAGCTGTAAAAATGTAAGTAGTACTAGTAGCATTAGCACACGTGCAAGTTGGAATTGTGTTACGGTTGAGGGGCATCACGCGTGATGGTAACATAAAGGCAAAATAGAATTATTTGAGGAATTGGGGGTGTTTTTTTTCACTTTTTTCTTCGAAAAGGAAATGAGAAGAAGAAGAGGAGGTGGACCCTTTTGGGTTAGGGCGCCTGGGTCAACAAGTGTTGCTGTGGTGGATGGGACTAGCTTTTTTTTTTTTGGTTGCCTAATTCCTGAAATAATTCAGCCGATATACGGCGGTTCACATCCGCCTCTATGGGGACGGACGGACGGACGGACGGACGGCCGGCCGGCCAGCCGTGCATCAGATACGAAAAAAACCATGTGGCCTCCATCGTGTGAGAAGAGCCTTTGTCATTAATTGCGTCAGTCGTGTGGGTGGTGTTGATATTCGGATCTATACGAGATTTCTACTTTTGCACAAAAAACAATGTCTACTTTCTAGCACTACCTTTGGTCAAACTGATCTAAAAAATCTTTTTTTTACATTTTCTGCTGACGACATCCTCATTCTGGTCGTGAGGGATCCTACATTCGAGTCTCCCCCAACCTTTGAGATTAATTAATTCGTTGAATTTGTTGGGGGAATTTGAAGTTTGTTCTTCATTGAAACTTGGGAAACAATTTATTATCTTTTTTTTTTTTTTGAAGAGCTGTTTGCTGCTTTATTCTCCCATTTAGAATTTCCAGAACCACCCACTTTTCCAGGTTACCATCCCTATGTTTGGTGTGGTGGTCTCCATTTCCCAGCCTTGAATTTTCCCTCTTTACGTAAAAAGCAATGGGTTCTGACTGTGTCTGAAGTTTGTATGGGTATATTTGTTTCGGTTGTTTAGTATATGTGTTTTCAGACATTTTTTTATTGAGAAGGTAAAAAAAAAATTTGAAAAATTTCAAAAAATATGTTGGGAGAAGATAATTATTAATAATTAATTTGAAAATACTATCAAGAAAGTCTAAAATATCTTTTAGATGTCCACATTAAAATAACTTCCCAACAGTTCTTTCTTTTTTGAGTAATATTTCTTTCTAGTCAGCTATGCTTCGGGCTAAAGTCATCCCTGCAGTTGCCCATAAAGAACGATATTGAGGTCAAATATTGCAAAGTTTAACGAAATTAGTAACCTTTTCTTTTTTTTTTTTGTCGCTCGGAACATACTTGCATCTATTCGCGGCTGAAGAGGTACTAAAATGCAATTTCTGAGAAGCTTGGAGGATTTCGAATTAATCTGAGTTTGTTCCTTAGATCATACGAAATGTAATTTCAAAGTATCATAGGAAAGATGATCGTGATGTCCCCCCCAAGAAAATTAATTATTTCATTCACACATGACTTAGATAACATTGAATATAACATAGCCTATGGATTGTTTTTTGGAATTCATTAATCAATTCGTTGCAGATAAAAATATAAACTAGTAAATATTTTCCTCCTTCAAAGGTTAAATGTGTTTTTTATTAAAAAAAAAAAAGAAAAAAAGAAAGAAAAGGGGGTGCATGACTCTGCCAGTCTAAATGCACCCTTTGATTAACCAAAATAAAATAAAATGCACCCCTTTGAACCTTCAATGTACCCTATGACAAGTTTTACCTGATGAATTGACTATCTTGATTAGTATTTTTTTTTCCCCTTATTATTTGGTTGATCACAAGTTTCTTACATCACACTTACCCATTGACATCTTAGAACTTGTAAATACTCTTTTGCTCCCAGAAGTAGTCATATTGGTTTTGATATTTGTACATCAAAACTCAATAGAGAATATATTTCTAGGATGGAGGTAAATCTGGTACCAGTAAAGGTGTAGCCTTCTTTAGTTGAGACAAATTATAGTAGTACTGAGGTCATCGGAAAAAAAAAAAAAAACTATAGTAGTACTGTAACATTTAGTATTATTAATAAACGCTTTGGACTAATTTCTGAAAAAATGTTGTTGAGGTGATTAATGTAAAATTTCAGGCGTAACATCTGGTAGTGAACAAGAAGAGTGCGTGTTGAATTCAAGAACGTCCTGATGGCCGTTAATAAACAATTTTTTCTCTCTCACACCTTATTACTACCTATTAATAAGAAGAAAAAAAACACACACACACAGAGCAACAGTGCAACACCAGAAAGTATGACTATAGAGGCCAAGAAAGAGACTGCACGAAAAATATTGGTTGAGATTTTACGACATCATCTACTAGCTTTTGTGCAGCTAGCTAGCCCCTTCCTTCTAGGGCGCCCCTTTTAGCTATAAATAAAAAAAAAAAACCTTCTAGACCTCTCTCTCTATATAGAGAGATAGAGAGATAGATAAGAGAAGGGGGGTGTGTTTTCAACGCCAGAAACCAAAAGCAATGATGATGTTGTGTGGAGTACCACCCCACCAGCTCCCTCCTCAGTGCCATCATTGCTTCCTCAGCACTTCTGAAAATCGTCTTCCCCCTTCATCATTATTATCTTCACCCTCAGTTCCCACCATGATGAAAAAGAAACCCATCATCAACATTATTATTCCCAGAAACAACTACAAAGAGGGACGACGACTTCCTCACCATCATTATGTGTTTTTGGCATCTAATTACCACCTCCACCACCACTTTGGAGCTGATGATGATGATGATCTGATGCATCCTCTTCCTACTCCAGGTTTCAACTTGTTAAGAGGCCCCATCAGTACTACTACTACTAAAGGGTGGAAAAGCTCTTCTCCTTTTCTTAAGAAGCATCATCGCTACTGCTGATGAAGATTAGACTTTGATCCAAGTCACATCTTCTCTCTTTTGGGGAATCAAGCATCCTGGTCCGATTTTTAATCCTTTTTAATTAGCTAGGTTTTGAGATATTTTTACATATATCTATATCTAAAGTAAGAAAAACCTTTTCTTTGGATTTCAGTTTGTTTTTCATTTTCCTTAATCTTTTTCAAGCTCTTTCTTGGTTTTGCGGTTTGTATGAGCTTGAAATCAGACAGATCTTTTTCTGTTAGATTTAGGCCTTATTCATAATATTACTACTGTAAGATTGTGAGTGTGGGATTTGGTTATTAGCTTTCCCTACTGGAAGGACTTTCCAAGTCCAAGGAACGAATTAAGATCCATCGATCGCTGTACGCTCTCTCTCTGATCCCGAAGATGGTATTGTACTTTTGTTTTATATTTGTTTGTTTGTTTGAATATTGATGAATGAATCTCAGTTTTCAGAACTTGTGTAATCTCATCTCGTCACTCTTGTGGGACTTCATTTTCTTTCAAGTGGATTTATAATATATGTTTCACTTGTTTAATTGTTGTTTTGTAAATCGGCCGGCTTTTCAGTCTACAGATATAACCTGTTACTCGTTTTAACAAAAACCCTGAAATCGATTGTGTGGTTTTTGTTCTTAAAAGTTTCGAGTATTCTTGATGTTCATGATTTTTTTTCAGATCAAGTCCTTCGAGATCTATATTTCTACTGGTATATTAAGCTGCTCGATGTTTCTCTTCAACTCTTCTCTATCATTAGGGTTTTCCTTTGGGCCTTTCTGCTTTCCCGTCTATGCATAGAAGCCTATTTGTGGATGGATACGACTCTTTAAGACTAGCTATATATGCATATCTATATGGATATCATGCATTCACGTTTTGTAAAGGTTTCTTCCAACTATCACATTGTGGCTAGCTTCTATTGTGTTCATGATGATCTCTTACCATCAAATTGATACATTAACGATCCATTGATATAACTAAATCACTAGTGTAGTTATCATCATCTTTCCTTTAGTTTCATTCATTGGGCACATCGATCAGGGTGAATGTGATCATGCAGCTACAGCTCCTTTTAATTGTACGTACGGTTGATTTGCCTAAACTGCATGTACCATTGAAGTTTCCAGAAAATGTTAGCTTAAATCTATTTAATTGTAGTATTTTTTATGCCCTTGACGTTAACCTGCAAGAAGAAATTGTTTGTAGTTTGAGGTTTGAACTCTAGCTGGATACCCAAAGTTATAGGGCATTAAATTGTGTATGCATGTATGAGCCCAGATGTCTAGGTTGTAATGATTCATACGTGCGGAGTTAAGATCGATCTCCCCAATTCAAGTTTGACCAACTGATCTCTCTGGATATTTTTACTGCAATGTGTATATCCTTTTCAGCTTCAAAAAGTTACTTTACTTGTTCAGCTGTCTGAATATTATTGAGCACTACTCATATGACCGCTGACACTTTGAGTAACTTTACCGTGGTGCTCATCATTAATCCCATTGCTTTCCTTCAAGAGCTTGCTAGGAGTACATCGTTAGAAAGAATCTTGCCTTTTGGGTTCATCTTTATGTATAATTCTTTTGGTGAAAGAGTGGCGATCGTTAACTTGGTAGCCCTAACAGTAAGTTGTCTCTAATAATAACCAATATGATGAAGCCTCTATTTCTTTCTATCCATGACATTTGCAGTTTTTGTACCAGTTTCCGTATGTGCTCTGCTTTGTTACATTTGGTCAAATTAATAACTCAATTCACAATTCACCATTGGCAGCTGCTTGGAATGTATTCTGATTTTGTTACATCATGATCGAATGAGATTTCAAATTCTTTAGGCACATATCACTTTAATGCAAGGGTTTCTCGACAAATGGGGATATTAAGTACAAGGAGCCTTTGATATTGGCATGCAATAATTTGTAGGATTTATCCCTTGCTTTAGGCTCTCATTATCTAGTTAAAAGGTAAGTTGACATTACGCTTTTAGTAAGATCAATTCTCTTATACTTCGGTTGGACTTGTTCAAAATGGTATTCCGTGTGTTTTAGAATTATTGTCCAGTTTGGATTTCACGTTTACTTTATTCAGTTTTAAATTCTGTTTTAAAACTGAATAATAATTTATTTTGAGATGGAGGGAGTATATGTTTGTTCTCATGCGACGAGCCTGCCTGCGAGTAAGGGTATATTTATGTGACACCATGATTACTACCAGCTTACCTTTTCAGCTCTGCATGTGTGGATAAAATGGTCGCTTCTTCAAACATGATATTCCTTGTTTATATACTTGCTTTGCGAAAAGCATAAGAAGATTTTTTTTTTTTTTGAAATGGAGCATAAGAAGATTGAATTAATGTAACATGCAATAGCGGACACACGATATATATATATATATATATATATATATATATATATAAAGACGAAATTCATCAAGTTTGAACCAATTAACGGAAAAGGGAAATAGTGAGATGTAAAATGGCAAATACTCTCCCTATGGCGATCCGCCAAGATTGAAATTTACGAACTGAAAAATCAATATACCCAGACCGGCCTGATTTTTTTTTTTTTTTTTTTTGTTTGTATTTTGGGTGATAACTGGAGAAGGTTGTCAAGAGTTGATCGTCAATCACACGGATTCACCGTCTGCCGTGTTGTGTAGCCTTGCATATACTATGTAGCCTATATATACTACTCGTAATGTCCCATTAATGTTGAACATCTCTTTCAAGAAAACTTGTCTACATCGAAGAAGAGACTAATTAATGCAGTTGCGGTGCATGTGCATATAGCAAGCCTGCAACACCTTAAGAGTCCCAGTTTTCTCTGGATAGTCAAATGACGAAGGGGACATTTCATAACCTTGATATTCTTTCTGTCCATGGGGTTTTCTTTGATGCATGGCTCAAATATGGAATTATTGTTTTACCGAGCCAGTAGAGATTACAGAGGAGAAGAGAAGAAGATGACTAAAGTCTACCGTACACGCACGTGATCACGTGATGTGGACAGTCAACCATTGCAGAGTTCCATAATTCGACTGAACACCACATTTGTCAGCAGGATTCAGGAATAATTTCCCTGACGCTACTAACCCATATTCCATAAAGGGCCTAATCTTTTCTTTTTTGTTTGTGCATAAACTTTGGTTTACATGGGCCATTTATGGTGTTACTCTTGTGAAAATGAATTAAATGGGCTCGAAGCCCATTACGATTTTGCTTACCAAACACTATGGTTTGGATATAATCGAGCCCGGTAAGGTCTGTAAATTTTGCCACTGACGATGAGTGGCCCTCGCGAGCCATCAAGATCTTCATCATCTCTCAAAATTGAGTCAGCAGAAAATATCGTCCCTCTTTCTTTCACCAGAATTTCCTTCTAATTACACCACACATCTGGCCACTAGAGGAAAGCGAGAGATTTGGAAGACAAATTTATACTCTCAGCAACAGAGGAAATATCTTTTCTTCTGCTGGGTTGCATTTTTTGCGTTATCCACTAGCAAAACAAAATTACGGATTGGGTTTCCGCCATGACATCTCTTCAGGCGTCCACCTCCTACGCCGTCGGCTTTGCCGTTTCATCATTCCCTGCTACCACTCCTTCCAGACCTTCTCGCAAACGCTTCGTAACTCTAGCTAAAGGTAAGGGTACAGTAACCAATGTAGCTAGCTCAGTCTATTTTCCGAATTTCTTTAATCGATTTGATTTGATTTTTATTTTTTTTGTTTTTGTGAGTGTGGCGCCTCTTTGATTTCTGTTATTAGTGGATAGGTTCTAACTTTTATTAGTATTGCTTGATATTTTCTGCTTTAAGTTGAATTTGGAATTCGGAAAAATTGATCGAGGGATTTTAATATGTGTAGTTGAACCATCGGAGAAATCGGTGGAAGTGATGAGAAAATTCTCGGAGCAGTATGCTCGTAGGTCCGGAACTTATTTCTGTGTTGACAAGGGGGTTACTTCTGTTGTTATCAAGGTACCATTTCTTGTTACCAAAGCCTTCTGTTAATGCTCATTGTTTGTCTTCCTTTTGTGTTCTACTGATTTTTGCTCATAATAACTGTTACTCTTTCTTCTAATTGGAACTATATATTCACGAGGGTACCTGTGTTGAACTTATTTCGGTTACTTATTGAATGTGAAAAGTCTGATTTAGTTGCCTCAATTGCAAAACTCGTAATGTAATTTAGAGATCATTTGCACTTGCATACGTTATCCTTTTTTTTGGAAAGCTCTTTCCTAAGCTACTCCTATTTAGGAAATATAGAAGGGCATAGAACTTTTTAGTGTTCACTATTTTGGGAAATGCAAAGATTAATGATGGGAGTTTGTCCGTGAGTAAAGGATGATCTGGTTGTTGACCTTTTGTTAGTCCCTAGCTGTAACATATCTTAAATGCATTTCTCTACATAGAAAGCTCTTCACTTTCTTTCAATCCTTTTCTGTTGCCTTTCCCTTGGGTCAGCTTTGCTACAGCTTTAGTGACTGTTCTTGTCAAAGATACTTTGCAAAGAAATTCTCGTTACTCCCTAGGCTTTGCTTTCCTGTGTTAAGGCTTACTCATCCTTTTGATGTGCTATTTAATGCTCCTATTTCGGATTCTGATTATTCTTGACACTCATCATGATGTATGGGTGCTGTAATATAATATAACCATAGGTACTCGATTGAAGATACGATTACTTTCTCGTTTTAGTTTCACCAATTTGAATTCTTGTAAATTGCAACTCTTTCTTTTATCTGTGTGATTGTCTTTTTGATAGTCACTGATCTTGAAATAAATTTGAATCTACTGTTCTTGTCCTTTCTAACAGCTCGCATTTATTTCAATGATCTATGAAGTTCGTGTTTTTTCAGAAATCAAATTGTTCTTCCTTGAATATTTCAGGGATTGGCAGAGCACAGGGATACCATAGGTGCTCCACTTTGCCCCTGTAGGTTAGTTACCAATCCTAGATGTGCATAGTTGTTATTCTTTGACTGAAATCACGAGGACCATTTTAGAGGGTTTCTTTTCTAATTTCAGGCATTATGATGATAAAGCTGCAGAGGTGCAGCAAGGATTTTGGAACTGTCCTTGTGTTCCTATGAGGGAGAGGTAACTTAACCAATGAGTTGAATCGTTTATTGGTTTTTACTCCTTTGCTTAATGAATGTAATAAGGTTTTACACCTTTTTAATCTATAAAGTAGTCTTGTATTTGTTAGTGTGTGTCTGTTCACATATTCTTTGAGGCCTTGTTTGTCTGAGGCTACGAAAGACCTTTCCATATTTTTCCAAGTCAAGTATTGCTATCGATAAGAACTGAAAATTGGAACTATTGTTTGTATTATAGAAGTGCCGTAGTCAAACACTGAAAGCAACAGAATTGTGGGGATAACATCTTCACAAACCTGAGTCATGCCATTTATCTTGGTCCTAGAAGTTAATGGAATCCACTGCCTAAAAGATTGCTAATATTTTTCCGGCACTCATGAAATCCAAATCTTTGTTTCTCTCAGACTGACCTTAACACTAATCTATATCTAATTATTGTAAGTTAATTTGGGCAGGAAGGAATGCCACTGCATGCTTTTTCTTACACCTGACAATGACTTTGCCGGAAAAGACCAGGTAACTAATCTCTGTATCATCTTTCCTTTTTGGGACCATAAACTTCCCTCTGTTTATTTTTCCTTCTGCTCTGTGGTTCCCTGCATTAGCTGGTTTTAATTTTCTCTGTTGTTATGCCACGCAGACCATTTCTCTGGAAGAGATAAAAGAAACAACAGCGAATATGTAATGCGTTAAGTCGTTGTAAAGACTTGTCTTGTGAGTTGCTTTCCTGTATAAAATGTGTTCAAACATTAGTACTATAATGCTTTGGCATAGCTCACTTTTCACCTGTCCTGAGTTAATAGCTTCATCTGTATGTATGCCTGAGTATACAACACCAAGGCATATTTTTATACCTGGTTGTCACGGTAGGCAATTAAAGTAATTCAGTGGATTATGACTCTGGTTGTGGCTGGAATTTTTTTCCCCATGCGTTGTAGAGCTGTTTTTCCTGGACAGGGCGGCTATCAGACTGGTACAACAAATGTATTACATCCCCTCTTTTATACTTATGCTGAATTGTGCGTTGCCAGTTGCCACTAGCCCGCTACCATCATGCGCTATTCCAGTATCGTTCTCTGTGTTTTTGAACAATTAGCAATGTAAATATAGTACTCTGTGCTACTTCACAAATCACAATTCTCATGTCTCTGTTAAAAACGTACTGTAATATCAGTTCATTTATCGTGTTGTATTTTAAGACCGAGTCCTCATTATTTCACTGGCTCTTTCAGGAATGAGGTGAAATGATTCATAATCAATTTTATTCGGTAATGGAAAAAAATTGAGCTCTTTTCCATTTGAAATAATAATTTATGAGCAAGCTACTTGTATCCGCATTGCTGATTATGACCCCATATTATTGATTCATCCGCTTTTAATGTACCCAGCAATTAATTAATCAACTAATTGACCTCAAGTTTTTGGATACAAAATGTACAATTTCTTCAATTCTTCAAAAGCCACAGCATCACTGTAGATCCATCAAAACCACTTTCCCCATCCTTCAACATCCCCGTCGGCCCGTGAATACCACTCCCATTACCATGCAGCTTGGAGCGGTCCCTTCTTTTATCACTTGACCAATTTCCTCCACCATCATTTTGAGCATACTGAACTCAAATACTAGCATAGAAAATAAAATACGTGAAGGAAGGAAAAGGAAAAAAAAACTACGGTGATATTCCAAGTGGAGGAAGATAATTATGTGAATTGGGAAGAGGAGAGGGAAATGGATATTGTAGAAGGTGGTAAAGGAGTTTCGTGGGGTAAAATTGGTCATATAACCGAACCCCGGGTGGGGGTATAAAGTCTTCTTTTTTTTGGGTATCGTGGACTTCTTTCTATTTTCTGAAAAAGTCAATGTCGCTATTTTGACCAGCGATTTGAATTTGTCATTTTAGAAATAGAATGGTCCGCAACAGTTCATGTTGTTGGGCCTAATCCCATGGGCCCAAGTGGCCTCAGAAACTTACTTGCATGTCTGGGTATCTTCTGTGTTTTTTGGAGTAGTTGGACCACTTCTGTTTGTTTTCTGAAAAGTCAACGACGCTGTTTTGAGCAGCGATTTGAATTTATCACCGTGGAAATAGAATGGTGGGCAACAGTTCATCTTGCAAGGTTAAGTGTTGGGCCTAATCCAATGGGCCCAATTTGCCTCGATGAGTACAATTAGTCGTCAGTCCGCTCCAGTCTCCACTTCACCGGAATTGGCCTTTGCCGCCCCGTCTGCACGTTATTCCCATTCTTTTTCTTCGCCATATTTAAATCTGCAATTTAGTGAGGAAGAAAATTACAAATAGGAGTTCGTGGTGAATTTCACCTTACTTGGGCTAGATACAATAAGCCATGGAAATCGTTCCCGGATTGCAATTTGATATGCCGCTTCTTATCATCAATTAACTCTCGTTCACGGTTAGGTCTGATTTAGTAATTCGGAATTTCAGGCTGCCTGAGCTTGGTGTGTTTTTGAGCAGAAGAAGAAGAAGAAACAAAGATCAACAATGGCGAGACCTCAGGTCACCATAACGCTGGGGCGCTCCGGTCAAGTATGCTTTCTCCTACCTTATTACAGTATTGAATTTCTTATTGCATTTAAAATTTTAGGATCAAGAGGTCAAGCTCTTAGTTCTCCTTAGCTGATTTTGTTGCATCAATTTTAGTCAGTGGAAACAGGGTTCCAATCTCGTCGTTGTCCGACTGTAACTTGCTTTTTTCATGTGCAGAAGGTTGTAAAGAGGCCTCTGGACAGCTTTGATGCTTCTCGTTTTGATTCTCACAGTCCAGCGTTATCAGGAAGCAAGAGATCTTTGGCATACAACGATGCTCAAGACTCCTCTTCTTACAGTAGAAAACGGTTCGTTTTGCTCCCTTCTTTCAGCTTTTTGTCCGTTATCTTAAGATATCAGCTCAGTGGTTACTTTAATCAGCAGAACACAGAAGGAAAGCTAAAAGACCTTTTGGCGTAATATTGTACATATTGTATGTAGGCCTTGATTAGGGATTATATCGTGAATAAAGACTCTCAGTTAGAATGTGGATTTCTATGACATTTCTTGTCCTAGCTGATAACTGGATCAGGCTGTCTTATGTTTTCAATATTGATGTAACTAATTTTCAGTTGTTGGTTTGATTCGACTTTTCAGACAGCAGATGGGTGTTATTGGAAGCAGTTCTGAATACAGTCGCCCTGGTATTGATACCAATTTTAGTATTTTGTAATATACCTATACTTGGTCTACATAGGCATTAACTTTCACTCTAACATAACTTACTGAATGAAGCTTCGAATGTTGCTGAGAATGATCTCCGTCTAAAACTTTTGCGCAAAAGACTGTCCAAGCAAATTGAGCTAGATGCAAAGAAGAGGGAACTTGAGGGGAAGATATCTAGGAATGTTCATTCTTCAGAAGCACCCAAAGGGTTCCGTTTGGTGAACAACTCGCAAATGAAAAGAGCTGGTGAGTCATCACGAATGGAATCAGTTCAAACTTCTTACAGCTCTTCTACAATTGATGGATCAAGACCAATAACTCCAAACGGAGTTCCTCAAATTTCTGGTGGCATGCTTTCCTCCAGGCCTATGGGTCAAGTGCTGGGAAGTCTGCCCACAATGCAGGTTCTTTCTTCAAGGAATGGAGTATTTCAGCATCCTCATTCAAAGGGTCCGACACCTATGACAGTCATGGCGGCAAACTCAAGGGCTGGACTTGATCCACATAAGTCTTTGATGCCAGCAAGAAGCAATATTGCAAAAACCACCTACATGGTATGATCTTACCCCTGCTCGTTATTAGGCCTTAGAATAGGACAATCTTCTGTTGGGAAAGACTAAAATTGTTGGTAGTCATGGTATTTTCAGGAAGATTCACCTTTGCACGTGTTGCCTGAAATCACAATGCCTTGAAAGTGGCACAAAATTGGTTTTTTAGTTAATATAATGTGGGATTTAAACAACTTAATTACATCCGTGCACTCCTAAGATAAGGAGTGACTGCTTTATCTACCAAAACACTTCTCAGAAATACAGAATTGTTGTTTGATCTAATCCTTTCAACGGTATGAGGATTTTACTCAGTTGTTTGATTTTATGTCGGTTAGTACAATTCACCTGATATTGGTTGACGGTTTTCCTTTCAGTTGGGTTCGTATGTGCTAATTTTAGGAAATACTATGACTTCTGACGTCCAATTTGGGGATTTGCTGCCTTTCATTGTTAGGACATCAGTGTAAACTATCTAGTTGTTGCTAGTTTTTCCATCCAATGCTCAAATAGATTTACTCAACAGCCCTGCAGTTTCTAGTTTTTTGAACTTTTTTTCAGTTTTTATCACTTGTCAAATCGTTGACCCAGTGGTGAGAACTGTGGCTCTTTGACCGGAGGTTACAGCTTCAAGTCGCTGAGACGTCCTATAATTACAGCTCTTACATTCACGTCCTACCCCTTATTTTTGTTACTGCTTTTTATTTTTGTTGTATTCTTGCATACTTGTTAATCCTCTGAACAGTTTTACTCTGGTTATGTGTAGGATGAACACCTCACTGTGAGTGCCTTGTTGAATTCTCTTGGTTTGGGAAAGTACTCCATAATTTTGCAAGCTGAAGAAGTAAGAAACTTGTTATTCCATGCTTTTTGAATTATTATTTTTTTCCCAAAAATTAGATTGTGCTTGCTGTTGATTAGAAAAACACAGTAGGAAATATATGTGGAAATTAGAAAAACACACTGTAGGATTGCGCTTGCTGTTGATTAGAAAAACACAGTAGGAAATTAGATTGTGCTTGCTGTTGATTAGAAAAACACAGTAGGAAATTAGATTGTGCTTGCTGTTGATCTTACTGTAGTTAATAAATGTGGGACCTTAAGCCAAATGCTTATTAGGTGATTTAAATTTGTAATTGTAAGAAATTATGGCTGGAGAAGCACACTGTAGGTTTTTATTTGTTTTTGCTTTTTTCTGAAAACAAGTTATACACCAAAAACTTTGATGCAAAGAGGTATCAGAAAGCACCATGTCTGATTTATAGCTGACATGAGATTGGGGTTGGGGGGGGGGGGTGTGGGGGCATGGTGGAGAAGAGGGTGATTCAGTTATTACCTAATGTGGGCGCTACTTAAACCGCAGGAAATATAGGCCATACTTTGATGGTACCAAATTGTGCATCCACAGCTTTTAATCTTGACTAAAAAAACCTCTTAAATAGTTATAATTATCGAAATAAGTGGGACAAATGCTTATTTGATTGTAGTTACTTCTTTAGTGGTGCCTGAATGAGGTTATCCTTTCCCATATTTTCTGATTGTAGGTTGATATGGCTGCACTGAAGCAAATGGGAGATCGTGACCTAAAGGAGATAGGTATACCAATGGTAAGCTGCTTTTTGTATGTGGCTGCAAATCGTGTTCTGCTTGCAATATGTATCCTACGGCATTAGTAACTTGAAAAGAAGGATATGTTCTTGTGATCGTGTATTTCAAATTTTGAGCTCTAGCAATGTTCAAAGGTGGAAATCTGCAGGTTTTATGTCATATTCCTTTAGCAGTATCCTCTGGTGCTGGTGTAAAAAACTGTACAGTAACTGTTTATACAGCTGCTGTAGATTGTGCCCTGAGCAATTAATTAGTGCGTGATGCACTTTCTCATGACTTTTAAAATTGAAACCGCTGGCGTTGACAATGATCATAGAGGATATAGACTTCACGTTTATTGAAGTGTACTTTTGCGCCTTACAAGGCTCTCTGTTTCTGTTTCTGTTCCAGTTTGCTTGATTCTAATCCTTTTACTAAACTGGTCTGTTTACTACAAAACCTCTATCTAAATGCTTTCATTGTGTTATCAATTCATTGCTTTATGGTTCCGAGTTGATACATTGGTATGTTTTGCATAGTTATCCCATTTCATCTACTGCAAACATTGTAATCAAGTGTTTGGTTGATTTCAGGGACCCAGAAAGAAGATACTTCTAGCTCTCTTGGCCCAGTCTAAACGACGAACAACATGACATTTGGGGTTATGTTGTTCAGCCGAGGCATGTTGTTAGTGAAACTGATCCGAGGAATGTGTGTTCATCCTCTGCTTGTCTTAGCGGATAGCAACTCTCAAAAGCTCCAGATGTTCTGAGCAATGTAGATGCAGTCGGTGTATATTTAGCGTCACATTTTGTGATCGTGGTTGCCTTGTTTTATAACAGCAATACAAAATACTACTAATGAGAACAAAGTACCAGCTTCGTGTAGTTTGTAGATAATTCAGGAGAAAAGACTACCAAGATTCATAACTATCATCAAGAAATTGGATTAATGGATTGCAAACCGGAAGAGGAGGAGAGATAGTGTATTTTGCATATAATTCTATATCCTTGCATTGCACAACCACAGATATTTGACTATGAATTTGAATTTGGACAAATTGTGCTTCAATATGTATGGAAGAAAGGAATAGAATACAATACAATAACAAATTAACAATTCTTGAAGTGATCAATATGCTTTGACCGAAGGGGTAGAAGGTGGAGAACTAGAGCCACGACTTTTGTTCCCACATTCTTTCCCGTTTCTTGAAGCTAAAGCCTCCAAAAACTTGTTACCGCTCTTAGCCGCCGGCAACGCTGCAAAGGTAGACAATCCCGGCCGTCTCTCGCAAGCGTGGTCGGCCGGAAACCGGTGTTTCAAGCAAACCTTGACGTGGCAGTGCTGGCACGACGCGGTGTTGGAAAAAGTCAATTGCTCCTTGCACCGCCTAACAGGGCACTTGGGTTTCTTCTTCTTCTTAGGATCGCAATCCCCGGATTTCTCATGTTTCTGCAATATTGATTTCACGTCCAGGCTATTGGACCCGGTTATCTCTATTGACGACGAACAAATTTCGCAGACGACAACCTTCCGGTCATTAACGTCGGACTTGGGACATTCGTGGGATTTGTAGGATCTGTGCTCCACACAGAAGAATTTGTGGCAGCCACCGCATTTGAAGGGGAGAAAATCCAATTGATGGCAATCGGAATGTTGGCAGTGCTCCCCTAAATCAGGAAAAGCTTCAGTTCCTCCGCTGTCCATAGCTTGATCGGAGTCTTCTTCTTCTTTTTTATCTTCTTTGATAAGATTGATCGAGAACGAATATTGGGGTTTTGTTGTTGTTGTTGTTGTTATTGAATGGGAATGCCGCTTGGCCATGGATTTCAATGGTTTATATAGGAGTTTTGGTGTCTTGGGGGATAAGCCAATTCCCGATGAATTAATGGATACGGTATTGGTTTTCGGTGGGACCATTGCGTAATTCCTGTCGTCATCAGTCGATACGCGCTTCTCACCCCAATTTTGGCCTTTTGGCGGAGTCATTATAATCGTGCTGGGCCCGAAGCGTGTATATTTTGATCCGGGCCTTGTGATTGATTTGGGCTTCCCTAACTATTAAAATGTCTTGATAGGCCCCATCAGAATAGTGTATGCACCTGAGCCTTGCTTTGCAAATTCTTATTATCAGCAAACTCCCGAAAGCCCTCTACAAAGGAATAATACCACTTCCATCTTACGAAAATAGTTCATAATGTAAATTATAAATGGACACCCGATCTTTTTAGTCTATAAAATATTTTTCGGTTCCATTTTTGTCTCTAATATTTTTCACGTGATAAAATTAGTCTTGATAGTTTTTTTTAGATCAAAATTGGTCCTATTGGCTGGATCCAGCCACTATTCTGGCGAAATATGATTTTTTAATTACAGATTTTTCCTAAAATTTTGTAATTTTAACAATTTTATCCCTTTTTTAAAATAAATTCAATTTAATCCAATTTTAACTTTAGCACATCACGTTCTTAGTTTTTATCTATTTACTTTTATTTATCCAAATCAAATCTTTCAATCCAATAATATAAAATGTCCTACATTGTTTACTTTATTTCTCTCTCTTTTTTTGTTTGTGATAAAAATGAGAGAGAATAGGGTAAATAATTAATAATTTTACATTTTTAGAAGTAGATAGGGTTGCATGGCATATTTTATATGTCATATTTTATAGGATGTTTTTATTCCCCTAGCCTATTAATAAAGCAATCATCATATCTTTTACCATTTTATTCATAAAACCGAAAAAATTAATAAAATAATAATGTAACTTAAACAAAAAAAAAAGTCTAGAATATTAAAATAAATTTTAATAAATAATATTTTGTTAAATAAATTTTTTATAATAAATGATTTTGATAAAATTTACTTTCACATAAATTTGTTCAAATTTCTTTTAAGTTTTTCATAATGCTTTATTTTTATTCGACTAATTACCTTTTCATATTAAAAAGTTTGTATTTGTGAATATTCATCTTTTTAATCTCTTATTTGACCATTTTACCTGGAAATTTTTTTTCAAACCTTATTTTAGTTTAACTTATCTATATTTATTATGTAAGAACAAAATTAAAACAGTGTGGATATTTGATAAACAAAATTTTTTTGTTGTTTTGATTTTTTTTATTGACGTGAAAAAAACACATAAGGTAAACCAAATAGGATTCTAATTTTTATGAGGTTAAAATATAAAATAACAAGTGTAAAAAGATGACAATGATTTATCGCAAAGAAATAATTAGACAGAAAAGGGAAAAAAACTCAAATTTTGCATTTTTTTTTTAATTTTTACAATAATTTATCTCAAAATATTTTATTAATTTAATACTATTTTTTAAATTTATTTTATTATTTATAGATATTTTATATTATTATTTCATTAATTTTATAATTTTGGAGATAAAATATTGAAAATTGATAGTTGATCTAGTAATAGACAAGGCGAAAAAAATGATGGGGGTAAAATAAATAAATATTTTAGAATATTTTCTAGTTTTTTCATTGTAAATGTGATAGAGAATAGGGTAAACAATGTTGTAAATTTTATGTTTTTTTTATAGTAATATTTGATTGGGAAAAAAAGTAAATTGAGTAAAATTGGGAAAGTTAAGTGCTAAAGTTAAAATTAGATTCAACTGAAATTTTTTAAAAATAATTGGAGTAAAATTGATAAAATTACAAAATTTTGGGGTATATTTATAATTTAAAAATCATATTTCGCCGGAATGGTGGATGGATCCGGCCAATAGGACCAATTTTGAAAAAAAAAACTATCATGATTAATTTTATCACGTGAAAAATATTAGGGACGAAAATTAAACCGAAAAATACATTAGGGACTAAAAAGATCGGACACCCATTATAAATTGTACTAAAATAAATATAATTCACAATTACAATTCAAACTATTTTGATAGGATAGTTTTCGATTGCTTCCTGTTAGTATAACAGATCAATGAGGGTAATAATAAAGGCCATGAAAATGGCTCTCATTTCAATCCTTGCAAGGGCATTAGTCATTGAAATTGTAGGTTTTTCCGTCTTGGAAAAATGACTTACTTGGATGGGGTGTATTTTGCAAATTACTAAAGAAGCCCGGATTTTCTTACTTATGACCCTCTTTGCTCCATTATTAAAGAATTATCCGTGTATTCTTATACATATTACTCCCTCTGTGTTAAAATTATTGTCTAGATTGGGTTTTCATTTTTGATTCAAATTGGACTAAAAGTGAATCTCAAATTGAATAATAATCTTGGGACAAAGGGAGTAACTTCTATATGGCACGAGATTTTCTTTACCACTTTTATGTGACACTTTCTGTTGCAGAATCTAATTATTTTTTACAAATCAAATTATTTGTTACCATTACATATACCATAAACACAGATTTTCAATGTGTATTATTTTCATATTTTTATTTTATTTTTTATATCAATATTTTATTTCTAATAACTTTTTTCTATTTTTGTTGAATTTTTTAAATATACTAAAATAAATGTCCTAACCCGAAAAAAAAGTGAAGCCTCAGTTCCAAAATATATAACTTCATACATGATTGTGAATGGTGTAAATATTAATGCAAATCACAAAATCTATACAAAGTTATTAAATAGTATAACATAGAGTGTCACAAAAAAGTGGCATAGAAGATCTCGTGCCTGTTTAGCCTTTTGTTGCGTACATTGTGTCTAGGCATATAAATTTAGTAACCACCATTAATAGCGTAAAAATGATTTATTGTGTTGTGTTTCTGAGACATGGATGATGGTCTTCCTTTTTCATAATAATTGTCAATAAATATCATCTGTAGCTTATGAGAAGGGGGAAGGATGGGGTTAACACAAAGATCATTTAGGCATGCAATGGAGGATGAGAAGGGGGAAGGATGGGGACATGGGGTTAACACAAAGATCAAGATGAATTCATGATGAAAGTGTTCATTTGACCCAACAACCCATATATAGACATGGGAGCCATGGGAAAGCACACACATGCCTACTCATAATGGCCACATTTTTACTTGAATCACATATATATCAAAGGCATATATGTATTTGGGCAACAGCAAACAAAAAGGTGGGTGGAGTTGGTGCCAATTCGTAAAGAAGGAATACCCCTTTTCATAAAGATGTTTCAAAATCATTTTTTTTATAGGTCAAATATACGTATCCTTTCACATTTATATGGGCTTTTCTTTTCTTCCAACTAAAAAAGTTTTTATACTATTGGTATTATGTAAGAAAAATCTTGCACTACATATTTGCTGCCCTCACATCGGCTAAACTTTTTCCAGAGCAAAAACCTCTTGTGAACAGAAACACCACCAAAAGAATACTACAAACTCAATCCCGTATTTATCCGAATAAGAAAATGGAAAGGAAAACCATCATATGTTTTGCTTTTTATCTGTTGTCATAATTTGCATTTCATTTAATTTAATTTTATGTATAGGCGATATCACGTGGAAATTAACGACATGCATGATTGACTGGAAAACTTATAAATTAAGAAGATGTGACACCAAGAGACTACAACGTAAAAAAGTTGAGGACAAAATTTAATTAGAAGAACGATCGAATGAGTATTGCTTTAGAACGATCGAATACTTATAATTTAAGAACCTTCTGCCAATGGCCATTTTTGTAGCTAATTGCCGCCATTAAACCTTTCCCTTTTGAAGGAAAGTGGAACATTAGGGGAAAAAAAAGAAGGTGTAAGGAGAAAATTTCACCAACAAAACATTGAAAAAAGAAGAAAAACAATGTGGTCTGATAGAGCATAATATGCTTGGGGGGAAGAAGAATTTAAGAAAAAAAAGTTTTAGAATCTGGACAGAGGAATGTGAAAGAGGAACTTTTTTAAGACTGACAAAGTGGAGAGTAATACATACTTTGAGAAAAAGAGCACATCCAAACTAGAAGAATGAGGAGGGGGAAGACAGAAATGAGACTTAGCAAGTAAGGCTCATAAACACGCACTAATAATTTCTATCTTACATGCGTAATCAGTTAAGTCTTGAAGAGTAACTAGTAGCTTTATAAGAAGACTTTGAATGTTGTGTTGTTTAATTACATTAGCTAATTAGTCAGAGCGCTATGTTGTGCAAGTCTCCTTTTTACCTTTTACCTTTTTAACTTTTCAGGGGGGAGTGGGATAACTTAACCTTAAACTCTGACCACTCTTTTTTGGCAACAGTAAAAAGGCATCATTAGGAATTCATCTGTATATAACTAAATAAGGGTAGACTATGAACTTTATATATCAACTCTCCTCCAGTTTTCCTGAATGGTAACATCAGATTTTCGCTTTTCTACCCTTTTTCAATTTCTCACAAATAAGTTACTACCAGTAACATCGAATTATTTGCGGGTTAGTGTTTTTGGAGTGCGACAAAACCAAAATGCAAAATTCCCAGAAATGCAGTCAGGTTTGTCCCAAAAAAGCTACCTAATTTCCTATTGTTACACAGAATTTGCCACTGTCTTTCACTTGCTTTAATGGAATTCTCTTTTTTGATTAGATTAAGGCCCTCAATAATGCTGGCCCAACCCAGCTGAGTGCCAAAGGCAAAGAGCCCTCTCCCACCCACACCAAAAGTATACAACAAAGACAGCAAGGAAGCCAGAAACATAGATCCTTCCTTGTCACGCAACACAACACCAATCATTTCTTCCTCACCTCTTGTTGTAGAACCTTAAAAAAAAAAAAAAAAAACCCTCTTACCAGTAAAACCATGATAGTAGTAGTATAGTACCAGGTTTGATGTTTTTCCCATCAACAGCAACAAAGAATCTTCCGGATTTTGCTCCCCAGCTCATCTGCTGCTGATCACATCTGAATAAGTGAATAACCTCGGCTCCACATTTCATGCATACTATAGTCTTCAGGCACAGTGATACTCTCTTTCTCTCTTTGCTTCTTTCCTCTAGATTTTCTGGCTTCTACACTTCAACAAAGTAGATTGTTGATTCATCGGTCCGTCACCATAACGCGGATATTACTAGCTTCTTTATTATAAGCATAAATTGCATAATGTTTTGCTTTATTATCACCAACAGCTTTTCTTTTCTTTCGAGCCTATCTCTGTTGCTTCTACTCTTATCTTCTCAATCTGTAAATTCCATCCATATTTGATAGCAGAACTTAGTTTAAACGAACTGTTTCTCGAAAGGGAGATTTTTTATCCAAAGATGGGCAGTGGAAAACAGAGGTGGAAAATCTATTTCCACAAGCCTTCAAATCAAAATCATCCACCAAAAGAGTTCGTTTGTCCCATTTCCGGCTCCCTCATGGTGGACCCAGTCATTGTTTCCTCCGGCCACACTTTCGAGCGCAACTGCATCAACGCCTGCTTGTCACTGGAGTTTAAGCCCACCTTGCCCGACGGCTCCACTCCCGATTTCTCCACTCTCATTCCTAATCTCGCACTCAAGGCTGCCATCCTCAATTGGTGCCACTCTACACTCTTTAGCCCTCCAAAACCGCTTGATTTCTACTCAGCGGAAAAGCTTGTTCGCTCGTTAATGCTTTCATCTAAACCCAAAACTGAATTGATCAAGAAGCCGGTTCAATTGTCCGTCGTTGTTGCAGCAGAGGCTGGATTGACAAGGGCGGCGAGCCGGGAGTCTACAAGTTCTGAAGAATCTGTCACCGCTGCTGGAACCCGACCCGCCACTCCTCTGCCTTTAACAACCCGTCCTTCTTGTTACTCTTCTTCGTCGTCCTCTGATATTGAGGGCTTGAATCCACACTCTCTGGAAGAAGATGAGTTTGTAGCCAAACTGAAGAGTTCTCAAATCTTCGAACAAGAAGAAGCCCTGGTTTCTCTGCGGAAAATGACCCGGACCCGGGACGAATTACGGGTCCATCTCTGCACTCATCGGCTTTTATCAACGATCCGGCCGTTAATCACCTCGAGATACGGTTCCATACAGGTGAACGCTGTCGCGTCGTTGGTTAATCTATCGTTAGAGAATCAAAACAAGGTGAAAATGGTCCGGTCAGGAATCGTTCCCCCTTTAATTGATGTTCTAAAAGGAGGGTTGCCGGAATCGCAGGACCATGCCGCCGGCGTGCTGTTTAGCTTGGCACTTGAGGAACAGAACAAAACAGCAATTGGGGTTTTGGGCGCTTTGCCTCCACTTCTCAACGCGCTGCGGTCGGAGTCGGAACGGACAAGACACGATGCCGCTCTGGCACTGTATCATCTGTCGTCCGTCCAGAGTAATCGGGTCAAACTGATAAAACTCGGGGCGGTGCAAACTCTGTTGGGTATGGCAAAATCGGGTCACATGACGAGTCGGGTACTGCTAGTGTTATGCAATTTGGCTGTCAGCTTTGAAGGCCGGGTGGCCATGCTGGACGGTGGAGCGGTAGAATGCTTCGTGGAGATGCTGAAAAGGGATGAATTCGACTCGGAATCGACACGGGAGAGCTGCGTGACGGCTCTGCTTGGGCTGAGTCACGGCGGGTTGAGGTTCAAGGGATTGGCAAAGGATGCTAATGCGGAGGAAGTTTTGAAGAAGGTGGAGGAAACGGTGAAGGAACGAGGGAGAGAGAAAGTGAGGAAGATAGTGGAGGTGCTGAACGAGAAAGACGAAGAGGAAGAGGCGGTGGATTGGGAAGAGTTGCTCAACTCCGATGGTGATACGGCTTCCAGTAAAGCATCCACTAGGTCACGTGTGCAGCAGCAGGGCAATACTACTGATTCGTGACAAGATTTGAAGTTTTGAGTTTGACTTTTTCTCCTTGCTCCTTTGAATAAATAAAACTACATTTTTGGTGTTCAATAGGGAGAAAAAATGAAAACTAATCTCTCCGGTCAAAGTCCATAATTGAGACGGTGAGATTTGGGAAGGTTGGTTGTAACTTTGTAAATTGCTTGTAAGGTTTGACTCTTTGTTTTTGTGGGGAGGTTGGGCAAAGGTTGTTTACTGTCTTTAGCAACTGAGTGAATATTGTTTTGTGATTGGCGTGTAAGCAACAAACTATAATGCGTGTTGTTTAGATCAATTGCTTGAGGGTTTTTTTTTTCCTTTGTGAAGGACTAGGTTTAGTTACTAGTTAGTACTTATATCGGAGATAGTAGAATTTGTCCACCTCTTTCTCTCAGTCTCAGGGATGGATTGATTCCGTTTTAGGCAAGAGCAATGAATAATCAAACTTGGAATGTTAGAGATCTTTTTCTTTTTTTTTTTTCACCCCCACTATATATACTGTTCGTTGTCAAATCAGAAATGTGTGTGTTTCTGTTAGTAAGTTGAGTTGTGAGCATCTATCTACTCATTTGTGCTATACTACCAGAGAGTTCGTTAGTGGTAGTCGTAATACAATGTAGTATTTGGTCCCAGTCATTGGTTGTTACCTAGAATTACGGTGGGATTTGATAGGCTTTAATCAAATCTGTCTGCATTAATGTCAACGTGACGAGAATCATTTAAATGTTCAAAATCTTCGTGCACCTACCACCTGTGATTCCTCTTCTAACAAAAAAACCCTGTGTAATTTTAGGAAACACCTGAAACTCCCAACTCTCCAGTCTGGCACCTGAAACTGTCTAAATTGCCATAAATTAAAACCGGTGCTTCTTTACTGATTCTTGAACATTCTGACTTTTTTTTTTTTTTTTCCAAAGCTTGCTACCGACTTCCCTCTCCGTGGAGAATGATTTTGAAACACAGGGACGGGAGCAGATTGGAAGCATACAAATTTCCTTAATCAGCTCCCCCTTTAATATGCTTGTTGATATTCAAATCTAGTCAGTCCACGTCGCTAGGATTAGCAGATCGAAGGGGCATATTCTTAATCCCAGTTGGCAATTGCCAATTTTATTTGTCTGCTGAAAGATTCTAACGCGTAGGAACACCCAAAAAGCTCACATGTCTGATTCCATTTTTCATATGGGGTAGGCCTAATTGCCTGTTCACATTGTTTTCATCATTCTTTATAATCGTCGATTCAACGTAGAAGCATCTAATTTCTTCCTCAGGACACATCAGGAGCTTTCTCAACATTGCTCGCCAGCGTTTTGAATAAACAAACCCCTGGGGGTCCTAAACTGAGACAAGACTAAAGCCCCGAATATGATAAACAAACCACCGCTCATATAATTAGTAGTACTAATTCAAAGGATGCAGATAATTGAGTCTCAAAAAGTTCATCTCCCTCCAATTTTTGCAGGCTCACAGCACACCAGTCACACACAATCCCACAACCCAATCCCAAACATACAACAAAATGTCTCTACATACCGTCCACAACCCCACCAGAGAAAAGAGAAGTCTTCCTTGGCCTGAATATACAAGGTTGCAATCTGGTCTTATAAAGCTACTAGAAAGCATAGCAACTTTTTTCAGCTGAACACCATCAAACATGAGTACAAAAATTGCAACCATCAAAACAATAGAAAATGGAGCTCCGAAAGCATTTCTTCACTTTTCTGTTCTTGATTTGTATTAGTAGTAGTAAGTAATATCATACACTCACAAAATAATTAACAATCACTCGTATACATGAATATATCCCACCAACACATCCCGGTCTCAGATAAAGAAAAAAGTTAATGGAAAATGAAACAATATGTAATCAATTCTCAACATTTGTGAATCGATAATATCAGTGATTGAAGGCATCACAGCGGCGCCTAATCTCACCTAGCTTGCCGGTGAGGACACCATACTCGCTCAGCTTCATCATTGCTTTCTTAAAATCCTCAAAGAAGAGATCTTGATTCCCAGCGTACCTCTTCACATGTTCCGTCATGTTTGGATGCGCAAACATTGCCCGGTCTGAAGACAAAAGCCCCAAACCCTTTGGCAAGTTCTGGTAATACACATTGTCGAACTTGTTCGGAGTCATTATATCATTGAACACCGACAATGTGGGATTCTGCTTGTAATTTCCACAGGCATTTCTTAGTGCCTCTGCGAACCTGGGGTTGTAAGTGGGATCCCGCTGCATCGTTTTGCTGTAACTGTAAATGTTTGAGCTGAATTCTTTGCAATGGGAGAATCCGATGGTGTGGGCTCCGGAAAGCGCCACCACTTCTTGCTCGGAAAATCCTCGTTTCTTGAAAATGCTGAGGATTTCGGACATGCTCATGGTGGGCCGGGGGAGATTTCCTTCGACGGCGGACGCTTTGGAGGTCAGTCCATCTTTCCGGCCAAGCCTAACCGGATAATAAGGGCCGCCGACCATGACGACGAGGTTGCGGGTGGCGACGGCTAAAATGTCGGCGCAGGAGACCTTACCGGGACAGGCTAGCTCGAGGGCGGCCTTGGCCCGGATGACCACATCGAAGCCGTCGCCGGGGAGGGAGAGATTGATGTCGGCGTCGCGTTCGGCCTTGTTGAAGGCGGTGGAGGAAATGAGGACGGAGGCGTCGCAGCCTTGAGGGAGGCAGTCGTGGAAGAAGACACGGAGGGTGGCGGCGGCGGTGGTGGGGGTGCTGATCTGTTTGTTGGTGGTGACATCTTGCATAATCTGCTCAAATCTGGGGCATGTCTGGGCGTAATAACTCTCGGAGAGCTTGGAAACCGAAGGAGAAATGGAGAGGGCTAACACCAGTGTAAACAAGCTTAAAGCTACAGCATTATTAGTCCCCATTACTGAAAATGAGAACACCACCTCTCTGTTTTCTGACTAGATTGTGTTTAGAGAGAGAAAATAGTACCACTACCTGAAGAGTGGAGTTTGTATTAAACCACTAGACTAGATTTAGAGAGAGAGGGCAGAGGTTGAAGATGGCGAAAAAGTTGAATTTACTAAAAACAACGGCTTCCCTTGGGAGGTGGAAATTAACAGTGTTTAGTGTTTAAATTAACTGGAAAATGCTCCGGTGTGGGAGGTGGGGAGAGACTATAGAGAGAGAGAGAGAGAGAGAGAGAGAGATAATGGGAGGAGAAGAAGATGATTGGGCAGGCATGTGGGAGAAGGGGGTGTACACGCGTCGACAGGGAATTGGCCTTCAATCACGGGATATGTGCTGGAGTCGGGTTGGCATTCGGGTGTAACCCAACTATTCTTATTCTGTTTTTCTTCTTCTTCTTTGCGTACTTTCTTCTGTTTTTAAGTCTGATTGAGAAATTAATAATGGGGGTGGTATTAGGAGTAGTGGTCATCCAATTTTATTTTTTTTTTATAATTTCGGACAAAAATATTGGCTAAAATTATTTATTCCGTTTTATGCCAGTGTGACCCCGGCGGAACAAAACTACGACGTGTAGACATGTAACAAAGGAGGTTTATCGGGGGGATTTCAGCAGGTATAAAAAAGGAGCTCATAATTGAGACAAATCTTAACAAGTCATCAATTCACCTCCCCCGTCCCGTAAACGCGTTATTTCGTTCAAATTTCTTCCGTGATTCTTTGCGACATCAGGAACGCCGCCGCCCGGGAGTTGGGGCTGGAAGCTTTTTCTTTTTTTTTCAAATACACAAAATTTTGATTTTACTTCAGTCACACACCCATTAGAAAGATTCTCTAATTTATAGTAATATAATCTGAGAACTACTGTAATCTGAGAACTACTAAAGATGAACCTTCTAATTTACGATATGTTTGTTTCGTTTTTTTATGCGTGTTTTTAGGTGTTTTTTGTATTAAAAATATAAAACTGTGTATTGAAAATATAAAATTTATATTGGAATAAGACATATAGTATTATATTATTCTAAAAACTATGAAAAAAAGGAAACAAACGGCGCCTTACTGCTCTTGGAAAACACATGACCAAAACAGTACTACGTTGCTGCCTCAAAGTTTGTGTTTTTTTCTTTTTCCAAAAGATGAGTAAAATTCCAAACTATCACTGCAGTAGTAGGACTCCGTTTTGTTTTACAGGGTTCATGTTTTCCCCAATTCTTTTCTTCTCGGAATCATCAGTCCGGGGGAACAGAGAGTTCAGCAATCTTACCGGAGCATAACTTACGGGGCATTCAGGACAAACTTAAAACTGATTAACATGCTCCTCATTTAATACACCCATACTTCTACCGTTCTAGTAGTACTCCCTCCATTCCAAAATAATTGTCGTTTTAGCAAAATAGAAAAATTCTAAAATAAGTGTCGTTCTCACATTTCAATGCACTTTTTATCAAAAGTTTCCAAAATTATTCTCAAAAAAATTGATGCTATTGGTGGACAATTTTATAATAGGGTTGGTTGAGGATATTCAAGTAATTTTATTACTTTATTTAAGAGATTCTTAAACTATGTACAAAGGGTAAGACGACACTTATTTTAGAATGGAGGGTATACTATTTCAAAAATGTAATGTTACTGTTGCAAGAATCTGCACCTTTCGTGAGAAAAAGAATCCATCCATTTGGTACGCTACGGGATGCTCATACCATCCAAACCAAGAAGTTGCTTAACTATCCAGATGGAGCTCTGCTCCTAAATGTAGAAGTTCGTGTTACAACAGATTCACTCATCTATCCGAAAAATGGAAAAATATATTGCCGCCCTAAGCCCTAACAAGCTAATACCCTAAGCTCCGATGCATCACATAGCTTTCCGAGACAAATGCAAGGTTGATCTAGTTTGGATATCTCTTGTGTACACATTTGTGAGAGCTAAAAGCATGAGAACAAACACAACCTGTGCGCTCATTATACCAAAGTGACTTATGCTGTTACCTATTTCCATCCAGCTTCCTGTATTCCGGACCTGTCACAACCCATCGTACCAATTAATATATATGAACATTTGCAAAGAAGACCTGATTCCTCGTAACCCTTTTTTCGCTACCAAACAGTCAAGGTACGAATAAAGTAGAGGGAAAAGAATAGAATGCTCTTAACATTGAAGAGATTACGATAGCGAAGTCCAATTCCATACTTAGAAGATAGATAAAGGAAAAACCATACCAGGAAAAAGAAATGGATTGTCATCACGTCTGAACACAGTATAACTAAAAAGTAGCATCCCAGAAGTGGAACCCGGATTACTTTGGTTAATGCACTAAATGTGCAGCTGCATTCAACATCAAAATAAAAGTCAGGCCAGCAATGATGAGTGAAGGAAAGCAGCAAAACATCCAGATGCTGCTTCCCAAAAGAACTCAAATTTAGTCCTAGAACGGAAACTTCTTTAAAACTCAGAAACATATGATGCTAATGTCTGGTATTTTATATTCCTCCAAAAAATCAAGTGACGATGTTACATCATCAAACCAAACTTCACCGAAGCACAAAATCAATTAAAACAAGACCTGAGTGCCAAAATTAAACAATTTTCACGGAAGCACTTACATGACAAGTATGAATGGTATCAATAGTTTGAAAATGAGGAGAGCTGCCATCAAAAATGGCTGCAAATGAAGAAGACGCGTCGTCAAACATACAGTTCTTAAAGATACAATTGACTATAATAGAGTGCAAATCAGTTTTTCTTCTTACATTAAAAATTGTAATAAACCGGTAGACTGAGGATATCTCAAAACTCGCAATACTTGCAAAGTTGCCGGTTCCAAAGAATGCAATGTTGAAGAAAACCATCTGTAAAGAGGAGATAACATGATTAGGCATTACAACTACCAAAGCAGAGCAAGAATACCGTAGGGTACTTACGAATGTCAGAGCAATTCTCATGTCAGAGAGCTGTAGCCATCTCTGATCCTCTTTCAGTATGCTGTCCTCCATGACTCTATTGGAGGTTAAAAGCCCGTTTTCCTTGCTTAAATAGAGATAAGCATTCTCAAAAAGTATCCACGCCATAAGTGCTAGTCCCAGAGCACAATAGAAAAGAGCTTCATATCTGAAAAGGGACAAATTTTAGCAAGTCCAACTTTGAATCAAACATAAAAATTTCATGGAAATTCTGAAATATCTAGAGCAATACCCAATAGAAAGAAGTAAAAATGCAGGGGCAAATCCGAGAAATATTGAAGTTAACCGTGACAAGAGACCATTAGCTGAGAAGAGTGGAAGCACCATCGAACAAACTGCAAGAAATGATAGGTTCAGAATCCATGATTGAAAATAAATGAGGCAGTGAAATGCATTGAACTGGAATGAAAAACAAAAGCCCTACTGTTAGAGCTAAACAATCATCTTAACCATGCAAGTTTGAAAGGTTTAAAAAGTGCAACAGTGGAGCAAGGACATAGATAGTTGTGGACAAAAGCTTGCGTCAACCCATAAGGCGAGCATGACAAAGTTACACAAAGATCCAAAACACAAGAAGTATAGAGGAACAATTACCAGCAATTGACCAGTTAATAAGCTGGTGAAGAGCATGCAACTCCTGATTTTCTGTTCTGTGAGATGTTGATAATGGCACCATGATTGATGATAAACCTACAAAAAGAATCTATTCCCAATGTAGTAAGAATGCTGGCTTTCATCTTTCCATATAGAATAAGCATAAAGACAACTCCGACATCATTCAATAAATTCATGGGTACCTGAAAATGAAAGAGCATAGGTAACCTAGGTCTTTTTGCATCATCAGTGTGAAGATTAAGCCAGTACTTGTCATCTTTAGCACGTAGGTCGAGATACCTTGCAACTCCTCCAATGATCATGATGACAACTCCACTAGTGACCCTACACTCCGAATAGGAAAACATAACCTTCACATGAGATAAATACATCCAAGTTTTGCAACTCACTCTATTTGAAATAACAAGTAAGATGAACAAGTTATGCAATACCAGAAATGGGACTATAAGGATTTTAACACAGCATCTAATCCAACACATAAGTATTGGCGCCTAACTCTACCCCAATTTTCAACTATTTTATGCGATCAACCACCAAATAATTGAGTCCATTAGAAATACCTATATTGAGTCACATCATGAAAACCAGGAAGTAATGCCTCCGTGGCTTGAACACAAGAAGGAACGCAACCAAAAAAGAGCCAGTTACAACTTAAGTTCTTGAACTAGCAATTAAATTATTTATCAACATCTTGACCATATCAAGTTAAGGTTAGACTAAGTTACTCATCTAGAAGAGTGGGCTTCAAGAAAGGTTCATTGATTCTGAACTCAATAGTCTAAAATGAAAGCGGGACATACACAAGAGACGTATTCTCTGGTATTTCAGCAGGCATCAAGGTAAAAATGGACAAGAACCAGCATGCTAGCCAAACCATAACTGGAACTCCAGATCTCCAAGGAATCGCGCGTATAAGATACAGAGGAGCAGCAGTGCCAACTGTTAAAAAACACCAGGTATAGAGTTTCCTTTCTGTGAAGCTTTTTACCTACATGACAATAAGCTGAATAAGTTTCCGTCTGCAGAAAAATTTGCATGACCATAAAAGATAAAGGGCCATCTGAATAACCATACCAAGATCTCAAGGATGAATACTGATACAATACAGGCTGCTAAAAGCTTAACAAAGTAATAAGGTTCCTTCCTCTGAAACTCCCTCCACAGTACTTTTAAGAACTGATATTCACTAAAAATTTGTGTCCAGAGAAATATCGTCACTGCAGCATATGCATGATAAAGAGGGGGAGAATGTTCCAGCAATAATACAGAACAGGCCACGCACAACAGCAGACATCCAATTAATTGTACCTGCCACATAAATGACCAACCTGAGCAATTTCAAACTAAAAATTGCTAGAAAGGATTAGCAATTTCTTCTTATTTATGCAAAAACAAACCCACAACAACTAAAAATGCATCCTTCACATGGGTCGTGGGTTGAAACTTTAGGAAGCATAATGAAGAACTATTAAGATGTATTTGAATACTTTTTCCCCACTTGTAGAAAGAAGATTTTACAGATTGCTGCATTTTGTCTAATGAACATGTTCATCAATATGCAAACCTATTATAGTATTTGATTTACCTTTCTGGTATCCTTTTTCAGATTAGCCGCTTGCCTCATTGTTGCAACCTTACCCGCCAAAGATGAATAGGATTGCAAGACATGAAGCAGAATGTAGACCATCCAACCAATGTAACCAAGAGTAATAACTGTCATTAGCATAAGCCAATCATAGGTTTGAAAATAGTGTAGTCCTTCCAGTGCCAAGCTTCGTAGATGCTCTGATATTTTTCTTGCAGTTTCGTACTTCCTCATAGATATCAGATCCTCGATTTGCTCCAACACCAGGGAATAGTTTGTCAAGGGTTTGAATGGCTCAAAATGCAAAGAATGTGACTGCTTTAATTCTGACTGATTTGTCAAGGAAATAGTTAAAAAGATGGAACACATATCCAAGTTTAACTCAAAGATAACAGGAAGGAATACAAAGTACGGACAATAATCCAGGTATTTATCTGTCCCAGTTATACACCAAAGCTCCAGCATTTTATCCTCCTATTGTACAACCAAAAAAGAAAAAAGCATTTTTTCTGAAAGGATACGCGATTTACGAAGAAACTGATTAAGAATCTGCTTCGTGTTAGCTAGTACAGCTTCAACTTTTTCCACCTGAGCACACAATTTACAGATATTAGAAATTTCCTCACATCCATAGCAATCAGAATACAGGGGATAACAATATAATAAAAGGAAACTCTAATCAACATAGATTAAAAGCAACATAGGAAAAGGCAAAAGATTCTGTTGCAACTTTCACAGTAAAGTGGGCACTAGATTATACCTCATCAAAATTTACATAGCCAAGAGGCAAATTCCCAACTGAATTAACCGGACATGGCAAACCGAGAAGAGTTGACTGCATGTATAGAATAGCATATTAGAAGCTGATTTCAAGTAACAGATCAAAGAATGCAAACAGTACAGATGCTAAACAACCATCAAAGGAGCAATATCAGCTTGATTAACATCCAGCCTCTCAATGCCTTCAAGGCCCCAGTCTGAAGGTGTTGGCATGTCATGCTTATGTTCATCAACAAAACGAATAGCATCATCCGAGTGTTCACCACTTGTATTATGTGTAGGATGTCTGATGCCAGCACCCCAAGCAACCAGGGGAGTATCTGTATTTGAAGGATGTCCATCACCATGGCTTCCTGAGAGAATTCCACAATTATTCAGAAAAGGAGCAAAGATCTAATCATACAAGTCCTGAGATATCCATTATCTCTATAATTTCGTAACAAATCATGTTGGCAGCAGGCAGAATATTTCTAATGTAACAATATTAAGCAGATTAGATAAGTTGAAGAAACTTAAAACCTTTGTCACTCATTCCATGATCAGCAGTAAAAATGTAGGAAGTCAAATCATCCTTGTAGTAACTCTGGATGAGATTGTAAACTCTCTCCGCAATATGATCAACAACTTTGACATTATTGAGGTAAATGGATGAATAAGGTCGATGGGCATGGCCATTTGAATCGCAACCAAGTAGGTGGAGAAAAATAACAAGATTGTCCTGTAAAAGCAGCTGCTTCAACTTTGGATCTTCATTAGACCTATTCAGGAGGCTCTTGAACTGATCAAATGACCACTCATCCAAAAACGATGCATCTGCATGGAGACTAATGACATCGATAAAGCACAGAATAAAATAGAACTCGAGGATGATGAATCACTAGAACTGGAAAACTTATACAGCAAGAAAACTCCCATTATAGAATTTGTGCAGATTAGATTTTACCCAAAAAATATTTTTTTAAAAAAAAAATGGAGTTGCAATGCTGGCATGTATTTCCAGAGAACAGGTTAGGGTACGGCAGAAAAATACAAGGAACCACCAACAAAGATTTTGAGAGGAAATGATAGGATGCAATGAAAACAAGATAGTGCAGTTTCAAATTCATACTCCGATTAATGGAAGGACGCAATGTACACTGAAAACAGTAAGAAAGGAAGAAGCAACTAATTCAAACATAAATGCCGGTTTAACTTCCCCAAACAAAGTTCAAATATGGAAACATAGTTGCTTTCTTTCTGTCCAGACTTAAGAATGAAAGCCTCATAATGCAGGCCACTCAAAGAAATCATACACATCACGACGACAACATAAGAGCATATCAGAACTAACCGGTGGCAAAATCTTCATAATCATGAGGGTAACTGTTCCAGGTGCTATGAGGCACGGCACCACAGAATATAGGAACAATGTCAGGGCTACCGTAAGAAATAGTGTGTCTGCTGCGATTAAACACTGAATCAAACTCAACGGGATTTGCTTTCCACCCTGTCAATGCAAGTATTAATGTCAGACCAAGGCATGCAGTGAATGGACCTGGTTCAACCATCGACAACATTCAGAGGGAAAAAAAAACACACAAATTCAACCTTTTGTGACAGCGCTGGGATCCTCATAAAACCCAGCAATGATGGCCACATGGCCAGGCCTAGATTCCGTAGGAGGACGTGCATGAGATACTCCCCAACGACCTCGTTCTTTAATTACACTTCGCAAGAACGGAGCCCTGTAAATTCCATTTGAATCTGGCTCGAAAAACTTATCAGCCCTTAAACCATCAGCTGCAACAATGAAGATATTCCCGCCAACGTCAATGCATATATTCACGTATAAAGCACAATAAAAAAAAAGAAGACAAAACTCATTGCGATAAATTGTCAAGCAGTTGTGCTGCAAAAATTACCAACTAGAAGAACGAGACGCTTCGCCGGAGCCGTGAAGCGGGGTTTGACGGGGTCCATCCCGTGAACAATTGGGGTCTTGAAATAAATGTCGAATATGCTGAGCATGTAAACAGCGTGCAAGACCACCCCGAGAAACACCAGCCATTTTTCTTTCCTCTTCAGCCATATGCGTTTCACTTTGAGGCTCGTTTCTGATCTCTTCCCTCCTCCCAAGATCCCATCGCCATCAGCTCTCATGTTTCTTCCAGAAACGCTCAAAGTTACAAAGTTAATTGCACACACTAGATCCTTGAACAATATAACGCCCAGAATTCCAACTCCCGCCCTTATAGAAACTACAGTGAGTCAGTGAGGAAGAACATTACGTTTAGTACTATAAATTATTATATAATTTTTAATTGTATAAGGGGAGCAGTTAAGGAAAACCGAAACTAAGATCAGCCTTGATTATTATAATTATCATTAGTTATTCAAATCTGAATTTTCAATTTCGCAAAACAGCATTGTATTTGTACATTTTAATGGCAGCTTTTTCTTTCTTTTCTTTTTTTTTTCCCCCCTTTAATTCAAAGAGTCATTAGTCAAACTGTCAAAACTGGGGTAGCTATGTTTAACTTTTGCCCTTGTTATTACTTTTACCCTTCGATACTGCAAGTATTCTGTAATTGCAAACGTTTAGAATTACTGTCACAACTCACAATGAGAATAGTGATTGACGATTATTCCAACTTCATGTGCAAATCTCAGATGGCGTGTTGTTGCGCTTTAGATAGAACATCAAAATTGTTTTAGTTATGTACCTATGATAACTTGCATGATCAACTAAATTCGAGATTGTAATGAAATTAAATTAAATTTATTGACGATGATCAAGAGTCAGGACAACATTAACAAGACATCATTTGGGTGGCACTGGTGTAACAGAGCATAACACATTAACTAATCTAATGATAGATCATCTCATCATCCAAGCAGATAAACAAAACAAACTAGTTGATTTAGGATTTTATTTTTGGTGAAGAGTGGAAATCAGTCTCAAGGACATTTGGGGCGGCCACGGAATTTCATGTTAGCCCAGCACTTTCCGTCGCCACATTTATAAGCGTTGCCGTATTGTCCAGGGGGAACACATTTGCATCTGTCGCAGCAAGTCACGCAAGCTCTCAGGCAAATCTTCTTCCTCGAATGTAATTTGCATCTCACCAAGCACAATGGGTAGCATGCTGAAGGGAGGCAAAAATATGAGTCAGAGGAGGAAGTTGGGGGTGCAGGACAGCTTTCAAGTTTCAACCTTTACCTTTTGTGTTTCGAGGGTATGGGGTAGGAGGAGGTGGTGGTGCTTTGACTGGCGGAGGAGGTGGAGGCGGTGAAGCCTTGCCGGAGGGAGGAGGAGGAGGAGCCTTGACGGAGGGAGTAGGTGGCGGAGGAGGTGCAGCCTTATTCAGGGGATTTGGAAATATAGGATATGCCTTGCCTGGTGTTGCTGTACCAATTTTAGATCCCAGGCCCTGTAAATATAATTTGATTACAAAAAGGGTATCAAAAAATGATTTGCATGCTAAAAGATATAACGAAAAGGGAGCCTGAACCAGTTTAATTGGTGAATTTTACCTGGACAACAATTTCTTCGTCGTTTGCTGAAACCTGTAAAAAACACGAAACAGGATGTTACTATTTGAGACCAGAAGTTAAAAGAAAAGATGGGTCATCGAGGGAAGAAGAAATGATAGAGGCATACCGCTGCAACGATCAGCAGTGAGAAGGCCAAAAAGGCCTGCAATGCTTTTGAACCCATTATGCCAATGGTTAACTTTTGGTTTTTTTTTTTTTTTTTTGTAGAATGATCTGAGTAATGAAGTAACACACAGGTAAAATTAGTGGGGATATTTATAGTGGTGAAAAGGGGGTGATGAACATGCAAAGAAGCTGCTGCAACTGTGGCCGGTTTTGGGGTTTAATTAATCTTTGTTCAGGTAAAATATACAATGGGGAAGCAAAGTTGATTAGTTACACGTACACAGTTACACGCATATATATATATATATATATATATATATATATCAGGCCTGTGATTGGGGATTTTTAATAAATTGAATGAATGGGAAAGTTTAAGGACAAAAGTCGTCAGGGGCTAATCTAGCAAGGCGCTAAGTTCGATCCAGTGGTTGGGTGATTTCCCTGACACCAGCAAACACAACAGCATTGGTCATAAAAGACTTTCAATCTTGGCTCTTACTATTATCACCTTGGATGCTGCATTACTGGTTTACTACCGACCAAAACATGCCACGTTAGATCAATCTTGGGAACCAGTGCATTTGCATTTTTAATTTGTCTTGTTCATCAAACCAATATGTGTACTCGTGGTTCTGGAAATTAACTATGGATCGACCTAAACTAGATAACAAAAGACCAATTGAGAAACCAGCTAATAGCATTTTGCTCGCAGATTACACATCAAATCTATTCCAAAATGATTGTTGTGTTAGAATTTTCCTATTTAGTACTACAATTTGTTTTAACAACGGAAATCTAAAATTATTTTAAAGATGAGGTTGTACTTAACCTTAGTTTTCGATTTCCAAAATACAGTAAAATTGGCTACTACTACTGATACACAAAATTTGAATCCCCGGACCTGAAAGGATGGAACCTCGGACGAAATTGCAACAAATGCAGAGCCTTGAATTGATTGGTCAACACTGAACAGTGTACACTCCAGACTCTTCTACCACATGACTTCTTCCCCAGTTCCCCATACATACTGTGTTTGGCTTGGGCCTTTGGGAGAATCAGAGCGATGTGGACCGGTTCTTCTCATCTCACTCCATCTGTGCATATACATGTGATACCACATGTCCTTTCAAGTTTGGTCAAATTTGTCGCTGCAGCTCTGAATTCCGGGGACCGACTCAAGTTATAGTTCCGCTTCAATTCCCCAATTCTCTCATTTAAACATCATGTTCAACAACTTACACAGTCAAAGTACTTGGCTCCCATCTAATCTCAAAACCAATTAGCAATGAGTACAATGAGTGAGATAGTCCTTATAATGTATAAACATATCTCAGATCCTGAGCACGGATGATGTAGAATTCTTTTCACTAACACCTTCCCTCAAGCCCAATAAATAATTCACCCAATAGACTTGCAATAACAAGAACGAGAAATCGCCCATGAGTCATAGCCTAGTGAGTCACAGAAATAATTGAAAGTTCGAAATAATTGAAAGTTGTCTATGGGTCGAAGCCCAAATAGGTCGGAGAAAGAAGTCAATGCCGCTAATGAGTTAAAGCTCAAATGGGTCAGTCGGACTTTGCTCGTGGATCAATTTATCCATTCGGGTCAGTCAAACTAAATAGAAGAAATATAATATAAAGCACAATCCGTGGACTGGCTCTGATACTCTGTCAAAATACTTGGACTCCCATTTTAAAACTAATTGGCAATGAGGAAGATAACCCGTAGACTTATATATTGATATCAAACCTCTCCTACCACCGATATAAGATACTCAACATACACGAGTGCATCAACTTTTGGCACTTTTTTTTGCTTGACTTTTTACTCACTCCCATCCCGTGTACTTGTATTGCGTGACCTTTCTTTCCAATTCATTATGGTTTTTACTTTTCGAAATAACTGCAATAACTTAACTGATTGCGAATCTCTCATCCATAAAATCTACGCTGTTGGGGGTGGTAAAATCTCTCCAACAGTTGCATTCCATCAAAGAAATTGCACTCCAGTTTTTCACCAGAGACTTGCTAGTATCTTTACATATCGCTAGTCCTCGCGGACTATTATATAGTTAGATTATCTCCAACTGAAGTATCACTCTACATGCAATATAAAAGCCGTTGGTGCGCCTTCCATTCTAAAATTATTGTCCCAATTTAAATTTTTATTTTTGTTTGAAATTGTACTAAAATATAAAATCTAAAACTTGACATTAATTTTGGGACAGAAGTAATATTTCTTACCAAAATAGTAGAGATTAAGCCTTGTACTCTTCTATATTTATTGTAAAACGATCTTCTATATTTATTGTAAAACGACGTGAAGAAAGAGAGATTGCACTCCCATTTTGAGTTCACCTTTTGTGGTGTCGTTCTGCTTTGTTTTGTATTTCTTATATATGTTCCTCCAACTATTGCGTTCCATCACATTTTTTTTAGTTAGCCTTGCATTCGTCACATCCTATGATTAGATGTACTGTTAGGAGTAACTAGCTTAGTACTGTGATTATTGATTAAACACACACATTTATAGATATCGGTTATTTCATTATATTCCTTTCATTCTAGAAAATGGTTTATGAATTTTATTGTTTTTATAATTTACTATCTATAATCTCAATTTTTTTAGAACAAAAAGAGTACGTTATTAGTGCATACAAATCTGTTGGCTTTGTTCATAAGCAATGCTAGTCACGTGAGATGACGCTATGGTTACATTAGAAAGACAAAATGTGCAAGATTAACCCGCGCATGGGTGATGTAAATTAATTATACATGGGACTGATATTGAACTTAAGAGATCAGGATAGGGGTGAAGCAGTCATTGACAAAGTTCAGAGAGATCAGTTTTAATTTTGCAGGCAAGGCCTTGAACTCTTGATTGAATGTTTGTAGAATTATTCATAACCATAATTAGTTAGCCCCATTAATGAACAAACGAATTGTACTCAACTGTGTATATGCAAGAAAAAGAAGAATGAATTCCAGAAGCCCAATCAAAACCAATAACGCTACGTGTTCAACCTCTCAAATGGATCAACTGCAACAATGTCATCAGAGACATAACATGACTCCGGGAGGCCACAGGTATTATTATTACAAAGGAACCGAAAAAAAAAAAGAAAAGAAAAGAAAATTAAGGGCGATACACCCACACTCAATGTTTTTGTAGCAAAGGAAACCTGGAGAAAACAGTAAAGTTTGATCGCTCGTCACGATCAAAACGCAAAACAAGGCTTTATTTAATTTGTAGCTGCCAAATATGGGGCATTTAACTTCAGGGACAATTGACGGGTCGGCCGTGGTAATGAACTTGTTGGCCCCAATTGGCGCATTTCTTGTTATGTCCAGGCACGCACCTGTGAACGTCGCAGCAAGGGACACAAGTTTTCACGCATGGCCTCTTTGCTTGCTTCCCGTTTTTACAGTATTTTACGCACAAGTCCACGCAGTTACCTGGGGCAAAAATCAGATGCATATTAAGTAAATATTGGTAGTGGTGAGGTTAATAGTTATTCCATCCGCTCCAAAAATATTGTCCAATTTGGATTTCATCATTAAACATAAAATTTCAAACTGGATAATAATTTCTGAAGGAGTACTATTTAAGAAATCTTACAAAATTTTGCTGATATATCTTAATATGTATATATACCGTGGTTAGGATGTGTTGGGGCATATGCTGGAGCTGCTGCCTTTGGGGGATAAGTTGGTGCGTGTTTTGGAGAATGCATCGGAGCCATCTTAGGGGGATAGGCCGGAGCTCTCTTTGGTGGATGAGTTGGGGCCTTTTTGGGTGCATGTGAGGGCGCCTTCTTCGGCGAGGGTGAGTGTGATTTCGAGTGTCCTGGAGCAGGAGTCGGGGCGCTTGCATGATGATGTTGATTGTTCTGCGTTTAAAAACCAAAAGCATTTGGTTATTTAATTATGGCTAATCAAACCTGCATAATGGAATCATTCCGTGTGGTCTTCAATATCAGATTGTTTTATGTCTGCTGATCAAACTAATAAGTACTTCCTCCGATGTCTCAAAACGATTGCCCAGTTTAGATTTTCATTTTTAATTCAAATTGAACTACAAGTGAAAATTTAAATTAGACAATCATCTTGGGACGGAGGAATAGCAAATTACTTTTGAAGATTACCTGTGTGAAGATTTCCTCTTCAGTTGACATGACCTGCAAGTGCAAAAGTATCAAGAAGATGTTAAATGATATATCACATCATAGGAACAAACAATCAATTTAATTACATCAACATCAGGAGATATGAAGCAGGAATTGATATGCGTGCTTATGGTTTGTAACAAAAAAAAAAAAAAAACCAAGTGTATGCAGAATACCTGGGTGCTAACTAGGAGCACAAAGGCTAAAAGAAATAAAAGAGATTTGGAGGCCATTATGGGTTTTGCTGTGAAATGAGGAGCAAGGAGAGAGATGGGAAGAATGAAATGATATTTGTGGGTGTTTATGGTCAATTGGCGAAGTGGACTATTTATAGAAAGAATGGAGGAGTAAGATAAGAGGCAAGTTTAATATGAACAAAAAACGAGAGCATCAAAAGCTGGATATCAGCTCCCCGGGATGGAAGCAGCCGATATGGATCATGCATATACCTCGAAAATGTATCAAAAAGGTTATAACTAAGAAGTCTATCTCAGGGCTCAATAATAGTTTTGTCTACTAAAAAATTGTATCCTGGATTACTTTGTTTCGTTAGCTTAGGCCTTAGGATTCATTGCCCTAATCAATGCAATTTTATTTTGAACTAGACTCTTTATTTTTAATTTTTAAATTTTTTGCTTTTCCAAAGTTTTAACTTTTGACACATTCACCTTCTCCAGTAATCCGTTCAAGGCTAGCTTAGCTCCAACTTGTTTTACTTATCGATTACTCAGTTATGCCTGCTCCAGTTTGTTTCCAATCTAAGGATCTAGACTCGGTAATGTGACCTTAATGCACGCATATACAAGTGTTTCTATTGGCAACTTCGCATTGGTATCCAAATACTTGAGATTCACTCTAAACCCCCACATTCATAATTACTGATGATCAATAATCAAATTAATCAGCACACCTGTTGGACCGATTTTGGCAAATCTGGTTTTGTTAGTCTCTCTTCTTGAGAAAAGAGTCATCGCGATCAACCAGTTGGAATTATGAGCAATAATTCTGAAGAAAATCGAGAGGGAGAAGGAGAACTCACCAACAAGACTGGTTATGGAACTCTACGATTTTGATCAACCGGGAGTCTAGCTGGTTCCTACAACATTGACCGTGAGAAATTACGCATTTTGGTGTACATCCATGAAAACAGCTCTTGGAGCAAGATTGAAGCTCGGGTTCGTGAATGGGAGATGCAAAATGCAAAATGCCGGCTAAAACTGATCCTGTTTTTGCACCATGGAAAGAGGTAGACTCTCTGGTGATTTGCTGGATTCTCGACTCATTGTCAGAGGAAATTGAGAATGCTTCTCTGTTCACCGACAGTGCCAAGGAATTGTGGGAGTATTTGGCTGAGAGGTACGGCAAACTTGATGGTCTGCAGTAATATCAAATGCATAAAGAACTATCTTCAATCAGGCAGGGAAATGCTTCTTTGGCCACTTACTACTCAAAATTGAAGATTTTGTGGGACGAACTAGCGTCTTACAGACCTGTACCAGATTGCAAATGTGGAGCAGCAGAAGTAATCGCAGAGTATGACTCGCAAGATAAGCTAATGCAATTTCTTACGGGTGTTAGGAACCAAATGTTGCTTATGGATCCTCTTCCTAGTGTTAAAAAAGCCTGCAGGGCAGAGCTGCTGAGACAAGGCTGCAAAAATTTTCTGGAAATAGCAGGAAATATTGGTGTGTTTGCTCAGGAAAAGGGGGGGAAAAGAATCTAAGGGAGGGAAAAGAATCTAAGGTGTGATTTCTGTAACGTAAATGGCCATTCAATGGACGCTTTCTTTGAAATATATGGCTACCCCAGATTGGTGGAAGGGGCCAAAAGGAATGAAACAAAAGGAATGAAACAACAGAGCTCTGGGAAGCCATTTGGGAATTGCAGGTAATAGATGAGGCACCACTGGAACTGAGAATGATAAGTGACTGGCAAGGAGGTTCCATGACAAATATGATTCAGCTGGAGTTAAGTAACATTGCATTACCACCTGAAAGAACTAGAGTGAAAGCAGTAAATCTTAGCCTTGCTCTTTAAAGCCAAATGATAGTGCACTGCAGTTTACAGATAAAACTTTGCACTGCAGTTTACAGATAAAACTTTGTACTGCAGTTTACAAATATTACTTCATTGCAGTTTATAGAATATCCCTCATTCACAATGTCAACACCTGAAGTAGGAAGATCTTCTTTAGCCTTTTTTTCAAATTGAGATACTTGTTATTCTTGCTACACCATCAGTTACTATTTCCGTTGTATTCCATGTAAAGCATGCTTTGATCTGGCCTAATACTTAGTGAGTCTTAGGAATGCTTTAAAGTCCTGTTTTTCTGTTTTTTTAATCTGCAATCAATATTTCAGTTACAAAAAACAAGTCTCTTAGACAAGGGGGTCAGAGAGCAGCTGCCGCAAAGGCCCAAACTCAGCAAAGAGATTGTAACAAATGTTGTAATGCAAATCATGAATCACATAACGCTACAACTTTAATACACTTGGCAATACAAAATCCAGCTTTACTGGTATTGCATTTACAAATGCAACTAATTGATGTAGTATCCGCGGAAGAAAAAAAATTCAGTTCAGGTTCGGAGAAATGTTACACACAACCATTAGAGTATTATATGATAACCATCACCTAACTGAAGTCTTCCTCATCCTGGAAGCTCAAATTCAGTGTCTGTAATTTGAAGCCTTTACTCTGTATTAACTCCACCAAACTGGAAGCCACCCCTGTAGCTTGCACTGTTGTCTGCTTTGTTAACTACAACAAAGAGAAAACACCATCACTTGAGCCTTTTTCCCCAACAAAATTGACACAGTATTGAAACTGAAAGTGAACAAAAGTGCGAAACGAAAGACGGGATATCTTCTTGAGCCTGACAATTCTAATAATACCATTACTCAAATCACTAGAGCTAAGTGAGAAGAGGGCAACACACCTGTACTGTTGCAATACCTTCAGCAACTTGAACTTTCAAGTCCGAAACCCCTTCTGTTTCCTACAAATCGTACAACAACAATAACACGCATTTCCAGGAATTTAGAAAATACTACTATAATTGATCAGTACCCAAAGAAGGACAAAGTTTGTGTATTTTAGGAGCAATGACAAGTAACATGACAGCAATTGGAAACACAAGCAGCCGTAGATAAAAGGCTGAAGGGAAAAATGGTAGCCTGGCTAGTCAAAGGGTCAACATCGAGTACCTCTAAAGCCTTTGATACCGAAGGGATTGCAGCATCGCTAATTGAGCCTTCTGCCTGCACATAATTCAGTCATTTCCGTAAATTCTTCTGGAAACTAGAATTGATAATAATTAATATTTATAAAAAAAAAATAAAAAAAAAGCTGTCATTCAGTCGAATTGAAGAATTGAGCGCACAGCACCTGAAATAACATGGTGAGGACGTCGGAAGGTGAGACAGTAACCGAGACAGTTTGATCGGTTGTCGTCGCCGGTGATACTACATCACCTTCCGGTTGAGCAGCACCGCTCTCTGCATCAAGGGTTTCTTCTACTTCGGCCGCAGCTGCCACCACAAATGACCGGAGCTTCCTCGGCCGGGAAAACCTCAATGAAGGGCAAGCGTACGCAGAGGAGCAGGAAGAAGACGGCTTCGGAAATGGGAAAAAATGAGGGGAAAGGCGGGCCGAACTGGATAAGGAAGAAGACGGTGGGGCAGAGATGGCTCCGCAAAATGAAGAGATAGCGTTTGCAGCCATTATCACTCTCTATAGCTCTTCTGCTCCCTCAATATCCCTTTTTCTATCTCTTTAATCTCCGAGTAATTATTTACAGTAAGTAATTCTTGGTGACTTTTTTGTTACTGTACTACTTACCGGCGCCCGCTTTTAAGTTTTAACCGTATAATGAAATTATGCCCCCCTACGTTCCATTATTCAATATAGAGAGATTACACCCCTGTTTTGAACTTAATTTTTTCAAATAATTTTCTCATTTTAAACTAAATTCAGAACCTATCACCAAAATAACAATCCGTTCATAACCTTTGGTAACAAACAATGTGTACATTAGATATTTAGATAGATAGTCAGAGAAGTCCATACTTCTTACTTCGTAGGTACAAGCAAAACCAGAAATAGTTACCTTTCTTTACTAGTAGTAGCTGGCAAGCTACAGTTAACTACAGACCGATAATGCTAACAAGCAAATAGAACATGACGATCTCATCTCAAGCTTATACATACAAAATTAGAGACAAGTGCCAGTTCCATCATGTATATAGACAACAGCCAGAGTCAGCCTGGATAGATTGCGGCGAAAGCCTAAGCTGAAGCTCTTGAGCTGAACATCTTTTTGCTATTTTATGTCACATTCAACTTGGACTTCACCACCTGCAAAGAAAAAAGGAGGGGGAGGGGAACACAGGTCAGTTTTAACAATCTCTAACGCAGTAGAGAAGCTAACGCAGTAGAGAAGAAGCCGCAAAGCAGAACTTGGCGAATGCAGCAGGGGTCTTACTTTTGAGATAGACAGCCAAGTTAGCTTGTGCATCAGCATCACTGTTGAATTCCTGATGCAAAGAAAAGAACAGAAATGATTCCATGAAGAATGATGTGCATATGATGGTGCTATGCGATACTGTCAACCAAGGTAACGGTAGATAGTTCATCCAACCACTTGGAAGAAAATTTGAATTGGAACAAAATTTGAAGTGAATCTCGACACAAGATAATGGAAGTAAGAAAAAAAGATCCCAACAAAACTCTCTCAACCATCTTGACTCAGATGTCTTCATTTGCCCTTGTTAAGAGTTTTACATAAATGTAAAAAAAAAAAAACTATCAATTCCTTCTTACTCTTTCCATATGCTCAATCTGGAAGGAGACGAACTGATCTTTGAGCTCTCGGGCCACCTTGCACAAATCAGCCATGTTCTGGGTTTTAGTTTTCCATAGACCCTGAACCTGTTGCATCGGAGTGCTCAGTATGCACACAGAAATAATTACCTTACCACATATCCGATTCCATAAGTACACTCAGCACTTAATAAGACTACATATGAAAAACCATCAACAGCAGATTAAATTTAAGATACCTGCATGCAGACAAGCTTGGAGTCTCCTTTGACACGAATGTGTTTGAACCCTTTTTCAAGAGCATACTTCAAGCCTAAAATAACACCCCGATACTCAGCCGCATTGTTAGTTGCAACGCCACAACCTTCTCGCAGTCGAAAAACCTATCAAAATGCCCACCTTTTCAGATACCGTTACTACCAAAACAAACACTCTTAATGTCTCAAGCAATACACTACTCTGGACATACCATCCTTCCATCTGCAGTACGCAGCACCGCACCTGCACCAGCAAGTCCAGGATTTCCCTTGGAAGCACCATCAAACTCGAGAATACAGGAAGACTGTTTGCAGTTGGCATTCAGTATGAATAAAAAGGGATGAAAATAGTGAGGATCACAATATTTACCATCCATTTGCCTTTATTGACCTGTCTCAGTGAAATCATATATTCACAGAGTGCAGACTTACACAATAAGAAGAAACTGGAGGCACTCTAAGAAAATTATCTACTTTGAGATGCTTTTGATGAGAGTGGTCGGAGAATGAAGCAGATCCAACTACCTCCTGCAAAAAACCATAAAAAATAAAATAAAATAATAATCATCAACATAAGAATGATACAACATTCTAAAAGTAACCCTCTTGGTTTAATTACATAATCAGTCCAAGCTCTGTCAAAAATCAAGGAACCTATTCAATTAAAAGGATCCAAAACGAAATGGCTTATCCTACATCAAACAATTTCATATCCTTGATGACAAAAGAACAAAAGATTTTTTATCTTCTTTAATGGGTTAAATCTAGTCTCAGATTCATATAAGCAAATGAGAAGATTTTTAGAATACAAAGAGACGTCACCATTTGTAGCATGCATGGAAAAGCTTAATGGTAAATGATAGCTTCGGAACATAAATCTCAATATAAATGCTACATCTCAATATATATGTACGTGGGTGTCCCCCCTTTTCCTTTTTGTAATGCTTACTATAATAACCACGAAGAACAAGAAGAGCCAGCAGGATGACTCAAACATTGGCAAGGGTTGCATCATATCACTTTTAAAATCTTTCTACTCCTAATTTTCTATCAATGCCTCCATAGCTCTTAAGGTATATTCATACTTTACTGATGTATGGAGTGAAGGGATACATTGGTACCCTGCCATTAAATTACAAAAATGCCCAGATTAATGCCAATTAAATGTCTAGGAAGGTCACATTTTCAGGAAATCATATGCAAATGAACACCGCAAATAAACACCATTTATTGACAAGTACCGGTAATCTCTTTTCTGGGACGTTCTTGATAGGTGTTTTCTCTTTTGAAGAGATAGCTGGTTGCTGCAATAAAACAAACTTAGAATAATCAGATACAATCTTACACCTTTTAAAAGGATAAAAGAAGAAAATACATAATCTATATTATCATCAAATCGAAGACTACACTTCCCATAAAGCACAATGCTCAGCTTTCAAGATAACATCATCTTGTTAATACATACTGCACATATAGTTGGTGGTAGAATTGGTGAATGCATCCTCAAAAAATGAGTTAAAAGTAACAGGGAAAGGAGTCACTTCAGTAAATTCGATAACGGAACCCATATGAAATGCGGGTTCATAGCCCAAATGCATTCTAGAAGTAAATTTGATAAAGGATTCCGTATGTCATGTGGGTTCATAGCCCAAATGCATTCTAGAAGTAAATTTGATAAAGGATTCCATATGTCATGCGGGTTCATAGCCCAATTGCATTCTCTGTAGATTAGAAAAAGGGAAAACAATTAAACCTCTAAGGTGGAAAATAAATATCTCACCCGAAAAGGACAGGTGACGACTTGTCCGAAAAGGTCTCCTTGGACTTCATTTGCATCAATAGAATAAATAGCATTCTTAAGTCCGCGTGAGGCAAGATAATCCTCAGACTCCTTTGACAAGCAATACCCCTTGAAGACACTTATGTCAGGGTCATTTGCCTGGAAAATGAGGACCAATCAAGACATGATTAAGACATATACTACAAAAGAAGGACAATTTCTCAAGCAATACCTCACAGCACATAGGGAATAGGTAGAAATATATTACAAAGATGTCTAGAATTACCGATGATTTCAGAAGAGCTTGGAGATCGCCAATACTCTTGTAAACCCCAACAACACCATTTTTTCTCACCACATAAAAAGCATCTCTTTCGTCGCCCATTGGGGTAACCTCCTACTGCGCAAAAGAGAAAAGAGAAAAAAAAAAAAAAACCAATTTAACCCCAATCATATGCTTGAAAATGATCATCATGAAAAACCCTAGAACATTGCGAGATTTAGTATTTTCAGCAGGAGTAGGCATAGGAAGTTTGAAACATTAATGGAGTAAATTGAGAACCAAAGAAAACCCTAACTGTGAAATTGAAGCTCACCCTAAGAGTGAGGAAGGAGAAAATCGGATTTTATTCAGAATTTCCGGCAAATATTCCTAATTAGTAAACAGAAAATTGAGAGCCAAATCTTACTGACAGAAAATAAAAATAAAAAATAAAAAAATTGACTTACATTCAACGACCAACGTAGACTGCCGAAGAATGAAGCAACCAACTCCGATTATCCTCCTTTCTACTGTCACGAACTGGCAACCGCAGTGAAGTTCAGCGACTTGGAGTGTAGAAGGCAAAAGACCAAAAAGCTCTTATAGTGGAAAGTGAAAAAATATCTGGGCTTTTTGGCGGGAAAACATGTCATGCAAGTGGGCTTTCGCTTAACGAGTCTTGAGAAATCCGTACGCCCAAAGCATACCGTCCTTATCCAATGGGCTGCTAACCCACATTTCATTTATTATTTATTATATTAATTCGAATTGAACCAAGGAGATGTGGTGAAGTGGAAAAGATTCTTCCAACCTATAGGTTGAACCATAGACATAGAGCAATCTTAAATCTTTTAGCTAGCTCTCCACCCATCAAGATGTCTATCATGAGCGAGGGGAATTAATTATTGTTATTGACAGTAAACACTCTGCAATATGAAAATATAGATATATATATATACATATATATATATATATATATTAACTCATATAAATATTGCATGGATATCTGCATGTCATTCCGTAGGCTTGCATTCTCTCATATGTTTTGACTTTTATATTGGGTGGAAGGAATGCAATATTGCTATCTTGGTGTGATGATAGATAATTAATTAAGTGAGTAATTTTTATGTTTTTTTTAAATAAAAGTACAAATTGAGTTTTAAGATCTATATTATTTTTATTACAAATCTTAAATTTCATTTTATTTAATTTTTTTCTTGACAGGGCCACTTATAATGAAATTTGAGATGCAGCCGAGATGGATGTGGCTCTGAATGAAGCCCAATACTGAAATGTTGTTAGGCCTTTGGTTCTGGCCATCTGGGCAGTACCTGGACGACTACATGTGGAAGGAGATCAGTATCACAACAAAATTTCGACCATATCACTTGTCTGTCTTCAGCAGAGAGAATCATATCACTGGAATTATTTTATGCACCTGCAAATGACCCTCTCTCTTCATTTGCCATTATTTTTGTCAGTCGAAATTCATAAATGTTTTAAAAAAAGAAAAAAATTATGCTAAGAGTGCAAAACACGGTAGTGGATCCATTTTCAGCTGTCAAATCAGCATCAAATAATTCATTTATTGAATAGGAGTACAACAAAATTATCTTCTTCTAAGATGGTGGCAACTTTTTACCACTCCAGTAAATATCTCTCTAGTCTCTCTCAACAAATTCTTTTCTTTTTTTTTGTATAAAAAAAGGGGAAAAGAAAAAGAAATGGGGAAAAAGGGGGGTGGGGTGGGAAGAAGAAACCTTTTAGTATAGTCAATAGTGTGTAGGCAGTGAATTACAAAGGATGACAATCCAAGAAATAAAAAAATGAGTCTTGAAAAAGAAAGCAAAAATTTGTGGGGTTTTGACCCGTAAATTCAGCTCACTTGTTCCCCGACCAAATCCAAACCCACAATAAGGAACGATATCCCCTGAAACAGTAAGTAGTAGAAATGAATTCCCTGCGCCGACAAAAGGCTTCTCCCAGCTGCTGTCAGCAACAGAAAAGCCAGCGCCAATTCCTTCCTGTAAATCCTATTCCTCTTCTTCTTCTTCACCAATCCTCCTCCCCCTTCTTCTTTCTTCTCCATTTTGCTCAGCAATTCCAGACCGGATTCTGAAGACAGGGTCCTCTGTATTTTTTCTTCACTCGAAGCTTTTGCTTCCCTTTCACCCAAGGCAAACAAATCCGACTCAGATAATCGGCCGGTCTTCTTGGTGACCACCCATTCGTATGCACTTCCTAGCTGAAACAGCCCGGATATCATTGCATTGAACTTTGTCACGGACATTGTGTTCTCAAACAGCAGGTAGGGGATCAAAAACGGGAAGGATTTGGGTGCGGGTAAAATATTCAATATGGACATGATTATAGGGACGTAACATATAACCCAGGCAGGTAATTCAGCCTCTGGAACGAACATTGTTAGAGGCAAAACGATGCAAAACAATGTGAATGAGTAGAAGGGCAGAATCAATTTCCTCAGCAGAAAGAAAAGGAATATCATGTTCATCTTCTTCCATATTGATATCTGCAAGAATGAATAAACCCCACAAAAAAAAAAAAAAAAAATGGTTAAATTTTTGAATTTTTTGTGTCGAGAAGGAAGCAAAATCCAATTATGGAAAAGAGAAACACCTTGGAAGAAATAACATCAGGAATGCACAATCTGAACAGCTGCATAGGGCCAGAATGCCAGCGATGCTGCTGCTTTTTGTAAGCTTCGTAAGATTCTGGCAGCTCACAGAGCACTCTAACATCATTGAGGTATATGAATTTCCAGCCTTGCAAGTGAGCTCTGACTGCAATATCCATGTCCTCTACCGTTGTTCTTTCCAGCCATCCACCAGATTCTTCCAAAGCCTGGATCCTCCACACACCGGCCGTGCCGTTGAATCCGAAAAAGTTGAGAAAATGACCATTTACTTGTTGCTCTACCTCGAAATGGAAGCATAAATTGATGTTCTGCAGCCTAGTTAGTAGATTCTCATCCTTATTCACAAACGACCAACGAGCCTGAACAAGTCCTACATCGGGCTTTCCCTGAGACCATGAACAGCAATACACTTTAGTTGCAGACTAATTGATCCAAAAAAGAGAGAAGAGACTATGTTTAGGCTTGTTGTGTTTACCTTGAAGTGGGGAACTGTCTTCTTGAGGAAATCAGGTTCTGGTTGAAAATCGGCATCAAAAATGGCAACAAACTCATAGTCTTTGACATAGTCACATGCCATTGCTGATTTAAGATTGCCAGCTTTGTATCCTGTCCTAATGAACCGATGTCTGTACACAATGTTCACCCCTTTCTCTTTCCATAAATTCACTTCACCTCTTATCAATGCTTGGGCAACTTCATCATCTGAATCATCCAAGATTTGGACCATGAATCGATCCTTTGGCCAATCCAGCTCACACACTGCAGATATTGACTGCTCGTACACCTAATCTCACACACACACGAAGTATCTCAGAATTAGTGACAAACTAAAATGGTCCTCAGCAGCTGCATATTATTAACAACAAAACTTATATCAACCAATCAGATAAGTACAGTGGATGAATGCTAAAGGTATTAATAAGAAGCAGAAAACAAGCAAAACATGGAATCCGTGATTTCACCTCTTTCTCATTGCACATAGGAATTTGCACAAGAACCATGGGAAAGCTTGAGGCGTCCTCGAGGTCATGTTCTTCTGGAACGGGAACCAAACCCCTGAACTTGATCCAGAACCACCCAATACCAAGCACAAACCGATCGAGGGATTGGATCAGGAAAAGGACAATGCAAAACTTAGAAAGCATTACAAATCCAGGAGCTACATAATCAACTCGGAAGGACATCCAGGCGGTGTAACAGAACTGCATAAAGCTCTGAACTTCCCCTGTACTAACTAAACTTAAATATTCCCAATCTTGGAAGTAAGCAATAACTTCAACCACCAAAGCCAGCACCGAAATCACAAGACACCCCATTAAGAACTTGTACAATCTCCCTTTGTAGTTAAATTCATCATCCCTAGCATCCGAATAAGCAATGCGTTTCCTGACCGAAGCTGCTAACCATGGAATGCAACCCAGAGCTCTCTGTGCTTTGAGAAACATGAGTGATAGAAATTGCTTTGGGCGAGCCCCTTTTTGCTTGTCTTGCAATAGTGATGAATTCTCATCATTTATTTCTACCAGAGCTATTCCACCGGGTTTCTCCAGTGTGACCACTACAGAGCTCGGTGCCATTCTAAATGAACCAGAAAAAAAAATCAAATCAAAAGAATGTAACCCCAGCCGCCGCTCAAATCAGCAAAACAAGTTGAGGGGTTTGGTGATGATATTCACATAATCTCTAAGTCATGGTTTTCGTTCACAGAAGAAGAATTCAAGAAGGGACCATAAATGGAACAGGATCTACTTTATAAAAAAAAAAAAATGGGTGTTGGACCTTCTTGATCTTTGACTAAATTTAGAATGTAAAAATAAAAAAACAGAGTAGAAGAAACAGAGAGACAGAAAACGCAAAAAGGCAACTCTGAAAGTGCGGACTTGCTTGAAGATTTTTACCAAAAACTACTTGAGGCTCGAGAAACGAGGGTGAGAGAGATTGAGAAAGAAATGATTCTATTCTGACCAGAGTTTCCAGTTTTCTGATTAAGAAACTGACAGTCTTTTGAAGAAATGGATACCGACGTAGATAGAAGAAGTATCGGGCGGAAATATAAAAAATAAAAATTAAATAAATAAATAAAGAAATGAAAAGAGCATTTGTCCAACTCAGTCCACTTAAGACATTTCAATAAAGTTACAATATTTTAGATACAATGATAAGATGCCATCATGTTCTTCAGTTCCTGCCTTGTCAAATTGGAATATACCTCCCATTTTGGATCACCGCTAAATTCATACTAATCAATTCTTTTCACCTCATTTGTCCTCCCCAGTATTTTCTATTTTGCTGCCTCTCACCTAATCCTCAAAGTAAAGTAAAATTGCAGCCTATTGTTCATGCTTATGACCAGCCGCTGATGATAGAGTACATCCGAAAAATGGACCCAAATCAGTGGAAATCAGTCTAAGCGAGGCATTTCAAAATTTATTACATATTTAAGAAACTTTTTTCTGTATTTTATTATTTACTATAAAATTACGGTTAAATGATACTCCTTCCATTCCAAAATAAGTGTCATCCTACACTTTACACATAGTTTAAGAAACTCTTAAATAAAGTAATAAAATTACTTGAATATCCTTAACCAACCCCACTAAAAAAATGTCCACCAATAGTAGTAATTCTTTTGAAGGTAATTTTGGACAAAAAGTGCATTGAAATGTGAGAACGACACTTATTTTGAAATTTCTCCATTTTGCTAAAACGACACTTATTTTAGAACGGAAAGAGTATCTTTTACTCAAAACATTCATTTAGAAAAGGGGGAGAGAGAGAGAGAGAGAGTGTGTGTCAATTATTTATCTTTAATTTTTGTAACGAGAAACCGCTTTTTAAAAAGAAAAAAATCCAAACAAGTGCCTGTGAAGTGTGAACCTACAAACCTTAACAATGACGAACAAATAAGTCTAAAGAAAATCTTGGTCTAGAACACTACAAAGAGATCTGCCCTTATTTTCGAGGTGTGTGAAACAAAAATATAGGTGATGACTAGTATATGAATAACCCAACTAACCGGCCAATGAAAATATCATGAGATAAGCTAAAAAAAGATTAAAAATCAACAAGTATAGCTTGTTACCGTAAATCATGGCAGGTTTTGCTTGAACGCATCCTTTCTCAGAGCCTTTTTTTTTTTTCAATAAATATAGGCTGCAATAAAAAGATAGGCAAAGATATGTTAGAAATTCCGATCAACATTAAACACTGACAATCAACTTATAAACGTTTAAGCACGTAAAGATGGGTTTATTAGAGCCAAATTTACCAAAACACTTAGTTAAGTTCCTTTCTACAGCATCAACCCGATTGCTTCTAGCCTTCAACCAGCCATACACAAAGACTCAAAGGGAGTAAAACAAAATCAGTATCCAAGATTTTGGAGATTAAACCAACCGTATTAATGTTCTTTGGATGAGACAACAAAGTATGCGACGCAACTTTTTTTTATCTACGGTTATTACCAAAAAAAGGTATCCGTAATCATAAGAGGTTATATAAGATCTTAAATTTTCCCCTTCCAAAAATAAGAGTTTTTTACCGTAAAAATTATCAAAGAAGTACATGGACAAAAATAATTTGAAGAGAAATAAGATGGCCAGAAGTAGATGTCCCGTATTTGTCAAATCCGAGAGGCACAAAGAGTCGAATTTAGCAAATTCGAGAGCAAGACAACTCAGATTTGTCTAATCCGAAATTCGTTGAAGCTGAAATTAATTAAATTTAACTAAATGATTAATTAAAAATAAAAAAGTTCCGGATTTGGCAAATCCAAAAGGTTTCAATAAAAAAAACTTATATTTTGAAAAAAAAAATCTAAGTGTTTGAAAATAAAATTTGACTAGAAACGGATCAGCCAAATCCGATACAAAGTGTTTCGGGTTTGAGAAATCCGAGTTGTTGAATAAAATATTATTTTAAATTTCAAAAAAAAAATTCTGAGTGTAAAAAATAGATAGGAGGAGTCTCGGATTTGGCGAATCCGAAAGGTCTGCAGAATCTGTGGAATTCTCGAATTTACCAAATTTGAAAGAACCCTAAATAATATCTTTTGGATTTGCCAAATCCGAGACATACGAGAAACTTGAAAAAAAAATAATGGACTGATTCACCAATTCTAACTCTGTTTAAACAGCACCAACAACCAATTCATAACAAGCTAATTCAACAACAAAACGGTCACATTTTCATAACAAAATAATGTAAAATTCTCAACTAACAATCCAAAATCATTCAAAAACCCTAAAAAAGACTAATCAACAATCATTTTTTCCCTCTCCTAGGAATAGTGAGCGAGGTAAATTTAACCAGCGGATTGCGCGGCCTGTCGGATTTGCGAACCCCTAGTTCCTGCGGCTCTCGGACGGATTGTAAGAATTGACTCCACGTTTAGGACTTGCGATTCTCCTCCAAGAGTAATGGTGAGAGGTACCTCTTCTTCATGTAGAGTATAAGATCCTCTCGAAGAACCAACATCGTCCTCTCTTTTCACATTGTCTTCTCACATTTCCTCCCTTCCTCCCACATTCTCTCCTCCTAGGTTCTCTTGTTCGTGTTGGCCCAAACATTCCGCGTGATCCTGTGATGGCCTGAAAGGATCCCTTCGCTTTCTTCCCCCTCCAATTTTATCTCTTGGCCACGGTTTCATTGTTTCACCGTGCGGACCTGATGAGGGGCGACTCGTATCATACTTCATAAGGATTTGGAAATCCTTAATTTCCATCTCATCGTCCTTTCCGAGAGTTAAAGCAGTGTCGGTTACGTCCGTGAAATAGTCGAGCACCTTTTCGAGCTCGTCGTCTAGGTCACGGGCTCTACGACGTTCTTATCGGAATGATATGGCCCTCATGCGGACATTGTTCAGCATTTCACCCTGGAAATCAAATAATGCGTTAACTAAAGAAGTATAATTCAAAATTTATATGAATAGAGTAAAATGCACTTCCATACGTAGATTAATTGAAAATAAACACTTACATAAACTTTCACCCGGCTCGAGGAAGCCTCATATCCGGCTAATGAGTAGTGGCTCGGATAGCTTATCAATTTCACCGAAATTTTGTTATGCCACGCTTTGTACTTCTCATTAGTTTGACCGGGATCTCCTACCTCCAAATCCGTAGGAATGTTTCAGGCTCTCCTATTCCAATTGGGGCGTACTTTACTATGGTGTTCCACCAAATTTTTCTCAGTAAGCCCAAACATATTGTATTCGTGAGCATTTATATTCTCTTAGATATTGACAATCATAGGTCATCGGGGAATTCCTTGAATGTAGTCAAACTGTCTCACGACCCTGTCAATTTTGTGGGGTTCTCGGATAGCCCAATAGAACATCCACGTCCTTGCCATCCAAATGGCACTTCCATGTTTACAACAATCAGGGAGGGTAGGGAGGAGATCCTCGTAGGATTGCAAAAACAAACTGTGAAAAAATTAGAAAAAACCGGATTAATTCACATAAGAATGGTTGGGAAAAAAAATAAATTGAGAACCTTTTCATGCTTACATCACTGGTTTTTAAAGCGGTCAATTGGTCTCTAGAACCCGGGAGACTAGACCTTGGGATGTTCTTGTAGGAGTATGAGCAATTCCACCTTTCAATACAAAAAAAAAAAAATCAAAGATATTATTTATCCAATAAAAATAATAAAAATATTAGTAATTTTTACCTTAAGAGTATAGGAGATAAACTCACTGATAAGCTAAAGGAGCTGCAGGATCCTCTTCAAATCTCTTTAAAATTCTTCGGGGCATGATTCTTGGGACCCGCGGTTTTAATTCGCGGAGCTCTAGCCTCAGTCGCTTGAATTTTGAAAATTAAGCGTCTTCCCCATATTTTGCATAACCGCTTGATTCTCACACTCCTATACTTCGACACTAGATTGCTCCGAACATACCGGAGGCAATACACGTGGGTCCCATTACCCAAATTGCTCCATTCTGGTATTTCCGACATTGCCCTCAAAAGCCCAAACGTTCCGGTCAGAAATCACAGTAACTTTAGTGTCACCCACAATATGATACCTCAAATGTTTCATGAAAAATGTCCAACTTTCAGTGGTCTCTTAATCCACCACGGCGAATGCAACCAGTAAATGTGTTTGTTTGTAGTATACACCACAACAACTAGCAACTTACCCTTGTATCCCCCACGTAAGTGTGTTCCATCAACAGAAATCACCGACGGACATTCAAAGAAAGTCGCAGCCACTGGTGCAAATGACCAAAACACGTATTTAAAAGTGCTTCTTCCCATATTCCAACCTTATTCTCCCTCCTTCCGTTCCCATTCTATTACAGTTTCGGGATTAGTACTCTTAATTGCTTCAATATACCTATACGTCAAGTTTGCCCGAGTTAAATATATGCCAATATAAGTAAAAACTAAAACAAATTAATTGACATTTATCAAAATTGAAATTTATCTAGGAAGATCTTCAAAATTGGAGGACCAGTCGCCATAAACCGCCTTTATGGCTTTCCTCTTCCCGTTCCACGCCTTTTTGTAAGGGACATCAACTTTTACCAACTCATTCACATCTTTTTGCACCGATTTTACCGTATAATCCACGTTGTTCGCAACCTTTCTCATGATTAGTCTAGCAATAAACGCGGAGTCAGCAAAATGGTTGTCATTATCGTTAACTACCCTCATGAAATTATGTGCGGACCACCACTTCGCTATTTGATGCAAGCCATGCTTTCCTAGTGACACGCGGATCCTCCATTTGCTTATAGGTTCGCCATGTTGGAGGAGGGGAGGGGAATCTAATGTCATACATCGAACCTCCCAAGTCTTAGGATTACTCACGATAACTTTTAACTCCCTTTTATGGTGGATGTTCCACAACTTCACGGCATGTTTCGCTTCTCCTTGAGACTTGAAACAATCTTTAATGCACATTCCTTCGGGAGACTCGTCCCACATTTTTATATCAAGATCATCCTTGTAAATATGCGACGCATTCCATTCACCCATTTCCTTATACACATGGCGCCGGGGAAATGGATTTAGTTCTATTTCTTCATTCACTAATTCTTCATCATCACTTTCATCATCATCACTAGGATCTCGTGCTTCCAAGCTTTTGCTTGGAGCTACGTAGTCGGAATCATTATCATCCATGTGATCATTTTCTGCAAATAAACTTTCACCATCTTCTTCATGAACTCGTAAAATACTTGTTTGTTCTTGTCTTGGACCATCTTGTTCACCCTCATCCATGTGATCATCTTGTTCAAAGAAAGATCCACCATAATGATTGTTCTCATCTTCTTGGTTAGTGATATCCTCCGTCTCAATGTACAAATCCACACTTGTCATTGGCTCGAGGTGATAGATGATCCCA